AGACTGCAACCGGCCGACCAAGCGGCGTGAGTGTGGTGCGGTCTCGAAAGAAGGAGCGAGAAGCCCCTGAGTCAAGGGTGAAGGTGAGGGAGGCCGAAGCCGACGCGGTACCTGCGAGCGCAGACTCACCAGCACCTGAGGACGCAGACGCACTGGCACCTAGAGCAGCAGCCTCACTGGCACCTAGAGCAGCAGCCTCACTAGTACCTAGAGCAGCAGTCTCAATGCCCAGGTCGGGCGGGAAACACCGGTAACAGTCACCCTCATCACTAATAGACACAACATACATGGCAGAAAGGATAGCATCAAAATCAAGATCATAGATGGCAACTCCCGCCCTAGACAACTCGCCCCAGCGAGGGATCTCTGTGGCCTCGGGGAACTGGTGACGCCACGCGTCCGTCAGGCGGCCAAAGCAGCGCTGGGTGGGGTGCGCACCCCCACACTGCTTACTCGCACGGTCGCCGGTGCGCATGACGTAGGTGCACGGACCAAGGCCCCCACCCCGCTGGCGTGTAGTGTACCACTCACGGAGCTGCTGAGGGGACAAGGTCTCACGACCGCGCTGCTGCTGCTGGCGCAGACCACCACCGGAGCCACTCCGCTGCATAGACCCGCGACCAGCTCCACCGCCACCCTTGCCGCCTCCGCTACTACCGCCGCCTCCGCCGCCTCCTCCACCGCCACCACCTCCGCGACCTCCGCTACCACCGCCCCCGCCGTCGCCGCCTCCACTGCCGCCACCGACACCTCCACCCCCACCTCCACTCCCACCGCCACCCCCACTCCCCCCGCCGCCTCCACCTCCACCTCCACCGCCCCCGCTAGCTCCTCCAGTGCCCCTGCCCCCCTTGCCCTTGCCAGAGCGGCGTCTCCCGCTAGGGGCAGACGCCGCACCGACCGACTCAAGACCAACGAGGTCGGCCGCAGCAGCAGAGGCAACAGAGGGCAGGAGGGGGGAGGGGGAACACCCCTCAAAGATGGGGGTGCGCGGGTCACCACGAGAGGCCCCTACAGCGACTATGCTCTTCTCGGCCGCTAGGAGGGACTTCTCGAGGAGGTCAACAGTGAGAGTGGTGGGACAGACTGAGAGGAAGTGGTCCCTGAGTACGCGAAGGGAGTCAGGGAGGCGAGTGACTATGTAGTAATGAGTGATGTACATGGGGGGGGGGTTCTTGGCGCAGAAGTCAGCAGGAAGCGCATCGCGGTAGCGAGTGTCACTAGTGCGGAGGTGCGTAATGAGGTCAGCGACTGTGGGAAAGGCAGCAAGGTCAGGGAAGAGGTACGGTAGCATGAGACGGCTCAGTGCAGCAGTGGCAGGGGAGGAGTAGCGTGCAACTACAGCGTCGTACAAGGTCTGAGCACTCTTGTACTGACTAAAGTGCGCACGCTCAGAGGTAGGGAGGTGGCGACGCACAGCAAGACGTGCAGCAGCATCGCGCGTGGCCCACTGTGAGCGAACAGAGGCGTCAGCATCAGCAGCAGGAGCAGGAGATGCACCAGAGGTGAGGTCAAAGAGGGAGAGACCGTCTGCCCTATCGCACTGTAAGAACAGCTGCAGGTCATCTACCCAGACGTCAAAGTCAATGGCTCGACCCTCGGCGTCAAAAGCGAGGACACTAGGGGTAGCCATGACAACAGTAGACTAGCAGCGCACACAGTAGGGAAAGGGCAGTGCAGTGACAGAGGCGTTGTGCTTACCGGACGGGGCTGCTCGGGCGGCTCAGAGGTAGGGCGGCTCGGCGGCTCGGTGGCTCGGCTGCACGGCGGCTCGGCTGCAGGGCGGCTCGGCTGCTGGGCGGCTCGGCTGCAGGGCGGCTCGGCTGCTCGGCTGCTGGGCGGCTCGGCTGCTCGGCTGCTCAGCTGCTGGGCGGCTCGGCTGTGCTGCTGTACGGCGGCGCGGCGGTCGGCTGCTCGGCTGGGTGAGGCGGCTCGGGCGGTTCGGGTGGCGGGCGGCGCTGCAGCAGATGACGAGGCCGCAGGGAAGGCGGCGGGGCCGCAAGTGAGGGCGGCGGGGACCGCAGGTAAGGGTGGCGGGGACCGCAGGTAAGGGCGGCGGAGCCGCAGGTAGGGCGGGTGGGCCGCAGGTAGGGCGGCTGGGCCGCAGGTAGGGCGGCGGGCCGCAGGTAGGGCGGCTGGGCCGCAGGTAGGACGGCGGGGCGGGGCCGTAGGTAGGGCGACGGGGCCGGGTCGAAGGTAGTGCGACGGGGCCGGTACGCAGGTAGGGCGACGGGGCCAGGGCCGGGGCGCAAGTAGGGCGACGGGGCTAGGGCCGGGGCCGCAGGTATGGCGACGGGGCCAGGGTCGCAGGTGGGGCGACGGGGCCGGGTTCGCAGGTAGGGCGACGGGGCCGGGGCGCAGGTAGGGCGTCGGGGCCGGGGTGCAGGTAGGGCGACGGGGCCGGGGCGCAGATAGGGCGACGGGGCCGAGGCGCAGGTAGGGCGACGGGGTCGCTAGGGCGACGAATCAGGGGCCGCTAAGGCGGCGCGACTTGGCCGCTAGGGCGGCTCGACGAAGTCAGAGAGGGGAGCGTGACTCGGGCTGAGCGCGCTCCGGGCAGGAAAAAAAAACTTTCGACTTGGTGGGCCCTAGGCACAGTTCCCACGAGGGAACCTGCTCTGATACCATGAGAAAACTGAAACGAGAATGACTGACTGAGGAATGAAAGTGATACAAGTATGCAACCCTAGCATTGTGTACCCCATATAGGCTACCCCACTACAGCCTACACAACATTATAATTTGACAAGGGGGAATTGCATCGACATAGATGTCTGTGGACCTCAACGATGCCATCTCTGCGTCCATAGCTTCTATCCACTGAGAGACCCACGGTCCCTAGATCGCCTTAGTGTAGGTACGAGGAATCGGAATGTCAGCAGCGTCGGGGTCTCCCTTAGGGGCTAGCAACATAACCTAGAGGAGCAGCGGCCACAGGTGTTGTAGCTCAAATTGCCTATCCTCTAAAACGTTACAACCAAGGGCAAACCCACCCGAGACGGACAGAGGATGGGTAGGAGGAGCAGTTGTCAAACATGTGGCGTAATCACGGGGATGGGTGGAGGCAAAGTTAGTGACAATGGCGACAAGAGCCGCAACAAACGATGGAGACTTAGTAGTGTCACTCAGGAGGGAGGAGAGAACATAAGAAACAACAAGGTGAGCAGCTCGGAGGTTGTTGAAAAAAGGTGGAGGAGAGATAGTGAGAGATGACGCAGGAGGCAATGGGTTCCGTCCACGAAGCGACGACTTGCGAGGCCTCTATTAATTTGCAGACGCCAGCTTGCGGACGTCGTTTGGGGTCGGGGAGGATGGAATGGGGAGGGAGAGGGGGGGGGGGGGGGGGGGAGGAGGGGTGGAGGGGTTGGCTTCGCCCCTTGCGTGTTTCGCTATGTTACTATCCGTGGAAGAAAAATGCAAGGGAAATGGAGTAGGGGCGAAAGCGCGAAATTGACGGGCCAAGGTTATTCTTTTCCCACCCATGGCGCAACCCCCCCCCCCCCCCCCCCCTCCACCCCCTCTCTCTTGCTCCTCACTCCATCGATCCGCCCAATCTACCTCAGTCTTCTCCAGCGTATATGTTACACAGAATATTAGGACTTTGAGAGGTTGTACAAGTTTGATTTGAGCAGTAGTCTCTTACTAGTTGTTACGGGTGCAATGGAACGAGGTAGCGACGATTGCACTTAGGTGTCAAACGAGTACAAGTACGAGCGAAGGCATGAGCGAATACTTATAAAAGCGAAAGTGCAAACGGTATCGCGGAACGTGCGAGCTAGCTAGTGCGACGCTGACATCGAGGTTCGATCTAGTCCCGAAGCGTAGGTCAAATCGGCCAGGCCACCGATGCATGGTTTGGCAAATTTAGCACGCAGAGGTTGGCGAAGCCCCGTTAGTAGTAATGGACGAACAAACGGTTGGTCTTGTACGCGGTGTTGAAGCACGCGGTAAGGAATGTCGAAAGATTTCTTACACTAGTAGTCTCTTGCTAATAGACATGAGCATAGAGCGGAACCGCAATTCGGTTCGGCGCGGTTCAGTTAATTGCGAATCGAATCGCAGCCTCATTTTGTTAGTTAGGTTCACAACGGGCCGAACCGGATTGTCTTCGAACCGGTTCGGCGGTTCGACCGGTTCGGTTTTTTGCTTTCATCTAGGGGCAGAGGGGCAGGGAAAGGTGATTAGGGGGCCCAAATGGCTGGTTCGGTTCGGTTCGTTCAGTTCGGTTTTAGCACAATAATACCGAACCTCGAACTGGCTTGACTTCAGGACGGTTCGGAAAGAACCGGTTTGGTTCGTTTACGATTCGGTTCGGTGAACGCGCTAATGTGTACGAACCGGTTCGGTTTGGTAATGTGCATACAGATGACTGTCCAGACTTCCGAGGATGTACCACGCCCTTGCATCAATGATCCCGTGATGCAAACCCAGCATCACCAAGAAATCGGCGGGCGTTGCCGAAAACGATTTCCGATGGACGGTTATCGGACCACAACGACCAGTAACCAGATTAGACGAAATACCTAACGAAACTTCACTCCCTTATCCACAGACCCTTTCCACCTTGTTTCTTCCTTCCCATCCCAGCCAGATCGCTCCAACCAGAGCCCGGCCATGGCTGCTTCGCCAGGTTATTTTTGACATGGCTGGTGGCTTCTATCCATGATGCTCGGCGTAGAACACAGTAGCCGTTTAGCCTTTCGGAAAAGAGGCTGTCATGTTAGCGGTTGCGAGATCTCGTTGCGACGGCGTGGGAGGTGGTGATGATGTTCCCGCTTGGCTCGGCTGTTTCCGTCCAGATACGACGCCTTGTGCAAGGAATTACGGAAAGCAATCATAAGGCCGTTGTTTCTGAGCTTAGTCAGGTAGGCTTGTCAATTGTTAACATTATGCATTAGGCTTTCATTAACTTCACAAAATAAAGATAAGGTTAGGGTACGTTTATGGAGACGTATTCTAACTTTTCACCAATCTGCTGTGTGTTTTCGCCGGTTTTCCAGATTGCAGATCTAGCAGGACCCGAGGCGAATCAGCTTATTCTTCGTTCCTGTCTGGACGTTCTCTTTAGCGACGACCAAGGCGGTCAGAGCGTGGAATTGAAGCATCACCTGTTAGCATCCACGTTAGAGTGCCTTTCTCGTAGATCCGATTTTCCGACAACCGTAGCTCGAGCTTTAGGTAATTTCTCCGAACCTTACAAGGGTTTCTTGAAGATATCGCTCGCGATTATTAGTCTTCCTGTCGCTGTTCAGCTCCGCTTAGGCGTTGGTCTCGCTGACGTTGGTTCTCCATTTTGGAAGGAAGAAGGTAATATTTGTTTCTCTCGCTATCAGTTTTGCGGTTAGTTTCTCTTAGCGCGACAATTTCTTCCACTTGTTATCGATTACAATATCTCTTAAGGCATGTTCGTATTGTGCAGCTCTTGACTTAATCGACTGCGTGATTGGCGGATTGCCTGAAGCCGAGGTTTCTGCACTACCAGGCGATTTGTTCTGGAGCGTCTTTCTCACGTGTTCGTCTTATCCGAAGCTCAAGGAGCACTCTCTCATCTTGGAGGAATCGCTCTGCTGGCGTCTTACCAGGGATCCGTTCCCGATTTACCTCCTTCCGTTCCTAGAAAGGAGCGGTTCGCTCGGGAAAGATTTCGTGTACGTTTTCTTTCTGGCGTGCGTTCTTTCGGAAAGGGATTGGATTTCAGGCAAACGCCTTATCTTTCGTTTGTACACCATTTTAAGGTCTCTTAACAACCTCGTTCCTGCGACGTTTGTTTTGCGCAGTGACCTGCCTCGGGATTGGTCCGCCTTCGTCAATTCCATCATGGCTTCATCTTCCGCGTCCGCTTCCGGTTCCGGTTCCGCCTCCGGCTCCAAGGCGAAAGACATGGCGACGGCGATGGAGGAGCTAGGGTTTGGCTGCACCGACACGGTGGAGCACTGCAAGGCCGTGCTCAAGGAGCACAGCGCCGGCAGCAGCATCAGCGAAGCGGACGTTGCGCGGGTCATGGGAGTGGTGGCGAAGGGTTCCGTGGAAACTCGTGGCGGGGGTGGCGGCGCTGGGCCGCTCACGTTCTGGAACGTGGATGTGCTGGTTGAAGCCATTGTTCAGCTGGTGAGTGTCTTCAGCTGGTGAGTGTCAGGACATGGCGACGGCGATGGAGGAGCTAGGGTTTGCGTGCACGGACACGGTGGAGCACTGCAAGGCCGTGCTCAAGGAGCACAGCGCCGGTAGCAGCATCAGCGAGGCGGACGTCGCGCGGGTCATGGGGGTGGTGGCGAAGGGTTTCGTGGAGACTCGTGACGGGGGTGGCGGTGCTGGGCCGCTCACGTTCTGGAACGTGGATGTGCTGGTTGAAGCCATTGTTCAGCTGGTGAGCGTTCGTCCATGCACCGTTCTGAGGCGCCTCAAAAGCGCGGGTCATGGGGGTGGTGGCTGAGGGGTCGGTGGAGTGGAGACTTGTGGTGGTGTTGCTGGGGCTATCTTTTGAGACGCGTAACAAAACGCGTCCTCCGCTAACCCTCGTTTCTCTCCACCACCCGGTTGTGCGCTGCTGAGGCAGGCACCGAGCCTGTTTTTCAGGCGAAAATATAGCGCGTCGTCTTTTGTTCCAACATTCTTTCTTGCGTGTGTGAGGCAGGCTCGAAAAGTAATTTAGAGACTCTTATATCATTGCGTTTTTTTCTGTAAAAGCAATCCCCTGTTGTGCACCCCTGAGGCAGGCACCGAGGCTGAGCTGGTCGTCGGTGATCAATCGTCTGGACTACCCGGGGTTCTTTGCCAGGGATCACCAAGGGCTTCGTTAACCCATCTCTTTCGTTCAACATCCTTTCTTGTGTGTGTGTGTGAGCCAGGCACCGAGGCTGAGCTGGTCGTCGGTGATCAATCGTCTGGACTACCCGGGGTTCTTTGCCAGGGACCACCAAGGGCTTCGTTAACCCATCTCTTTCGTTCAACATCCTTTCTTGTGTGTGTGTATGAGCCAGGCACCGAGGCTGAGCTGGTCGTCGGTGATCAATCGTCTGGACTACCCGGGGTTCTTTGCCAGGGACCACCAAGGGCTTCGTTAACCCATCTCTTTCGTTCAACATCCTTTCTTGTGTGTGTGTGTGAGCCAGGCACCGAGGCTGAGCTGGTCGTCGGTGATCAATCGTCTGGACTACCCGGGGTTCTTTGCCAGGGACCACCAAGGGCTTCGTTAACCCATCTCTTTCGTCAACATCCTTTCTTGTGTGTGTGTGTGAGCCAGGCACCGAGGCTGAGCTGGTCGTCGGTGATCAATCGTCTGGACTACCCGGGGTTCTTTGCCAGGGACCACCAAGGGCTTCGTTAACCCATCTCTTTTGTCCAACATCCTTTCTTGTGTGTGTGTGTGAGCCAGGCACCGAGGCTGAGCTGGTCGTCGGTGATCAATCGTCTGGACTACCCGGGGTTCTTTGCCAGGGACCACCAAGGGCTTCGTTAACCCATCTCTTTCGTTCAACATCCTTTCTTGTGTGTGTGTGTGAGCCAGGCACCGAGGCTGAGCTGGTCGTCGGTGATCAATCGTCTGGACTACCCGGGGTTCTTTGCCAGGGACCACCAAGGGCTTCGTTAACCCATCTCTTTCGTTCAACATCCTTTCTTGTGTGTGTGTGTGAGCCAGGCACCGAGGCTGAGCTGGTCGTCGGTGATCAATCATCTGGACTACCCGGGGTTCTTTGCCAGGGACCACCAAGGGCTTCGTTAACCCATCTTTTTCGTTCAACATCCTTTCTTGTGTGTGTGTGTGAGCCAGGCACCGAGGCTGAGCTGGTCGTCGGTGATCAATCGTCTGGACTACCCGGGCGTCCTCGTCAAGAATCACAAGGGCTTCAGCGCGCTTTAACCCTCACTTCGTTCTACCACCCCGTTATTTTCCCTCGAGGCAGGCGCCGAGGCTGAGCTGGTCGTCGGTGATCAACCATCTGGACTACCCGGGCTTCTTTGTCAAGGATCAGAAGGGCTTCAGCGCGCTCGTGCTTATGCACTCCAAAGCTACCAAGGTATGTATGCATGCGAGTCAGTGATTCACTTTCGAGAAGTCTCGAAGGGCGCATTTTTTAGACGCCACTGTGTCTGTCGTGTCTGTCTCGTATTGTGTGTACGTTACGGTGGCTTTTGAAGGTCTTGTATACCCTGTCCATTCCACAGCCCGCCTTTCTCCGCCACGCTGTGAACGGCTTTGAAATATCTTATCTCTTGTCTCTCTCGGCCACGCAGGAACTCTCCCCCCTGCCCTCAGTATGCGGCAAGCTGTGGGCGAACGCGGAAGGGCAGCTCTCCTTCCTCCGTCCCCCGTTCAGGCGTTGAAACTGCCTCGCCTGTTCGCACACGTTCCCGTACCATTCACCCATTCCTGCTTATCCTTGCTTATCTTTTCCTGGCACCCACCGCAGGAGCTCTTCCCCCTGCCCTCAGTATGCGGCAAGCTGTGGGCAAACGCGGAGGGGCAGCTCTCTTTCCTCCGCCACGCAGTCTCCGCGCCCCCCGAAGTCTTCACCTTCGCGCACTCCCCCCGCCAAACCCCCCCCAGGTCAACCTCCACGGGCACAAGCGGAGGGGCAGCTCTCCTTTCTGAGCCTCCGGCCGAGGCACTGAGTTGGCCTCACCTTGCGAACACGTTCCCCCTCCATTCTCCCTCCCGCTTACCCTTGCGTATCCTTCCCCGGCAATCCCCACAGGAGCTCTTCCCCCTGCCGTCCGTATGCAGCAAGCTGTGGGCGAACGCGGAGGGGCAGCTCTCCTTCCTCCGCCACGCGGTCTCCGCGCCCCCCGAAGTCTTCACCTTCGCGCACTCCCCCCGCCAAATCCCCCCCATGGACAACCTCCACGGGCACAAGCTCCCCACGGGCACCCCCAACTGCGCCTGGGTCTCCCTAGACCTTCTCGAAGCCCTCTGTAGGATCGGCGAGACTGGGAGGAAGGCGGAGGTGGTGGAAGTGCTGGGGTACCCGATAAAGCACTGCCCGGAGGTGCTTATAGTGGGGCTGGCGCAGGTGAAGACGCCCGGAGGGGGGGTGATTCAGAGGGAGGTTCTGGGGGCGTTGGTGCCTCTGTATCTGGCGAATAATCCGAACTCGAGCATTGTGCTGCATGCGCTGTGGGGGGTGCCCGGGGGAAAGGACGTGGTGATGCAGGCGATGGTGGGCGTGCACGCCAGCGATCCCACCAGCATTGCTCGCCTGCTCGACGTGTGCCAGGATCTCAAGGTGAGGGCGAGTTATACCGAGTATGGGCTAGGTTCTGTAACGCGTATGCATGGAGCATTGTGCTGCATGCGCTGTGGGGCGTGCCCGGGGAAAAGGACGTGGTGATGGAGGCGATGGTGGGCGTGCACGCCAGCGACCCCACCAGCATTGCTCGCCTGCTCGACGTGTGCCAAGACCTCAAGGTGAGGGGGGCTAGAGAGTGGTGCCGGGTCCATACAGAGTATGAACCGGGCGTTCTAAAGGGTATGTATGGTATGGAGCATTGTGCTGCATGCGCTGTGGGGGGAGCCCGGGGGAAAGGACATGGTGATGGGCTGTGGGTGGGGTTGGTGGGGGGAGTGCATGCTGTGCCAGCATTCTCACCCACCACCCCGCTCTACCTCTTGTGTTGATAATTTCTGAGTTAAATAGTGCTTCCACACTGTGACTAATCTGCAGGTTCTCTCGGTGGTGCTGGAGAGCACCCCCTTCTCTTTCTCCCTGGACCTCGCTTTGCTCGCCCCGCATTTCGCGTTTTGAAGCTTCCTCCATACCAATTCTACGTTCTACCTTTGCTGGTTGATTTGCAGGCTCTCTCGGTGGTGCTGGAGAGCACGCCCTTCTCTTTCTCCCTGGACCTCGCTTCTCTTGCCTCTCGCCGCGAGTACCTCAACCTCGAGAAGTGGCTGCAGGAGGCGCTCACTCTGCACCGCGACTCGCTCTTCAAGGTACGTTATGTGGGGCCTGTTGTGCTGCAAACACATCTCACCGCAAGCGCCTCTCGCCGCCTGTACCTGGAACCTCGAGAAGTGGCTGCAGGAGGCGCTCACTCTGCACCGCGACTCGCTCTTCAAGGTGGGATATGAACGCAGATGAGATGTTGGCACGCAGGCCTGCCTGCAATTTCGAAGAGCCAAGCTGGTGTAGAACAGCTAGGAGTCCAGATACAGCGAACCAACCTGATCTCACACTCATGCTCTACCTCTCATGCTCTCAGCCCCTCCCTTCTGACTCCCTTTTTGCTCTCTCGCGGCCTCTTCCCCTATGCAGGCGTGTCTGCAGTTCCTGAGGGCCAAGCTGGTGCAGGACAGTCAGGACGCCAGTGCACAGCGAATCAACCTTTCTCTGGAAACGCTCGCCATCTTCTTCAAGGCAAGCTTTCTCTGCTGCTCCCTCGTGTTTCCACTTGCGTTCTGCCTCCTCGTAGTCACCCCTCATCCCCTGCCGCCTCCCCTATTTTCTCTCCCCCTTTTCCCCTCCTCCCCGCCCTCTTGTCCTCTCTTCCCCGTTACGCCCTCCCCTGGCCACACCTCCATTCCGCAGGCCCTCCACGCCAACGCGCCGCAGCTGCAGGCGCCCGAGCTGGGGGACGAGCTTAAAGCCCTGTACTCGTCCGCGCTGCAGCTGCACCCGGCGCTGCAGCTGCACCCGGCGCTGCAGACCGTGGCAGTGCCCGAGCAGGCCCCTGCCTACATTCTCCTCAACCGCCCTCCCTTTTCCCTACCCCTTCCCTCTCCCCATTTTCTTATCCCCCCGTTCCCCTCTCCCTCTGTTTCCTCTTCCTCCTTTTCCCTGCCTTCTCTTCCCCATTCCCCGTCACGCCCTCCCCTGGCCACGCCCTACCCTGACTGCACCCACCGCAGGTCCTCCAAGCCAACGCGCCGCAGCTGCAGGCGCCCGAGCTGGGCGATGAGCTTAAAGCCCTGTACGCGTCCGCGCTGCAGCTGCACCCGGCGCTGCAGACCGTGGCAGTGCCTGAGCAGGCCCCTGCAGACGTGTTTGCGAGCGACATAGAGGAGGAGGCGAATGCGTACTTCCAGAAGATCTACGTGGGGCAGTTGAGCATTGAGGAGGTGGTGGATATGCTGAAGCGCTTCAACGGCTCCTCCGTGCAAAGGTGGGCAGAGGAGGAGCAAGCTTGCTGTTTTAGGGTTAGGTAGGGCAGGGATTTCGGGTTTAGGGTGGTGTGGCGTGTTTGCGAGTGACTTAGAGGAGGCGAACGCGTATTTCCAGAAGATATATGCCGGGCAGTTGAGCATTGAGGAGGTGGTGGATATGTTGAAGCGCTTCAACGGCTCCTCCGTGCTAAGGTGGGCAGGGGAGGAGCAGGCTTGCTGTTTCAGGGTGAGGGTTAGTGTTGGGATTTCGGGTTTAGGGTGGTGTGGCGTGTTTGCGAGTGGCATAGAGGAGGAGGTGAATGCGTCTTTCCAGAAGATCTACGTGGGGCAGTTGAGCATTGAGGAGGTGGTGGATATGCTGAAGCGGTTTAATGGTTCCTCCGTGCAAAGGTGGGTAGGGGAGGAGCAGGTTTGCTGGTTCAGGTCTGGGTTTAGGGTTCCGCTTTCCTTTTGCCTTCTTTGACAAGTTCTGCTTCTACGAGTCACCTTAACATCTGTGCCCCCTGCGGCTTCCGTTTCCCCCTCCCACTCTTGTTCGACCTGTTTTCCCCCCTCCCAGGGAGCAAGATGTGTTTGCGTGCATGATTCAGAGCCTATTTGACGAGTACCGCTTCTTCCCGCGCTACCCCGACAAGGAGCTCCGCATCACTGCTGTCCTCTTCGGTGAGTGAGACTGTCTCTAGGCTTGCTGTTCCTGGTGGAACGCCCTTGGAAGGCATGTTCTGTCGAGTATCGCTTCTTCCTGCGCTATCCCGACAAGGAGCTCCGCATCACTGCTGTCCTCTTCGGTGAGTGAGACTGTCTCTAGGCTTGCTGTTCCTGGTGGAACGCCCTTGGAAGGCATGTTCTGTCGAGTATCGCTTCTTCCTGCGCTATCCCGACAAGGAGCTCCGCATCACTGCTGTCCTCTTCGGTGAGTGAGACTGTCTCTAGGCTTGCTGTTCCTGGTGGAACGCCCTTGGAAGGCATGTTCTGTCGAGTATCGCTTCTTCCTGCGCTATCCCGACAAGGAGCTCCGCATCACTGCCGTCCTCTTCGGTGAGTGAGACTGTCTCTAGGCTTGCTGTTCCTGGTGGAACGCCCTTAAGGCTTGCTGTTCCTGGGGAACGCCCTTGGAAGGCATGTTCTGTCGAGTATCGTTTCTTCCAGCGCTATCCCGACAAGGAGCTCCGCATCACTGCTGTCCTCTTCAGTGAGTGGCGTTTTAGCTGGTAAGAGCACAGCACATAACCCTAAAATTGCTGATGCTCTGGAAAGCGCCAGCTGGGCTTGTCTCGTCAATCGCCCTTTACCGCGCTCGACCAGTTCCACCAGCGCCTGCTCGAGTGGCCGCCCTACTGCACGCACATCCCTGAGGGGGCTCACTTATCCCTCCCTCTCCCCTCGCTCCTTCCTTTTCATTTTCATTTCCCTGTTCCCCTTTTTCTGAATTCCCACCTCTCCCAGGCTCTCTGGTAAAGCATCAGCTAGTATCATCGATTACCCTAGGCATAGCCCTCCGCTGTGAGCTAGGTGCCCTCAAGAAGCCGTCCGGCTCCAAGATGTTCTCCTTTGGCGTCCAGTTCCGCCAGCACCTCACATACCCCCCCTTTCGTCCGCTCCCTTTTTCCCCTCACCCCGTTCCTCCCCCCCCCTCACTTCCTCCCTCTCCCAGGCTCCCTGGTGAAGCACCAGCTAGTGTCGTCCATCACCCTGGGCATAGCCCTGCGCTGTGTGCTAGACGCACTCAAGAAGCCCTCCGACTCCAAGATGTTCTCCTTTGGCGTCACCGCGCTCGAGCAGTTCCACCAGCGCCTGCCCGAGTGGCCGCCCTACTGCACGCACATCCTGCACATCCCGCACCTGCAGGACGTGCACCCGCGCCTGTACGCGTTAGTTCAGGCTGCTGCAGCGGCGCCAGCGAGTAAAGGCGTGGCTGGGGAAGGTTTATCTGGTGCAGGCGGTGCTGCTGCTGCTGCTGCTGGTGGTGGCGGTGGTGGTGCTGCTGCTGGTGGTGCTGGTGGTGGTGCTGCAGGTGCTGGTAACGTGGGAGGGAATGGGGAGGGTGGGGTGGTGGCAGGGGCAGGGGCAGGTGGTCCCAGTGCTGTTAGTGGTGCTGCTGCCACTGGTGCGGCTGCTGGCGCTGCTGGCGGTGTTTCCACTGGTGGGGCTGGTGGGGGAGGAGGGGGTGTGGATGGTGGAGGTGCCATTGGTGCAGGCGACAAGGGGAAGGGTGCTTCTGGTGGTGGTGATACTGGGGGTGTGGGGCCTCAGGATAAGGCGGGGAAGTCAGCGGATGGTGTGGCAGGGAAGGGAGCAGTGGAGGGGAAGGATGGTGCTGGGGGGGTAACACAGGGGCAGGCGCAGGGACAGGCACCAGGGCAGGGGCAGGTGAAAGCAGAGCAAAAGAAGGAAGAGGCGGAAGAGAAGCAGGGAGAGCAGCAAGATGGGGCTGTGGGAGGGAAGGCAGAGGCAGGTAGTGCAGGGCGAGCGGCTGTGCAGAGCCCTGCGAAGGATTCCATTCTATTCAAGGTGTGTTGGCCTGTCTGGTGTTTCTTGACTTGACTATAAAATCGCAGGGCAAGCTTCCCTGCACAGCCCTGATAAGGTTTCCATCCTATTCAAGGTGCTCCCTTGGGCCCAATGAGAGGTTCTGGAGGCTCGCAGAGTGACTGAAGCACCATCCTTGCCTCTCGTCTCTCCCTACTCTGACTCCTCTGCTTCCAGCCCTCAGGAGCGGCCTTGGCTCCAGTTGGGGGTTCCGGAGGCTTACAGAAGCTGGAGGCTCTGCGCCCGCGTGGGGGGTCAGGCTCGGGTGTGTCGACGAGTGCCTATTTCATTTCCTCCCTTCTCTTTTCTCCCGCTACCTCCCTCTCCTCCTCTGCTTGCAGCCATCAGGTGCCGCCTTGGCCCCAATTGGAGGGTCAGGAGGCTCACAGAAGCTGGAGGCTCTGCGTCCGCGTGGGGGTTCAGGTGCAGGAGTGGCTACCAGAGCGCCTGCTGCTGGGTTTGGGCATGCGCTCAACATTGAGACGCTTATGGCTGCAGCAGAGAAGCGAGAAAGCCCCATCGAGGTGAGACTGGAAACCCCGTATTGAGGTGGCATGTCTGGTACTGGTAGTGCTTGTGTCGTTGAGAGCGCCTGCTGCTGGGTTTGGGCATGCCCTCAAGATTGAAACGCTCATGGCGGCAGCAGAGAAGCGCGAGAGCCCCATCGAGGTGAGATAAAAAACCCCATAAGGGAGAGCCGTCTTGAGGTGGCATGTCTGGTACTGGTAGTGTGTGTGTTGGCCAGAGTGCCAGCTGCTGGCTTTGGGCATGCGCTCAAGATTGAGACGCTCATGGCTGCAGCAGAGAAGCGAGTGAGCCCCATCGAGGTGGGATTGGAAACCCCTTGGGTGGAGTTAGTATGTGAGAGAACACCATTGAGGCCAGTCAGATGCCCCTGTCAGAGGCTCAGTACAAGGTTATCAACAATGTCGCACTTGCCCCTCCATATCCGCTGTTCTTTCTGCCTAGCTGCGAATTCTCTCCTTCCCTAACCTTCTCATTCCCCTCCCCCTTTTCCCCCCAGATGCCCTCGTCAGACGCGCAGGACAAGATGGCGTTTATCACCAACAACATCGCCGTCACTCATCCTTATTCGCCCTCCACCGTCTGTCACCGCTCTTCATCTCCTGCTCATCCCCCCAGATGCCCTCGTCAGACGCACAGGACAAGGTGGCGTTTATCATCAACAACATCGCGGTGGCAAATCTGGACCAGAAGGCCAAGGAGATCCTCAAGGTGCTCAAGGAGCCCTTCCTTCTTGACATGACAGTCCTACCTCTCATCTCCCTACCCCAGATGCCCTTCCATGACAGTCAGAAGCGCAGGGCAATTTGGCGTTTTTCATCAACCCTTCCATACCCATCCTTATTCGCTGCCGTGCCTGTTCTTTCCCTGTCTTTCAACAACCCAGATGCCCTCATCAGACGCACAGGACAAGGTGGCGTTTATCATCAACAACATCGCAGCGGCAAATCTGGACCAGAAGGCCAAGGAGATCCTCGAGGTGCTCAAGGAGCCCTTCTTCCCCTGGTTCGCACAGTACCTCGTCATGAAGAGGTGAGTTGCGAGGGCTGTTACTTGTTAGTAGAAAGGTGAGTCTGAGAGGCCTCAAAAGCAGTGCTTGCAAGGTGCTCAAGGAGCCCTTCTTCCCCTGGTTCGCACAATACCTCGTCATGAAGAGGTGAGATTCGAGGGCAGTACCTTGTAATGGAAGGGTTAGTCTTTCTGCGTTGAAGGGGCATCCTAAGAGATTCTGGAGGTGCTCAAGGAGCCCTTCTTCCCCTGGTTCGCCCAGTACCTCGTCATGAAGAGGTGAGTGTCAAACAGAACAGAGAAGAGGTCAGTTTTAGAACTTTACCTTGTAATGGAAAGGTAGTCTTTCTGCTTCTGAGGGGCCTCAGAGGCAGCACTTGCAAGGTGCTCAAGGAGCCCTTCTTCCCCTGGTTCGTGCAGTACCTCGTCAATGAAGAGGTGAGCCTCGAGAGATTTACCTTGATTGAAGGGTTAGTCTTTCTACGTCTGAGGGGTCCCAAAGACAGTACGTGGGAGGTGCTCAAGGAGCCTTTCTTCCCCTGGTTCGCCTGGTTTTGAGTCGACTCAAAACTAGGCTACTTTTGAGTCGACTCGAAATTAGGCTCAAAACACGGATTTGAGTCGACTCAAAGACAGTACGTGGGAGGTGCCCAAGGAGCCCTTCTTCCCCTGGTTCGCACAGTACTGTCAATTTCTATGCTTTAAAGGGGCCACGTGTATGAAGTAATGTTTTGAGACATCTCAAAACATTACTTCATACACGGGGCCTTACTTGGTCGGGCTTGGTGGGACATCTTGTCCATCCTTCCTCCCCTAGTTTAGGGGTACGCGCTATACGCCACCATGAAAACGTCAGTCTCATGTGCCGAAGTGCTTCTATTAGTGACCCAAGAGTGAACCCTCCCTCTGCCATGTGTGCGTGTGTGTGTGCGCGTGTGTGCGTGCGTGTGCATGTGTGTGCGCGCGCGCGTTTGGTGTGTGTGTGTGTGTGTGTGTGTGTGTGTGTGTGTGTGTGTGTGGGTGTGTGCATATGCGTGTGTGTGTATGCGGTGTGCGCTTGTGTGTGCCCGCATGCATCAGAGCGAGCATAGAGCCCAACTTCCACGAGCTTTACCTCAAGTTTGTCGACAAGATGGCGGCCAAGTCGCTGCAGAAGGAAGTGGTGAAGGCGACCTACGAGAACTGCAAGGTTCTGCTGCGATCAGAGCTCATCCGCTCCAGCAGTGAGGAGCGCTCGCTGCTCAAGAACATCGGCAGCTGGCTGGGCCGACTCACCATTGGCCGGAACCAGCCGCTGCGCGCCAACCAGATCAACCCGAAGAATCTTATCATCGAGGTAACGTGTGGGGTGTGGATATTATATGACTGCGAGAAAGGCTCGTCAAGGTTGGTGTGACTGTGGGACGGATCGGTGTGTGTGCGTGTGGGGAGGGAGAAGGGGGGAAGATGAAGGGATAGGGGGTGGGGTTGAGGGAAGGGCCGGGGAAAGGAGTGTAGTGGGGAGAAAGGTTAGAGGGATGGTTGAGAGGGGGTGTTAGGGTTTGGGTAAGGGGTACCTCTCCGATCCAGCTTTTCATGGCATTTTCGTGTTTGAGTTATTCTGACGTTTGTGTTCCAACCCCCCTACCCCCACCCCACCCCTCCTCCCTCCCACCGTGTATTGCTTCCACCTGCTGTCCTTGCTGTCCTGCCTTATACCCTTTCCCCCATCCCTCCCCCCCGGCTCCTCCCCTACCCCCACCCTTCTTATTTCTGATTCCATGCCGTGCTTCCTGCCCACCCTTCCTTTCGCTCTCTCCCCTCCCCCCTCTCCCCCCCCGCCCCCCTCGTTTATTCGTTTCTTGCACTATTGAGTTGTGTTCTGAGCCATACCATTTTCTTTCCATGCCTCACCCGGATCCATTCAACTTTCTTTCGTACTCACGCCGTATTCCCAAAGTCCTAAAAACAGCCCCTTTTAGCTCAAATTCTCTCGGACTCACGCTTTATTCCCATCCCCACCCCTTCCAGGCATATGAGAAGGGTCTTATGATTGCCATCATTCCATTCACATCCAAAGTGAGCATTCCTTCGACCTCCACCCACTCTCCCTCTCCCCCCCACCTTTCTCCTCTCCTCCTCTTCGAGTTGGGTCAATAGCCTCCGTTAGGGTTGAGCAAAAAAACGAACACACGTTCGAGGCGAACCGAACAGGTTTTTTTTTTTGGCTTAAAATGTTCGCCGAACAGTGTTCGATGTTCGCCCGAACACGTTCGTGTTCGGGCCGCTGCTGCAATTTGCCCGCGACGAACACGAACAGTGTTCGAGGTTCGCCCGAACACGCCTTCACAGGCGAACGGCGAACACCATTTTTTGCTCAAAGTGTTTTCCGAACCGAACAGTGTTCGGTTCGGCAAACGAAGGTGTTCGTGTAGGGGCGAACACAAACACGTTCGTGTTCGCCACTTGCTCATCCCTAGCCTCCGTTCAGGCATGCTCTCTCGTTCCTTCCTGGTTCCTTCCTGGTTCCCCTCGTCTATGCATGTTTCTCCATGTTTACTCTAAGAAAAAAAATCTCCCCCGTTTGTTCATTTCCTCGTTCCGCCCCCTCCCCCATCTTCTCCCCACTCTTCTCCCCCTACTGCCCCCACTCGCCCCCCTTTCACCCCGCTTCTTTTGTGTGCCCGGCTGTTTTCCCTTCGGTTTGTATCTCGTTCTGCAGGTTATTGAGCCCTGTGCAAACAGCGTGATCTACCAGCCGCCCAACCCCTGGACCGTGGGCATTCTGTGTTGTGACCTCCCCCCCCCCCCCCCCCCTTCCCTTGTGTCCTCCCTCCCCCCATCCTCCCCTCTTCTCCCCCCCTTCCCCCATCTCCCCTTCCTTCGCTCCCCCGTTTTGTTCTTCTGCAGATTCTGGAACCCTGTGCGAACAGTGTGATCTACCAGCCACCCAACCCCTGGACCGTGGGCATCCTGGGTCTGCTGGTGGAGATTTACAGCCTGCCCAACCTGAAGCTCAATCTCAAGTTCGACATTGAGGTATGAGGCCCAATATTGTTTCTTCCCGATTTTGGGTTCCGCAGCCTCTCTACAGCCTCCCCAACGTCAAGCTCAATCTCAAGTTCGACATTGAGGTATGAGGCCCAATATTGTTTCTTCCCGGTTTTGGGTTCCGCAGCCTCTCTACAACCTCCCCAACGTCAAGCTCAATCTCAAGTTCGACATTGAGGTATGAGGCCCAGTATTGTTTCTTCCCGGTTTTGGGTTCCGCAGCCTCTCTACAGCCTCCCCAACGTCAAGCTCAATCTCAAGTTCGACATTGAGGTATGAGGCCCAATATTGTTTCTTCCCGGTTTTGGGTTCCGCAACCTCTTTACAGCCTCCCCAACGTCAAGCTCAATCTCAAGTTCGACATTGAGGTAAGCGCACCTAAAGTTGTTCCCTGGGGTGTTTCTTGGTCAATCCGGTGAACTACCTGGTGAGGGTCCACAGCCCCTCTGCAGCCTCCCCAACCTCAAGCTCAATCTCAAGTTGACATTGAGGTATGCGCCCGTTGTACTTCTTGGTCGAACCGTTGATTTGGAGTGACCTGGTGGGGGGGGGGTCCACAACCCCTCTACCTCTACAGCCTCCCCAACCTCAAGCCCAATCTCAAGTTTGACATTGAGCTAATCGCCCCTCTCCTCGCCTGGTTCCTCTCCTTTCCCTTTCTCCCCGCAGGTGCTGTTTAAAAACCTGGGGATCGAGATGAAGGAGGTGAAGCCGTCGCAGCTGCTAGTTGGGCGGCAGAGGGAGATGGAGGGAAATCCGGACTTCTCAAACAAGGACCTGCTAGCTGCCCACCTATCCGCTGCAGGAGGAGCGGGGGCAGGAGGAGCAGGGTCAGGAAGGGGTTCCCCTCAGCCTCTTGTGCGGTCAGCTGTTGCGTCCCCTGAGCCGCCTGGTCCTGCTGGTAGAGGGGCCATGGGAGTGCCTGGTGCAGGGAAGGCGGAACAGCAGGTTTCACAGTTTCAGCAGCAACAGCAACAGCAGCAACAGCAACAGCAGCAGCAGCAGCAGCAGCAGCAGCAGCAGCAGCAGCAGCAGCAGCAGCAGCAGCAGCAGCAACAGCAGCAACAGCAGCAACAGCAGCAGCAGCAGCAGCAGCAGCAGCAGCAGCAGCAACAGCAGCAACAACAGCAGCAGCAGCAGCAGCAGCAGCAGCAGCAGCAGCAGCAGCAGCAGCAGCAGCAGCAGCAGCAGCAGCAGCAGCAGCAGCAGCAGCAGCAGCAGCAGCAGCAGCAGCAGCAGCAGCAGCAGCAGCAGCAGCAGCAGCAGCAGCAGCAGCAGCAGCAACAGCAACAGCAACAGCAGCAGCAACAGCAGCAGCAGCAACAGCAGCAGCAACAGCAGCAACAGCAACAGCAGCAGCAGCAGCAGCAGCAGCTGCAGCAACAACAGCAGCAACAGCAGCAGCAACAGCAGCAGCAGGAACAGATGTCAATGCAGCAGCAGCAGCAATCACCGCCACCGCAGCAGTCCCAGCAGCAGCAGCAGTTGTTGCTGCAGCAGTCGCAGCAAGCTGGTGCCAAGGCTGCTGTTCCGGTATGGATATAACCGAACCTCATTTCTCAACAACACTTCTCATTCTCTATACATCACCCCACCCCCTTCCCCTCGCTCTCCCCCGCCCCCCGCCCCCACCTCGTCCCTACCCCACTTCCGTCTGCCCTCTTTTCACTAGCCACCCTGCCCCTCCCACTTCTCACCTGTGTTGTCCTTCCGTTCCATCTTAGTACCCCATTTTCGGTCAACTCATTTCTTGCTGCTCCTTAACCCTTTTTTTTTTTTTTTTTTTTTTTTTTTTTTTTTTTTTTAATCTCACGTACCCCCCATGCCTGCCGCTGGTTTTCCCACCATCTTCCACCTTCACCAACCCCTCCCCACCCCCCAATTAACGCCCCCCCTTCCCAGTCATCGGTGTTGCTGCCCAACCTGGCGTCCTACATCGTCATCAGCCCCAAGCTCGCTCCAGTGGCACAACAGCTGCAGCTCGCAAGGTGAGCACTCCCCCCTATCTCCCCCCACCCCTCTAAACGCCTTGCCCTTCCTTCCCATCCATCGGTACAGGTGTTCTACATCGTCATCTGCCTCACGCTTGCTCCATTATCCTCCCCCAGGATCGTGCCTGCGTGCATGGACCGTACAGTGAGAGAGATTGTGTCGCTAATCCACCTGAAATTCACTCTTCCCCTCGGTCTTTTCACGGTGTTGTGTTGTGCTCCCAGGATCGTGCCTGCGTGCATGGACCGGGCGGTGAGGGAGATTGTGTCGCCAGTGGTGGAGAGGAGCTGCAGCATTGCGTGCATGACCACACGCGAGCTGGTGCTCAAGGTGAGTTGTTTCCACGGTGGTGGTATATATGTATATATATATATATATATATATATATATGTATGGTGTTTTTTGGTTTTGTTTGTTTTTTTTTTCATCTGCTTAATATTGCCCTTGCATCACCTCTTCTGCTGCGTCCCTCATCCCACCCCTGTCTGAGCAGGACTTTGCAATGGAGGCGGACGACAGCCGCACACAGAAGGCAGCTAACCTCATGGTGGCAAGCCTCGCGGGCAGTCTGGCGCTCGTCACGTGCAAGGTGGGGTGTGGTGGGGTGTGGTGTCTGGTGGTTATGTGTGGTGGTGGGGTGTATGATGTGGTGTACGGTCATGGCAGCAGAAGGCAGCCAACCTCATGGTGGCGAGCCTGGCGGGAAGTCTGGCGCTCGTCACGTGCAAGGTGGGCTTTGTGGTGGTTGTGTGCGGTGCTTTGGTGCTGGGATCTATGCGGTGCGGTGGGTGTGTGTGGTGATCCGATGGGATGTATGATGTGGGGTGTGCGGTGCGGTGTGGTGTGTGTGTGTGTGTGGTGGTGGGTTGTTCGTTCGCATCTTCTGTCACTCACCTCCTCCGTTTGCTCGCCATATCTGTCTCGCCCCTCTTCCGCTCGCCCGCACAGGAGCCCCTGCGTGTGGCAATGGCGAACCACCTGAGAACGGCTCTCACCTCTCCCGCACCTCCCACCCCGCCCTCCCCTCCCAACCCCCCCCCCCCCCCCCAACCCCTTCCACGCCTCCCACCCTTCCCGCTCGTCCCAACAGGAGCCTCTGCGTATGGCGACGGCAAACCACCTGAGGACGCTTCTGCAGGCAGCCCTGGCAGGGGCGGAGCTTGAGCAGGTGGCTCAGCTGCTGACCCCTCCTCCCCTCTCTTTTCTTGTCCGTCCCCTTTCCTCCCACCCCTCCCACCCCACTTATGCCTCCCATTCGCCCGCACAGGAGCCTCTGCGTGTGGCAATGGCGAACCACCTGAGGACGCTGCTCCAGGCGGCACTGGCAGGGGCGGAGCTGGAGCAGGTGGCTCAGCTGCTGGTCAGCGACAACCTCGACCTGGGGTGTGCCGTCATTGAGAAGGCCGCCAGTGAGAAGGTGAGAGCTGGTTGCTGGGTGTTGCTGTGACTTGGTAGTACTTGGCTCAGGTGTCATCAGCTGGAGCATGTGGCTCAGCTGCTGGTCAGCGACAACCTCGACCTGGGGTGTGCCGTCATTGAGAAGTCCGCCAGTGAGAAGGTGAGAGTTGGTTGCTGGGTGTTGCTGTGACTTGGTAGTACTTGGCTCAGGTGTCATCAGCTGGAGCATGTGGCTCAGCTGCTGGTCAGCGGCAACCTCGACCTGGGGTGTGCCGTCATTGAGAAGTCCGCCAGTGAGAAGGTGAGAGTTGGTTGCTGGGTGTTGCTGTGACTTGGTAGTACTTGGCTCAGGTGTCATCAGCTGGAGCATGTGGCTCAGCTGCTGGTCAGCGGCAACCTCGACCTGGGGTGTGCCGTCATTGAGAAGTCCGCCAGTGAGAAGGTGAGAGTTGGTTGCTGGGTGTTGCTGTGACTTGGTAGTACTTGGCTCAGGTGTCATCAGCTGGAGTGGAGCATGTGGCTCAGCTGCTGGTCAGCGGCAACCTCGACCTGGGGTGTGCCGTCATTGAGAAGTCCGCCAGTGAGAAGGTGAGAGTTGGTTGCTGGGTGTTGCTGTGACTTGGTAGTACTTGGCTCAGGTGTCATCAGCTGGAGCATGTGGCTCAGCTGCTGGTCAGCGGCAACTTGGATCTTAGGGTGTGCCGTTATTGAGAAGGCTGCCAGTGAGAAGGTGAGAGGCGTTTGCGAGTGCTGTGACGTTGTTGGCTCAAGTGAAAGTCACCAGCTGAAGCAGGTGGCTCAGCTGCTGGTCAGCGACAACTTGGATTTAGGGTGTGCCGTTATTGAGAAGGCTGCCAGTGAGAAGGTGAGAGGCGTTTGCGAGTGCTGTGACGTTGTTGGCTCAGGTGAAAGTCACCAGCTGAAGCAGGTGGCTCAGGTGCTGGTCAGCGACAACCTTACCTGGGGTGTGCTGTTATTGAGAAGGCTGCCAGTGAGAAGGTGAGAGGCGTGTGCAAATGCTGTGACTTGATACTTGACTCAGGTGAACCGTAAAAGTCACCAGGTGGGGCGTTGCAGCTGCTGGTCAGCAGTAACCCTGACCTGCAGTGAGAGGCCCTCGGCGCGGCCTACTACGATTCGTCCATTTACTCCCAGGGCAGCCTCGCCCACATTCCAGAGGCGCCCATCTAGAACTTCATTTTTCCCTTCCAGTCCAGCTCACCAAGCAGAGAGAGGCACTGGGAGCTGCCTACTACAATGCGTCCATTTACTCCCAGGGCAGCCTCGCCCGCATTCCAGAGGCGCTCAGTCGGACCTCCTCTTTTCCTTTCAGCCCACCAAACAGTGGGAGCTGCCTACCATGACGAATATTGAAATCGCTTTTGAGAATTCTCAAAAGTGATTTCAATATTGCCTAACATTCTAATTCATCTACTCCCAGGGCACTCTCGCCTGCATCCCAGAGGCTCTCAGTCTGACGGACCTCCTTCCACCTTGTCCTCACCTCCTCTTTCTCTTCTCTCCTCCCTCCTCTGCTTCTTCTCTCTTCCCCCTCCCCCCATCCACAGGCTGTGCGCGATTTAGAAGAGGTACTGGGGCCAGCACTAGCCATGCGGCGCAAGCAGCGGGAGGCACTGGGAGCTGCCTACTATGATGCATCCATCTACTCCCAGGGCAGCCTTGCCCGCATCCCAGAGGCCCTCAGGCCCAAACCCGGGCGGCTCACGCTGGTCCAGCAGAGAATCTATGAGGATTTCGCGCATCTGCCCTGGCAGGGGCAGGTGCCTCAGGCGGGAGCGGCGGCTGCTGCTGCTGCTGCTGTGCTGGGCGGGGCTGGAGGGGCGGGGCAGGGCGGGCAGCAGATGGGGCAGGGCGGGCAGGGGCAGATGGTGCTTGGGCAGGGGCAAGGACAGGGGCCGCAGCAGGTGGGGCAGCAGGGGCAGCAACAGGTGGGTGGAGTGGTTGGTGGTGGTGCTGCTGGTGGGGGCATGGGAGGGATGATTTCGGGGCTGCCTGGATCGTCCATGTCTCCTGTCCCGTATGGTGCCTCTCAGCAGCAGCAGCAGCAGCTAACAGTTCACGATCAGCAGGCACAAGCACAGGCTCAGGCACAGGCACAGGCACAACAGCAGCAGCAGCAGGCGGGGATGGGTTTCCAAGGGGTACCAGGAGCAGCAGGAGCAGCAGCAGGAGGAGCGGCTCAGCTGATCACCGCCAATTCCGCCTCGCCCTCGCCTGCCCAGCTGATCGCATCAGAAATCGAAAGACCCGGCTCCGCAGCAGCAGCAGCAGCTGCTGCAGGTGGTGTGGGCGCCCCTGGCATGCCCCTTGGTGCGCCGGGCGCGGCTCCTGGCTCTGTCCCTGGTAGTGGTATCCCTGGCGCTGCTTCTGGCGCTGCTAGCGCGGTGGCAGGCCCCCCTGGGTTGGCCAAAATCCCGATGGTTGCGGAGGGTCCTCCTGGCGTATGCTGGGAGCCCTGCTCCTCCCATGGACCTCCCAGGCCTCAACCAGCAGGTGCGTGGATGAATGATGGATACATGGACGATTGGCTCATATGTAGGATGTAACCGTGGATTCATGTGCCCTCTTCCTTGTCTTTCCCTCTTCTCAGCTTGCCCTCCTTCCCTTTTTGTGTCTCCCTTACGTTGCACGCACGTGTCTTGCCTGCGATGCATGTGTGCAGGTGGATTCATCAGCGTTGCCACAGTCAGCTAACGCTCCTCCCGACCACGAGATCAAGGCAAGTTCTGCATCCAAGTCATTCAACCTGACTTCGTTTCACACCCCCACGCCACGGGTTACTTGATTGGAACCGTTGTGAGTCACAGGGAATGCCGCAAGAGACTTGCCTAAGTTCACATGACGCTGTTTTCAACGCACACTTTAGTGCGGTGCGGGTGAGCAAGGCAGCAGCAGGGGAGGCCAAAGCGACAACGTTGCCATTTCAAATCTGTTCTTGCCCACTTTTCTCCTCCCTTCTCCCCCACTCTTCCCCCTCCCTCCCCCCCCCATCCCCCCCTCAGGCGCAGGCGGTGGCGCTGTTTGATGACTGGGTGCGGGTGAGCAAGGCAGCAGCAGTCAGCAAGCAAACTCAAAATCTCCTTCCTCCACCGTTCTTCCCTCATCTCTCCCCTTTCCCACACCCCCCTCAGGCGCAGGCAGTGGTGTTGTTTGACGAACTGGGTGCGGGCGAGCGAGGCGGCGGGCAATAATCAGCCATTCCTCATGACCTGACCACAATACCTCTCCCTTTGCCCCCCCGCCCGCAGGCGCAGGCAGTGGCGTTGTTTGACGACTGGGTGCGGGTGAGCGAGGCGGCGGGCAGCAACGACAAGGCAGTGGTGGTGTTTCTCTCGCAGCTGCAGCACTCCTCGCTGCTCGCCTCAGAGGACGCCGCTGAGAGGCTCTTCCGCACGCTCACAGACATGGTCGTCGCGCACTGCCTCGCCTCCTCCCAGCCTCTCAACCCGCCCCCGCCTGCCGCCCCTGGGAGCGGCCAGGTGCCGCCGGCCCGAGGGCTGAATTTCACGGCTGTCGACATGTTCAGCCGCCTCGTGGTTCTGCTTATCAAGGTAGGCTCTTCCGCACGCTCACAGACATGGTTGTCGCGCGCTGCCTCGCCTCCTCTCAGCCGCTCAACTCGGCCCTGCCTGCTGTCCCTGGGAGTGGCCAGGTGCCGCCGGCCCGAGGGCTGAATTTCACGGCTGTCGACATGTTCAGCCGCCTCGTGGTGCTGCTTATCAAGGTAGGCTCTTCCACACGCTCACAGACACGGTGGTCTCCCCACTGGCCGTCCCTGGGAGTGGCCTGGTGCCGTCAGCCCGTGGGCTGAATTTCACGGCTGTCGACATGTTCAGCCGCCTTGTGGTGCTGCTTATCAAGGTACGCCCTGTAGGGATCACTGCTTGTGGCTGTTTCCCTCACCCCACCCCACCTTATCAAGGTACGCCTCTGAGCAAGGTGAATCTGCTGAACAAAGGTGCATTCACAGATGCTCATGGGCGAGCGTGGGAGGCGTACTTCTCACCTCGCACGGGGGGCAGATGCTCGCCGCGACCCTGCGATGGCGAGTGAGGGAAATCGTCAATGAGGTCTGCGGATGTTCGATGGTGGGGAAGAAGTTCAAGGTTAAGATTGAGCCGAGCAAGCGAAGCGAAGTGGATAGACTATCTGGTGGCGATAGGCATGATCTCTCCACCAGATAGTTTCTCCACTTCGTTTCTTTTGCTCGGCTCAATCCCAACTCTGAACTTCTCCCCCACCATCGAACATTCGCAGACCCCATTGACGATCTGCTTCGCTCGCCGTCGCACGCCAGGGATCAAAGGGTCGTGGTGAGCATCTGCCTCCGTGCGAGGTGAAAAGTACGACTCCCACGCTCGTCCATGAGCATCTGAGAAGAATTATGTGGACTTGGGGGACAAATCGAATCTGAGCAAGGTGAACTGCTGAACAAAGTGCTGCAGGGCTTGGCGAGGGTCATCCACCGACAGGCCGACGAGCGTCGCCTCACCCCCTTCCACCGCTCTCCACCGCTTCCCACCCATTTGAACCCCTCCCTGCCCTTTCCCACCCATTCCCACCGCTCTCCACCCCTGGAACTGACAGTACTGCGTGGATTTGGGGGGCAACGCGAATCTGAGCAAGGTGAATCTGCTGAACAAGGTGCTGTCGGGCGTGGTGAGGGTCATCCACCGCCAGGCCGACGAGCGCCGCCTCACTCCCTTCCACCACTCTCCACCTCTTCCCACCCATGCGCACCCCTCTATGCGCCTCTCCACTCATTCCCACCGCTCTCAACCCCTGGCAGTACTACGTGGATTTGGGAGGCAATGCGAATCTGAGCAAGGTGAATCTGCTGAACAAGGTGCTGTCGGGCGTGGTGAGAGTCATCCACCGCCAGGCCGACGAGCGCCGCCTCACCAACCCTCGCCCCTTCTTCCGCCTCCTCGCCAACCTTCTGATCGACTTGAACGCGCCGGATCCCAACTTTGATGCCGCCAGTCACCAGGTGAGGCAGGAATACTGAACAGTTCGGGAAGATATGGAGGGGGAATTGGGGTGGGGCAGGAGAGCATCACTGCAGACTCCTGCCTTTCCAATTTCTGTCCTTTCAATACCTATTCCTCAAATTCCTGTCGTTTCAATTCCTGTCGCTGTGGTTCCTTTCCATCAACTCCTGTTTCCTCCTGTCCCTCCCATCAGGTGCTCACCACCCTGGCGGCCACCTTCCATGCACTGCAGCCTCTTCGAGTGCCCTCGTTCAGGTGAGAAGCAGAGGGCTGGCCGGGCTGATGGCTGGGCATGGGCGTGAGTGTGAGGGTGAGTGAATGGGTGGGCGTGCGCATGGATGTGGGGATGGGTGTGTGGGTGGGCGTGAGTATGGGCGTGAGTGTGGGGGTGGGTGTGTGGGTGCTTGTCTGGCTAGTTGAAGGCTTTTCACCCAAAGCTTGACAACCCTTGCGATTGCAGTCCATGTACTGCACTTGGTTGCACCGCACTGCACTGCATTGCACTGCATTGCACTGCACTTTATTGCTCTTCCTGGCACACCCACAACTCTTCCACCACCCATTATCCCTCCTGCTTCCCTTCCCTCCCTCCCCCTGCCAGCTTCGCATGGTTGGAGCTCATCTCCCATCGTTCCTTCATGCCCAAGCTGCTGCTCTTCCCCGGGCAGAAGGGGTGGCCCTGGTTCCAGCGCCTGCTGCTCTCACTCTTTAAATTCATGGAGCCGTACCTCAGGGATGCAGAGCTCAGCGACCCGGTAAGTGTACTGTAACGCTATGGCTTGTCACTGAGAGAGCCCAGTGGCTGGGTTGGTAAGGTTGGTCTTTCAGCCCTCAGTTCCTGGAGTGGGTTGGTGGGTTCCAGCGTCTGCTGCTCTCTCTCTTCAAGTTCATGGAGCCGTATCTCAGGGATGCAGAGCTCAGCAACCCGGTGAGTGTTTCTAGACGAGCCTAGACGGGCTCCTAACTGTTTGGAAGCCACTTAGCTGTTCCTGCTGTTACCCTCCTCCGTTGCCTTACTCTGAGCTCGCTCATTTTCGCGCTGTTCTCGATATTGGCAGATCCGCTTGATGTACAAGGGAGCTATCCGCGTGCTGCTGGTGCTGCTGCATGATTTCCCCGAGTTCCTCTGCGACTACCACTTCAGCTTCTGTGACATCATCCCCCCCACGTGCATTCAAATGCGCAACCTGGTGCTATCCGCCTTCCCGCGCAACATGCGTCTCCCCGACCCCTTCACACCCAACCTCAAGGTGAGCTGCGATGGCTAACTGTTGTTGGTGTGTTCTTTCTGTGTGCTTTCTGGCACCTTACCACACTGCACCACACCACACCACTCCACCATCCCATCATCCCCCCCACGTGCATCCAAATGCGCAACCTCGTGCTCTCCGCCTTCCCCCGCAACATGCGCCTCCCGGACCCCTTCACACCCAACCTTAAGGTGAGCTGGTGGAGAGTTAGTCAGGTTGGTGCGTTGGTAGGCTGGCTTTGTCAGCTGGCCAGCAGGGTTGGTGTGGTCTCAGTGTGGGCCTGGGTACTCTGCATTACATCCAGTGGACTGGTTTTGAGACGTCTCAAAACAATACTTTATCACGCAGCTGACCAGCAGGCTTGGTGTGGTCTCAGTGTGCGTCTGGGTACTCTGCATTACATCCTGTGGACTGGGACTGTCAGCACACTACCCCACGCACTGCACCACCATCCCATCATTCCCCCCACCTGCATTCAAATGCGCAACCTGGTGCTATCCGCCTTCCCGCGCAACATGCGTCTCCCCGACCCCTTCACACCCAACCTCAAGGTGAGCTGCGATGGCTAACTGTTGTTGGTGTGTTCTTTCTGTGTGCTTTCTGGCACCTTACCACACTGCACCACACCACACCACTCCACCATCCCATCATCCCCCCCACGTGCATCCAAATGCGCAACCTCGTGCTCTCCGCCTTCCCCCGCAACATGCGCCTCCCGGACCCCTTCACACCCAACCTTAAGGTGAGCTGGTGGAGAGTTAGTCAGGTTGGTGCGTTGGTAGGCTGGCTTTGTCAGCTGGCCAGCAGGGTTGGTGTGGTCTCAGTGTGGGCCTGGGTACTCTGCATTACATCCAGTGGACTGGTTTTGAGACGTCTCAAAACAATACTTTATCACGCAGCTGACCAGCAGGCTTGGTGTGGTCTCAGTGTGCGTCTGGGTACTCTGCATTACATCCTGTGGACTGGGACTGTCAGCACACTACCCCACGCACTGCACCACCATCCCATCATTCCCCCCACCTGCATTCAAATGCGCAACCTGGTGCTCTCCGCCTTCCCCCGTAACATGCGGCTCCCCGACCCCTTCACACCCAACCTCAAGGTGAGCTGAACTGGTGACCAGGTTTGTGTGCTGGTAGGCTAGTTGTCTCGTCTCCCTCTCCTCTTCTCCTCTCCTTGGCCCCCCAGGTCGACCTGCTTCCAGAGATCACCCAAGCCAACCTTCCATGGATACTGCCCATTCAATGTGGAGGCCATTCTGAGGGCCAAGGGGCTTAAAGCCGAGGTGGACGAGTACCTGCAGACGCGCCAGGCGCCCTCCTTCCTCTCTGCCAGCCTCAAGCAGCGCCTGCTGCTGCTTCCTGGTGCTCCTGCTGCTCCTCATCCTAACCGTCCCTCCTCTCCCCTCGTCTCGTCCCCCTCGCCTCTTGTCCTCTGCTTCCCCCGCCACTCTCGCAGGTCGACCTGCTGCCAGAGATCAGCCAACCTCCTCGCATATTGTCAGACGTGGAAGCTACTCTGAGGGCAAAGGGGCTTAAAGGGCGCCAGCCGCCCTGGTTCCTCCCCGCCAGCCTCAAGCAAGCAGCGCCTGCTGCTTGGTCCTTCTCATCCCCCACCCTCCCCTCTACCCTGTCCTTCTCCCCTCTCGTCGCCCCCTCGCCTCAACCAGGTCGACCTGCTTCCGGAGATCAGCCAGCCTCCTCGCATATTGTCAGACGTGGAAGCTACTCTGAGGGCAAAGGGGCTTAAAGCTGAAGTTGATGAGTACCTGCAGACGCGCCAGCCGCCCTCCTTCCTCTCCGCCAGCCTCAAGCAGCGCCTGCTGCTGCCGCCCGCTGAAGCTGTGCAGAGCGGCACCAAGTACAACGTGCCTCTGCTCAACAGCCTCGTGCTTTATGTCGGTATGCAGGTGAGAGTTATTGAGATTACTCTGGGGTCATGCACAGCATGCCACCACTGAAGCTGTGCAGAGCGGCACCAAGTACAACGTGCCTCTGCTCAACAGCCTCGTGCTCTACGTGGGCATGCAGGTGGGTTTGAATGAATGGGGATTCGGAATGCTGTGTGTTGAGTCAGCTTAATAATCTAATGCTGTGCAGAGCGGGACTCGCTACAACATGTCGCCACTCAACTCGCTGGTGCCGTAGCAAGGCTACACCGCGGCAACTGGCAGTCCCCACAGCCCCCATCACCCATACCGCCCATGGACTTTTCTCAGTGTCTGCTCTCCCACCTCGACTCGGAGGGGCGGTATCTTAATCGCCTCACCCCACTCCCCTTCCCTGCTCCCACTCCTTCCCTCTCCCCTTCCCTCCTTCCTCCTGTTCCCCCACCCTTTTCCTGTCCAACAGGCGATTCAGCAGCTTCAAAGCAAGGCCACACCGCAGCAGCTGGCAGTGCCAACGGCCCCCATCACCCACAGCGCCCCCATGGACGTGTTCCAGCGGCTGCTGTCCCACCTGGACTCGGAGGGGCGGTACCTGTTTCTGAACGCGGTGGCGAACCAGCTGCGGTACCCCAACAACCACACGCACTACTTCTCCTGCGTGCTGCTCTACCTCTTTGCCGAGGCCAACCAGGTGAGGGTCGATAGGGTAACCATGTGTGGGTTGATAGGGTAACCAAGTGTGGGTTGAGGGGTGATACACCAACCAGCTGCAGTACCCCAGCAACCACACGCACTACTTCTCCTGCGTGCTGCTCTACCTCTCTGCCAAGGCCAACCAGGTGAGGGGTGAGGGTTGATTGGGTAGCCAGGTGTGACATGAGGGCTGATAGGGTAACCAGGTGTGACATGAGGGTTGATAGGGTAACCAGGTGTGGCATGAGGGTTGATAGGGTAACCAGGTGTGGCATGAGGTACCCCAAATGCGGTACCCCAACAACCACAGGCACTACTTCTCCTGCGCGCTGCTCTACCTCTTTGCCAAGGCCAACCAGGTGAGATGTGATAGGGGGTGTGGGGTGATAGGCCAACCATGTGAGACATGGCACAGTCCTGTGGGGATAAGTGAGATTCGATTCTATGGAGAGAAGTCCACATTTAGGTGCCCCTCTGGTGAGTTGCCCATTGTTTTTGTCTTGTGCTGCTTGAGTCGAGCGGCTGTCTGTCAACCGTTGATGCGCACCGGAATCAACGGCCTGGCTTCTCCCCTCGTGTTTTTCTCTTTGTGTTGTTCCGTGTTTACAGGAGATCGTCCAGGAGCAGATCACACGCGTGCTGTTGGAGAGACTGATTGTCAACCGGCCACACCCGTGGGGTCTCCTCATCACCTTCATCGAACTCATCAAGGTACGAAAAGAGAGTGTTCTTTAAATCAAATTTATCTCGGGTCTGCGTTCCTAGTTCCCTGTCTACCTCCTTCCCCTTCCCCCCCCCCACCCCACCCCACCCCCCCCCCCCATCCCGACCCACTCCCCGCACCCCCAATCCCTCCGTTCCTTCCGGTTCCAACCCTTTGTTTTGACACAATTCAGACTTGTTTCCACAGGTGCTGTATTTCTGGTTTGTGCTCTAAAATCTGACATGCTTGTTTTCTCTCTTGCCTTTTGCTGATGCTGTGGTGCCTCAGAACCCGAGGTACAACTTCTGGAGCCACGGTTTCACGCGGTGTGCACCGGAGATCAAGAAGCTCTTTGAGTCAGTGGCGCGGTCGTGCATGGGCCCGCCGCCCAAGATGGACGAGGACGTGCATGCTGCTGTTTCGCAGCAGGCCTGAGTGGGCTTCGGCCGGCCGGGCGGCATGTGTCGGAATTGTCTTGTACAGCTGGTCTGGAAATGTTTTTATTCTGAGATGTAAGACATCATAGATGCTTACTGCTCTGCAGGCCTAGCCATGTTATGTCACATTTTGGGCCAGAGCTCAGGGTTCAGCTTTGCGTCTGGAACCACATCCTCATTGTTTTATTACTAATTTTTAGGAATCCCCAATTGTCTGACAAGTGCGGAAGAGAATCCTGCAAAAGTGAAGAGTAGGCTGTGTCTTACTGCGGGGATGAGGGAGTGCGATTCCGTTGCAGTTGTCGGATGTGGCTCACTTTCGGATTTTTCCCAAAGACCGAGGCTGACGTGGACAGGTCGTCATGGCACGTGTCAGCAGCTCATGCTCTCAAAAAGTTCTGGAACCTCATCCAATCCCTTCAACCAGTAAGGCTTGAGGTGCATTTCGCGAAAGCCTTCACACGTCGCTAACCAGAGTTGCTGATTCGTTAGGATTTTCGTGAGAGTGATCTGAATTCGCCGGCACCAAGCTCCCTTTCGCATACCTCCACCCACAGCTGATAGGTTCTATGATCTCGGTTGACACTCACCATCATTTTTCGTTTTCTCATTCCCATCCCAAAGCGGCAAGCTCGTCGGCTGGTCACCTGCTAGTAATAACGTTCCTGGCAAAGGTTAGCTGAGAGTACGTGGCACGTTCTCGTTCCAATATTTGAAGTTCCTCGTCTCAGTTGAATCGGCGCCATGGCAGCCATAGGGCTTCACCTCAAAGCCTCGCTCACCGTAGCGAAGTTGTCGCAGCCGTCGCATGCGACCGGAGCAGCGACACAAGCGGCAAGCCCGGCCGTCGTCCCCTGCCGTGCGACCCACCTACCGTCGCACAGACTAGCGGCGATCTCCGTCTTTTCGCCACAACGAACAGCCGCCCTTCCTGCTCTCCGATCCCGCGCCCAGCTGTCGATCCGCGCTTCCGCCTCCGCTTCCGCGCAAGCCGCCGCGCAGCCCTCCGCGCCCCCACCCCCGGCGGCTCTTGTTATCGCAGCAGTCGCAGCCGCTTCGGCGACAGCAGCGGCCGTCGCACGCGCAGTCCTCGAGCCGCTGCGACGGCTCTTCGCGCCGCTGTCCGCCGCCGAGCAGCTCCAATTGGACACCCTCACGGGCCGCGCGACATCTATGATCGCCTCCGGGAAACGGCTAGCGGCGTGCGCCGCGCCCCTGTTTTTCGCAGCGATCAGCCAATCAAACGCAAGCACCAGCACGCCGCTGACGGTGATTGCGAGCGGCATGGCGAAGTGGTTGGAGCTGTACAGTGGGCTGCTGCTGGTTCGCGTGCTGCTGTCGTGGTTCCCGAACATCGACTGGGAGCGGCAGCCGATGCAAGCCATCCGCGATATGAGCGATCCGTACTTGAACCTCTTCCGCAACATTCTGGTGAGTAGTACGCTGGTTGAAAGGGAAATTGATAAATGAACAGTTTTGACAATGCTGGCACTTAAATCCCGGTACAAACGAATCCTCCCTGTTGATCAGACTCCCGCAGTATTCGCACTCTCGCAATCCATGCGCTTCGGAATTTTGCGGAGTGCTTGCGTTGCATATGCAGTTACAGTTGCCCAGCTTGTGGAGGAAAATGCATCATGGCAATAACATTGCCACTGTACCAGCTGTGCCGAGTCCGCCACTCAAAAATCATCTCCTTATGCTTGAACAAGTCCTCGTCTTGTCCTAGCCCCGTAACCCGTTTTGACGAGTTATTTATTGTGCTCTCATCACAACCTCCTTTGGGTCCACCAGAACATACCCCTACCGTTCTCGCCTGTAGTCCGTCTGTTTTGCGGGATATGTCAGCCCCGTGCCCGCAATTTTTGTCACTTCCCATTCCCGTGCTTCTCTTTCGCTCCCTTGCATTTTCCGCCATCCCCCCTCCACCCACCCGCCCTTATTGGTCCACATCCCCCTCCTCTCCCTCCCCTCGTCTTCCCTCCCTCTCTCCCTTCCCTCCCACCCCGAAGTGTGTGCAGCCTCCTTTCTCCGGAGCTCTGAATCTGCGTCCCATGGTCGCGTTCCCCGTTCTCGGCATGCTCACGTCGCCTCTCTTCTATTTTGATACATTTCCATATATACCTCCCCCCATCTCCCCGACACGCTCTCTCGCCCCCAATGCAGGCTCTGTTCTTCGGAGCTCTGGATCTCTGTCCCATGCTCGCGATCCTGGTGCTCGGCATGCTCACATCTCTCCTGCTTTCTCATCGCTTCTCTCTTGTTCTAATACATTTCCCTGTGTACCCCCCACCCCACCCCACCCTTGCAAACCCATGCAGCCTCCGTTCTTCGGAGCGCTGGATCTGAGTCCCATGCTCGCTTTCTTGGTGCTCGGCATGCTCACGTCGCTCCTCAACACGGCAGTGTTTTCTTAGAGGCGACAGCACACAGATGCTCTTACTGATGCGAGTCCTTCATTGAAAGCTTTGAATAAATTCGTGTGTTTGCATCCCTGATGCTTGGCATGCTGAGTGGTTGTGATAACGCATGGGTGCTCAGTTTTTAGGATATTCACATCACATCACACGTGTACCTTATTGCTGACATTGTCGTCAGTACCCTCCGCTAGTCATTGTCGTTTTCGAGAACTAATATGGTTCTAATTCAGCTCAAATCGCCCTCCATTTGCCATATACACACACTATCGTGCGACAGCGTGTAAGTACTCACTAGCGGGTACACCAGCTGATACGCGAAATCAAACTCCGACCTCCTTTATGATATTAATAAGAGACTAAACCACAGTAAAACCTTCAATAGAAACTTCCACAGTTAGGCACTAAATAGATAACATCCCAGAAGAGCCCTCCTAACTACGGTAGTACTCACTCTAACCAAAATAGGCATAGGGTACATAGTATCAACCTGTATGAGTGTAAAAAACAAAAGCTAGAAGTTAGCAGAAGCCATCCTATACTGGATGGTGATTACTACAGTATGCTGGAAGATACAGTAGGCATTACTTGAAGGGGAAGGCAGGCTCATTTACCTGGTCAACGGCTTTTCATTCAGTCCAAATTGAAGACGTCCAGAATCCTATGGCCTTTCTTTTTTTCCGCTTGCCCTCTTTGAGTCATCTCCACTCAACCGCTGTACTTCACCCTGTGTTAAACCACTAGTCGTCAACAGCAGACGGGGGACCGAAGCACATGAACCACTTGGACTTCTTCTTTTTCTTCTTCCCAGCACCAGCAGCAGCAGCCAGCCGCTTAGCCCCTGCTGCATCGTCTTCCCACAATCTCCCACTCTCTGCGTCACTGGCAGCACTTGAAACAGTTGATTCAGCAGCTGAAGCAGATATCCCAGTCGAACTGGAAGCAGCAACAGGAGCAGGAGCTTTAACGGGAGCAGGAGCAGGTTTAGGAGCAGGCTCGGGAGCAGGTTCGGGAGCAGGAGCAGGCTTGGGTGGGGAGACAGGTTTCGCGATTGGCGTCGGAGGCTCGTCATAAGCCTCAGCAGGTTGGGCGATGGGAGTTGGAGGCTCGTCAGCATAAGGCTCGGCAGGTTGGGCGATGGGTGTTTGAGGTTCGGCGTAAGGCTGGGCAGGTTGAGCAACAGGGGTGGGTGGTTCAGGAAAGTCGTTGGCAGGTTGGGCAATGGGAGTTTGAGGCTCGGGATAAGACGCGGCAGGTTGGGCTATGGGAGTTGGAGGTTCGGGATAAGGTTGCGCGACTGGTGTTGCAGGCTCGGGAGCATCAAAAGCAGCACCCTCGCCATTGGGTGTGACTGAGAGCGGTGTGACAGAATGAGGAGTGACTGAAGCAGATGTTGCAGCAGCAGAAGGCGAACCAACAGCACCTAAGAAACCAGCTGTTGGGGTAGAAGCACCACTGCCAGGCCCGAGGCTGCTTGCTCCTGCTGCCACCCTCCCACTACCACCACCACCACCACCACCACCACCAGCACCAGCACCAGCAGCACCAGCAGCAGCACCAGCAGCAAGACGCCCGCTGCTGTTAGGACTGCCAGCTAAGCTCCCCGGTCGGCTGCCAGCCTGGCTGCCAGCGTGGCTGCCAGCCTGGCGACTGGATAAGGACCCGCCACGCGCCACCTGTGCGCCGTCTGCTGATGTGTCCGTGTCCTTCCCAGGGCTGTGCCGAACCTGCGCTGCTGCTTCGGAGTGCAGGCTCGAGGTTCTGCGAGGTGGGGGTGGGTGTGGAGCGGTGGAGGGGAACAACAGAAAGTTCCAGACCAGAGCGTAAGGATTTGAGACACTGAGGGAGTAAAGGGAAAGAAGTGAGGTGAATGGAAGCACATAGGATTAGGTCACAATATTAAGGTACAGACGCAAAAGAACCAAGAGAAAGATGGGTGGAAGAGGGAGGGGGTGATAAAGAGTGCATGAGAGAGAGATGGAGAGTGAGAGGGGTTGATGAAGCATACCGAACAGGAACTTTGAAAGAAGACGAGCGTTGGCTCTCCAGTCTCCCTCTCTCCCTCGGGGATCCTGCTGCTGACGAGGCTCTCGATCCCGGCCCTGCACCCCTCGGGGAGGAATGGGACGAACCTGGTCCTCCGCTTCGGAGGCCTTCCGCAGCTAGAGCCCGAACCTGCGCCGGAGCCCTGTGACGGCCAAAGGAAGGGGAGACGCCAAGAGATGACGGGGTTTGAACATGGGAGGCTAGATGCCTCTGAGACTCTGGGTGTTGCTGCTGCTGCTGCTGCGGCGGAAGCGGAAACTCCTTAGAGTGCTGCTGGTAAGACTGCTGCTGACTGTGCTGCTGCTGCTGACTCTGGTTCGGATGGTGCTTTGGCTTGCGTGGGGTGGAATTGGTGGAAGCGACAGGAGGCATGTGGCGGGAAAGCAGAGCGTACCCTTGGTTCGGCGCTCGCCGCCGAGCCTCGTCCGTAGCCCCGGGCGTCCTGCCGAAGCTGTCGTCGACAGGCATGGCGATAGGCGCGCCAAGCTCGCTAGACATAACGCTCATCCCATCATCATCTATCACACCGGCCCGGATGGCATCGGCAACACCACTGCCCGACCAACCGCCATGCCCCATCCCAATGCCTCCACTCCCGCCACCGCTGCTGTCGCCGCTGGTCCTCCTGCTCCCCTCTGCTCCTCTCATGGCTAACGGCATTGCAATGGGAGCGTCCAGCTCACTCTCCTCATCCATTGCACGCCCCCCTCTCCCTTCCCCATCCTCTCCCTCCTCTTCCTCCTCCTCCTCTCCACCACCACTGCCACCACCAGCACCAACACCACCACGCCTTGCGCCCTCCGCTCGTCTTTTCGGTGTAGGACCCATAGGCATGGCGATCGGCACGCCAATATCCGACTCCTCCCCATCGCCTATCTCCGACGCCCCATCCTCCCCTGCCCCCTGCCGCGCCCCTCCCACTGCGACCGGCATGGCCAGGGGCGTATCAGCATCACTAGCCTCACTCAGACTCCTCTGGTACTTCCTGCCGCTGGAAGACCTTTTTTCCAAAGAATCCATTCGTGCTGCTCCCCCTTGTGCCCCCCCAAGCTGCATTGATTCAGCAACCGAGTCCCTGTCCTCTCCTGCTTCGTCTGACGACCATTCCTCCTCCCCTTCATCTTCGTTTTCTTCCTCGTCTTTCTCTTCCTCCTCCTCTGACTTCTCCTCTCTCTCCTCTCTCTCCACTCTCTCCTCTACCTCCTCTTCCTTCTCCTTCTCCTCATCCACCTCCTCATCTGCCCCCACGCTTTCTGCTTGATCCTCTCCCTCTTCTTCCCATTGCCTCCCCTCTTCCGTTTCTCTCTCCTCTTCCCTTTCGCTCTCCTCTACCCTTTCTCTCTCCTCCTCCCTTTCTCTCTCCTCTTCCATTTCTCTCTCCTCTACTCCCTCTCTCTCCTCTACCCTTTCTCTCTCCTCTTCTATTTCTCTCTCCTCCATTTCTCTCTCCTCGTCCCTTTCTCCCTCCTCCGCAACCTCCTCCTCCGTTTCTCGCCTCGAAACGCTGCGAGCAGGCATGGCAATAGGAGCGTTGAGGTCACTCAAGCCCCCCTCACTCTCAAAATGAGGAAACCTCCGGGCCACATGCGCAGGAGGGCCATACCCTCCTGTCTCTCCCTCCTCCTGCCTTTCCTGCTCCTCCTGTTCCTCCTCCTCCTGCTCCTCCTGCTCCTCCTGCTCCTCCTCTTCATCATCATATTTCTCTTTTCTTCTTCTCTCATACGAGCTTTCCTCCTCTCCTTCTTCCTCGTCCTCCCCACCGTATCTCCCTTCTCCCTCTCTTCTCTCCTCCTCATCCTCCTCCTCCTCTTCTGTGGGAATAGCAGCGGGAATGATGTCAAGAGCACTTTTGCTCACAGAGTTTCCACGTTCCAATACTGAATGGATAGCACCCGCTACTGGAACATCATCATCCTCATCCTCCTCATCCTCCTCCTCCTCCTCCTCATCCTCCTCCTCTTCTTCCTCCTCGTCCTCCTCGTCCCTCACACCAACACCAGCAGCAATGCCAGCAGCAGCACCCACAGCAGCAGCGGCCACCACAGGCATGCGGATAGGGGAAGCCACAGGCACCAGACTCTCAGCATCTGTTGCCTCAGTCATAGCAGTAATACCTGTGATATCGGTAGCAGCGTCGTACTCTTTATAAGCTTGCGCCAGGGGCACTTGGCTGTCTGCATCTGTAGCATCGGTCATGCATGTTACAGCCGTGATATCCGTAACAGCATCACAATCGTTGTACCCCCCTCCCAGTGGTTGCATAGACTCCATCCCCACTTGCTCGTCCTCCTCTTCCTCCTCTTCCTCCTCCTCTTCCTCCTCCTCCTGCTCTGCTGTCCCCTTAGCATCAAACCGCCAGGCACCAGGTCCGGATCCCAAGGGACTAGCCCCATCCCACGTGCCCTTCCTCCTGACTCCCCCCTTCCCTCTACCCCCAACCGCCCCCCCTCTCCTTTCCTCTCCACCTGCCTCCCCTTCCTCCTCCTCTTCCTCTTCCTCCTCGTCCCCTCCCACCCTCACTCTCTCCATCCCCCGTCCATCACTCATTGTTCTCACTGGTATCCCCTTCCTCCCCCCTGCCCCTCTCCTCCTCTCCTTACTCCCCACACTCCTCCTCCCCACCTCTCCACCTGCCTCATCCGCTCCCATATCAAACATTCCAGGGCCAGGCGCAATCACCACAGCAGGAGACTCTAACTCCTCCCGCTCTGGGAAGCGCGGGTCAAGGTTATACTTGTTCTCCCCGTCACCACCCATCCCACCCACCGCCCTCCCTGGCCCTCCCTCTTCGTCCACCACAGGAACCACCAGCACTCCATCCCTCATAGCCGCACCCAACCCCGCTCTACCTCCCCCAACCGCTCCCAGCCCCCCTGCACCTGCATCCGACGTCAAAGGCTCGTCCCCTGCTCCGGTCCCTGTCAGTTTCACCACCGTCCCTCCCAGAACCAGCACTCCTGCTGGCACCCCTCCTCGCGCCCTCCTCTCCTCCTCCTCCGTCCGCCATTCCATGGCAGAGGAATCGCTCTCATGCCCTCCGTACCGCTCTCCACCGTACCTCTCTTGCCCCATCTCCTGCTGCCGCAGCCGCGCCCGCCGCTCCCTCCGCTCGCGCTTTCCGAGTCGCCGTCCCTCCGCCACAGCTTCAGCTGCTATCGGATCAGCAGCCAACGCCAACGGCGCTTCATCGCTATCATCGTCACTATCCTCCTCTTCCTCCTCCTCCTCCTCCTCCTCGTTTCTGCCCACCTCTCCTGTCATTCCAGGAGCAAGAGAGCCTGAGAGAAGCACAGCTTTGCCTTCTGGGAGTGGTTCCATAGCGGGTCTCCTGCTCTCCCTTGCCTCCTCCCCACCGTCCTTCTCCTGCTCGTCCCCTTTCCTGACTTCCTCCTTGCCCTCAATCCCCTCCTCCTCTTCCTCTTCCTCTTCCTCTTCCTCCTGCTCCTCTTCTTCCTCATCCTCCTCATCCTCTCCATCTCTGTCCCTCTCCTCTCCAATCTTAGCAGCAGCCTCCGAACCAGCTGCAGCACCAGCAACAACAGCAGCAACAGCCCCAGCAAGAGGAGCACCAGCAGCACCAGCAGCCACAGCAGCAACAGGAACCGCATCGCTCACAGTGGAAGCAGACGGGGATAGCTCACTCTCAGAAGCATCTCCATCCCTCCACCTCCTCTCCTCTCTTTCCTCATCACTCTCCTCACCCTCCTCTCCCTCTTCTCCCTTCTCTCCCTCATCTGTCCCCTCTCCCTTTCTCCCCTCTTCTCCCTCCTCACCCTCCTCCCCTTCCTCGTCCTCCCTACCCTTCTCGCCATACCTTCTCTCACTCCCCTCACTGCCTGTCTCCTCTCTATACCGCCTACTCTCTCCCTTCTCATCATCTTCCTCTTCGTCCTCCTCCTCCTCCCTCTCACTCCTGCCAAACGCATCACTGTCATATTCCCTTCGCCTATATCCATCCTGCTCCTCATCCTGCTCCTCATCCTGCTCATCCCTCCCGTCTCGCCTATCAACCTCATGCTCATACCTATCATCATCATCCTCCCCACCAGAACCATCCTCTCCCCTGAGCCCTCCCCTATCTTCTCCTCGTCTTCTCTCCCCACGCCTATCCCCCTCATCTTGTGTTTCTGATTCGTATTGTCTCTCCGAGTCGTATTGTTTCTCGGAGTCATACTGCTGTTCTGACTCATACTGTTTCTCGGACTTGTATCGCCGATCCGACCTGTAGCGCTCTTCCGAGTCGTAACGATCCTCCTCCGAGCCGTTACGTCTGTCAGAGTCGTAACACCCTTCGGAGTCGTCGTTACGTCTGCCCGATTCGTTACGTCTGCCCGATCCATTACGTCTGTCGGAGTCGTAACGCTGGTCCGAGTCGTAACGCTGATCAGAATCGTAGCGCTTGTCTGAACCCCGAATCTCCTCCTCCTCCTCCTCCTCCTCTTCACCTTCCTCATCTTTCTCCTTCTCTTCCTCTTCCTCCTCTTCATCCAGATCCCTCCTTCGCTCCCTCCGTTCCTCATCGTCCTCCCCACCACTCTCATCCTCACCATACTCCCTCCTCCCTCTTCTCCCATCTTCCTCCCCCTCCCAAACCTCTCCCTCCCCTTCCGACCTTCCACCAGAGCCAATGTCAGACCGAGCGTGAGGGGGAGGTTCGGCCGAGTCTGCGTCAGGTTGGGGAGTGAGGGCTGGAGACAAAAGAGAATCTGATCGCCCGTCCTCCTCATCTTCCTCCTCCGCTTTCTCCTCTTCCTCCTCTGCTCCCTCTTCCTCTTCCTCCTCTCCCACTTCTCCCTCGCTTTCACCCTCCTCCCTCTCTCCATACCTCACTTTCTTTCCGTACTCATCCTCCTCTTCAACATCCTCCTCTCTTTCATCTCTCTCAGACACATCATCATCCAAAACAGCAGAGGCAGTGGCAGCAGCAGCAGTCGAATCTAGTGCTACCTCCGACCCTTCCTCTGATCTCGCCTCTACCTCCTCCTCCTCTTCAACATCCCCCTCCCTGTCATCTCTCTCAGAACCAGCATCATCAAAGACAGGAGCCGCAGAGGCAGCAGTGCCTGCAACGGCAGCAGTAGCAGCCACAGCAACGGCGGCAGTGGCAGCAGTAAACGTTGAATCAAGTGCTGACCCCGCGTCTGATCTCGCCTCGTCACCTGATTCACGCTCCTCCGCCCTCCCTTCCGCCCCATCCTCCCTCTCCTCTATATCACTCTCTCCCAGATCTTCCTCGCCTCTCTCACTCTCCCCCATCTCACTCTCCTCTCGTGCACTTCCCCCCCTCTCACTCTCTCCTCTTTCACTCTCCTCCATCTCTCTCTCCCTCTCCACCATCGTTTCAATCCCCTCATCCGACCTTCCATCTCCAATCCATTCCTCCCCTTCCTCCTCTTCTGCTGCCTCCCTTTCCCTCTCCTCTTCCTCTTCTTCCCCCTCCACGTCCCCTCCTTCCTCACTCTCATCGCCCCTCTCCATCCCATCCTCTCTGTCCTCCTCCCTCTCCTCCCCCTTCTCCTCCTCCCCCTCCACATCCCACATCTCCTCCCTCACCTCCTCATCATCACCCACCCTCTCGCCCCTCTCCTCCCTCTCCTCTCCCTCCTCACCCTCCTCCTCCACCTTCTCACCAGCAGCCCACCCGGCCCTCCTCCCCTCCTCTCCACCTTCCCCATTCCACCCCACACCGAACCCAAAACCCTCCCCAGCCACACGATACGTGGCCAGGCGCGCCCGGGGGGAAATGGGGGAGAGCAGGGAGGGGCGCTGGGGCGGGGGGGACGGGGGGTGGCACGGGGAGAGCGCCAGAGAGGCTCTGGGGGAGAGCGCGAGGGGGGCGTGGGGGGAAAGGGTGAGGTGGGGATGGGGGCCGTGGGCGGGTAGGGTGAGTGAGACTTGGGGAGAAGGCTTATGCGGGGCAAAGGTGAACCCAGACGGATCAGCACCACCAGCTATAACGCCAGCAGTGATGCCAGTACCATCAGCAGCAGCACCATCAGCAGCACCAGCAGCACCACCAGCAGCAGCGGCATCAGCAGCGGCGGCGGCGGCGGCGGCGGCAGCAGCAGCGGAGCCTAAGCTTCCGGTGCCTAGATGGGGCGATGGGGGACTGTGGGGGGGACCAGCTTCATCGGGGGAGCGGGGGCTCCAGCTGGCGCTGCGAGGGGAGCGAGTAGAGAGAGCAATGGCCCCAGAGGAATCAGTTTCTAAATCTGCTTCCTCTGCTCCCTCTGCTCCCTCTGCTCCTTCTGCTCCTTCTGTTCCAGCCGTTCGTTCTGCTTCCACTTCTCCCTCTGCTTCTGAATCACTCATCTCTTCACCTCCTCCTTCCTCCCCTTGTTCCACTTCTTCATCTACACTCTCCACTTCACTCTCCGCATCCTCCCTCTCTCGCTCCTCCATCTCTATCTCCTCCTCATCCTCCTCTTTCTCCTCCTCCCCTTCAGAGAGAGCCCATTCTGCTGCACTACCACCCACTTCCTCCCCTACTTCTCCCTCCCTCTCCTCCTCCTCCCTCTCATCCCCATCCCCGTGCCTTCCTGCTGCTGCCTTAGCAGCAGCCGCCACTGCTGCCAAACCTGCTGCCGAAGCTGCTGCTGCCGAAGCTGCTGAAACCGCTGCTAACGCCTCTCTTTCCTCCTCGTCCTCCTCCCACTCTTCCCCTCTCCCTTCCCACTCACCCTCACTGCTCTCCTCCCCTCCCTCACTATCAATATCCTCCATGTCCTCCCCACTCTCTCCTTCCTCCCTCACTCTCTCCTCTCCTCCTTCTAACCTCTCCTCGTCTCCAACTACTCTCTCTCCTTCTCCCTGCCAAGCTTCTTCTCCTTCCTCATCCTCAAACCTACCTTCCCCATCTTCTGATATATTTTCCCCATCCTCAGATCTACCTTCCTCAGAACCACCTGCCTCTGACACCCGTTCCGAAGTCCTACCACCAACCAAACGCCCCTCCTCCTCCAAATCCTCCTCAGTTTTCTTCACAGATACCGCCTCCCCCTCATCATCGCTACCTGACTCCGCCTTACCCTCTCCCCCTTTCACAAATAACACCTCCCCCGGATCAACCTGTCCAGTCGCAACCTCCTCCTCGTCCTTCTCTTCATCACCTTCTGTCGCCCTGCCCCTTTCTCCCTCACTCTCCTCACTCTTAATATCTTCACTCTCTTGACCCTCCGCCTTATAATCTCTCTCGTCTCCATAGTCCCTCTCCTCTCTCTCCTCTCTCTCGTCCATCTCCTCCTCCTCTCTCTCCATCCCTCCAGCTCCTCGTCTCTCACTCTCTTCACCCACATCCATCTCATCACCCTCACTCTCCTCCCCCCTACTCTCCTCCCGTTCAACCTCCCCCTCAACCTCCCCCTCACTCTCCCCCTCACTCTCCCCTTCATCCCTCCGCCCATCCTCAAACAGCCCTTCTCCACTCTCCCCAGATACGTCACTCCGCTTATCATCATCATCATTTAACCTGCCCTCCTCTTCTTCCTCCTCATTATTCCCATACCCCTCGCTATCCTCCTCATACTCTTTATAACGCTCCTCCTTATAATCACTTTCCTTGTAACCCTCTTCCACCTCCTCTTCCTCCTCCTCATCTTCTACCATCTGGTTCTGATGGTACCTGTGTCGCCTCTCCCTCCTCACCTCCCCATCACTATCTTCCTCCTCACTCTCCTCCCTCTCACTCCCCTCCCTGTCACTCCCCTCTCCCTTATCCTCTTCCCCTTCTCTCTCCTCCCGCTCAACCTCTTCTCCCTCACTCACTTCCCTCTCACTCTCACTCTCCCCTCCCTCACTTCCCCCCATCATAAGACCACCGCCCACTCCATTTACTCCCCTCTCCTCCTCCTCTTCCTCCTCCCTGTCCCGCTCACTACTGGACTCCTCCCCATCAACCTCCTCCTCCTCCTCATGACCTTCTCTCCACTCTTTCTCCTGAAGCTCCCTATCTTCCCTTTCCTCCTCCTGCCCCTCCTTCTCTTCCTCCCTCTCCTCCTGCTCCTCCCTCTCATGATTCCCAAGCCCATTCTCGTCAAAAGCAGACTCGATAAGAGCAACTGACGCATCGCCTTGCACAGGATACACTCCCTCGCCACCCTCTCCTAGAGAAGCTCCCACTGCCAACCCCACCCCAACAAGGCCAGCAGAAACGGCGGCCACAGCAGAAGGGGCGGCCACAGCAACAGCAACATCGCCGTCACTATCACTCCCATCGCTCTCGCTCATACCCCCACCTTCAACATCACCACTGCCCCGTTGCTCCCTTGGCCTGTCCCCATCCTCATCCCCCATCGCCTCTTCCCTCTTCTCATCCCCACTCAGACCTTCCTCTTGCTCATAAAGTTCCTGCTCTTCCCCAAACCCTTCTCCTCTCACTCCCCCGCCGCCCACACCTCTCACTTCCTCCGCCTCCTCGTCGCTCTCCATCCTCCCCTCATCTCCCAAACCTCTTTCTTTTTCCGAACCTGCTTCCGAGCCGGATTCCGAGCTGCCCTCCAAGCCTCTTTCCGAGCCTTGATATTCGTCCCTATTCGAATCCCCTTCTTCTGGTGGTGGTGGCACTGCTGCTGCCACTGCAACCACCACATCATCGTCATCATCATCATCACTTCCACTCTCTCTCTCCTCATCTCCCACTTCCTCCCCATCATTCTGACTTCCCTCACCCATAATTCCCTCCAATTCCATTCCCTCCTCCATCTCACCCTCACTCCCCCTCTCAATTTCCTCACTCCCCCTCGCACTCCCCTCCTCCCTCCCATCCTCACTCCCCTCCTCACTCCCAGCATGCATCTTGGCCCATTGTCTCTCCCTCTCCTCCTCCTCACTGTCTCCGTCACGCTCCCCCTCACTCTCCCCTCTCCCCATCTCCTCGTCCTCTCCTCTCACACTCCCCTCCTCTTCCTCCCCATCCCTCAGACTCTCCCACTGCCTCTCCCTCTCCTCCTCTTCTCCACCCCTAGACACCACACTCCCTCTCTCACTTCCCTCCTCACTCCCCCTCCCATCCTCGTACCTGCCCTCCTCCTCTCCCTCCAATCCGTCCCACCCTTCCCTCCTCCCACTCCCTGAAAACTCCCCCCTCCAACTCCCCTGTGGCGATAACTCGGGCGTCAAACCCCCCTCTCTCTCCCCCTCGTCTTTCCAGCTTCCCTGGGGAGATAACTCAGGTGTTAAAGCCCCATCCCTCTGAGTCAACTCAATAACAGACCCTTCCCCTTCAGACCCTTCCCCCCGCTCGCTCCCTGACATTTCGCCCCTCCAACTGCCCTGGGGGGTTAACACAGGTGTCAAAACCCCCTCCCCCTCTTCCTCCCTCTCCCTCTCTGCCTCTTCTCCCCAGTCCCCGCTTCCTTGAGGGGTAATTTCCCCTTTACCCCTCCAAACCGGGGTAAGTTCCCCTTCGCCCCCCCAGCTGCCCAGAGGAGTTAACGCATCATCACCCCTGAAACTGCCCAGGGGGGTGACGTCATCACCCCTCCAGCTTCCCTGAGGTGTAAGCTCTGGAGTCAAAACACCCGCCGAACCACGGTCGCTGCCAAGCCTGAGACCCTCCGAACCTTCCGCCGAGCCTCTGTCCGAACCTGACCACTCCTCATGATCCCGAGCCTCACTATGATCATCGCTACGCTCGCTATGCTCACCACCATCTCCCTCCTCATCATCCTCCTCCTCATCCTCATCCTCCTCATCATTTGGCCTACCCACATCTACCACCAGACCTGATCCCCTTCGCCCCACCAGACCTGAACCCAATCGGCCACTCAGGCCCCCCATCAACCCCATCCTCTTGCTCTCCTCGCTCCGCATTCTCTCCTCGCCGTCCTCCCCATCCTCCCTCTCAACCGCACTCAACCCCCTCCGCTGCTCCCCGTCTCCTTCCTCCTCAAAACCTCCAGCTTCCTCTGCCCCCAATGCAACGTTAGCTTCCCTTTCGTCCTCCGATCCCCTTCCATCTTCCGAACCCCTTTCACTCGCTGAACCCCTTTCCTCATCTGAGCCCCTCTCCTCGTCTGATTCCCTCTTTGCAGCCCATTCCCTCCACTCCTGGTCCGCTCTTTCCTCTATCTCCCCCTCCTCCCCACTCAACTCGCCTCCTTCCTCCCCACTCCCCCTCTCACTCCCCTCCTCGCCCCTCTCACTCCTTTCCTCACTCCCATCTTCACTACCACTGTACCTCTCCCCCCCCTCCCACCTCTCCTCTCCCCTTCTCCACCTCCCATCCCGGCTATCAGGCCTCCCATCTCTGCTTATCGGTCTTCCCTCCTCGTCATAATCCTCATCCCTCCCATAACTGCTATCAGGCCTCCCATCCCTACTTATCGGTCTTCCCTCCTCATCATATTCGTCAGGCCTCCCATCCCGGCTATCAGGTCTCCCATCTCTGCTTATCGGCCTCCTACCATCTCGACTTATCGGCCTACCCTCCTCATCATACTCTTCATTATAATCCGAACCAGACCAGTGTCCCAAGCCTCGCTCCGAGCCTCGTTCCGAACCAGTCCAGTCTCCCGAGCCTCGTCTGTGATGATCCGGGCCTCCTGCTGAGCCTTCTGACCTGTGGTCAGACTCTTGTTCGGATTCACTGTGCATCTCACTCCCTCCCTCACTTCCTCGCTCACTCCCTCTCACACTCCCTTCCTCCCTCTCATCCTCTCCCCCAACTTTCTCCCGATCTATGCAAGAAACTTCCAGCCCTCCCTCTTCTCCCTCCCCAACCTCCCCTCTCTCTTCACCCTTTTCACCTTCTTCCGGACCTGAACCTTCCGAACCAGTGTCCCCTTCCTCCTCTCCAACACCCTCCTCCTCCCTTTCCCTTTCCTCCTTCACTCTCTCCTCGTCTCTCCCAGCCTCCCCCATTGTCATGTCAACGCTTCCGAAGCTCTGCAAAGGTGCTGCTTCCACCAGACCAGCTGCCGAGCCTGCTGCAGAGCCTGTAACCAGACCTGCATCCCCAACCTGGCCATGCTTCCGAAGCTGCCACTGATCGGCTGTGGAACCATCCTGAAGCTTGGTCCGGCGAGATGGGGACGCACCAACCTCTTCGTCCAATTCACCTGGCCCAAACTGCCCGGGAGATCCGGGCAGCCGCCCAAATCTTTCTCCCAGCTTCCTCTTGCCACCCACTCCAGACCCCTCACTCTCCCCTCCACTCACACTCCTCTCATCCCCATGCTCCTCCTCTTCCTCCATCCTCTCCCTTCTCTCCTCCTCATCACTATCACTCAAATCATCAACCACAGCTGAAGCTGCCATTACATCCCTGCATCCCATTTCTCCTCCTCCCCCCTTTCCTCCTCCCACTTCCCTCCCCTCAATTCCCTCGTCCTTCTCCTTCTCCTCGAACCCTGCGGCTCCCACAGCAGCAACAGCAGCTGCAGCAACAGCACCCATGCCAGTTACCACTCCCGCTCCAGCCACACCCTTCCCCCCTCCCTTCACCGCCACCCCTCCTCCCCCCCCATTTTCCTCTGCTTCTGTATCCGCCTCCTGCCTGCTGCTAACCCTCTTGAAGCTCCTTCGTCCAAAGCTCCCCCACGGGCTTTTCTTTGCTCCTCCTGGAGGAGTGGGCACAAGGGGAACCAACACCTCCTCTCCTACCCCCACACTCACTCGCTTCGGCCCCTCCTCTCCCACTCCCACACTCCCTCCTCCTACCCCTGCCCCTCCCCTTGCCCCTGCCGCATCCTCACCCGTCCACATCTCCACTCCCCTTTCAGCCCCTTCCTCCACCACCGTTCCTAACCCTGCTCCACCGCTTCCCCCTCCGGACTCGCTCCTTCTATCCCTCGTAGGTGGAAACGGCCTGGGAGACATTGATACTCCCGCCACTGCCCCCACAGCCCCCACTGCTGCTGCTACACCTGCAGCTGCAGCAGGAGAGGCAGCAGGAGACGGACCAGCAGACCCAGGGGAGGCAGACCCGGTGGAGGTAGATTTAAGGAAGCTAGACCCGCCCCTGGCACCGCCCACACTGCCACTAGGAGACGGGGCAACCGGCAGGGGCGGCGGCGCATGCTGCGTTGGGCTGGCATTGGCTTGTCTCATTATGGGGAGAGTCGGCGCACGGCCGTACTGGGCTAAAGCATCGTCTATTTCCATGGAACCTCCAGGCACGCGGTCTAAGCCCGGGTCACTATCTGTGTGTATGAACGCACGGCCTGTCACGCCCCTTCCTGTCCCCCGCCCGCGCCCCCTCCCTACTCCTGCTGCTCCTGCTCCTGGTGAAGTTGTTTCTAGAGTTAATTCCCCATCGGCCCCTCTTCCGCCCCGTCCTATTCCTCTCCCCCTCCCACCCCTCCCCAGACCTCTGCCTGTAGGCCCTCGGCCTCCAGCCAACCCCCCTTCTCCTGCTCTCCCCCTCCCCCTCCCTCGCCCCTCCGGCCCTTCCCCCCGACCCTCCCCCCGACCTCTCCCCTCCAACCCTTCCCCACGCCCTCTCCCCCGCCCCTCCAACCCCTCCCCTCTCCCCCGCCCCCTTCCCCTCCCTCTCCCCACAGCTCCCGGGCTTTCTACCTCCAACCCTCTGCCCCTCCCCCTCCCTCTCCCCCTCCCCCTCCCTCTACCCACCCCTTCCCCTGCCTCCTCTCCTCCACTCTCCCCCTCCCCATCGTCCCCAGCGGGTGTTACCCCCCTCCCCCTCCCCCTCCCCACGCCCCGCCCGCGCCCCCTCCCCCTGCCTTCCCGCCCGCCCACCCCCTCCACCCCCCTCCCTCTCCCCCTCCCTCTCCCCCGCCCCCTGCCCACACCCACAGAATCAGCACCAGCAGAAGCAGAATCGGATCTTTCTTCCCCGTAATCCTCGTTTTCCGATTCAGACCTGTCACTTCCACTCTCCCTCTCGCTCCCACTCCTGCTCTGTCCCTCACTTTGATTCTCCCCTTCACTCTCACTCCCACTCCCACTCTCTTCCCCTCCTTTTCCAAACCTCCCTCTTCCTCTCCCCATCCCGTCCTCCTCCCTATCTCCCTCCCCGTCCTCGCTCATCTCCTCCCCCTCACTGCTCCCCTCCCCTTCCTCCGTTGCTGCTGATGAAGCATCATTCTCCTCCTCTTCACTCCTCTCACTGCCCCTCCTGCTACTTCCACCACTCCCCTTGTCCCCATCCCTAAAACCCTTCCCCATTCCTCTCCCTTCCTTCTCCTCCTCCTCATCCTCCTCTTCCTCATCTCCCATTTCCCCTTCTCCAAACGAATCCTGGGAAGGAACCTTAAAACCGCCACTACCACCAGTAGCAGCTCCCCTCCCCCTTCCCATGCCCATCCCAAACCTACCACCACCGAATCCAACCGAACCTCGCCCATGCCCCACCCCTGTCTCACCCATCCCCATCGCTCCCCCTCCCCTAATACCCACCCCCACCCCCTGGAACGAATTCACCCGATTAGCAAGCGGCGAGGCAGCAAACCCACTCCCACTCCCGCCCCTCGCGTCCACATTAAACGAATTCACCCGATTGGCCAGAGGAGAGGACGGAATCCCGCCTGCACCGCCCCCAGTCCCTGGTCGGTTGTCCACATTAAACGAATTCACCCGCCCTGCTGCCATAGCATGGGGGGAAGCCAGCCCACTAGCCGGATGCGAGAAGGAATTGACTCTATTCGCTGTTGCCGCCGCCCGTGGACTGCTGCTAACCGCTCGCATCTGAAACGAGTTAACTCGTGCGGCTAGTAGCCGGTCTCGTTCGGACATGGGAGGGTGCGGGTGAGGTGGCGGGGTTGGGGTTAGAGGCACGCCGTCCCCCTGCAAACGGTGTCCAGAGAACGAGTTCACCCGGTTGGTCGGCAGCTTCTGGGGCGGCTCGGAAAAGACGGAGAAGGAGTTGACGCGGCCAGCAGCGGGCGGCATGGGACGGACAAAACCAGCGGCGCCCGGGCGGCTGATGGCGGCAACTCTCGGACTGCCCAGCCCCCCGGACCCGGTAAGCGGTTTGTGGGGAACGTCGAAATGCTGCGATCTTAAAGCCTTGATTGCCGCTGGGATGTGTGGCAGATCGTGCTTACCACTGCCACCCGCACCACCACCACCAGCACCGCCGCTGCCCCCCAAGCTACCGAAGCTGCTGTTGTTGCTTTGACTCGACAGGTTCACCATGGCTATAGGAATATCATCATCATCGTCATCATCATCGTCATCCTCATCATCATCATCATCCTCTACCTCTTCACCGGACCCTGATAGACTGTCAGGGGTAACAGAACCACCCTCTCCTGGCATCCCAGCGTCATCCTGAGAATCACTCTCCCCTTGCGAATCGCCCTCTTGAAAATCGCCCTCTTGAGAGCCCTCATCTTGAGAATTCATCCCTTGGGAATCCCCCTCCCCAAACGAATCTTCTTCTCCTTGGGAATCCCCCAAGCCTTCCCCATCCAGGTCCGGTGCTCTTCCCGGCTGCGCAATCGGCACCACATCGCTGTCCGAACTTGACCCATAATCTCCCGAAACTCCAGCTTCGGCAAGCGGAATATCCTCGTCATCGTCATCATCATCATCATCGTCATCAAATATCCCTTCCTCCTGCTCCGGAAACCCCATGCCTGGACCCTGGAACGCCCCAGCCCCGCTTCGCGCCGAACCTCCCACCGAGCCTCGGAAAGACCCTGAGTCAGCGAGTGAGCCCCGGAAAGAGCCTCGGGCCGAGCCAGCAGCGCTCATACCATCGTGTATAATCACACTGCCAGCATCACCTCGTGCCCCCTCCTCCCCTTCCCCCTCCTCATTCTCTTCCGAACCTGAATGATACTCCCTTCCAGGTTCGGCCAAGGGAATATCGTCGTCGTCATCATCATCATCATCAAATGAGCCTTGATCCGAGTCTCCCCTTTCCCCTCCTAACTCACCCATTCCACTCCCATGCATTTCCCCAACGTTCATCCCCACACCCCCTACCCGTCCTCCAGCCACTCCCCCCTCAACATCACTCCCGCTCAATCCTTCCTCCCCCTCCCTCATCTCTTCATCCTCTGTCCAGTCCCCAGACCCCTCCCTTCCTACACCCATCTGCTTCTCCTCCCCACCACTCATCGACATATCATCCTCTTCCACCTCCCCTTCTGAACCTTCCCCCACCCTCCCGCCTCTCATATTCCCCCTGCTAACACCACCCCTCTCGCTCCCACTCCCCATCTCACTCCCACTCTCCACCTCACTCCCACCCTCCTCCTCCCCTCCATACACCACCTTCCCTCCTCCCTCTTTAAAACTCACTCTTCCAGCGCCCAGCAACCTCCCCATACCCCTACCCTCCCCCTCTCTCTCATCCTCCTCCAACTCCTCCTCATCCTCCTCCTCTACTACGTCTAGCCCTCGATCCTCCTCCCCCCACATCCTCCCCACTCCCCCCTCCTCTTGCCCGTACCCCTCCTCCATATCACCATCCATATCCCCCTCCTCTTCATCTAGCCTCCCCTCCTCATCCATATCATCAATATCCATTCCCATCCTCCCACCTCCTCCTTTCACTCCTCTTCCCCCTGCTCCTACTCCTCCTCCCCTTCCTCCTCCTCCTCCCCTCTCGTCCTCCTCCTCACTCTCCCCATAGCTATCCCCCTCCTCCCCTTCCTCGTCCCACGACTCACTCCCTCTACTGTCCCCTCTCTCATGCCTATTCCCATCCATCCCAACCCTTACTCCCCCCCTCATCCCCCCTCTTCCCTCATAATCCTCCTCCTCCTCCTCGCGACCCTCAATCACACTCCCTTCCTCACTCTCACTCCCATTCCCACTCCGGCTCCCACTCTCGCTTCCCCCACCTCTCCCCGCACCCCTCCTTCCCCTCCTGAAACTCCCGTCGCTCCCACTCCCCCTCTCACTCCCTCTCTCACTCGCTCCCTCACTCGCTCCCTCACTCGCCTCGCCCTCTTTCTCGAGGTGGCCATCTACGGCCGCCATGAGCACATCGAAGTAAGCCACCACCGACTCCGCGATCTGCTCCGACCCAAACTGCTGCAGCGCGTCGTCCAGATCCGCTGCACCTGGGATGCCTGTGGGAGAGGGGGTGTGAGGGGGTGGGAGGGGGGAGAGGACGGGTGGGTGGGTGGGTGGGTGGGTGGGTGGGTGGGTGGGTGGGTGGGTGAGTAGGCCTTCAACTCACTGACGCCCTAACTCTCACCCTCACTCGCCTCGCCCTCGTTCTCCAGGTGCCCGTCCACGGCCGCCATGAGCACGTCCAAGGGGGGGGAGGGGGGGCGGGGGGAAGAGGGGGGGTGATGGAGGCGACTTTCGAGTCAACTCAAGAGAAGTGACTTTTGAGCCGTCACAAAAGCAGCCCGTCCACGGTCGCCATGAGCACGTCCAAGGGAGGGGGGAAGAGTGGGGGGTGATGGAGGAGATAGGGCACGCCACAACTTCCGCGTTAGTTGCAGACTCGGCCTCGTATCCGCGTTACAAGGAGACTCGCCCTTGCATCCACGCTAAAAGCAGATTCAGTCTCTCATCCACGCTACAAGCAGATTCAGACTTGCATCCCCGTTACAAGTTGTCTCACCTTTAGAAGCGAGATCCGCTACAAGCTCTTCAACAGCATAGGCTGTATCGTCATCGTCCGCCAGAGCATCCACCGCTGGGTCCTGCACGAATTGCTGTTTTGGGGGGAGGGGGGAGAGGGAACATGAACATGGGGGAAAACAACATGGGGGAAAACAACATGGGGGGAAAACAACATGGGGGAAGTATTCATGCATGAGGATATCGGAACAGTTTAAACATGCATCTGCTTCCACCAGAGCATCCTCCGCTGGGTCCTGCACAAATTGCTGCTGTTTTGGGGGGGAAACGTCAACATCAGGGGAGAAAAGACAAACATGTAGGAAGTGGGAATGGGGAAGAAAAAAAAAGAGAGAATTGTACGCTTGAGAGACTTCAGAGCGAAAAGAATCAAAGGAGTGGCAAGAACAAAACGAACTAACGGAGCAACGGACTAAAACAAACTAACGGAGCGACGGACCTTAGCCAGGGAGGAAGCAACGGAGAAAGACTCCTCCACCAGCGGTAGCAGTTGCCCCATGCGCTTCTCCAGCTCGCGCTCCACCCATGGCTGGCGCACGGGCGGGAAGGAGGAGGGGAAAAGGAAGCGCAAGACGGGGAAAGATGAGAGGATTAGGCGTGAAGGGGGACCCCCCAGCGCCACAGTTGGCTCATGCACTTCTCCAACTCGTGGTCCGCCCATGGCTGGCGTACGGGGAACAGGATGGGAAGGTGAAAGGGGTGAAAAGTGAGCGGGAGGACAGGGGAAGAGGAGATTACTAAGGAAAGCAAGAACCCCAGCAGCAGGTATACTTTTCAAAACAACCAACCGCAAGTGATGTCGCTCTCGACCTAGCAGCAAATTACCTCCGGCGACCCGGGTGGGAGTAATTTGTCAATTGCGTTCTGAAATGTTTCATAATAATCGACTTCCTTCTTAACCAACCACCCACACGTTATGCAGCTCTCCGACCGCGCAGGTTGACTCACCTCCTGGGATCCGTGACCGTCACTTTCCTCAGTTTCTAATAAGTCAACAAACCACACATGACGCTGCTCTCAATCCGCGAAGGTTGACTCACCTCCGGCGCGCCGGGAAGACCTTCACCGCCGTTATTCATGGCCGTACACTCTCGGTTCGAGGGGGAGAATGAGAAGGAGAACTATGAGACGTTATTCATAATACGTGTAGCACCGTCCTCCCTACCAGCTAACTACTTTATTTTCAAGCAAGCTAGTCTTAGCAACACGATCACTCCTGCAGGGACGGTGACTTGAAATAACCAGGTAGAAACTTGTTAGCGGCCCGTTTAGAAAGCTGTAACTGTTAAGCGGAAACCTCAACGAGATGCGTGAGGCGAAATGCGCGAGGTGGTATGTGGCGCGTGGCGAAATACGTAAGACGTTACGGTGTAAACGGTGTGCTCGGATGGATCGACCAATGCCGGAATAAAAACGATTCACCACGAATATCTCACTTCACCGAAATACCTAACTTAACCGACATAAATAATACAGGCTAATTGACGCCTGCCGTTCCTCTCTACACCATTGAACACTCGTCCCCGACGCTTAGTTCTGTCCAAACGCTATTCCGTGATCGGGAAAGTATAACTTAACGCAACCCTAATTGTTCATAACCTGTATGTTTCTCGGTCCAGACAAGCTAGTTCTATCCTCCATCGTCGTCCACCTTTCCCATCCTCAAGTAGGCCCTCCTTACGACCTGAAAAAAAGGCGCAAAGCAACTCAAACCTACTGGAAAACACAACCCACCCACTTTCCAAACTCTAAGAAATACCATCGAGCTGTCCCTCTCCAACAGGCTGGATTTTGAGAGGTTAGGTCAGGAAGGGGACTCTGGGGGTTGACGAGAAAGAACTCGAGAAAACAGTTCCCGAGGAAGGACGCGGGGTATTCGTGCGGGGTAATTGGCTTGACTGCTGGCACCCAGCCCTCAATACAATCATATTTTTCTTGACCTGGAGACTGCCCACAATACTGTTCACTCTGGTTTTCGGCCACGCTTGGTTGTCCAGTCAAGTGGGTTGAAACTTGGACCTCACTCTCGCTGCCCAGGACCAAACCCTTCGTTTGAGGCACATCTCGTTTTTCCGCGATTCGAAGCTGACCCTGCGAAAAGGCCCTAAGGCGAACTGCTAACAACCGCAACAACGATGCACTCTTGGTGGTTGGGGTTTCGCCAACGAAGCCCTATGTTGGCTATTAGGGCGGGGCTTCGCTACAGAGAGAAGAACTCTATGTTGGTGTTCCAGCAACTAAACCCTTACAGCTTGACACTGAGCTTACAATGGTCTGGTTCTAAAATACATCCATTTCTGTAAGGAATTTGCATCACCATTTTTTAACTATAAAAATATTCGAATTCCAGCATTTTTCATGTGCATCATGTAATGTGGAGTGCCATATTTCCTAAGTAGATAGATTGCTAGGGATTATGAAAAAACTGTAAGTCGAAATCTTCGACAACGAGTGATGATTCATGTTTCAGCCGAAGTGATGGGGCCTTTATAATGTGGATGACCACCACCCACACTGAATGTGTAAAATACTGGTTGGCTATTGGACAGTTGGGGCGAGAGATCGGAGCACCCACCATGATGAGCTCTTTCCCACCTAAGATATTCACTCAGCGTCGCAGCAGGCTGTAACAGCAGTACGCGGACAACAAACTGTTTCGCGTGTGCTCGCCTCATCGTGAATCCTTCCAGAACCATCCTTTTCTTTCCCCCACACCAGGTCCCACCCCTCTCCATTTGATTTTCCTCCCGTAAACACAACACTACACTACCATTTCAAGCATCCCCCCCTTCCCTGGCTCCAGAATTCCCACGCCACGACACTCCCAAGGTCCTTCCACAACCCCCACGGGACCTCCCTGTTTTGGAATCTGGATTCCCAGCCAGATCTGCTCCACCTCCAACATCTCTTTTTTCGTACCTCTGCTGGCAGATCTGCTCTAGGGTTTCTCCCGATCAGACTGGTAGTCGGAACACGGGTATCTATCCCATGCGCATCTCGCATCTGTTATAAGCATATAAGTGCTCTTGTGCAGTTTTAGAGTGTATCCCTTCTTGCCATGCTCTACAAGCTCCATAGCGATTCACATTCGGTCGTCGATTTCCGTCGCTTCACGTTCTTCTTATCGCGCGGCTTTTAGCCGGGAATGGCCAATCGCAATAAGTTCACCAGCGTTAACCTTAACAACTCCTTCGGAAAGCAAAGCTCGAGTCAATCACAAAGCGGAAGCAGCCATGGCAGCGGTAAGTTCGGAAAATCTGCGTCTTCTGGTGGAATGGTCGTCTTGGGGAAAACAGGACCTGGGTCAACATCGATGGGATCTGCGCATAAGTCACGGCTAGTCGTTCCTAAACCGGTAAACTTGCCGTCTTTGCGGCGAGAGCACGCAGGAAACGACCCATCCGTGTCCCTGGTCCAACCCACGGGCATTGGATCGGGCTGGCAGAAACCTGTTCTCGTTTCAGACGGACCCGCTAGTGATTCCTCGTCCACCAAACCACTGGGGTCCACGTCATCGCCCTCTGACGTCAATGCTGCTTCGGGACAGCACGGATTCCAATCTTCCGCGATTTCCGCAGCAGATTCCGGCGATGCTTCCCGTGCCTTTCGTCCGGGGGTGTATCAACCCCCAGGAGCTAGATCCGGAATTGGAATGGCAACTGCAGCACCTTCCGCGAAACCTGCTCCTCCCGGGCGCCAGAACGAGCCATCCATCATCAGCGGGGAGGACTTCCCGTCGCTCGAAACTGCCAAGAAGGTGCTGGCGAAGGAGCACTCTCGGGGAAAGAGCCCCCAGCCGCCCGTACCCTCAGGGGGGAGCTCTGGCAATAAAACGGACGCTTCAGGGGAACACGACAACGGTCGCCGAAGCAGCGTCGCAGGGCAGGAGACAGGTGCGGGGCCAGAAAGCGGGGGCAGTCGAAGCAGCAGGGGAGGTACGGGAGCTATGGGAGGTCTGGGAGGTATGGGAAGCATGGGGCGCTGGGCGGATGACGAGCCTGATCAAGAGCAGGACGATCGAGCGCCGCTTGGAAAAACTTCTTTGAGTCGAGACAGACAAGAGGAGCCGAATTTCCCCCCTCGCGGATCCGGCGACGGCGGGCCTATGCGACCGGATCCGTTCGCAGGGCCCATGCGACCGGATCCGTTTCGCCTGCCGTCGCCGCCCCGTCGCATGTGGGCCGACGACGAGCGAGATTCGGGTCCTCCTCGCGGTGGCCCTGGTCCGAGGGGCAACGCGCCCGGTTATTATGGCGACTCAAGGGGTCCTGCTGATTCCAGAGGGCCGGGACCCGGCGGGTACTTCGACGAAAGGGGTGGGCGGGACGCAGGAGGGTTTGGGGGACCGGGTAACTGGGACGGACCGCCGCCTTATGGTATGGGTGCAGGGCACATGGGTCCTGGCCCGATGGGTCCAGGTTCGATGCATCCAGGCGCTATGGGGCCAGGCCCGATGGGTCCAGGTTCGATGAATCCAGGTGCGATTGGCCCAGGGCAGATGGGCAGGGGACGGGGGTATATAGATGGGCCTCCAGGGGGGGGTATGGGGCGTGGGGGGCGTGGCGGTGGGGTTGGGGGTGGTGGGGTTGGAGGTCCTGGGTATCAGCCTGATTTCGACCGCTTCGGCCCGGGATTTCCGGGGCGGGGAGGCGGATTTGGCGGCGGATTCGGCGGCGGATTCGGTGGCGGGTTTGGCGGTGGGCGTGGCGATCTGCATTCGCGGTCGTTCGGCCCGGGGGGGGCGCGTGAGCGTGGGGAAAGGTTTATGGGAGGTGACGTGTTCGGTGACGTGTCATTGCCTCGGCCGGAGTTCCAGTCTCTGCCACGTGTCGGCGTGGAGCCGCCTCCTAGCTTGGCTCTCCTTGCGCTGTCGCGGAAAAAGAAGGAGGACGCGGAAGCCGCCGCCGCCGCCAGCGAATTTCGGGATTTGGAGCGGGAGAGGTTCGAGGCGGAACTAGAAAGGGTTCAGAATCAGAAGGAGCAGGAGAAGCAGAGGAAGGAGGAGGAGGAGCAGCGGGCGATGGAGATGGCGCGGCAGCAGGAGGAGGAGATGGTGCGGAAGGCGCGGGAGGAGGAAGAGCTGCGCGCGCGCGCGGAGCAGGAGGCACGGGAGGCGGAACTGCGCGCGCAGATGGAGGCGGAAGCCGCGGCGCGGAGGCTGGAGGAGGAGCGGCGGAAGGTGCAGGAGGAGAAGCAGCGGATCCGGGACGAGGAGGAGAGGCGGAAGGAAAACGCGCGGAAGAAGCTGCAGGAGCTTGAAGATAGAATTGCGAGAAGACGAGCGGAGGAGGAGGCGAGACGAGCGGAGGGGGGAGGCGACGGGGAGGGAGATTCGAAGGAGGAGCAGGAGCAGGAGAAGGAGAAGGAGCAGGAACAGGTGGCAGATAGCTGGGAAGACTCGGATAGGGCAGACGCTGCAGCAGAGGCGGCAGAGGCAGCGGCAGCTGGCGGTAAGGCAGACGCGGCAGCGGGTAGGGCCGAAGGGCAGGTGTTAGTGGAGGTGGGTGGCGCAACGGCGGAAGTCTCGGAAACTGTGAAGCAGGAGGTATTGGATCAAGCGGGGGCGGAGGCTGGAAGCTTGGAGGATGGCCAGGGGAACGCAAGTCGAGGGGAAGGGAAGTCGGCGGGAGAAGGCGCGGGGTTGGGTCAAGTGACGGTGGAAGCGGAAAGCGATGCGGAGAAGCAGGAGCGCGGGGGAGCAGAGGCGCAAAACGAGCAGCAGGTGCAGCAGCAGCAGCAGGCGGCGGCGGCGGCGGGGGAGGCGGGGGAGCAAAACAAGGGGGGCTCGCCGGAGCTCCCCCCTGGGGCGGAGTTGCGCGGAATGGATCCGTACCATGCGCCGTACCCCTCTAGGCACCCCGGCGCAGGCCCCATGCTCTCGTCCTTTGCCTACAATCAACCGCTCGCGCGCTATCCTGGATCGCACATAGACTCGCACGGGTCGCAGGAGCGTTATTTAGGCGAAAGGCAGCAGGATATGTGGGGAGTGGGGGGTATGGGGGAGATGGGCGGGATTGGGCGGGATTTTGGTGGCGCCGGGGGGAATGGCGGGGAATTAGGGTTTGCGCCTTGGAAGATGCACCAGCAGTTTTTCCCGCCGGGGATGATTGGCCCCGGGGGGGGTTTCCCCGGTGCTTCGCATCTCCTGGTCCCCCCTCACGCGCCCCCGCATGCGCAGCTTCACGCGCACCCGCACCACGCGCATCCCCACCACGCGCACGCGCACGCGCATCACTCCGCGCCCGGTATGCCCCTTCCGCAGCAGCACCACCTGCACGGGCAGCAACCCCCTCTGCTGCACCGCCCCGTCACCATCTCCCCCCCGTCCTCCTCGTTCTTTGGCAACGGGGACATCACGCGCGGGTTTCACATGCTCGGGGGCGGCGCCGCAGGCGGGGGGGCGCATGCCGCCATGGGGATGGGCGGGGGAGGGGCAGGGGGTGGGGGAGGGCCGTTCGCGGGCCCGCCAGGCGGAGCTCCCTTGGGTGCGCCGCTCCAGTACTTTGATAAGTCTGTAGGGCCCACACCCATGCGGAACCAGTACATCGGCGGACCAGGCCCCGTGGGGCGCTTTCCGCCAGGCAACCCCATAGGCGCGGTTGGCGCAGCTGCGGGGGGAGGGGGCGGGATGGGGCGCGCGGTGGGGGTGGTGGGGGAGCCTGGGGGACTGGGCCCCGCAGGGCTGGGGGGGAGGCAGTATCAAGAGCGCAGGGGGGATGGCCAGGGTGGGGATTACTATGGGCGGGAGGAAGGCGGACTGGGGGCCGTGGATGGGGGCATGGGCGGAAGGGATAGGCGGTGGGGGGCGCCAGGGGATCATCTGGAGGCGCGGAGGGGGCCGTTAGGGCCGGAGGGGGGGTACTCTCAGCAGCACCAGCGGCATCATCAGCACCCGCAGCAGCAACACCAGCAACACCAGCAGCATCAGCAGCATCAGCAGCAGGGTATAGTACCGCCACAGCAAAATCAGAATCAGCAGCAGCAGCAGCAGCAGCAACAGCAGCAGCAAGCACAGAAGTTACAGGGAGAAGCGCCGGAGCAGCAGCAGGAGGGGGGACAGCAGACTCAGCAGCAATCTACAGGGTCGATGCAAGTCAAACCTTCATCAGACGCCACGTCAGCAGACGTGGTGGACGAGCTTGGCGCGCTTCTCGCCTCGAAACTCGAGGTCGACGCTCAGGACCAACCCAATGCAGCGGCTTCCAAAATATCTCCGTCTGCCACGTCAGATGCGGACGTCACCGAGGCTGCCACGTCATTAATCACCGCGACTTTGCCCAGTGGCAGAACCAGCGGAATAACGCCATCCACCTCCCCCAGTCCGCACCTCCCCTCATCCTCTGCTGCCTCTCTCGCTCCCATTGCTCCTACTGCCTCTTCCCCTATTTCCCGGTCCCCCATTGGCCCAGACCCTTCTGTGGGCCTGTCCTCTCCTTCCCAGTCCCTTCCCCAGGCGCTCGCCCCATCCCTCCCCCAAACTCTTCCCCCCTCTCTTCCCCCAACCCTCCCCGCGCATACTGTTGACGCGTTTGAGTCTGGCTCGTCCTCATACCCGTCTGTGTCATCCTCGTTTGTGTCTGCTTCATCATCTTCACAGGGAATCCCGTCTGTAGCACAGTCAGGAGTGGCCCCTTATATGATCCAAATCGGCTCCATGCCCATTCCTTTCAGCATGGGCTCTCTCGGGCAGGATGAAAACAATTCCGGCTCTCAGCTGCCCGTTTTCCAGTTCGGGCAGATTGGCGTGCCAGCGTCGTCGCCTTCCCCGATCCTGGATGGATCGATGGCCGAAGCTCTTTTAGGTATGGATGTGGGAGGGCATGTAGGGGCAGGCATGGGGAATTCGGCAGTAGGAGGGGTGGCTTCAGGTGTGAGCGTTGCTGCAAGCACAGCAGAGCAACAACGGCAGCAGCAGCAGCAGCGGCAGTTGTCGGTGACTGGAACGGGCGCCGAACCTGCTGGTGAGGCTCGGATGAATACCCGAGCCTCTCCATCCGTGCCGCTGTACTCAGGCTCGAGTGCAGGGGCTGCGTCTGCTACGTTAATACAAGGAAGCACGTCAGGAGCAGTAGGAGGAGCAGCAGCAGGAGTGACTGGAATAGCTGTAGGGCCAGGGGCAGGAGCAGGGGCAACAGCAGGAGCAGGAGGAGCAGGAGGGGTAGTGAAAACAGTGGGTCCAGGAATAACATCAGCAGGGGCGGCAGCGGCTGCAGCAGCGGTAGCAGCATCTGCTGCTATCCTGCCCCTCCCTTCCTCTGCTGCAACCCCGCTGCAGCAAGGGAGCCGCTTGCATGGCAGCGGGCGAGGAGGGTCAGCTGGCCGTGGCCTTGCTGGTCCTGGTACTGGTGCCAGTGCTGGTGGTGGTGCTGCTGCAACATCAGCCACACCAGCAAATGCAGCTGGAACTGCAGCAGCGGCAGCAGCAGTTGGTTCTGGGCGCGGGGGGAGGGGCGGCCAAGACAGGGAATCCGCGGGCAGAGGTCCGGCGGCGGAAGGCCAGGGCTATGGCGGTAGATCGGGGGCGTGGGGAGGCGGAGGGGGGGGCGGAGGGGGAGGGGGAGGCAGGGGAGGGGGAGGGTACGGAGGGGGAAGAGGGGGAGCGCAGGATTGGCAAGGGAGGGGGCAAGGGGGGCGGTGGGGGTATGGGGAGAGCCGAGGGGGTGGGAGGTGGCAGGGAGGAAGGGGAGGGAGAGGGAGAGAGGGGGGAGGGGGAGCAGCGGGTGGGGGCAGTTGGAGGCCACGGGGGGGAGCAGAGGGTTCTGGTGGTGGGCGGGGGGAGGAGAGGGGAGGTAAGGCTATGAGTTAGTTCTTGGATAAGCTTTGGACAAGCTTTCGAGTCGACTCAAAAGCAGTTGGAGGCCACGGGGGGGAGCAGAGGGTTGTGGTGGTGGGGGGGGGAGGAGGGGGGAGGTAGGGCTGTGAGTTAACGCTTGGTGGAAGTAGGGGTGTGGGCTACTGCTTGCAGGAAAAGGGGCTGGGTATGGAAGGCGCTAAACCTCAGGGGGTTTTGACAGGGGCACATCAGAAGTGCCACATGCAGGCTTTTGGTTGCTGGGCCCAGGGCAGAGTAGCAGGGGCAGAGGTGGCAGCAGTAGCAGTGGAAGAGAAGGGAGGTAGGGCTGTGCGTTAACGCGCATCAGAAGTGCCACATGCAGGCTTTTGGTTGCTGGGCCCAGGGCAGAGTTGCAGTTGCAGAGGTGGCAGCAGCGGCAGTGTGGTAGTAGCATCTCTGAGCTCATTCTAAGGGTCTTTTGAGTCGACTGAGAGTCACCAGGGCAGAGTGGCAGTAGCAAGCCGGCAGTAGCAGAGGTGGCAGGCAGAAGCGGCAGTGTGACTCCAGCACGGGGGGTAGCAATGGAGTTGGCAGCAGCTTTGATGCAGGCGGCAGCAGCAGCTTGTGCACGCAGTAGCAACAGCGGCAGCTGGAGCAATCGTTGTCTCAAGGGGTGTATGAATAACAGGGAAGTGTCAGGAGCTTGGCACTCAATGCTTGGCCCAGTGAAGAGTGGGGCTCAAACCGGTCGTGTGCATTTGTGTGTTTGGTGGCGCGTCGTGTCCTGAAGAGTGGGTCTCTAATGGGTTGTGTGCTTGTGCTTTGCCTTGTGACAGTGGTAAAGTGCCGCTTCTGTCTGAATTTGCGGGGGTTTTGAGACGTTTAGAAACTCTCGTTTCTTTGAATGTGCTGGGTGGTACGAGGTTGCAGCTGCTGGTGAATTTTCTGGTGCAAGCAGTGAGAGAGGGCAGGGATGGGTGCAGTGAGACTCAGACTCAGTCAAACTCGATGTATCGGGTCCGGCAAGCAGTTGTGGTGTTGATTGGCGGATGCTGATTGGCTGGCGCTGCTGGCTGGAGCTGGTGCAATAGAAATTCAGCTGTAGTGCAGAATTCAGTGTGGTGTTTCGTCAATCCCTAGAGCATGGCATGTGGAGAGTGTGCCCTCAAGTTACTCTGTAGAATTGTAAGCGATTGCCGCTTAATTTTTATTTCTGCGAGTCGGGTAGTTTGTTGTTTCCTAATTTCAGTATGTGGTACGGCACCATGGTCAAGGTGTGATTGCTCTCGTTTGCCGCGACTTCTACTGCCTGGTTCTTGACATCCACTTATTACTTTGGACTGAGTAGAGTAGACTCCTGCTTGGTTTTTGTAGGGCTGCTGCCATGATTTCAATAATCTCCCTGATGGTTTTGATACTGTCTCGTGGCCGTGATTTTACACAGCACTGCTTGTGAACTCCACTGAGGAGTGCAACATCGCGGATTTTCTAGTTACACACTTCTCCTTGAAACTAGATGGAGATAGTTCGCCATCACGTAAAGTACTAATGCGCGCAGAGGGTCTAGCTTCGCCGCCTCTCGTGAGTTTCGCGCAGAAGCAGCTTCGTCAGGCGGCTGAATTTCGGCAGGGCTGGGGAGTGGCGGGGGAAAACTTCGTCAGAAAAGCCGCAGTTCTCTGAGTCAGGATTATCAAGGCGGGTTGCAGACTAGAAATAGGCGTAGTCGCGCTGCAAGTTTATTCTCGTTCGACGAGATCAAGACAGCGTTAGGCGTAGGCTCAGGAGTGTCAGGAGGAGAGCCGCCAAAGGCCTAAGGTCAACCCTATCGCATTCTCCCGACTCGATGGAACGCCCTCAATGGACGAAGCGCGACTCAAAGCCTTCAAAGGACGAAGCGATTTACAGGCCCTTTCGATGGATCCTAGCAAGTATAAAGCGCGGTCGTTTCACCCGGGTCCTTCTCAATCGTCGCTCCCGTCTTCGTTCTCACTCTTCGCCTCATTGACTCGCAAATCGCAACCAGCACGAATCCTTCTCGCTCCGCGAATCTCATTAGGTCTCCATCCTCCACGACGGTCGTTGACTAATCATCTTCGTTCTCACAGACGGTGGAAATAACGCTTGCTCCAGACTCTCTCTGTCTCTCCGCTTCTTGGTCTCTACTACAACACTTTTGTTTCAGCAATCCCTATCCGACGCCATGGCTGTTTTTAAGCGGACAGTCGCCGTCATCACTCTCGTGCTTCTCGTCACTCTTTGCTCAGATCCATTCTCCGTGGACGCGCGTTTCGTTGGCGTCACCGTCACGCCGTCGGTTTCCGCGAGCTTTCGTCCTTCTGGCGTTACGAGCAACAGGGATTGGCTATGGCTTTCCTCGCGAAACCTACAGGAAGCTTCGCTGCCGAACTCAGATCCGCCGTCCGTCCCGCAAGAACTTTCGGCGGAAGCTGCTCAGCAGGCTGCTACCGGATCTGATTCTGCTACCATGACGTCTAACTACGACTCGTTAGAAGTGACCGTTTTGTGCTCACCGTCGCCGTCTCCGTCGCCGTCGCCAGCACCGTCGCCAGCATCGTCGCCAGCACCGTCGCCAGCACCGTCGCCAGCATCGTCGCCAGCACCGTCGCCAGCACTGTCACCAGCACCAGTCGCACCGACACCCTGCCCGTCGCCAGCGATCCCTTCGAACACCTCCACTGCGGCAGCGCCTGCTCCTGCGAGCGCTAGCTGTCCCGTGTGCCTCACGGTGACCGGCGGAGGCGCGTACTCGCGACCGTGCTGCCTTCCGGAAGCCACGTGCTGCGGTAGCGGCGACACTGCGATTTGCTGGGGCGTGTGCGGAAACACAACCTGCTGTGGCGTTGTAAGTGCTGATGCCTCGCGATTAATTTCCGCGTTATCTTCAATCAACAGTTGTTTGAATTGGTTATTTCTCTTTAGATTGCTGATCCTTCTTCTAATGGAGATGTCGTACCACAACTGATCTCGTTTCATGCTCTATGCTTTTGTATGCAGAGCGAGAGCACGTTGGATCACACGTGCTGTGGAGGGGTCTGCTGTCCCACTGCTAACTGCTGCAGTAGATCTGCTACACCTGTCTGCTGTTCTCAAGGAAACACGTGCTGTTTATAGGTTTCATACCGGGTACCCCAGATGCATCCCATCAGCGTTAGCATTTTTGCTGTACTGTGTGGTCCTTAGGTAGTGTGCCTTCTGGCAGTGTGTATATTAGAGCCCATTTTTCCCCATCGGGTGTCCATCCATACTGGCTATTAACATGACCCCCCCCCCCCACCCCCCACCCCCTCGCATGCAGTGGGAGTAGTACCGTAGTAGCTCTTTATGCCTAATCTGCAGATACTGTGTGATATGTGAAGCTGTCTAGCATGACATGCAAAGCAGCCTAAGGGGTGTTATTGTTCAGATCTGTTACCGTATTTCGACAATAACCAACGCGTGCTCATATGGATCTTGGGGCTACTTGTTACCGTATTACATTCTCCCAACGCTGGTGTGTCTTTTGAATTCATTGGTTCCATTCCGACATTGAATCCACTTGTTCTGGCATTCTCATCGTGCTGGGGGCTCTCAACTCTAGGCAGAAGAAGGCGCTCAGGAAGATCAGCAACTGTTATTCAGAGCAACATACATACAGCATCATATGGCTATGATGCCACACAGCCCTATGCAGAGGTACGGTACCATAGACTCTGCGACTGCTGCAGCGTCAGAAATAAATGTACGGCAACATTCGAGATTCCCAAGTATATCTGACTACATTACACTGCACTACCTGGCACAGAGAATCGTGCCAGGGTCTACAATCCGTTAGCCGAGGCAAAGCTACAACCAACGTAAGGAGGTGTTGGACCAACACAGAGACACCATAAGTTTTAAATCCCCGGGCGTGCTCTAAGCACGCAGTTAATACATGTCCTCCTGCTGCAACCTACTTGCTCGCACAGCCTCTAAGCCTGGACAAGGGGACACTGGTTGAGTCAAGGGCTTCCCTGACCTGAGAAGAGGACAAAGAACGAGATAGCCACGAATCTGAATAAGAGCAAAACAAGAATGTGGAAAGATCTTGTAGGTGAAAGCAGGACTTTTGACCTGGAGCTGGCGGTATCAAGCCAATCTCACCGTTTTGGAACAAATGGTTCCCCGTAGGAGGGCTTGGGAACTGCGTGGTGAACCATCCCCTTACGCATCCTCTTGATTTCTTCCTCTTCCTCCTTCTGCAAGGCCCACAGCGCATGCTCAAGAAGTCAGCAAGGCATGGTTGCAACAAGAAACTCTATCATTGAGGCGCCTCGAGGTTGAGTCAGCAAAGCATCGTTCCACAACAAGAATGTGTGCGAGATCGTGCAGGGAAACTCACCCTGCATCGTGCTTGCATCTTGGCGTACTCCTCTTCACCCTGCTGACACCTCTCAGCAAACTGCAACAACACAATGAGAAAAAATACAAAGAGACTCGGACATCAACCACGGTATTAACTCAAAATCATCCAGACATCAACCAAGTAAAAAATCACAAAGAAACACAGACAATGAGCCTCTTAGTCATGGCAACTCAGCAACTGAAAATGGCGAGAGCACCAGTTGTTTGAGGATGTAGCAACAGCATGAATTTCTCAACGTACCGCTTTCTTGGCGCATGTATGGTGTTCTGCCTGGCGGTCCACGTTCAGGTTGAACGGCTTCACCTCCGTCAGCACGCGAATGCGCCTTGGGGACTCAGGCCTGGGAGGGACGCAACAACCACACTGAGTTGTGACAATCGCAGCAAGCATTCCTAACCAGGACGGGACATGTAATAACAGCAAGCAGGTACAATAATAACGCAAGTCAGTCAGCCAAGCAGAAGATCTGCACAAAAACATGGTCGCGGGTTCCAGAGACCAGAAACAGCTTAGAGCCAGGCAAGCAGAGTTTGGTGGTGTCTGTTTCGACAGCCAGAACTCACCGCTTGGTCATGTCAGGCAGGGGCTGTGCATGGAACTCCTTCTGAGCAGCCTCCTCCTGCGCCTTCCTCTGCGCCTCCTCCTCCAGCCGCTGCTGTGCCATCTGGTGCCGCCTCACCGACTCTAGCTCAAACTCCTCTGGCTCGGTGGCTGGCTTAGTTGGCGGCTTGCGGAGGAACTCTGGGGCGAGGGTGGTGAATGGCATGGGTGCTGCCAAGGGAATGGCTGCCCTGCGCCTCTCCTCCTCCTCTTCTGCCAGCTTCTGCTGTAACTTGTGCTGCTTCGCTTGCCCACGCTCCTGTGGTTATGTGGACATGTAACAGGGTTACCATGCAGCAGGTCAGTCGGATGTTGGTAATGAGAACCAGGGTTGAACAGGGAGGCATGCACAAGGGGAAAGGCTCTGGGCAATAATGCGTGAAGTGTGCTAGAGTGGAAGAATAGGAGCAGCGAACTGACCTCAGTAAACAGGTGGAACTCCCGTGGATGAGTGACGGTTGGCACCTGAAGCAGAGGAGTAAAGGAGGAACCAAATGGATCCGTCTATGATTTCGGTGCGCCTCAAACTAACAGCATCTGGGTTTACGAATAGAAGGTCGACTCTACTCGACGCAAGGGGGGTTGGTACAATGGCCGAGTGAGTAACACAAGAGTGCACGAGAGAACGTCCAACAGTACCTCTGAGCTGCCGTGCTTGCTGGTATGCATGCGCTTAGCCGCGCTCGCCATCTCCTCCAGCTCCCTCTCCTCGCTGCTCTTCACCCTGGAAGAAGCACACACCAGAAAGAAGACCATCAAATGGCAATCCAGAAGAAAGCTACGAAGAAAACAAGCCTACCACACGAGCAGCCTGTCGATTCGTTGGTTGTGGCGCGCGGCTTACTTTGCTGCTCGTGCTCGCAGCTTGGTGGTCAGCATGGGCGAGCAAGGTACCGTGGGAAGCCTTGGACCAGCCACACCACCAGCACCACCACCAGCACCACCAGCGGCAGTAGCTGTCGCGCCCCTCTTTGATGCAGACCGGGTCATCACCCCAGTGCCAGCAGCTTCCCCTTCCTGCAGCACCCGGAACCTCCTCGGCCGCTCCCTCTGGGCCGTCAGCAGCTTCGGCGTCACAGGCTTGGTCACACGGGGAGCATCGGAAGCAGCAGCAGAGGCGGCAGTAGGAGCCTCGCCTTCCGGCCTCATGTGTGCGGAGAACGAGCTGAGCTCCTGGGCGAGGGACACAAATGGCTTCGCTTCCTTCTTCAGCCGCTCGTCCTTGGGTCGCTGGCGCCTGTCTGTCTTCAGATCGAATGGTTCAGGAATGGTTAGAGTAGCCCCGTTGGAAGGCCCGCCCTCATGTGCGTGGGACTCGGTCTCAGATGACCGGCTGCTCCTGGCGCCAAACATGCTGACACTCTCAGCAAGCGAGACAAAAGGCTTCGCTTCCTTTTTAAGCTGCTCGTCCTTTGGTCGCAAGCGCCTGTCAGTCTTGAAGTCAAACGGCTCAGGTACGGTAAGAGTAGCCCCGTGGGAAGGTCCACTCTCGTGTGCTTTGTGCTCCGTCTCTGACGATCGGTGATCGCTCCTGGCGCCAAACATGCTGACGCTCTGAGCGAGTGACACAAACGGCTTCGCTTCCTTCTTCAGCTGCTCGTCTTTCGGTCGCTGCCGCCTGTTTGTCTTGAAGTCAAACGGTTCAGGAATGGTCAGGCCAAGCTCGTGTGTGGACCCGCCATCGTGTGAACCTGACTCGACCTCTGATGATCGGTTGCCCCTGATGCCGAACATGCTGACGCTCTGAGCAAGGGACACAAACGGTTTCGCCTGCACATCACGCAACACGGACACGCCAGTACCTTCATGAGATGTTACCGAACGAGAAGCGATAAGACAAGGGGAACCAGAAGCAGCAAGACTGGCTTCTTCTTCGGCTTGCAATAAAAGGCGTCCATCTGTTTCAAGGCTTCGCACGCTCATCCATAAAAGTCTATCATCGTCACCCCACCTCCTTCGTCTTCTCATTCTGAGACCCACGCCTCTTCTCCGTGTTGAAGACGAATGGCTGGGGCACCGTGAGATGAGGCTCTGCTGCTGCAGGAACCGCTGATACCCCCGGGCGACTCCCATGCGCAGCACCAGCCTGGGAGGAAGGATCAGAGGCAGCAGCGGAATCGAGAAATAAAAACCCCAGAGAGCGTCATGAGAATGGGAGGTGGAGCTGACCGTGAGAGAAACTCTATGGAGCCTGACCGAACGATAGGAATAATGGAGTTATGAGGCTGAATTGATAAAACCAGCTCCAGCAGACTGCGTTGTGGTTGCGTACCTCTGCATCTGAAGATCGGCTCGAGCGAGCAAAGGCTTGCACGCTTTGGGCGAGGGAGACGAAGGGCTGTGCCTGCGACCAGGACAATGGCAACGTCAAACGTAATAACGTGGAAGGTTGGTTGCTGAATTGGAGAGGCAAGAAGCAGGATTTTCTTAATGCTACCCTGAGTGCATGTATGGATCAACAACATTTGTGCCCGTTTCGAAAGAAAGAAGCAATACATTTGGAAGTGGCGCACCTCGTTTTTAAGCTTCACGTCTCCTGGGCGGATTCTGACGTCCGTTCTGAGATTGAACGGCTGCGGAACTGTAAGCCCTGTAGGGCGACTGCTGGTAGGTGCCTGTAAGCGCACGACCAGAGGGGTTGTGGTGTATAAGTCAAGTTAGACACGAGCTAGGGCCCAAAAAATTTAAAGACAACTTTCAAACCACCATCAAGTCCTAACGTCAGATTCCGATTCATGTTGGGAGCAAAATATAAGCATTGGATGGATCAGCAAGATTTGTTTGAGAGTGAAACGAAACCATGCACAATTGTGAATTACCTTCCATTGCTGTGGGGTCCTGTCGACCTTCTGCCTCTTATTCTCGCGTGGCCTCGCCTTCGATCCGCTGGTGGCCGCACTTCTGGCAGCGGAAGCTGCCGTCGCTGCCATGAGAGACGGCCGAGCAGCTCTGCAAACAGTGTTTGCCAAACAGATGACAGACGAAACCGTCAGCACCTTCGAATCCGTACATGGATGTGAGAGACGGAAGACGGCAACAGGATAGAAACACTGGCCACTCAGCAGGTAATCAATCCTACAGGGGTCAATCCAACGCACATACCCTGAAGGGGGGGCTCCTCCTCTTGCTTTGAGCCTGGCAGAGGTTCGTCGGAGCGACGCACGGGTGGATGTCGGGTCAGTAGCACGACGGGTGGTAGCAGCCGCAGGAGCAGCAGGAGCAGCAGCAGAAGGAGCTTCAGCTGGTCGGGGAGCGGCAGAAGTGAAGGTAACCGCCTCAGATGCTGCGGCAGTGGCTTCAGCAGCACCGACGATGAAAGCGGCGACAATAACCGAGGCATTAGCAGCGCCAGCTGGCTTTCCACTCGCATCAGCTGCTTCAGCAGCTGAGCCAGCAGCAGCATCGCCTCGACCATCACACGCATCAGCAGCAGCTTCATGCGTATCATCAGCACCACGCATCACACCATCAGCTCGGCCAGGCACCTCACTCTGATCACCAGAAGCACCAGCCTTTCGCGCACTGTGGACCTTCGAGACCCTGGATTTCGCGCGGGTCGAGTGGGGCGTGCTGATTCGCATGCTCCTCAGCTGATCCCACAGCTTCTTCTTTGGAAATCCACCACTCTCTGGAGACGTCTCCTCGACCGGGGGGAAAACAGCCGTGATCATTTCGTCCGTTTCCTCTTCCTCGCGGCTCCTTTTACCCGCAGAACCACTGAGAGGAGGCAAAGGGTTGCTATTTCCCGCGTGCGAGGCCGACGCCATTGCTCTGGTCTGCATGCCGTGAATCCTCGCGCCGGACGATCCAGCCTTGCAGCCTGCAAACGGACACAATCACAGAAGGTCATTACAAAATCTCTGGTAACTTTACAAGAATTCATAGATATTTCACGAGTTCTAAAAAATGGAACGGCCAGCCGGACCTTGTTCGTCTTGCTCCATTACAGACTGAACCTCCACTTCCGGCCCTTGTCCTGCTGCTGGAGCGTCCGATCCAGCCTCTGCTGCAGCGACATTCACGCCTGCTGTGTGAAGCTCTAACCCCTCAGCATCCCCTGAAATTTCATCGTTCAACGGAATTTCACTGGCGGATCCTTCATGCTGGATCGCATCTCCTTCTTCCTTCAAATCCACGTCGGTCCACTGCTTATCCTCCTCATCCTCCTTCACTGCTCCGCCGTTTTCGCCGTCATTCCCCGCGTTCTCTCCAGCACCATCCATGGTAGCGACGTCATCGCACTTGACTCTGTAAATCCCGAACAGTTTAAGGTAACAACAAGAACATCAGTACCTGTACTAACACACAAGATCAATCAGATTGAGAAGTACCAAAAACGGTTTCAGTAACCACCTTTGTGGACCGTCAGACTTCGTCATAAACCGCGTAGGACGAGGAGTTGGTTCAGGAATCTGCGAATCCATGAGAAGTCGTCCGTCAGTTTAAAGATTCTATGCAGAAATGCTCCAAAATTAAAAACAAAAGCCGTATGGCTCCCTTAACGAAAACATACCTTAATAGCGCTAAGAAGCGGTATCGCCTCCTTCGGCATCATGCGTTGACCAGAAGCCATGGCCTTCACAACCAGTGCTGGAAGTAGAAACAGCAACGATTCCGTTGAACCAACTTTTGAAAAGGGAAACTAATCTAAATAAAAACCCAATGAGCATAACATCATTTGGAAAGTGTATAGAGGCTACTCACGAGACTTTGGATGTCCTGGTGTCGATCGGAACCATTCATCAGCCGAGGCATCCGCCATATCACCATTGACGAAATCAAAATACTTGGGAGCCTGCACAAACTCGTATGTTGGGTCAATATATTGCTTCGGCTTTTCTTCAACCTCCATTGCAGTACCCTCCTTCGGAAAGGTCGGACTGACTGCCTTGTCCATCGATGGAGCTTTCTTCGGAAGCTGTGGCTTCAGCACCGAAAATAAATTAACAAGTACTCTTATCACCAATGAGTGCAGGACCGCGAGAGCTAGTATCAAAAACGCGAGCGCCAGTTCAGATACACCAGCTGTAACAGAAACTAGAGGTTTCCAGCAAAGGCTAAGTGAGTCCTACTTCGAGAGAGCCCTTATGGCCTAAAATGGAACGATAAGCTGCTGGTCTAACAGCAAGTTGCTTCTTTACTACAAGACTCGGCTAGGGATGAGCAAATGAGAGTTAGACAGCCTGTCACAAGCAGTACGCGTTTCAGCTGTATGAGTAATAAATAGAAGCTAGAAACAGCAGTAGCTACGTGGGGGATCTAGTCAGCAGCCACGCTCGGGTCTCAGGAAGCTATATGCGTCTCAAAGAGTAACAGGATAATTTCAGGGGAGGAGGGAGTGTCAAAAGGCCGGTGACTAGAGCAATGGGGATTCAGGGAACTCTGAACCCACAAGGAAAAAAAACGTCTCAGGAGACCAGACCAGAGCAATGGGGAGAGCGGAGGTCAGTCCAGGTCCCAGGGTCACCCAAGAGAGGATCACCCAGCAGGAAGGAAAAGCCCCGAGATTATGACTGGTGAGGAATGGCAGAAGGGTAAGTGACAGGTATAAAGTGGTTCGTTTCGATTTGATGAATTGAAATAGGATTGGGCTGATTTGCGCTGTATCTGTGCGGTTTGCTGAATGGATGAGAAGCTGACCTGACTGGCCCCACACATGGCGAGGCGACTCGCTCAATTAGCACTTCTGGCGTTCATGTGCTGCGTCAGAAACGCGTTTCCCGCCGGGCCATCCGAATTTGAATTTCTGACGCGCGGCAATTTCAAAGTGGGTGCTTGCAGAAACAGATACCTCATTCTGATTTTATTGTAAGGAATTTTCTCTGTTCCTTATCGCAACCATCAACATCACGTACAGCAGCAGCCGTTGTTCGCCCGTTAATGCTAATGGAGCCTCGCTAATTTTGCGCGCACTGTTTTACCAAACCATGCACCGCTGGCCCGGCCGAGTCGGCCTACGCTTCCGGGCTAGCCCGAACCTCGATGCCAGCCTAGCACTAGCCAGCTCGCACGCACCGCATTACCGTTTGCATGTTTCGCATATAACTATTCGCCCATGCCTTCGCTCATACCTTGTACTCGTTTGACACCTAGTGCAATCCTAGCTATCTCGTTCCATTGCACCCGTAACATAATTGAAGAACAAACTTGATGTTGCAATGCTTTTTGGAGTCATATACCAGAATTGCACATTCAAAATGTGTGAATGCTTCCATGACGAAGTCAATCTTCATGGCTTCACTTCTTTGTTGCTTTTACTATCTTTAACTCAATTTTTGTTACCAATAACCAGCATACAAACACGATACATAGCAACTTGTAGAGCACAATCGCATATAGGCTGCATCATCCAACACATGTATTACGAAATACATCCTAAGTGTTATGGGTGGTGCAAGACCCATCCACGTTTGGCCACTTCCGCGCGGACACGTGCCGCTACGTCTACATTGTCTGTCAACGGTGGGTAGCTCCACGTGCTTGCAAGCTGTTACACGTGACAAGGAGGTGGGTTGGGACAAGAGGTACCGTAAGGAGGAGAATGAGAATGAGCCTAGGAAACTGACAGCGACCGAGGGTGAACACACACTGGCTGGCAGGGCATGAGCTGGCATCTAACAGAACATCCAATGACATGGATAGTGTGAAACTGACATTGACAGAGTTGTTGAAAGGCCGAATGGCTCCTCTCCGCTGGAGGGTTCGGTGAAACTCGGCAATCTTCCACTTGCACTGCTCCCCACCCACCACGTACACTGGCTTGCTGCCATAACACATGAGTGGACCAATGTCACGAGAGTGAAAGCAATGAAATACGAGTGCGGGAATCTGAGCAATTGACGGAGGGTAAGAGCAAGAACTCAGGGCAGTACATGCAACATATCTGCACCCCAATCAACATATACTGCCCACATGTAATCCAACATATATGTAACACAACACTTACCCTGTGGAGCAGGCTTCACTGATCATGCTGACAGAATCTGCAGTGATTATAAACGCATCAGCCCAAGCGAGGTTACCCAAGTGAGGGTCCAGGCCTGCAATTTGAAACAGCACAGCACACAAATGATTGATCATCATGTATCCTGACACTTAGGGTTTAGGGATTGACTTACACTTAAAAACGAGGACGACAAATCCTGTGAAAGGTTGAAGCTTCCCACACCATGCCTGAGTGAGGTAAGTGCAGTAAATACGGAAATTCATAATTCCATACATAATTACCACCAATATAAGGAAACTACATTATTTTCTAAACATGCGCACCAGAGAGGGATTTTCTACATTACTTTTGAAGGATGGTACTCACCTTGACCATCCCATATGTAAACAGCATCCTCGTCCTTCAGCTCTTGCTGCAGCACTCGTTGCATCTGTAGGGCGAAGAGGGTATGGATGAGGGCAGTGGTGGGGGTGGGGATGGGGGTGAGGGTGGGAGTGAGGGTCTGCTAAACAGCATGCTGGTCTTTCAACTCTTGCTGCAGCAGTCGCTGCATCTGAAGAGGCACGCAGAGAGGAAGAGGGTGTGACAGGGAGTGGGTATGGAGGACGGGAATGGTGGCGGGGGCGGGGGGTGTCTGTTGTTACACAAGGAGACGAAGATAGTAACATCAAGGAAACACACACACACAGTTTTTCCCCGATCGTTCCTTTGTTGTACTGAAGGTCCCTCCAAAGTAACGTCCAGGAACAGAGTCCAATCAGGTGCGTACCGCCACGGGTGTTCTTCTTGAAAAGGACACGCTGAGAGACCCCTGGCACTCCTGCAACATCTCCTTGAGTGTCCTTGCCAGCTGTGACGGAATTTGAGTCGCCTAAAGAACCAGCCACGTACCGCCACGGGTGTTCTTCTTGAAAAGGACACGCTGAGAGACCCCTGGCACTCTTGCAGCATCTCCTTGAGTGTCCTTGCCAGCTGTGCAATCAAATCTGGGCGGTAGCTACAGTGACCTGGGCAGCAGGGAGTGCGTGAGGTGGCAGGAAGGGGAGAGTGGGAGAGCGGCCGGTAGTGGGGCAAATTGGAAGTGAGGCAAAGAATGAGGCAATAGTGCCTCTATGCCCTCCACATGCAACGGGGCCATGTGCCTCTATGTGAACAAGGAGGCAGAAGTGTTCGACTTCTTTCTTCAGTGGTAAGGAAGTAGGTGGGGCAAAGCTTGGTTGCTATGTACTCATAATGATTTGAGAAAGCCAGCTGGACTTACGAGTGGGTCCACCAATGTTGACCACGACAAGTGGCTTGGGGAAGTCACTGAGAGAGTGCCACGTGGCAGCTGCTGAGCGGAGGAGGGACGGCTCTGCGATGTGCAGTGCGCCAGTTGTCAACACCTGATTCGCCAGAGGACGGGGTGAGAGAAAGGGGGGGAAGCAGGGAAGACTAGACGTGAGGGGTTACGGAACAAATGACATGGTGGGTTGCTTAGGCGCATTTGTTTTGAAATGCAGCCACTGCGGATTGCGGCTGCCTCTGCAGTTTTGAGATGATACCACTATTTCTGCTGCTGTTGCTGCTGCTGCTGCTGCGATTCCGCGATGTCACACCATGTCCACTGCAGGTGGGCGGGGTTGCACTGCAGGTGGGCACTTACCTCGTTCTTGGCAGGTGGAGCAGGGGCGATCCATTTCAGAATCCACGAATGCACCTCCCTGCTGCCTGCTGCTGTGACCCCGTAGAAGTCGTGCAGAGGCACCACCACCAGGTCGTACTGGTGCAGGTCGTTTCTGGGGTGCTAGAGGTACGGCATATGCCACTCACCATGTTCTTGGCAGGGAGGGCACAAGAGCTACCACCAGGTCGTACTGATGGAGGTCGTTTCTGGGAAGGCAGGAGGAGGTAGGTATGGCACCTGCCAAGTTACCACGTAACGTACCACGTTCTTGGCAGGCGGAGCAGGGGCGATCCATTTCAGAATCCACGAAGGCACCTCCCTGCTGGCGGCTGCTGTGAGCCCGTAAAAGTCGTGCAGAGGCGCCACCACCAGGTCGTACTGGTGCAGGTCGTTTCTGGCAGGGCAGGTGTGGGAGCTACCAACGTTTATGGCAGTAGCCACTCACCACGTTCTTGGCAGGGAGGTCAGGAGCAAGAGGCACCACCAGGTCATACTGGTGGAGTGGAGGTCGTTTCTGGGAGGGCAGGAGGAGGTAGGTATGGCACGTGCCAAGCTACCACTTACCACGTTCTTGGCAGGCGGAGCGGGGGCGGTCCACTTCAGTATCCACTTCAGTATGTACTGGTGGAGGTCGTACCTGGGAATTCAGGTGGGACTTACCACGTTCTTGGCAGGCGGAGCAGGGGCGATCCACTTCAGAATCCACGAAGGCACCTCCCGGGTTGCTGCTGCTGTGAGCCCGTAAAAGTCGTGTAGAGGCGCCACCACCAGGTCGTACTGGTGGAGGTCGTTTCTGGGGTGCTGGATCTGCACGACAAGGGTGGAGCTGGGCGCCAGGCGCTTCACCTCTGCTGCTGCCGCCGCTGTGTCCCTCCCTGCTGCCACCACCAGCAGTGGGCCCTCGCTGAGGGGAGAAGAGGAAGGGGAGGGGGAAGGAAGGGAAGAGGAGAGGGGCGGGGATGGCAGCAGGTGGGGTGTGTGGAATGGGTTACCCTATATAATCTCACAGTCATCACATTGTCACTAAGGAGCAGAAGAAGATGCTGAACCGTGCTGGTACATCATTCAACCGAAAGTTACCGCACCATCCCCCACTGCACCCCTCACCTTCCAAGGGTCTCATCACACCGTACCATCCCCCGCTGCACCCCCCTCCAAGAGTCTCATTCGTCTCCCTGCTGGCACATCAGTCAACCGTATCCCTTCTCACGCAACCGCATTCCACCGCACCATTTTCTGCTGCACCCCTCACCTTTCAAGGGTCTCATTTGCCTCCCTGGCGATCGCAGCAGGGTCCGCAGGAGCAGCAGCAGGGAGAAACGCTGACGTGGAAGCTTCTGATAGGATACGAGGCCGCTGGGCGGAGACAGGGTTGCTTCTAGGAAGGAGCACGGATCTGGGCGTGTGCTGAGTCGGCTCATAACGAGGATGGAAAGGGTCAGAGGTATGAAATGATGAAGAACTCGTGCCATTGGCCATGGTACCATTAGGGAAGGGGCCATTGGCGAAGGTGCCATTGGTGAAGGTGTTATTGGAGAAAGTGCTATTGGCGAAGGTGCCACTGGCGAAGGTGCTATTCATACCGTTAGTAGAACCAGCTACAACTGTTTCCAACGGCTTGCCAGAGGAATCTACAGTACCGTTGACGGACGGGGATGAGAAGGGGTTATAGAGTGAACTAGCTGCTTCCGTTCCTCCTACAGCAGACCGTCCGTCTGTGTACGCTACAGCAGCTGCTTCTCTACCTGTGGGTAAACTCACGCCTGTTCCTGCTGTCGCTGATCCTGCTAGTCCTTCTGCTGGTGATACAGCTGTTGGTGCGGATGATGATGATGGTGATGCTGATGGGGGTGTGGGGGGAGCTGGTAAGCTTAATCTGGGGGGTGGGAGAAGGGCTAATCGGAGGACTACGGAGGACACGGCCTGGAAGAGCCATGCTAGGCGTAGAGAGAGGTACGTGTCTAGCTTCTGGTGCGTCTCCAGTGGTAACCACCGTAACCAGCGATGCAGGCCGGCTTTGGGACGAACCACTCTCTGCGATGGAGGGAGAGAAAGAGATAGAGGGAGGCCGGGAGATGAGGGAGGGAGGGGGGAGTCGGTAAGCTTAATCTGGGGGGTGGGAGAAGGGCTAATCGGAGGACTACGGAGGACACGGCCTGGACGAGCCATGCTAGGCATAGAGAGAGGTACGGCAGTTTCAAGAATTCTCAAATATGGGCATCAGGGTTGCAGGATCGGTTAGAGCGGGGAAAGCGGAGGGACGCAGAACATATTGGATAGGACGCTGAAGAGTCACCATCGAGGTATATGCGTTTACCTCTTGAGAATTCTCTAAAGTTGAAGGGTCACCATCCAAATGTGCTCGCACCAAGAAGTCGATAAATGCGTAAGGAAACGGCATTAGCCACCTGAATCTAGTATATAGCTTTCCTCGCACCACTGCAGCCGGATTTTGAGTGAATTTAGAGGGATTGTTACGCAAGCGACATGACATTGGACCCATCTAAGATCTCCTATCATCCTACCTGAATCTCGACAGGTAACTGGAGCCCCCAGAGGTTGCATCTCAAAGAAATGAAGAGAGAATTGCACCTGTTTCAGCTACTTGAATCATTCATATTGTACGGCTTTCCTACCTGTATCTCCATGGACCCTCCTAGTCCCAGAGCTCGCACAAGGCCCAGGCTCTGGTGTTCACTGCCGGGATGGCCGTTCCCTATAATCACAGCGCGACGAATCACGGACGCCGTGCCGCCTTGCTCGAAGATCTCCGGCGTTCCCGCCGATCCTATGACTGGCGGAGGCTCCGGCAGCAATATTCGTCTGTACGACATGCCCTCTGGTGAAGTGGACGGTATTTTGTATGTTATGTTTCAATGATGCCAGGAGCGCGAGAAATGGACGGACGGAATGCGCTGGAAAAAAGAAGCAGGATGCGGGATGCTATGTAATCAAACGCGGGATGCTAAACATGCAATTACGTAGACGCTCTAATCTCTTGTGGGTAAATTTGTGGCCTAGCAAAGCTACTAGGTCGTTAGAGTGTGGCCTAGCGCAGCTAATAGGTCGTTGATCGTGGACTAGGTAAGTGGGAATCAGCAGTGGTGCACGTGACCACCAACAAACGTACAGATGATGAGCAGAAAGCAACGAGTAAAAGAACCAGTCGACGGCCACGATACGTTGAAATTAGCACGGATCTTCAATCGGAGCCGCTCAGATGGACAGAATGACAGAATCTGGGTCCACGAAAGCAGATACTGTAGTTGTGATGCTGCTGAGCAGGGAAATGACGGAACTAGCACTGTTCTGTCCAGCGCAACGACTTCCGTCAGCGAAACGGCCAGAAATCCTGCTTGAACGAAACGAGCCATCGAAGAGGAGAGTTGACCAGGCGAAGCGCGAAGCTGTGGTTGGTGGGGTTCGAGAAACGTGCTATACCACGTCAGGTCTGGGCAAGGTGACCCCAGGAATCTTGGGTGGAAACAACCAACGGACATGAGCCTTGGGAAGGCTGACATGTCTCCCTCCCACGTGTGCCATCCCAGAGGTTGGGAACTGAAGGGGTGCCCTGGTTACTGCTGTGTTACAGAAAACACAGGTTCATGTTAACAGCACGTATAGAATAATATGACACTCCGCTGGGTAACGAGAGATCATAAGGCGTATGAGGATTTAGGTCAACAACTGAATAGCCAATGCCTTTCTGCCAACGTTGCGGTCCGGACAGAAAAAACATCGATAGAAAGGTAGAGGGCAGAAAAAAAATAACCCACCTTTACCCACTCAGAGTTCGCCACATGTGGCGCACAAGACAGCAAAGCACGAGCCACCACAGGCAGCCTCTCAAAAGCGCCAGAGCTGACTCATTTGTGGCGTCGAGGTCGCCACGTGACCGCCTGTCCAATCCACCTTCAAGCGTGTGGTGATGTGTCTGCTTTCGCGAACAGATGTGTCCACTTCAGCATTCTGTCAGAAACTCTGGCGGAAGGGGAACAGCCCCATCTCATTACACCGCGAACATCTGCGACTGCCCTCGCCAAACAAAGGTAGCCCAGTAACTTGATTCGCAGCAAGTGTGAACCAATCAGAGGCAAAATATGCACGCCGCCCTGCGCTCGCTTACCTCAGGCTATCCAGTTTTGGCAGCCTATCTTGCCAGGTTAATCCTAACCAGCCCCGCACTCTGTTCGCTTACCTCTCCTACTCCTGAAATACGTCTCACCCCGCGCAACGTGGAAGGGGAGTGTGAGGAGGACCGAAGCGTCGCGGGGCTAGTCGTTTTCGCATTTCTGTTCCCCGATATTGACGCGGGAACCGTCAGGACATGCGAAGCCTGAAGCAGAAATAAGGAATTCCCTAATTTTGAGGCAGGCAATGGAATCCTAATCCAAATGGCAGGCCCTGGCAGCCTAATTCAAGCGTCTGCTTGAAAAGGCAGCCTGACATGATGCTAGTTTAGTGAGCGTCGAGCACCCCCATCCCTTCCTTTCCGCCCTCCGCGTCCACCCTCCGCTTCCGCCTGCCGCTTCCGCCCTCCGTTTCCGCCCTTCGTCTCCGCCCGTCGTTCCCGCCATTCGGGGGTCCGACTCCGCTTGCCCCATCGGCGCGCAATGGCGCAGCTGCGCCACCACTGCGTTACTAATTCCGCCACCTATTCCGCCAACCATTCCGCCACGCATTCCGCCACTCTTCCCCTCACCCACTTGGCTGAGGCGCGGAGGACTCCTTTCGCTCCCCCTCTCTTGCGCGCGCCTTCGCCATTTCCCAAAGCCGCCATAGCTCTCTGCGTAACCAGCGGCGTGAAATGCGCTTCTGGATTCGGTAGGTTCGGTCGGAGCAGTAGCGAAAGCTCACGGCTCGGGCCGTCCCAAGGTCCGAGGCTCGAGTCAGGTCCGAGGTTCGGGTCAGGGTCGGGGCTCGGATCACACCATGCCGCCTGGCTCGGTTCAGGTCTGGTCCGGCGCAGCAACGCGACGGGCGTAGGGGGGAGGCTCGGGAGCAGCCACAGATGTGACAGCAACGGGGGGCAGGTTGGCGGGGAAAGCGGGAGGCGGGGGGCTGCTAGAAGAGCAAATGTGCGTATAACGAGGGACGTGCGGGCGGCGGTGGGGGTGGAGATTGGCTCGTCGGCGGCTCAGGATGTGATTGGAACGCTGGGGCTCGATACACTCACGTTCCTGGTGGCCACCGTCATTGTCATCCCCTTCTTCCGCAGCTTCAAAGCCAGCCCGGTGAGACATGAAGGAGGTGAGATGCGTCTCTGAGGTGCTAAAAATGGATGTGATTGGAACGCTGGGGCTCGATACACTCACGTTCCTGGTGGCCACCGTCATTGTCATCCCCTTCTTCCGCAGCTTCAAAGCCAGCCCGGTGAGACATGAAGGAGGTGAGATGCGTCTCTGAGGTGCTAAAAATGGATGTGATTGGAACGCTGGGGCTCGATACACTCACGTTCCTGGTGGCCACCGTCATTGTCATCCCCTTCTTCCGCAGCTTCAAAGCCAGCCCGGTGAGTTGCGATGCGAGGGAGGCTCGGGAGATGGGGAAATGCTTTCCGAGGCTAAAATGAGAAGCCAGTTCAGAGGGCCTCTCCAGTTCAGCCCCTGTGAACGGCCAAGAACGGCCAAGAACGGCTCTCTGGCAGAGAAAGGCTATTCAGATTGTACCTCTATCTTCCTTCCCCCCCTCTTGACCTGCCCTTCTCTCTCCCTCCGTCCCTCACCTCTCTTCCATCCCATCCCTCTCTGTGTGGCTTCCTGCTTTCTGGAGTGGCACTCAACCAGCCGCGGCTCATCTCATCTCATCTCATCTCATCTCATCCCCTCTAATGAAACGTCTCAGAAAAATCCCTCTTCTCCTCCCCCCGTGCCCCCCTCCCCTCGCCCCCATGCCACCACCATCTCATACCCAGCTTTGAGACGTCTCATCAAAACCCGACGTCTCATCAAAACCCGACGTCTCATCAAAACCCGACGTCTCATAAAAACCCGACGTCTCATAAAAACCCGACGTCTCATCAAAACCCCTCGTCTCCATCCCCTGGCACCGCTCTCCCTTCTCTCCCCCATGCCACCATCATCAGATTCTCGGCTTCCTGCTCTCAGGCATGGCGCTCAACCAGCTGGGGCTCATTCGCAACATCTTGGCAACGCATGAACAACCCTCCTCTGCTCCTCCACCCCTCTCTCCTTCCCCTCCCTCCATCAGATTCTCGGCTTCCTGCTCTCAGGCGTAGCTCTCAACCAGCTGGGGCTCATCCGCAACATCTCGGATGTCAAAGCACTCTCGGAACTCGGAATCCTCTTCCTGGTAAGCTGCACTGCACCCGCTGCACTCGCTCACTGCTCAAGAAACAGCTCGAGCCTCTGTTCTGCTTTTGCTCTCTGCTGATTTGCAACATCTCGGATGTCAAAGCGCTCTCGGAACTCGGAATCCTCTTCCTGGTAAGCCGCACTGCACTTACTGCGCTGCACCAGCTGCACTCACTGCTCAAGAAACGCATTGCCCAAGAAACAGACCCAAGCCCTGTTCTCGCATTGCTCTCTGCTCTAATCAGCAACATCGCGGATGTCAAAGCACTCTTCGAACTCGGGATTCTCTTCCCGGTAGGCTGAGCAGCACTCGATGCTCAACAAACAACTCCAGCCTCTGTTCTCGTATAGCTCTCTGCTCTCTGCTCTCTGCCCTCTGTCACTATTGACCTTACCTTAAGGCTTCAACTGCTTCAGATCTGAACCCACTTCCCGATGTTCACCTATTACCTGTCGTTCCTCCATCCTACCCCCCCTTACATATGCTCCTCACAGCTCTTCGAGATGGGGCTGGAGCTGTCTATCGAGCGACTGAGGGCCCTTGCCAAGTTTGCCTTTGGCATGGGCCTGCCGCAGGTGAGTGGCTGTAGCAGGTGGGGGACTGTGGGGTGCTGGAGGTGAGAGGCTGTAGCAGGTGAGGGGTTGTGGGGTGGCGGTGAGATGGGGCTGGAGCTGTCTATCGAGCGACTGAGGGCCCTCGCTAAGTTCGCCTTTGGCATGGGCCTGCCGCAGGTGAGTGGCTGAGGGCTGTAGCAGGTGAGTGTGATGTGACCTGACTGGCGAGAGGCTGTGGCAGGCATGGGCCTGCCGCAGGTGAGTGGGGTGTGGGGTGCTGTAGCAGGTGAGAGCTTTTGGTGTGGCAGGTTAGGGGAAGATTGGTATTACAGTCGGGTTTCGCTTGTCTTACTGAAGGTGAAGGCACGGTGCTCCTCACCACTCCTCACCACTCCTCGCCACTCCTCCGCACCACTCCTCACCACATTGTCCCCTCCCTGCAGGTGCTGCTCACAACGCTCGCCTTCGCAGCGTTTGAGCTCCCACCCAACAACGCCATCGGCACCCGTCTGCTCGGTTTTGAAGCCCCTTCAGAGTCTCTCACCATTGCTCACCGCTCCTCACCGCACTTCCCCTCCCCTCCCTCCAACAGGTGCTCCTCACCACGCTCGCCTTCGCAGCGTTTGAGCTCCCTCCCGACCATGCCATCGGCACCCGCATGCTTGCTCGGTTTTGAAGCCCCTTAAGAGTCTCTCACCGTTCCTCACCGCTCCTCACCGCACTTCCCCTCCCCTCTCTCCAACAGGTGCTCCTCACCACGCTCGCCTTTGCAGCGTTTGAGCTCCCTCCCGACCATGCCATCGGCACCCGCATGCTTGCTCGGTTTTGAAGCCCCTTAACAGTCTCTCACCGTTCCTCACCGCTCCTCACCGCACTTCCCCTCCCCTCCCTCCAACAGGTGCTCCTCACCACGCTCGCCTTTGCAGCGTTTGAGCTCCCTCCCGACCATGCCATCGGCACCCGCATGCTCGAGTGGGCTGCCTCTGCCCGCCCTGACCTGGTGAGACCCCATCCCCTCTCAACCCTTTCCACACCTTTCCACCCCTTTCCATCCCTCCCGACAACGCCATCGGCACCCGCATGCTCGAGTGGGCTGCCTCTGCCCGCCCTGACCTGGTGAGACCCCATCCCCTCCTATCCCTTTCCACACCTTTCCATCCCTCCCGACCACGCCATGGGCACCCGCATGCTCGAGTGGGCTGCCTCTGCCCGCCCTGACCTGGTGAGATCCCACCCCCTCCCAACCCTTCTCACCCCTCCCCACTCCATCCCATCCCACCCAATAACGCCATTGGCACCGACCTGACCTAGAATGCTCTCCTTCCTTCGCAGGCATCAGTTCTCTGTTCTCCGCTCGCTGCCTCTGCTTGCCTCTGCTGGCCTCTGCTTGCCTCTGCTGGCCTCTGCTTGCCTCTGCTCGCCTCTGTTCACTGCCCATTCCCTCTGTTTGCAGTCCAATCTTTCTGCACGTGAACATTCCGTCAGTGGATGAGGCCCGCCCGCCCTAGTGACCATCGGGGCTGCTCCCTCCGTTTGTTGTCATGTCATCATTGCTACGCTTTGTTTGCCGCCCGGTATTGCTTTACAGGTGAACATCCGGTCAGTGGACGAGGCAATAGTGATCGGCGCTGCTCTCTCACTCTCCTCCTCCGCTTTTGTGCTTCAGGTGCGTTTTTAACCTCACCGTCTGTTGTGTCTGTTGCATATTCTCTCAAACAACCAGCCATCCGAGCCCCCTCCCCATCTCCTCTTCCCGTTTGCCGCCATACAGAGGTGACTTTTGAGTCGTCTCAAAAGTCACCGCGTTTTTAGCCTCACCGTCTGTTGTGTCTGCCGCATATTCTCTCAAACAACCAGCCATCCGAGCCCCCTCCCCATCTCCTCGTCCTGTTTGCCGCCATACACACTCCCTGTCCCTCATTTTGTTTCTTGGCCCCAGCCACTCGTGGAGTTTCTTTAGGTTCTAGCCTGTAACCGCGTTCTGCTCTCGCCTGTGCACATCTGTCTCTGCTCTGCGCTGGAGTTATCTGTGCCTGCCTCTGCCCCCCTGTGCTTTCCACTTTTGAGGCGCCTCAAAAATCTGTCTGTGTTATCTGTGCCGGCCTCTGCTCCCCTGTGCTTTCCTGCTCTCCTCAGCTGCCACCCGCGTGGGCTCAGCCACTCTTGGGATTTCTTTAGTTTCTAGCAGATAACCCCATTCTCTGCTCCCCTGTGCTCCCTTCCCCTCTCCTCCTTGCCTCAGCTGCTCTCAGAGAAGGGAGAGCTTGCCACCCGCGTGGGCTCAGCCACTCTTGGGATTTCTTTAGTTTCTAGCACATAACCCCATTCTCTGCTCCCCTGTACTCCCCTCCCCTCTCCTCCTTGCCTCAGCTGCTCTCAGAGAAGGGCGAGCTTGCCACCCGCGTGGGCTCAGCCACTCTTGGGATTTTACTGCTGCAGGACATAGCGGTGGTGCCTCTGTTGGTCATCCTCCCTATCCTTGAGAGCGGGGTGAGTGCTTCGTCGCAGCCATCGGATGCGGCTTTTGAGATGGTGGTGGTGAGCGGGGTAAGAGCTTCGTCGCAAAATTCGCATCCTCCCATCGGATGCGGCTTTTGAGATGACATGTCAAGTCATTGCAGGAGGGTGTTTTTGAGAATTCTCGGAAACACCCTGAGAATTCTGAAAAACACCCTGCAGTATCCTTGAGAGCGGGGTGAGTGCCTCGTTGCAGCCATCGGACGCGGCTTTTGAGATGAGATGTCAAGTCATTGCAGGACATAGTGGTGGTGCCTCTGTTGGTCATCCTCCCTATTCTCGAGAGCGGGGTGAGTGGCATGAGTTTACTTATGAGAATTCTCAAAAGTGGCATGCCATGGTAAGTGGGGTGGGATAGGATGTGTGTCAAGCATGGCGGGGTAAGTGGGGTGGGATAGGATGCGTGTCAAGCATGGTGGGGTAAGTGGGGTGGGATAGGATGCATGTGTGTCACACATCCCCCCTTCCCCACTCGCTTCTCGTCTGACATAGCAGTAACCCCATGCATGTGTTTTGAGACGTCTCAAAACACTCCTTCTTTCACGTCTGACATAGCAGCAACCCCATGCATGTGTTTTGAGACGTCTCAAAACACTCCTTCTTTCACGTCTGACATAGCAGTAACCCCATGCATGTGTTTTGAGACGTCTCAAAACACTCCTTCTTTCACGTCTGACATAGCAGCAACCCCATGCATGTGTTTTGAGACGTCTCAAAACACTCCTTCTTTCACGTCTGACATAGCAGTAACCCCATGCATGTGTTTTGAGACGTCTCAAAACACTCCTTCTTTCACGTCTGACATAGCAGCAACCCCATGCATGTGTTTTGAGACGTCTCAAAACACTCCTTCTTTCACGTCTGACATAGCAGTAACCCCATGCATGTGTTTTGAGACGTCTCAAAACACTCCTTCTTTCACGTCTGACATAGCAGCAACCCCATGCATGTGTTTTGAGACGTCTCAAAACGCTCCTTCTTTCACGTCTGACATAGCAGTAACCCCATGCATGTGTTTTGAGACGTCTCAAAACACTCCTTCTTTCACGTCTGACATAGCAGCAACCCCATGCATGTGTTTTGAGACGTCTCAAAACACTCCTTCTTTCACGTCTGACATAGCAGTAACCCCATGCATGTGTTTTGAGACGTCTCAAAACACTCCTTCTTTCACGTCTGACATAGCAGTAACCCCATGCATGTGTTTTGAGACGTCTCAAAACACTCCTTCTTTCTCGTCTGACATAGCAGCAACCCCATGCATGTGTTTTGAGACGTCTCAAAACACTCCTTCTTTCACGTCTGACATAGCAGTAACCCCATGCATGTGTTTTGAGACGTCTCAAAACACTCCTTCTTTCACGTCTGACATAGCAGCAACCCCATGCATGTGTTTTGAGACGTCTCAAAACACTCCTTCTTTCACGTCTGACATAGCAGCAACCCCATGCATGTGTTTTGAGACGTCTCAAAACACTCCTTCTTTCACGTCTGACATAGCAGTAACCCCATGCATGTGTTTTGAGACGTCTCAAAACACTCCTTCTTTCACGTCTGACATAGCAGTAACCCCATGCATGTGTGCCCCTGCAATTTGCAGTGCCTGACTCCCCGCTATCAGCACCATCCTTAACACATTCACAGATGACAGTCTGTTTCATCTCCAGGGACTCAAGTCCCTGCAGGGCCTGGGAGTGCTGCTCTACATGGGCCGGTGCTGTCCCCTTACCTTAGTCCTTCCCCTTGTCTCCTCCCCATCACCCTCCCCCTGCCACCCCTCCCCTCAACAGGATTTCACAGAAGACAGTCTATTCCCTCTGCTCGCAGCAGCGGGACTCAAGTCCCCGCTGGGCCTGGGCTTGCTGCTCTACTTTGCCTGGCACTACCTTTCACACCCACCAACACCCTCCCCTCTCCCTCCCTTTCTGCTTCCCCACAGGATTTTACCGACGGCAGGCAGTCTATTCCCTCTGCTAGCAGCAGCAGCAGAGGGGCTCAGGTCTCTCCGAGTTGACTTTTGAGTCGACTCAAAGGTCTCTCCTCGGTCTGGGAGAGTGCTGCTCTACATGGGCCGCCTCTTTTCTCTTACACCCACCAACAACAACAACCCTCTCACCTCTACCTCCCCTTGTTCTTTCCCAACAGGATTCCACGGATGACAGTCTATTCCCTCTGCTAGTAGCAGCAGCAGGGCTCAGGTCTCTCCTCGGCTTGGGCGTGCTGCTGCTCTGCAGTCTGCATAGTTCCCTCTTCCCACCCCCCCCTACCCCTTCCCCCTAACAGGATTCCACGGACGACAGTCTATTTCCACTCCTCGCAGCAGCGGGGCTCAGGTCCCTGCTGGGCCTGGGAGTGCTGCTCTACATGGGCCGGCTCTTTTCCTTACATGCCCACCAACACCCTCCCCTCTCTCTCCACTTAACTTGCCCCACAGCCCCTACTTTCTCCCCAACAGGATTTCACGGACGACAGTTTATTCCCCTTGTTGGCAGCAGCGGGCCTCAAGTCTCTCCTCGGCGTGGGCGTGCTGCTCTACACCAGGGCCGGCTCTCTTCCTTACACGCCCACCAACAACCCTCTCACCTCTACCTCTCCTTGTGCTTCCCCAACAGGATTTCACAGACGACAGTCTATTCCCGCTCCTCGCAGCAGCGGGCCTCAAGTCCCTGCTGGGCCTGGGAGTGCTGCTCTACATGGGCAGGCTCTTTCTCAGAAGGTTCTTCGAGTTTGTGGCTGAGTCACGCAGCACAGAGGCCTTTGTGGCGCTCTGCCTCTTGACAGTCACAGGAACGTCCCTCATCACAAGCAAATTAGGATTCAGTGACTCGGTGAGTAGTTGCTACGGGATTAACGGGTGGTGAACACCTCTCTCTAGCCGCTTTTGGGAGGCGATACTTGCAGCACAGAGGCCTTTGTGGCGCTCTGCCTCTTGACAGTCACAGGGACATCCCTCATCACAAGCAAATTAGGATTCAGTGACTCGGTGAGTGCTGCTGTTATCGTTGTACTTGTGGCCTTTGTTGAGTTATTAGCCCCCTGAGGCAGTCCAGTCGCGCATCACAGAGGCCTTTGTGGCGCTCTGCCTCTTGACAGTCACGGGGACGTCTCTTATCACAAGCAAGCTCGGATTCAGTGACTCGGTGAGTGTGCTGGTTGGTGTACAGGGGGGTAACATGGTGCAGAGCTTACCTCTCTGCAAGCTTCTCTTGAAGGATTCGCGCAGCACAGAGGCCTTTGTGGCGCTCTGCCTGCTCACAATCACAGGGACTTCCTTGATCAGAAGCAAGCTCGGATTCAGTGACTCGGTGAGTGAGTGCTGCCTTTGAGTCGACTCAAAAGGTGAGTGAGTGCTGCCTTTGAGTCGACTCAAAAGGTGAGTGAGTGCTGCCTTTGAGTCGACTCAAAAGGTGAGTGAGTGCTGCCTTTGAGTCGACTCAAAAGGTGAGTGAGTGCTGCCTTTGAGTCGACTCAAAAGGTGAGTGAGTGCTGCCTTTGAGTCGACTCAAAAGGTGAGTGAGTGCTGCCTGTATAATACCCAGTCCCCTCAGGTAGTCGCGCAGCACAGAGGCCTTTGTAGCGCTCTTCCTGCTCACAGTCACCATGAACCAAATTACTCACTTACGCTCTCCTCTCCTGTGCTCTCCTCCCTGTCTCTCATGCCTGCCTGCGCTTGCAGCTCGGAGCGTTCTTGGCAGGAGTGTTGCTAGCAGAGACCAACTACCGCACGCAGGTGGAGGGGAATGGAGGCACCATGAACCCAAACCCGCACTTACTCTCTCCTCTCCTGTGTTCTCCTCCCTGTCTCTCATGCCTGCCTGTGCTTGCAGCTCGGAGCGTTCTTGGCAGGAGCGTTGCTGGCAGAGACCAACTACCGCACGCAGGTGAGTGAGTGAGGCTGATTCAGCCCAAGCGTAATAAAAGTAAAGCACATCAGTAAAATCACATTGCCGCCTGCTGCTAGGTACTTCTTTCTAGGCGTGGTGGGGCAAACGGGTGATTCGCCTAGTAGGAATTTACTTAATTGCTGGGTACTCAGTTCCTACTAGTTGACTTTTGAGTCGACTCGACTTTTGAGTCAACTCAAAAGTCAAACAGGTGATTCGCCTAGGAGGAACTCACTTCACTGCTAGGTACTCAGTTCCTACTAGGTAAGTCACCCTGCTCCCTCTGTCTCAATTCATGCTTCGCCTCCATCCCCCATTCCCCATGCCCCATGCCCCATGCCCATACCGTCACGATCCAAACTCTGCGCCCAGGTGGAGGCAGACATTCGTCCCTTCAGGGGTCTGCTGCTGGGTCGAGTTTTGAGTCGTCTCAAAACTTTACTCCTGCTGGGTCGCTTCTTTGCCTCTTGCTGTATCTGTTCGCCTCACTTCACTTCACTTCACTCTTCACGTCCTCCCATACCATAACCCCCCATGCGCAGGTGGAGGCAGACATTCGCCCCTTCAGGGGTCTCCTGCTGGGTCTCTTCTTTGCCTCCTTGCTGTATCTGTTCGCCTCACTTCACTTCACTCTTCACTTCACTTCACTTCACTCTTCACGTCCTCCCATACCATACCCCCCATGCGCAGGTCGAGGCAGACATTCGTCCCTTCAGGGGTCTGCTGCTGGGTCTCTTTTTCGTCACCACTGGCACATCCATTGATCTCAGCGTGAGTCAGTGGTGCCTTTACATGACCTCTTTCATACACAATATGGTTTCTGCTGGGTGTAAGCCATTGAACCGTAGTGTGTGTTGCTGGGTGTAAGCCATTGAACCGTAGTGTGTGTTGCTGGGTGTAAGCCATTGAACCGTAGTGTGTGTTGCTGGGTGTAAGCCATTGAACCGTAGTGTCTGTTGCTGGGTGTAAGCCATTGAACCGTAGTGTGTGTTGCTGGGTGTAAGCCATTGAACCGTAGTGTCTGTTGCTGGGTGTAAGCCATTGAACCGTAGTGTCTGTTGCTGGGTGTAAGCCATTGAACCGTAGTGTCTGTTGCTGGGTGTAAGCCATTGAACCGTAGTGTCTGTTGCTGGGTGTAAGCCATTGAACCGTAGTGTCTGTTGCTGGGTGTAAGCCATTGAACCGTGGTGTCTGTTGCTGGGTGTAAGCCATTGAACCGTAGTGTCTGTTGCTGGGTGTAAGCCATTGAACCGTAGTGTCTGTTGCTGGGTGTAAGCCATTGAACCGTAGTGTCTGTTGCTGGGTGTAAGCCATTGAACCGTAGTGTGTGTTACTGGGTGTAAGCCATTGAACTGTAGTGTGTGTTGCTGGGTGTAAGCCATTGAACCGTAGTGTGTGTTACTGGGTGTAAGCCATTGAACCGTAGTGTGTGTTGCTGGGTGTAAGCCATTGAACCGTAGTGTCTGTTGCTGGGCTCGGTTTCGTCACCACTGGCACATCCATTGATCTCAGCGTCAGTCCATTTGCGAATGCCCCTGTGCCTTGTCAGGTTCAGCCCAGCGTGTACATTTCAGCCTAGTTCCCATCTCTCGATTCAGATGACTTTTGAGTCAACTCAAAAGTCAAAAAGTCACCTCATTTGCGAATGCCCCTGTGCCTTGTCAGGTTCAGCCCAGCGTGTACGTACGTTGCAGTCTAGTTCCCATCTCTCGATTCAGTCTGCTTTCATCTATGAATGTGTTGAAGTGCATGCCCTTGAGTGGGCGAGACTATGCGCCAGAAAACATGCACCTTCCACCCACCATGTGTGACTCTTCCCTCCCTGTCTCATCTCGTCTTGACTCACCCCTCTCCCACCCTCATTCTCCCTCCCCGTCTCATCTCGTCTTGACTCACCCCTCTCCCACCCTCATTCTCCCTCCCCCCCCCCCCCCCCCCCCCCCCCCCCCCCCCCCCCCCCCCCCCCCCCCCCCCCCCGGCATTCTCCTTCCCCTCCTCTTTCCCTTTCTGTTCCTTTCTCTTCTCCCACATCCCTCATTCTTCTCCACCCCCATCCCCTCCCCGGCGCACCACAGCTCCTAGCAGCGGAATGGCCCAACATTCTGCTCCTCCTCTCCGGCCTCATAGCCATCAAAACCGCCATCATCACGCCTCTTTCCCCTTTCTTTCTTCCACATACCTCATTCACCAAAGCTCTTAGCAGCGGAGTGGCCCAACATATTGCTCCTCCTCGCCGGCCTCATTGCCATCAAGACCGCCATCATCACGGCTCTCGGCCCGCGGGTCGGCCTCTCCCTCCCGGAGTCCATCCGCACGGGCCTGCTGCTGTCCCAGGGAGGAGAGTTCGCCTTCGTCGTCTTTGCCCTCGCCAGCCAGTGAGTCAACAGCCTTCCACCTCACTGCCGCCACCCTTTGCCATCTATTAGAGTGAAATGGTTACCATGCCTCTCCCCTCCCCGAGTCCATCCGCACGGGCCTGCTGCTGTCCCAGGGAGGAGAGTTCGCCTTCGTCGTCTTTGCCCTCGCCAGCCAGTGAGTCAACAGCCTTCAACCTCACTGCCGCCACCCTTTGCCATCTATTAGAGTGAAATGGTTACCATGCCTCTCCCCTCCCGGAGTCCATCCGCACGGGCTTGCTGCTGTCCCAGGGAGGAGAGTTCGCCTTCGTCGTCTTTGCCCTCGCCAGCCAGTGAGTCAACAGCCTTCAACCTCACTGCCGCCACCCTTTGCCATCTATTAGAGTGAAATGGTTACCATGCCTCTCCCCTCCCGGAGTCCATCCGCACGGGCTTGCTGCTGTCCCAGGGAGGAGAGTTCGCCTTCGTCGTCTTTGCCCTCGCCAGCCAGTGAGTCAACAGCCTTCCACCTCACTGCCGCCACCCTTTGCCATCTATTAGAGTGAAATGGTTACCATGCCTCTCCCCTCCCGGAGTCCATCCGCACGGGCTTGCTGCTGTCCCAGGGAGGAGAGTTCGCCTTCGTCGTCTTTGCCCTCGCCAGCCAGTGAGTCAACAGCCTTCCACCTCACTGCCGCCACCCTTTGTCATCTATTAGAGTGAAATGGTTACCATGCCTCTCCCCTCCCGGAGTCCATCCGCACGGGCTTGCTGCTGTCCCAGGGAGGAGAGTTCGCCTTCGTCGTCTTTGCCCTCGCCAGCCAGTGAGTCAACAGCCTTCCACCTCACTGCCGCCACCCTTTGCCATCTATTAGAGTGAAATGGTTACCATGCCTCTCCCCTCCCGGAGTCCATCCGCACGGGCTTGCTGCTATCCCAGGGAGGAGAGTTCGCCTTCGTCGTCTTTGCCCTCGCCAGCCAGTGAGTCAACAGCCTTCAACCTCACTGCCGCCACCCTTTGCCATCTATTAGAGTGAAATGGTTACCATGCCTCTCCCCTCCCGGAGTCCATCCGCACGGGCTTGCTGCTATCCCAGGGAGGAGAGTTCGCCTTCGTCGTCTTTGCCCTCGCCAGCCAGTGAGTCAACAGCCTTCAACCTCACTGCCGCCACCCTTTGCCATCTATTAGAGTGAAATGGTTACCATGCCTCTCCCCTCCTGGAGTCCATCTGCACGGGCTTGCTGCTATCCCAGGGAGGAGAGTTCGCCTTCGTCGTCTTTGCCCTCGCCAGCCAGTGAGTCAACAGCCTTCAGCCTCACTGCCGCCACCCTTTGCCATCTATTAGAGTGAAATGGTTACCATGCCTCTCCCCTCCCGGAGTCCATCCGCACGGGCCTTCTGCTGTCCCAGGGAGGAGAGTTCGCCTTCGTCGTCTTTGCCCTCGCCAGCCAGTGAGTGCACTGCCCTCCATTCCCTCAGCCTTCCTCTGCCGCCTAACTGAATCATGTGGCTATGATGTCTCCAACTCCCCCGTGTGTCCGCTGTGACTTTTGAGTCGACTAAAAAGTCACCTCATTCCCTCAGCCTTCCTCTGCCGCCTAACTGAATCATATGGCTATGATGTCTCCAACTCCCCCGTGTGTCCGCTGTCACTTTTGAGTCGACTAAAAAGTCACCTCATTCCCTCAGCCTTCCTCTGCCGCCTAACTGAATCATATGGCTATGATGTCTCCAACTCCCCCGTGTGTCCGCTGTCACTTTTGAGTCGACTAAAAAGTCACCTCATTCCCTCAGCCTTCCTCTGCCGCCTAACTGAATCATATGGCTATGATGTCTCCAACTCCCCCGTGTGTCCGCTGTCACTTTTGAGTCGACTAAAAAGTCACCTCATTCCCTCAGCCTTCCTCTGCCGCCTAGCTGAATCATATGGCTATGATGTCTCCAACTCCCCCGTGTGTCCGCTGTCACTTTTGAGTCGACTAAAAAGTCACCTCATTCCCTCAGCCTTCCTCTGCCGCCTAACTGAATCATATGGCTATGATGTCTCCAACTCCCCCGTGTGTCCGCTGTCACTTTTGAGTCGACTAAAAAGTCACCTCATTCCCTCAGCCTTCCTCTGCCGCCTAGCTGAATCATATGGCTATGATGTCTCCAACTCCCCCGTGTGTCCGCTGTCACTTTTGAGTCGACTAAAAAGTCACCTCATTCCCTCAGCCTTCCTCTGCCGCCTAGCTGAATCATATGGCTATGCTGTCTCCAACTCCCCCGTGTGTCCGCTGTCACTTTTGAGTCGACTAAAAAGTCACCTCATTCCCTCAGCCTTCCTCTGCCGCCTAGCTGAATCATATGGCTATGATGTCTCCAACTCCCCCGTGTGTCCGCTGTCACTTTTGAGTCGACTAAAAAGTCACCTCATTCCCTCAGCCTTCCTCTGCCGCCTAACTGAATCATATGGCTATGCTGTCTCCAACTCCCCCGTGTGTCCGCTGTCACTTTTGAGTCGACTAAAAAGTCACCTCATTCCCTCAGCCTTCCTCTGCCGCCTAACTGAATCATATGGCTATGCTGTCTCCAACTCCCCCGTGTGTCCGCTGTCACTTTTGAGTCGACTAAAAAGTCACCTCATTCCCTCAGCCTTCCTCTGCCGCCTAACTGAATCATATGGCTATGCTGTCTCCAACTCCCCCGTGTGTCCGCTGTCACTTTTGAGTCGACTAAAAAGTCACCTCATTCCCTCAGCCTTCCTCTGCCGCCTAGCTGAATCATATGGCTATGCTGTCTCCAACTCCCCCGTGTGTCCGCTGTCACTTTTGAGTCGACTAAAAAGTCACCTCATTCCCTCAGCCTTCCTCTGCCGCCTAGCTGAATCATATGGCTATGCTGTCTCCAACTCCCCCGTGTGTCCGCTGTCACTTTTGAGTCGACTTAAAAGTCACCTCATTCCCTCAGCCTTCCTCTGCCGCCTAGCTGAATCATATGGCTATGCTGTCTCCAACTCCCCCGTGTGTCCGCTGTCACTTTTGAGTCGACTAAAAAGTCACCTCATTCCCTCAGCCTTCCTCTGCCGCCTAGCTGAATCATATGGCTATGCTGTCTCCAACTCCCCTGTGTGTCCGCTGTCACTTTTGAGTCGACTAAAAAGTCACCTCATTCCCTCAGCCTTCCTCTGCCGCCTAGCTGAATCATATGGCTATGCTGTCTCCAACTCCCCTGTGTGTCCGCTGTCACTTTTGAGTCGACTAAAAAGTCACCTCATTCCCTCAGCCTTCCTCTGCCGCCTAGCTGAATCATATGGCTATGATGTCTCCAACTCCCCTGTGTGTCCGCTGTCACTTTTGAGTCGACTAAAAAGTCACCTCATTCCCTCAGCCTTCCTCTGCCGCCTAGCTGAATCATATGGCTATGCTGTCTCCAACTCCCCTGTGTGTCCGCTGTCACTTTTGAGTCGACTAAAAAGTCACCTCATTCCCTCAGCCTTCCTCTGCCGCCTAACTGAATCATATGGCTATGATGTCTCCAACTCCCCTGTGTGTCCGCTGTCACTTTTGAGTCGACTAAAAAGTCACCTCATTCCCTCAGCCTTCCTCTGCCGCCTAACTGAATCATATGGCTATGATGTCTCCAACTCCCCCGTGTGTCCGCTGTCACTTTTGAGTCGACTAAAAAGTCACCTCATTCCCTCAGCCTTCCTCTGCCGCCTAGCTGAATCATATGGCTATGCTGTCTCCAACTCCCCTGTGTGTCCGCTGTCACTTTTGAGTCGACTAAAAAGTCACCTCATTCCCTCAGCCTTCCTCTGCCGCCTAACTGAATCATATGGCTATGATGTCTCCAACTCCCCCGTGTGTCCGCTGTCACTTTTGAGTCGACTAAAAAGTCACCTCATTCCCTCAGCCTTCCTCTGCCGCCTAGCTGAATCATATGGCTATGCTGTCTCCAACTCCCCCGTGTGTCCGCTGTCACTTTTGAGTCGACTAAAAAGTCACCTCATTCCCTCAGCCTTCCTCTGCCGCCTAGCTGAATCATATGGCTATGATGTCTCCAACTCCCCCGTGTGTCCGCTGTCACTTTTGAGTCGACTAAAAAGTCACCTCATTCCCTCAGCCTTCCTCTGCCGCCTAACTGAATCATATGGCTATGCTGTCTCCAACTCCCCCGTGTGTCCGCTGTCACTTTTGAGTCGACTAAAAAGTCACCTCATTCCCTCAGCCTTCCTCTGCCGCCTAACTGAATCATATGGCTATGCTGTCTCCAACTCCCCCGTGTGTCCGCTGTCACTTTTGAGTCGACTAAAAAGTCACCTCATTCCCTCAGCCTTCCTCTGCCGCCTAACTGAATCATATGGCTATGCTGTCTCCAACTCCCCCGTGTGTCCGCTGTCACTTTTGAGTCGACTAAAAAGTCACCTCATTCCCTCAGCCTTCCTCTGCCGCCTAGCTGAATCATATGGCTATGCTGTCTCCAACTCCCCCGTGTGTCCGCTGTCACTTTTGAGTCGACTAAAAAGTCACCTCATTCCCTCAGCCTTCCTCTGCCGCCTAGCTGAATCATATGGCTATGCTGTCTCCAACTCCCCCGTGTGTCCGCTGTCACTTTTGAGTCGACTTAAAAGTCACCTCATTCCCTCAGCCTTCCTCTGCCGCCTAGCTGAATCATATGGCTATGCTGTCTCCAACTCCCCCGTGTGTCCGCTGTCACTTTTGAGTCGACTAAAAAGTCACCTCATTCCCTCAGCCTTCCTCTGCCGCCTAGCTGAATCATATGGCTATGCTGTCTCCAACTCCCCTGTGTGTCCGCTGTCACTTTTGAGTCGACTAAAAAGTCACCTCATTCCCTCAGCCTTCCTCTGCCGCCTAGCTGAATCATATGGCTATGCTGTCTCCAACTCCCCTGTGTGTCCGCTGTCACTTTTGAGTCGACTAAAAAGTCACCTCATTCCCTCAGCCTTCCTCTGCCGCCTAGCTGAATCATATGGCTATGATGTCTCCAACTCCCCTGTGTGTCCGCTGTCACTTTTGAGTCGACTAAAAAGTCACCTCATTCCCTCAGCCTTCCTCTGCCGCCTAGCTGAATCATATGGCTATGCTGTCTCCAACTCCCCTGTGTGTCCGCTGTCACTTTTGAGTCGACTAAAAAGTCACCTCATTCCCTCAGCCTTCCTCTGCCGCCTAACTGAATCATATGGCTATGATGTCTCCAACTCCCCTGTGTGTCCGCTGTCACTTTTGAGTCGACTAAAAAGTCACCTCATTCCCTCAGCCTTCCTCTGCCGCCTAACTGAATCATATGGCTATGATGTCTCCAACTCCCCCGTGTGTCCGCTGTCACTTTTGAGTCGACTAAAAAGTCACCTCATTCCCTCAGCCTTCCTCTGCCGCCTAGCTGAATCATATGGCTATGCTGTCTCCAACTCCCCTGTGTGTCCGCTGTCACTTTTGAGTCGACTAAAAAGTCACCTCATTCCCTCAGCCTTCCTCTGCCGCCTAACTGAATCATATGGCTATGATGTCTCCAACTCCCCCGTGTGTCCGCTGTCACTTTTGAGTCGACTAAAAAGTCACCTCATTCCCTCAGCCTTCCTCTGCCGCCTAACTGAATCATATGGCTATGATGTCTCCAACTCCCCCGTGTGTCCGCTGTCACTTTTGAGTCGACTAAAAAGTCACCTCATTCCCTCAGCCTTCCTCTGCCGCCTAGCTGAATCATATGGCTATGCTGTCTCCAACTCCCCTGTGTGTCCGCTGTCACTTTTGAGTCGACTAAAAAGTCACCTCATTCCCTCAGCCTTCCTCTGCCGCCTAGCTGAATCATATGGCTATGCTGTCTCCAACTCCCCCGTGTGTCCGCTGTCACTTTTGAGTCGACTAAAAAGTCACCTCATTCCCTCAGCCTTCCTCTGCCGCCTAACTGAATCATATGGCTATGATGTCTCCAACTCCCCCGTGTGTCCGCTGTCACTTTTGAGTCGACTAAAAAGTCACCTCATTCCCTCAGCCTTCCTCTGCCGCCTAACTGAATCATATGGCTATGATGTCTCCAACTCCCCCGTGTGTCCGCTGTCACTTTTGAGTCGACTAAAAAGTCACCTCATTCCCTCAGCCTTCCTCTGCCGCCTAGCTGAATCATATGGCTATGCTGTCTCCAACTCCCCTGTGTGTCCGCTGTCACTTTTGAGTCGACTAAAAAGTCACCTCATTCCCTCAGCCTTCCTCTGCCGCCTAACTGAATCATATGGCTATGCTGTCTCCAACTCCCCCGTGTGTCCGCTGTCACTTTTGAGTCGACTAAAAAGTCACCTCATTCCCTCAGCCTTCCTCTGCCGCCTAACTGAATCATATGGCTATGCTGTCTCCAACTCCCCCGTGTGTCCGTCCGCTCCCCCCCCCCCCCCCCCCCCGGTGTGGTTGAAGCCAAGAATCACAATGGGCTCTGCCCCCCCCCCATAGTGACCCCAATCGGCTGCTGATCACCATGGTGGGTCATTCTCTCCACGTGTAATGAGTCGAGTTTTGAGTACCACCGTGGTTCTCGACTCAAAACTCGACTCACCGTGGTGGGTCGTTCTCTTCTCTCCATGGCTCTCACGCCCCTCCTCCACTCCCTGGGGCGGTCAGCAGCCCTCTTATCCACCCACTACCCCCTCTCTGTCTCCACGTGCCCTCTCTGCCTCCACGTGCCCTCTCTGCCTCCACATGCCCTCTCTGCCTCCACGTGCCCTCTCTGCCTCCACGTGCCCTCTCTGCCTCCACGTGCCCTCTCTGTCTCCGCGTGCCCTCTCTGCCTCCACGTGCCCTCTCTGCCTCACGTGCCCTCTCTGTCTCCACGTGCCCTCTCTGTCTCCACGTGCCCTCTCTGCCTCCACATGCCCTCTCTGTCTCCACGTGCCCTTTCTGCCTCCCACGTGCCCTCTCTGTCTCTCTGTGCCCACCCCTTGCTGCCAGACTTGGTGAGCTTCCAGACGAGCTGAACCGGCTGCTGATCATCGTGGCCGTTCTCTCCATGGCTCTCACTCCCCTCCACGACTCCCTGGGGCGATCAGCAGTCTCTCACTTGCCCACTACCCCCTCTCTGCCTTACCCCTTCAACCCAAGCAGACTTGGTGTGCTTCCAGACGAGCTGAACTGGCTGCTGATCATTGTGGTGGTGCTGTCCCCTCCATGGCTCTCACTCCCCTCCATGGCTCTCACTCCCCTCCATGGCTCTCACTCCCCTCCATGGCTCTCACTCCCCTCCATGGCTCTCACTCCCCTCCATGGCTCTCACTCCCCTCTATGGCTCTCACTCCCCTCCATGGCTCTCACTCCCCTCCATGGCTCTCACTCCCCTCTATGGCTCTCACTCCCCTCCATGGCTCTCACTCCCCTCCATGGTTCTCACTCCCCTCCATGGCTCTCACTCCCCTCCATGGCTCTCACTCCCCTCCATGGCTCTCACTCCCCTCCATGGCTCTCACTCCCCTCCATGGCTCTCACTCCCCTCCATGGCTCTCACTCCCCTCCATGGCTCTCACTCCCCTCCATGGCTCTCACTCCCCTCCATGGCTCTCACTCCCCTCCATGGCTCTCACTCCCCTCCATGGCTCTCACTCCCCTCCATGGCTCTCACTCCCCTCCTCGACTCCCTGGGGCGATCAGCAGCCCTCTCACCCAGCCACTCCTCCCCGCTTGCTTTCCGTCTTACCCCTTCAACCAGGCTGGGAGTCCTTCCAGACGAGCTGAACCGTCTGCTGATCATTGTGGTGGTGCTGTCAATGGCTCTCACGCCCCTCCTCGACTCCCTGGGGCGATCAGCAGCAGAGGCGCTGGAGAAGCGCGAGAGGGAGAAGCGGAAGGCGCCAGGGGAGGAGGAGGAGGACGGGGAGGAGGGGTTGGATGTGGTGGGAGGCGGTAAGAGGAAGGGGCGGAAGAAAGGCGGCGGAGGAGGAGGAGGAGGGCATGGGGTGAGTGGGAAAGGATGAATTATTCTTTGTGTTTTTGAGTCCTTCCATTCTCTGCATTATTTTTGTTTACAAAGGTTTTCTAGTTTTGAGGCGCCTCAAAACTTGAGTCCTTCCATTCTCTGGAGTATTTGTTTTACAGAGGTTTTCTGCTGAGTTTTTTTGTCTCCCTCCCTTACCCTCCCTCCCCTCAGCACACCTACCCTCTTAGTTTCATCCCCTTGTTTCTCTCTAACTCTTTTCTTCTCACCAATGCAGGGTCACTATGGGGGTGCGGAGCCGATTGTTATTCTTGGCTTCAACCACATGGGGCAGGTGAGAAATGGGGCAGGTGGGACGTGGGGCAGGTGGGGATTGGGGCAGGTGAAACTTGGGGTAGGTGAAGACTGGGGCAGGTGAAAGTTGAGGCAGGTGACATGTGGAGAAGGTCACACATGTTTTTCTATCTGAATTTTCCCTTCTGCAGCCCACCTGTCTGCTTCTGACAGCGTCTGAATTTTCCCTTCTGCAGCCCACCTGTCTGCTTCTGACAGCTTCTGAATTTTCCCTTCTGCAGCCCACCTGTCTGCTTCTGACAGCTTCTGAATTTTCCCTTCTGCAGCCCACCTGTCTGCTTCTGACAGCTTCTGAATTTTCCCTTCTGCAGCCCACCTGTCTGCTTCTGACAGCTTCTGAATTTTCCCTTCTGCAGCCCACCTGTCTGCTTCTGACAGCGTCTGAATTTTCCCTTCTGCAGCCCACCTGTCTGCTTCTGACAGCGTCTGAATTTTCCCTTCTGCAGCCCACCTGTCTGCTTCTGACAGCTTCTGAATTTTCCCTTCTGCAGCCCACCTGTCTGCTTCTGACAGCTTCTGAATTTTCCCTTCTGCAGCCCACCTGTCTGCTTCTGACAGCTTCTGAATTTTCCCTTCTGCAGCCCACCTGTCTGCTTCTGACAGCTTCTGAATTCTCCCTTCTGCAGCCCACCTGTCTGCTTCTGACAGCGTCTGAATTTTCCCTTCTGCAGCCCACCTGTCTGCTTCTGACAGCTTCTGAATTTTCCCTTCTGCAGCCCACCTGTCTGCTTCTGACAGCTTCTGAATTTTCCCTTCTGCAGCCCACCTGTCTGCTTCTGACAGCGTCTGAATTTTCCCTTCTGCAGCCCACCTGTCTGCTTCTGACAGCTTCTGAATTTTCCCTTCTGCAGCCCACCTGTCTGCTTCTGACAGCTTCTGAATTTTCCCTTCTGCAGCCCACCTGTCTGCTTCTGACAGCTTCTGAATTTTCCCTTCTGCAGCCCACCTGTCTGCTTCTGACAGCTTCTGAATTTTCCCTTCTGCAGCCCACCTGTCTGCTTCTGACAGCTTCTGAATTTTCCCTTCTGCAGCCCACCTGTCTGCTTCTGACAGCTTCTGAATTTTCCCTTCTGCAGCCCACCTGTCTGCTTCTGACAGCTTCTGAATTTTCCCTTCTGCAGCCCACCTGTCTGCTTCTGACAGCTTCTGAATTTTCCCTTCTGCAGCCCACCTGTCTGCTTCTGACAGCTTCTGAATTTTCCTTCTGCAGCCCACCTGTCTGCTTCTGACAGCTTCTGAATTTTCCCTTCTGCAGCCCACCTGTCTGCTTCTGACAGCTTCTGAATTTTCCTTCTGCAGCCCACCTGTCTGCTTCTGACAGCTTCTGAATTTTCCCTTCTGCAGCCCACCTGTCTGCTTCTGACAGCGTCTGAATTTTTCCTTCTGCAGCCCACCTGTCTGCTTCTGACAGCTTCTGAATTTTCCCTTCTGCAGCCCACCTGTCTGCTTCTGACAGCTTCTGAATTTTCCCTTCTGCAGCCCACCTGTATGCTTCTGACAGCTTCTGAATTTTCCCTTCTGCAGCCCACCTGTCTGCTTCTGACAGCTTCTGAATTTTCCCTTCTGCAGCCCACCTGTCTGCTTCTGACAGCGTCTGAATTTTCCCTTCTGCAGCCCACCTGTCTGCTTCTGACAGCTTCTGAATTTTCCCTTCTGCAGCCCACCTGTCTGCTTCTGACAGCTTCTGAATTTTCCCTTCTGCAGCCCACCTGTCTGCTTCTGACAGCTTCTGAATTTTCCCTTCTGCAGCCCACCTGTCTGCTTCTGACAGCTTCTGAATTTTCCCTTCTGCAGCCCACCTGTCTGCTTCTGACAGCTTCTGAATTTTCCCTTCTGCAGCCCACCTGTCTGCTTCTGACAGCTTCTGAATTTTCCCTTCTGCAGCCCACCTTTCTGCTTCTGACAGCTTCTGAATTTTCCCTTCTGCAGCCCACCTGTCTGCTTCTGACAGCTTCTGAATTTTCCCTTCTGCAGCCCACCTGTCTGCTTCTGACAGCTTCTGAATTTTCCCTTCTGCAGCCCACCTGTCTGCTTCTGACAGCTTCTGAATTTTCCCTTCTGCAGCCCACCTGTCTGCTTCTGACAGCTTCTGAATTTTCCCTTCTGCAGCCCACCTGTCTGCTTCTGACAGCTTCTGAATTTTCCCTTCTGCAGCCCACCTGTCTGCTTCTGACAGCTTCTGAATTTTCCCTTCTGCAGCCCACCTGTCTGCTTCTGACAGCTTCTGAATTTTCCCTTCTGCAGCCCACCTGTCTGCTTCTGACAGCTTCTGAATTTTCCCTTCTGCAGCCCACCTGTCTGCTTCTGACAGCTTCTGAATTTTCCCTTCTGCAGCCCACCTGTCTGCTTCTGACAGCTTCTGAATTTTCCCTTCTGCAGCCCACCTGTCTGCTTCTGACAGCTTCTGAATTTTCCCTTCTGCAGCCCACCTGTCTGCTTCTGACAGCTTCTGAATTTTCCCTTCTGCAGCCCACCTGTCTGCTTCTGACAGCTTCTGAATTTTCCCTTCTGCAGCCCACCTGTCTGCTTCTGACAGCTTCTGAATTTTCCCTTCTGCAGCCCACCTGTCTGCTTCTGACAGCTTCTGAATTCTCCCTTCTGCAGCCCACCTGTCTGCTTCTGACAGCTTCTGAATTTTCCCTTCTGCAGCCCACCTGTCTGCTTCTGACAGCTTCTGAATTTTCCCTTCTGCAGCCCACCTGTCTGCTTCTGACAGCTTCTGAATTTTCCCTTCTGCAGCCCACCTGTCTGCTTCTGACAGCTTCTGAATTTTCCCTTCTGCAGCCCACCTGTCTGCTTCTGACAGCTTCTGAATTTTCCCTTCTGCAGCCCACCTGTCTGCTTCTGACAGCTTCTGAATTTTCCCTTCTGCAGCCCACCTGTCTGCTTCTGACAGCTTCTGAATTTTCCCTTCTGCAGCCCACCTGTCTGCTTCTGACAGCTTCTGAATTTTCCCTTCTGCAGCCCACCTGTCTGCTTCTGACAGCTTCTGAATTTTCCCTTCTGCAGCCCACCTGTCTGCTTCTGACAGCTTCTGAATTTTCCCTTCTGCAGCCCACCTGTCTGCTTCTGACAGCTTCTGAATTTTCCCTTCTGCAGCCCACCTGTCTGCTTCTGACAGCTTCTGAATTTTCCCTTCTGCAGCCCACCTGTCTGCTTCTGACAGCTTCTGAATTTTCCCTTCTGCAGCCCACCTGTCTGCTTCTGACAGCTTCTGAATTCTCCCTTCTGCAGCCCACCTGTCTGCTTCTGACAGCTTCTGAATTTTCCCTTCTGCAGCCCACCTGTCTGCTTCTGACAGCTTCTGAATTTTCCTTCTGCAGCCCACCTGTCTGCTTCTGACAGCTTCTGAATTTTCCCTTATGCAGCCCACCTGTCTGCTTCTGACAGCGTCTGAATTTTTCCTTCTGCAGCCCACCTGTCTGCTTCTGACAGCTTCTGAATTTTCCCTTCTGCAGCCCACCTGTCTGCTTCTGACAGCTTCTGAATTTTCCCTTCTGCAGCCCACCTGTATGCTTCTGACAGCTTCTGAATTTTCCCTTCTGCAGCCCACCTGTCTGCTTCTGACAGCTTCTGAATTTTCCCTTCTGCAGCCCACCTGTCTGCTTCTGACAGCGTCTGAATTTTCCCTTCTGCAGCCCACCTGTCTGCTTCTGACAGCTTCTGAATTTTCCCTTCTGCAGCCCACCTGTCTGCTTCTGACAGCTTCTGAATTTTCCCTTCTGCAGCCCACCTGTCTGCTTCTGACAGCGTCTGAATTTTCCCTTCTGCAGCCCACCTGTCTGCTTCTGACAGCTTCTGAATTTTCCCTTCTGCAGCCCACCTGTCTGCTTCTGACAGCTTCTGAATTTTCCCTTCTGCAGCCCACCTGTCTGCTTCTGACAGCTTCTGAATTTTCCCTTCTGCAGCCCACCTTTCTGCTTCTGACAGCGTCTGAATTTTCCCTTCTGCAGCCCACCTGTCTGCTTCTGACAGCTTCTGAATTTTCCCTTCTGCAGCCCACCTGTCTGCTTCTGACAGCTTCTGAATTTTCCCTTCTGCAGCCCACCTGTCTGCTTCTGACAGCTTCTGAATTTTCCCTTCTGCAGCCCACCTGTCTGCTTCTGACAGCTTCTGAATTTTCCCTTCTGCAGCCCACCTGTCTGCTTCTGACAGCTTCTGAATTTTCCCTTCTGCAGCCCACCTGTCTGCTTCTGACAGCTTCTGAATTTTCCCTTCTGCAGCCCACCTGTCTGCTTCTGACAGCTTCTGAATTTTCCCTTCTGCAGCCCACCTGTCTGCTTCTGACAGCTTCTGAATTTTCCCTTCTGCAGCCCACCTGTCTGCTTCTGACAGCTTCTGAATTCTCCCTTCTGCAGCCCACCTGTCTGCTTCTGACAGCGTCTGAATTTTCCCTTCTGCAGCCCACCTGTCTGCTTCTGACAGCTTCTGAATTTTCCCTTCTGCAGCCCACCTGTCTGCTTCTGACAGCTTCTGAATTTTCCCTTCTGCAGCCCACCTGTCTGCTTCTGACAGCGTCTGAATTTTCCCTTCTGCAGCCCACCTGTCTGCTTCTGACAGCTTCTGAATTTTCCCTTCTGCAGCCCACCTGTCTGCTTCTGACAGCTTCTGAATTTTCCCTTCTGCAGCCCACCTGTCTGCTTCTGACAGCTTCTGAATTTTTCCTTCTGCAGCCCACCTGTCTGCTTCTGACAGCTTCTGAATTTTCCCTTCTGCAGCCCACCTGTCTGCTTCTGACAGCTTCTGAATTTTCCCTTCTGCAGCCCACCTTTCTGCTTCTGACAGCTTCTGAATTTTCCCTTCTGCAGCCCACCTGTCTGCTTCTGACAGCTTCTGAATTTTCCCTTCTGCAGCCCACCTGTCTGCTTCTGACAGCTTCTGAATTTTCCCTTCTGCAGCCCACCTGTCTGCTTCTGACAGCTTCTGAATTTTCCCTTCTGCAGCCCACCTGTCTGCTTCTGACAGCTTCTGAATTTTCCCTTCTGCAGCCCACCTGTCTGCTTCTGACAGCTTCTGAATTTTCCCTTCTGCAGCCCACCTGTCTGCTTCTGACAGCTTCTGAATTTTCCCTTCTGCAGCCCACCTGTCTGCTTCTGACAGCTTCTGAATTTTCCCTTCTGCAGCCCACCTGTCTGCTTCTGACAGCTTCTGAATTTTCCCTTCTGCAGCCCACCTGTCTGCTTCTGACAGCTTCTGAATTTTCCCTTCTGCAGCCCACCTGTCTGCTTCTGACAGCTTCTGAATTTTCCCTTCTGCAGCCCACCTGTCTGCTTCTGACAGCTTCTGAATTTCCCCTTCCTACCACTCTCTACCCACTCTCCCTTGCTCCCCTCTCTCAGGTGCTCGCCAACATGCTATCCACGCCGCTAGCCACCATCTCAGGGGGTGTTGAGGCGCCTCAACAAAACTCCCTTCCTCCCTCCCACTCTCCCTTGCTCTCCCCTCTCTCATATGCTGGCCAAACATGCTATCCACACGCCACTAGCAACCATCTCAGGGGGGTGCCCTGGGGGGGTGTGGTACCACCAGTCATACCCCTGCTCTGCTCTCCCGCTCCCCCACCCTCTCGTTCTCCCACTCTCCCACTCTCCCTTCAGGTGCTGGCCAACATGCTATCCACGCCGCTAGCCACCATCTCAGGCGGGTCAGGGGGAGATGCCCCAGGATGGCCATTCGTGTGCTTCGACCTGAATCCCAATCGCGTCCGGGTGAGTGCATGGGGGAGTAAGGGGGTGAGCGAGGGAGTGGGCGAGTGAGTGTGAGGGTGAGCGAGGGAGTGGGCGAGGAGGAGTGTGAGGGTGAGCGAGGGAGTGGAAGAGGTGAGCTGTTTTCAACTCGACTCGAAACATCTCAGGGGGGTCAGGAGGGGACGCACTAGGATGGCCGCTTGTGTGCTTCGACCTGAATCCCAATCGCGTCCGGGTAAGTGCGTGGGGGAGTAAGGGGGTGAGCGAGGGAGTGGGCGAGTGAGTGTGAGGGCGAGCGAGGGAGTGGGAGAGTGAGTGTGAGGGCGAGCGATGGAGTGGGCGAGGAGGAGTGTGAGGGTGAGTGAGGGAGTGGAAGAGGTGAGCTGTTTTCAACTCGACTCGAAACATCTCAGGGGGGTCAGGAGGGGACGCACTAGGATGGCCGTTTGTGTGCTTCGACCTGAGTCCCAATCGTGTCCGGGTGAGTGCATGGGGGAGTGAGTGAGTGAGGGAGTGAGGGAGTGAGGGAGTGAGTGAGTGAGGGAGTGGTTACCCCAGGTTGGCCATTCGTGTGCTTCGACTTGAATCCCAATCGCATCCGGGTGAGTGCATGGGGGAGTGTAAGGGGGTGAGCAAAGGAGTGAGAGAGTTGGTGGGAGATTGTCCGATTCACACCTGTAATTCGACACACCACTCTTCCCCGGCTCTACTCCTCTCCTCCCACGTGTCCCTTCCTCTCCCACCCCCTTCCCCCACCCCCTCCTTCCCCCCCCCAGATGGGCAAGCGCCTCAACGCCACCCCCCTCCACCTCCCTCCCTCCCTTTCCCCCCTTCCCCTCCCCCCCCTCTCCCCGGATGGGCAAGCGCCTGGGGTGCCTATAGTTTGACACACTACGTATCCCCCCTCTACCCCACGTGCCCCCTCCCTTACTTCCCCTACCCCCCTTCTCCCCGTTCCGCCAGATGGGAAAGCGTCTCGGCTTCCCAGTCCTCTACGGTGACGGGTGCCGCCCGGCAGTGCTCGAGTCGGCCGGCATTCCGCGTCCGCTAATGGCCATTGTGGTGTACTCGGGGCGGCAGCAGTCGGTGTCTTCTGTGGAAAGTTTACACAATGCCTTCCCAGGGGTGAGTGGTGAGGGACTGTTGGAAAATCCTGCGGGACCTTTGGGGAGGTGTGGGGGAATGTACAGGAATGTTTTGGGGGGATTCGTGATATACATATATATATAACATTTTGGGACCGTTTTGTTTTGTGATGTTTTTTTTTTTTTTTTTTTTTTTTCGTTTGCTGGGATTTTTGGGATATTTAGGAGTTAGGTTTTTTTTTTGTTTTAGATTTTTGTGATTCCTTCTATTTTGATTTTTGGGGACTTTGGGGGGACTTTCACAGGTCGGTTTGGGAATTCGAAGGGAAGGTTGAGAATTCTCAGAAATGGAGCCTTCTTTCACCAGATGCCTTTTTCCTTTGCAATGCCCTTCAGCTGCTTCCCACCCACTCCCTCCACTCCACTCCCCTTCTTCCTTGCCCCATGTCACGCCGCTGACCATACCATGCATCCCGTCTCATCACCATCTTCCCATATACGCCCGAGCAATCACCTGGCAAAGCCGCCCAGGGATGCCAGTCACTTGGCAGAGCTCAGAAAGGGCTTCTCAGCACCCTCCCTGTTCCCTTTGTTCTCTCCCGCCCACTCCCTCTGTTCTTCCCGCCCTCCCACCAGCTGCCCATATACGCCCGAGCAGTGGACGCGAGTCACCTGGCGGAGCTGAGAGAGGGCATATTATCTCCCTCCCCCCTCTCCTCCCTCTTCAACACCCCCCTCTGCCCTTCCCCGCCCTCCCACCAGCTGCCCATATACGCCCGAGCAGTGGACGCGAGTCACCTGGCGGAGCTCCGAAAGGCCGGCGCCACAGACGTGGTTCTGGAGAGTGCAGAGGTGAGCGAGACACGTGGGGAGTAGATTGTGGTGAGGTGGGGTTGGGACGCGGTGGGACGTACAAGCAGCAGTGGGCGCAAGTCACCTGGCGGAGCTCCGAAAGGCGGGTGCCACAGACGTGGTTCTGGAGAGCGCAGAGGTGAGCGAGACACGTGGGGAGTAGATTGTGGTGAGGTGGGGTTGGGACGCGGTGGGACGTACAAGCAGCAGTGGACGCGAGTCACCTGGCGGAGCTCCGAAAGGCGGGTGCCACAGACGTGGTTCTGGAGAGCGCAGAGGTGAGCGGACCTGTGAATGGAGGAGAGAGGTGGAGGAGGTGAGTGAGAACCGTGAATGGAGACAATGTCAATGTTTAGGGTTTAGGCGGGCGCCACAGACGTGGTTCTGGAGAGCGCAGAGGTGAGTGAGACGTGTGGGAGTAGGAGATTATAGTGAGGTAAGATGACGATGAGGTGATAAACCCGTGCAGCTGAAGTGTGCTGTGGAGCACAGAGGAGAGCACAGAGGAGAGCGAGAGGAATGTAGCTCATTTCTGTGCTTGGAGCCCAGCTGAATGCGAGAAGGTGATAGCAAGGTGATAGCAAGGTGATAGCAAGGTGATAGCAAGGTGATTGCAAGGTGATAGCAAGGTGAGACGAAAGGAGGAAGGGGAGGTGATACTGGCGTCACGACACGAGCAGAGTCGCCAGTGCAGCTGAGGTGGTTCTTCTTTCCTCCATGTCGTGACATGACACCATCATCATGAGGGGGATGATACTGGTGACATGACACCATCATGAGGGGGATGATACTGGTGACATGAGGGGCTCTTGTGAGATGATGTGTGGTGTTCCTGCACCGTCAAATGTGTATGCCTGCTTGCTTGCATCATCCCCTCTCTTGCCACCAGACCGGACTTCGCCTGGGCTCCATGCTACTCCAAGGGATGGGGGTTATGCGAGATGATGTGGTGTTTCTGTGGCGACTTATGAGAGAGGCTCTTGACACTGAGGCTCTTGACACTGAGGCTCTTGACACTGAGGCTCTTGACACGGAGGCTCTTGACACGGAGGCTCTTGACACTGAGGCTCTTGACACTGAGGCTCTTGACACGGAGGCTCTTGACACAGAGGCTCTTGACACGGAGGCTCTTGACACTGAGGCTCTTGACACTGAGGCTCTTGACACTGAGGCTCTTGACACGGAGGCTCTTGACACTGAGGCTCTTGACACAGAGGCTCTTGACACAGAGGCTCTTGACACGGAGGCTCTTGACACGGAGGCTCTTGACACGGAGGCTCTTGACACTGAGGCTCTTGACACTGAGGCTCTTGACACGGAGGCTCTTGACACAGAGGCTCTTGACACGGAGGCTCTTGACACTGAGGCTCTTGACACGGAGGCTCTTGACACGGAGGCTCTTGACACTGAGGCTCTTGACACTGAGGCTCTTGACACAGAGGCTCTTGACACAGAGGCTCTTGACACAGAGGCTCTTGACACTGAGGCTCTTGACACTGAGGCTCTTGACACGGAGGCTCTTGACACGGAGGCTCTTGACACTGAGGCTCTTGACACAGAGGCTCTTGACACTGAGGCTCTTGACACGGAGGCTCTTGACACAGAGGCTCTTGACACAGAGGCTCTTGACACGGAGGCTCTTGACACGGAGGCTCTTGACACGGAGGCTCTTGACACAGAGGCTCTTGACACGGAGGCCCTTGACACTGAGGCTCTTGACACTGAGGCTCTTGACACTGAGGCTCTTGACACTGAGGCTCTTGACACGGAGGCTCTTGACACAGAGGCTCTTGACACAGAGGCTCTTGACACGGAGGCTCTTGACACTGAGCCTCTTGACACTGAGGCTCTTGACACTGAGGCTCTTGACACTGAGGCTCTTGACACTGAGGCTCTTGACACAGAGGCTCTTGACACTGAGGCTCTTGACACAGAGGCTCTTGACACGGAGGCTCTTGACACAGAGGCTCTTGACACTGAGGCTCTTGACACTGAGGCTCTTGACACTGAGGCTCTTGACACTGAGGCTCTTGACACTGAGGCTCTTGACACGGAGGCTCTTGACACTGAGGCTCTTGACACTGAGGCTCTTGACACTGAGGCTCTTGACACTGAGGCTCTTGACACGGAGGCTCTTGACACGGAGGCTCTTGACACTGAGGCGCTTGACACAGAGGCTCTTGACACAGAGGCTCTTGACACAGAGGCTCTTGACACGGAGGCTCTTGACACTGAGGCTCTTGACACTGAGGCTCTTGACACTGAGGCTCTTGACACGGAGGCTCTTGACACAGAGGCTCTTGACACGGAGGCTCTTGACACAGAGGCTCTTGACACAGAGGCTCTTGACACTGAGGCTCTTGACACTGAGGCTCTTGACACTGAGGCTCTTGACACAGAGGCTCTTGACACAGAGGCTCTTGACACAGAGGCTCTTGACACAGAGGCTCTTGACACTGAGGCTCTTGACACAGAGGCTCTTGACACTGAGGCTCTTGACACTGAGGCTCTTGACACTGAGGCTCTTGACACGGAGGCTCTTGACACAGAGGCTCTTGACACAGAGGCTCTTGACACGGAGGCTCTTGACACGGAGGCTCTTGACACAGAGGCTCTTGACACAGAGGCTCTTGACACGGAGGCTCTTGACACAGAGGCTCTTGACACGGAGGCTCTTGACACGGAGGCTCTTGACACAGAGGCTCTTGACACAGAGGCTCTTGACACAGAGGCTCTTGACACTGAGGCTCTTGACACTGAGGCTCTTGACACGGAGGCTCTTGACACTGAGGCTCTTGACACAGAGGCTCTTGACACTGAGGCTCTTGACACGGAGGCTCTTGACACGGAGGCTCTTGACACAGAGGCTCTTGACACGGAGGCCCTTGACACTGAGGCTCTTGACACTGAGGCTCTTGACACTGAGGCTCTTGACACTGAGGCTCTTGACACGGAGGCTCTTGACACAGAGGCTCTTGACACAGAGGCTCTTGACACGGAGGCTCTTGACACGGAGGCTCTTGACACTGAGCCTCTTGACACTGAGGCTCTTGACACTGAGGCTCTTGACACTGAGGCTCTTGACACTGAGGCTCTTGACACAGAGGCTCTTGACACTGAGGCTCTTGACACAGAGGCTCTTGACACGGAGGCTCTTGACACAGAGGCTCTTGACACTGAGGCTCTTGACACTGAGGCTCTTGACACTGAGGCTCTTGACACTGAGGCTCTTGACACTGAGGCTCTTGACACGGAGGCTCTTGACACTGAGGCTCTTGACACTGAGGCTCTTGACACTGAGGCTCTTGACACTGAGGCTCTTGACACGGAGGCTCTTGACACGGAGGCTCTTGACACTGAGGCGCTTGACACAGAGGCTCTTGACACAGAGGCTCTTGACACAGAGGCTCTTGACACGGAGGCTCTTGACACTGAGGCTCTTGACACTGAGGCTCTTGACACTGAGGCTCTTGACACGGAGGCTCTTGACACAGAGGCTCTTGACACGGAGGCTCTTGACACAGAGGCTCTTGACACAGAGGCTCTTGACACGGAGGCTCTTGACACTGAGGCTCTTGACACTGAGGCTCTTGACACAGAGGCTCTTGACACTGAGGCTCTTGACACTGAGGCTCTTGACACTGAGGCTCTTGACACTGAGGCTCTTGACACTGAGGCTGTCACCCGCCGCTCCGAATGAGAGACACCTGTTTTGGGCAATTGCAGTCTCAACCGCACCTGTTTTCTGTCCCCTCCCTCCCAACCCTCCAGGCCGGCCTTCGCCTGGGTTCCATGCTACTCCAGGACATGGGGGTGATGCGGGACGATGTGGTGTTCCTGCGATGGTAACACGTGTGCGTGCTCATGACTGTGTGTATTTCTTTCCACCTCTCCTCCCCAGGCGGGTCTTCGGCTGGGCTCCATGCTACCGCAGGACATGGGGGTGATGCGAGACGATGTGGTGTTTCTGAGGCGACTCATGCGAGAGGCTCTTGACACGGAGGCTCTCACCCGCCGCCTCATGTGTGCATGCATACTTACCCTCTTCCTCTCCCTCCCCCGCAGGCTGTCACCCGCCGCCTCATGTGTGCATCTGTCCATTTATGTGTATCCACCTCCCTCTCTCTCCTCTCCAGGCTAGTCGTAGGCTTGGCTCCATGCTACTCCAGGACATGGGGGTCATGCGAGACGACGTTGTTTTCCTGCGGCGCCTCATGTTTTTATGTGCACACACATGTGTTTGTATCCCTTCCCACCTCTCCTTAACTCCACCCAGGCCGGCCTTCGACTGGGCTCCATGCTACTCCAAGACATGGGAGTGATGCGAGATGATGTGGTGTTTCTGAGGCGACTCATGCGAGAGGCTCTTGACACGGAGGCTGTCAACCGCCGCACGGGCCAGCGCTTGCTCAAGGACAGATCTGATCTGGGCGGAAGCTGGCCGGCCAAGGAGGAGAATCTGGGCGGCAAGCGGGCGGCAAAGGAGGATTTGGGCGGCAGCAGGGTGGGGAAGGAGGGAGAGGGTGGTAGAGGAGAGGAGAGTGACAGGGAAGGTGATTCGAGTGGGGATGAGAAGGGGGAGGAGGGGGGAGGTAAGGTGAGGGGTGGAGAGGATGGGGAGAAGGTGGAGGGGAAGATTGAGGAGGGGAGAAAGAGTGGTGATGGTGGGTTGGCTGCGGTGAAAAACGCTGGGGATAAGGTAAGTGGTGCTGTTTCTGGTAGTGGTGGTGCTGTTGCTGCTGCTGCCGCGGCCGCTGCTGCTGCCGCCACCGCTGTAGTTGCTGCTGCCAGTGGTGATGCTGACACTGCTGGTGCCGCTGCCACCGCTGCTGCCACTGCTGCCACTGCTGCTGCTGCACGGGTGAAACCTGTCTCTTCAGATGCTACCGCCTCTCCTGATGCTTCTGCCGCTGCACCTGCTGCTACGCCTACATCAGGGAGTGACGGCCTGATTACACGGGCTCAAGCAATAGATGTAGCGGTTGGATTTGTCAGTGAGGTGGATGAGAAAGGGGACGCTGGTAATAATGGTGATGATGGTGATGGTGATGGTGATGGTGATGATGGTGATGGTGGTGATACTGGTGCTGCTACACCCGCGGAAGGAAGTGATGTGTTGATTACAAGAGCCCAAGCACTCAATGCAGCGGCGGCGTTCGTCACTAGTGATGACGACATCGGGGACGTTGGTACGAATGGTAATGATGGTGATGATACTGGTGGTGATGGTGTGTTGGAGGTGAAAGGGGAGCAACTAGAGGAGGCTGCAACCAGTAGGGCTGAGACTGCAAAAACGGTTTCTGGCAGCTTTACAGGCACTGCTAATGTGAAGGATGGTAATTTTGGCTTGGAAAGGGTTAGCGGTAGTGGAGAAAGTGATTCAGATCTGGAGGGGTCCGGCAGTGATGGCGTGGGAGGGGAGTCGTCCTTTTCAGCAAGCGACGATGGGCTACAGTATTTCTCTGATGGTGAGGATTTTATTGACATGAAGCTAGGTTGCAACTCCAGTAGTGGTGGTACTTCTCTTGAGCAATGAATTGAGAAAGCTTGCTTTCTTGTCCTTATAATTCAGCATCGTTCTCATTGCAACTGGCTTATTACAACATATGCATCGTTCTTAAACACATGCTAGTACATACAAATATTACTAGCTATGGAGTCGTCCGCCCAAGCAGCTGTGGTCTTGTAGTTGGTTTGGGGTGGGTGGTGGGGATGTTGATTGAGCCGTTGGAAAGCGACAAACGTGGGTGGAGGGAATGAACTCCAACCCACGGTTTTTGTAGTTGGAGAAGGGCGTTTAGCGCGCTTTGACGCTGCCAAATGTTCGGTACCGTACAAACAACTTCACTTTCAAAATACACATTTTTGAAATTACGTGTTTAAAAATTATAATATTGAGAAAGTTTGCTTTCTTGTCCTTGTAATTTGGCATCGTTCTCATTGCAACTGGGGCCTCTGAGACATGGGCAGCGGTGGCTTCCAGTTGCATAAGAGTGCCTCTGCGTGCTGTCCTGGGGGTAGTGTGTGTGTCGGGTTCTGTAGGTCGCGGTATGTCTTGATAAGATGTACTACGTGTGGTGTGACGTACATCTCTTTGGCTGTGTCACTTCGCCACCTGCCCATCGTTTTGAAGATCCTGTCCGGCACGCCGATGTTGGCTGCTACGGTCGCCGCACCCTTTCGGAAGGAGTGCGTGCCAAGCTGCTGCTCCCCAAGTCCAACCTTTGCGAATGCTTCTTTACACCAGTTTCGGATCGTTGTGTACGAGGGTGGCTTGGCCTGACCCTTGTTGGCTGATGCGTGACCAAAAACGCGAATCAGCGACCCCTCTGAATGCGGGCCATAGCCAACGAGTTGAAGGAAGCATTGGGTGCAGCGCACGGGGCAACAGGGGTCCGCCGTTGCTGCGATGGGAATCCAAGTTCCACGACCAGCCTGGTCCGTTTTTTAGTGTGGGATGAGGATCCACATGACTTCGTCGTCGAATTGGATGTCTTGCCACTGGATGGCCACCAGCTCAGAGAATCGCAAAAATCAGGAGTACATGAGGATAGGGATCAACCCCTTCTGAAATTCAGCAGGATTGTCCGACTGCAAGTAGTTCGCGGACATGTCCCGAACTTGTTGGATTGATACGGGCTCCTTCATCCGATTAGGGCGAGGGCAGTGTCGTTTCGCGTAGTCTCGCACTTGGTTGGTAAACGGTCCAACAGTCGGGCATTTGCTTCCAGCCATGCGATGGGCAAAGCTGACTGCCGAGCACGTGAGCTGCACTACAGACAAGGTTGCTCTTCGTTGGATTGCATGTACCAAGTATAGCGCGAGGGCCATGTCGGTTGCGGGAAGAAATGGGAGATCCACCTTTGTGCAGAAAGCCCAAAACTTGGCCCAGTACGGTTCGTATGTACGGATCGTTGAATATGCTCGCGCTTGTGTGAGCATGTTGATGAGTTGGTTGTGTAGCTTTGGGAGCAGATCTGGACACAAGGTGCGTACACTCTCAATTACTCAAAAACCACCTGAAGTGCGATCATTGGGCTGTGTGGTAATCTAGTGCCTGAAAAAGCAGCGGAATGTGTTCCAGCTGCCAGACATTGGCTGCCGTGTGTCATAGGAATGTGCGCGTGGATGTACGGCGCCCAGTTGCATGGGGAAGGTTGTAGAAGTGGCCACCAGTTTGCACCCGACCAGTGTGGGATGATCAGTGTGAGCGACGCATGGATGCGTTGTGCGTGATGGAGGACGGCCGGTACTAAATGGGGCGGGGGGAAAGCAAAGCTATCTTCTGATGTCCATGCGAGCGAGAATGCATCTACTGCGGTGGCTTGTGGATGAGGAATTTTCGTGCAAAAGCGTGGCAGCTGAGAGTTGCAGGAGTTTGCAAAGAGGTTGATGGAATGGGGACCCCAACGTCGTTCTAAGATGCAGAACCACGGCGTCTTCAACGAGTAGTTGTCATGATCGACTGGTTTTGAGAGCTCATCGGCGTGTGAGTTTAGCTCGCGTGGGATCCATTCGATGATTAGACGCGTGCCATGCTCCATTCATGTCCGAATGATGCCTTGGCAGGCTGTGGTAAGGTCGGGGCTGCGCGAGCCACCTTTGCGAAGGATGAAGAAGACGCCCTGATTGTCCACCCGCACAAGAACATGTTTGTGCGTGATCTTGCTGGAGTATGTTTGGAGTGCCCAAAGCACTCCTTCGATCTCCCTCCGTGTGCTGGACCTCGCGCGCAGCGGCTCTGGCATTGCTGCGCTAGCTTCTTCGAGGCCGCCAGGGAATGTGGTCAAAGTGGCGCCCCAACTGTGAGCGCTAGCATCCACATGGATTACATCATCGTATCTGTTTCGAACGTGAAACGGTGCACCGTTGAACCTATCAAACTCTTCGAGCCAGAAGTTTAGCTCCTCGGCCGCGGGTGGGGGGGTGATCACGCTGCTTTTCCATGAAGGTGCATCATTGATCACTTGTAGCATGGCGTGGCTAAAAGCACGAGCTGTTGCGCCCAGCGCGACGCCCATTGACGTGAGCATGCCTGTGATTCTGGCTACTTGGCGGACTGAGACGGGTCGACATGCCTTGCTTGCACTCAACAGGTTCCGAATGGTTGCATGTAGTGAGGCTCGTTGTTCGGGACCGATGGTAAATCGACCGGTGGCCGTGTCCAGCTCCACACCCAAGAATCGAAGGTGTTGCGATGGTGACAGCTGTGATTTCTTCGCATTTATCACCAAACCCGCTGCTTTAAGGTCCAGTATTACAGTGTGGCAAGTGGCCTGCGCGTGGGCTTTTGACTGGCAGAGGAATAAGATGTCGTCCACATATGGTACTACTCGAATGCCTTGCTCCCGCCAGCAACGGGCTAGCTGCTTGATGAGTTGCGTGAAGACGAATGGGGCTGTCGCAAGACCGAACGGAAATGAACGAAAGGAGTAAGTGCACCCATCGAATCCAAAACCGAGAAACTTCTAGCATGAGGGATGGATGTCGATGTGATGGTACCCGGATTTGAGATCAATAGAAAACATCAAATCCCCAGCGCATGCCATGTTTGCCACGCAGCTGAGTCCTTCGTACTTGAATTTTGGAACGATGATGTTTGCATTGACTTTTCTCAAGTCGAGGATGAGCCTGCATTTTTCTCTTTGCTCGACCACGTTAAGTGGGCTTATGCACGTAAGCTTGATTACGGCTGTCTTGATTGCAGCTCCGTGTCAAATTATAATGTTGTGTAGGCTATAGTGGGGTAGCCCATATGGGGTACACATTTCTAGGGCTGCATATTTGTATCACTTCCATTCCATAGTGATTCATTCTCGTTCTAATTTTCTCATGGTATCGAGCAGGTTCCCCCGTGGGGACTGTGCCTAGGGCCCACCACATCGAGTTTTTTTTTCCTGCCCGAAGCGCGCTCCGCCCGAGTCGCGCTCCGGGCTCTCACCTCGTCGAGCCGCCCTAGCGCCCCCCTACGCCCTAGCGGCCCCTACGCCCTAGCGGCCCCGCCGCCCGTCGATTCGGCCCCGCCGCCCTTTGTTGCGGCCCCGCCGCCCGTCTCAGCGGCCCCGCCGCCCTTCGTTGCGGCCCCACCCTCCTCAGCGGCCCCGCAGCCCTTCGTTGCGGCCCCACCCTCCTTAGCGGCCCCGCCGCCCTTCGCTGCGGCCACGCCGCCTCACATTGCGGCCCCGCCGCCCTTCACTGTGGCCCCACCGCCCCTCGCTAAGGCCCCGCCGCCAGTCTCACCGGCCCCGCCGCCCTTCACTGCGGCCCCGCCGCCCGTCGCTACGGCCCCGCCGTCTCTCTCGCAGCGGCCCCGCCGCCCCTCACAGCGGCCCTGCCGCCCGTCGCTGCGGCCCCGCAGCCTCACACTGAGGCCCCGCCGCCCGTCGCTGCGGCCCCGCCGCCCGTCTCAGCGGCCCCGCCGCCCTTCGCTGCGGCCCCGCCGCCTCTCTCGCTGCGGCCCCGCCACCCTTCTCTCCGGCCCCGCCGCCTCTCTCACTGCGGCCCCGCCGCCCTCCTTAGCGGCTCCGCCACTCTTCACAGCGGCCCCGCCGCCCTTCACTGCGGCCCCACCGCCCCTTTCACTGCGGCCCCGCCGCCCTACCAGCGGCCCTGCCGCCCTACGCCGCCCGAGCCGACCGAGCCGCCCGACCCGCCCGACCCGCCCGACCCGCCCGAGCCGCGCGAGCCGCCCGCGCCGCCCAAGTCGCCCGAGCCGCCTGAGCCGGCCGAGCCGCCCGAGCCGCTGAGGAGCCGAGCCGCTGGTGCCGCAGAGCCGCAGTTGTTGCTGAGCCGTCTGAGTCGCCCGAGCTGCCGTGTTGCTGTGCTGCTGAGCTGCCCGAACCGCCCTGTCTGGTGAGAGCAGCGCTTCTGTCACTGCACTGCCCCTGTCCTACAGTTAGTACTGCTAGTCTACTGCTGTCATGGCTACCCCCAGTGCTCTCGCTTTTGACGCTGAGGGTCGGGCCATTGACTTTGACGTTTGGGTAGATGATCTGCAGCTTTTCCTACAGTGCGATAGGGCAGACGGTCTCTCCCTCTTTGACCTCACCTCTGGCGCCTCCCCTGCCCCTGCTGCTGACGCTGACGCCACTGTTCGCTCCTAGTGGGCCACGCGCGATGCTGCTGCACGTCTTGCTGTGTGTCGCCTCCTGCCTACCTCTGAGCGCACGCACTTTAGTCAGTACAAGAGTGCTCAGACCTTGTACGACGCTGTAGTTGCGCGCTACTCTTCCCCTGCCACTGCTGCACTGAGCCGCCTCATGCTACCGTACCTCTTTCCTGACCTTGCTGCCTTTCCTACAGTCGCTGACCTCATTACGCACCTCCGCACTAGTGACACTCGCTACCGCGCCGCGCTTACTGCTGAGTTCTACACCACGAACCCCCCCCCATGTACATCACTCTCTATTTTATAGTCACCCGCCTCCCTGACTCCCTTCGCGTAGTCAGGGACCACTTCCTCTCAGTCTGTCCCACCACTCTCACTGTTGACCTCCTAGAGAAGGCCCTCCTAGCAGCGGAGAAGAGCATCGTCGCTGTAGGAGCCTCTCGTGGTGACCCTCGCACCCCCATCTTTTAGGGGTGTTCCCCTTCCCCCTTGTTGCCCTCTGTCGCCTCTGCTGCTGCGGCCGACCTCGTTGATCTTGCGTCGGTCGGTGCGGCGTTTGCCCTTAGCGGGAGACGCCGCTCTGGCAAGGGCAAGGGGGGCAAGGGCGCGGGTGGAGCTGGCGGCAGCAGTGGAGGTAGCGGTGGAGGCGGCGGAGGGAGTGTGGGTGGCGGTGGGAGTGGTGGCAGGGGTGGAGGAGTCGGTGGCGGCAGTGGAGGCGGAGGCGGCGGAGGCGGCGGCGGTGCTAGTGGAGGCGGCGGTGGTGGCGGAGGTGGAGGAGGCGGTGGTGGAGGAGGTGGAGGTGGTAGGGGTGGCGCTTCGCAACGGAGCAGCTCTGGTGGTGGTCAACGCCAGCAGCAGCAGCAGCAGTAGCAGCGTTCTCGGGACATTCCCCCTCCTCAGCAGCTCCGTGAGTTGTACACGCAGCGTCAGCGTGGTGGGGGTTTTGGTCCGTGCACCTACGTCCTTCGCTCCGACGACCGCGCGGGTGAGCAGTGTGGGGGTGCCCACCCCACCCAGCGCTGCTTTGGCCGCCTGACGGACGCTTGGCGTCAGCAGTTCCCGGAGGCTAGTGAGATCCCCCGCTGGGGAGAGCTGTCTAGGGCAGGTGTAGCTATCTATGATCTTGACTTTGATGCTATCATTGCTGCCATGTATGCTGTGACTATTAGTGATGAGGGTGACTGTTACCGGTGTTTCCCGCCCGACCCGGGCATTGGTATTGCTGCTCTAGGTGCTGGTGAGGCTGCTACTCTAGGTGCCAGTGTGTTTGCGCCCTCAGGTGCTGGTGAGTCTGCGCTCTCAGGTACCACGTCGGCTTCGGCCTCCCTCACCTTCACACTGCAGACAAGCTGTCCCCTCGTGCAGCTCCTTGTGTCTTCCTTGGCTTCCCCCCTGACGCACCAGGGTGGCAGTTCTACCACCCCTCCTCTCGTCGTGTTCTGTCCTCCCAGGACGTCACGTTTGATGAGTCGGTCCCCTACTACCGTCTCTTCCACTACCGCACTCCTTCCCTCCCCCCGCCGCCGCACTTCCTTGTGCCAGGTCCCCCCCAGGTAGACCCCCTCCCCCCTCAGAGTCCTGCCCCTTCAGGTGTGTCCCACGTAGACACAGTCGACCCGGTCGAGGTTGCTGGTGACTCTTGTACTGCTGCGGGTGCTGAGCCTGGGGGTGCTGACTCTGGGGGTGCTGCGCGAGTGGGTGCTGAGCCTGGGAGTGCTGAGCCTGGGGGAGCTGCGACTTGGGGTGCTGAGCCTGGGGGTGCTACGACTGGGGGTGCTACGACTGGGGGTGCTGAGCCTGGGGGTCCTTCGCCTGGGGGTGCTACGTCTGGAGCTGCTGAGCATGGGGGTGCTGCTTCTGGCGCTGCTGAGCCTTGGGGTGCTGAGTCTGGAGCTGCTGAGTCTGGGGGTGCGGAGCCCGCGGCCGCTAGAGCTGCTCGTGTGGCGTCTGGCGATGCTGGGCCTGGTGGTTCTCCGGGTGCTTCGTCTTGTCGGGAGCCACTCTCTCCACAGGAGCTGCGCTAGTGGTTTGCCTGGCGCTAGAGGCGTACTACTGGAGCTGGTGCTTCTTCGGCTGCTGAGGGTGCTGGTGCCGCCGGTCTCGGAGGTGCTAGTCGTGGGAGTGCTAGAGCTACTGGGCCTGCGAGTGCGACTGGAGTCGGAGCTGCTGAGGGTGTTGGTGCTGAGGCTACTGCTGTCAGTCCTGGCGGCGGTCCTGCTGTGGGTGCTGCCGGTGCTGCTGGAGGTACTGGAGCTGGAGGTGCTGTTGGCGCTGGTGCTGCTGCTGGGGGTGCTGGTGCTGTCCCTGCTGTGTCTGGAGTTGCCGCGCGGCCTCGGCCGTACTTTGTTCCGCTCCTTCAGCAGGTTCTTGGTCTTCCTCCTCCCTTAGAGTGTCCACCGCCTGTCCAGTCACCGTCACAGTTACCGCCGGCCTCTCCACTCCTTGCTCCTTCTCCCTACACTAGTCCTACTGGAGGTCTCGCTGAGCGTCGTGAGCTTGCGTCTCGTCCTGCGTCGCCTGTTCGTGCTGCTCGTGCTAGTGGTCGCGGCTCGCGCCAGCGTCCTCCTCCTGTCCGTGGCACGCACCGGATGTCTCTGCGTCCGTCCACTGCTCCTCTGCGTGCCCCTTTGCCTTCTCCTCCTGAGTCCTCTCTTCCTGCCCTTGCCGACCCGGAGTCGGACTCTCTTCGTGCTGCCTGTCCTACTGTCACGCGTCTCCTTGCTACTGTCGTCACTGACCCCTCTTTTGAGTCCACTGCTGCGTCTGCTCTTGTTGCTGAGCTCGTCGACTTTGTTGCTCGCTGTTGTCTAGACTACGCTGCTAGTCTCGTTGCTGAGTCTGCGTCTGTCCGTCCTCCGTCCGTCGGGGGCGGGTGTGCTCTTGGCACGGACGTCCTTGAGGACAGGCAGGAGGAGTTCCAGTGTCTGGCTGCTCCTTCACCTCATCTCGTTTCCGTACTGCTTACCCCTGAGGGAGACCCGGATACACTTGACATCCCGACTCCGCGCTCTTACGCGGAGGCCGTAGAGGGTCCCTACTCCTCTTAGTGGCAGGCAGCTATGGATGCAGAGATGGCTTCCTAGAAGTCCACAGGCACCTACGTTGACGCGGTTCCCCCTACTGGGGCGAACATCGTCAGTGGCATGTGGATCTTCAGGGTGAAGCGGCCGCTCCCCACCTGTCTTCAAGGCGCGGTACGTGGCTCGTGGCTTCAGTCAGCGGCAGGGAGTTGACTACTTTTAGACCTTCTCTCCCACCCCGAAGATGACCACTCTTCGGGTGCTGCTACACATAGCCGCTCAGCGTGACTACGAGCTTCACTCCCTTGACTTTTGCACTGCTTTCGTGCAGGGTAACCTGCACGAGGAGATCTGGCTGCGTCGTCCACCTGGCTTCACTGGGACTTTCCCTCCTGGCACCCAGTGGAGCCTCTGACGGCCAGTCTACGGTCTCCGCCAGGGACCGCGCGAGTGGCACGACACACTGAGGACTAGACTTGCGGCTCTTGGGTTTGCTCCCTCTACTGCCGACCCGTTGCTGTTTCTACGCACCGACACCTCTTTGCCGCCGTTCTACATCCTCGTGTACATCGACAACTTGATCTTTGCCACTGCTGACACTGCTGGACTCCCCTATGTGAAGTCTGAGCTGCAGAAGAGACACACGTGCACAGACCTTGGTGAACTGCGCAGCTACCTTGGCTTGCAGATCACCAGGGACAGAGCACGCCGCACCATTACCTTGACTCAGTCACACATGGTGCAGGAGGTCCTTCAGCGCTTCGGCTTCACGTACTCCTCGCCTCAGGCCACTCCTCTGCCTACTCGCCACTCGCTCTCAGCTCTGCCTTCGGATGAGTCCGTAGAGTCGAGTGGCCCGTACCCAGAGCTTGTTGGCTGTCTCATGTACCTGATGACCTGCACACGACCTGACCTTGCATACCCTCTTAGCATTCTTGCACGCTATGTTGCTCCTGGGAGACACAGACCGGAGCACATGGCTGCAGCGAAGAGGGTGTTGCGCTACTTGTGCAGTACGTCGGGCATGGGGCTAGTGCTTGGAGGGCAGAGTCCAGTGGTCCTCACTGGGCACGCAGACGCTTCTTGGGCTGACGACCAGGCTACGCAGCGGTCGTCACAGGGTTACACCTTCAGCCTTGGTTCCGGCTCTGTTTCGTGGTGGGCTACTCGTTCGTCTTCTATTCTCGGCTCCAGTTGTGAGGCCGAAATCTACGTCGGGGCCATGGCTGCACAGGAGCTTCGCTGGCTTACCTACCTGCTGACCGACCTTGGAGAGCCGCCTCGTTCTCCTCCAGTGCTGTACGTAGACAACAAGGCCATGCTGGCCTTGTGTCGAGAGCAGAGACTGGAGCACAGAACAAAGCACATTGCTCTCCGCTACTTCCTTGCTCGTGAGCTACAGCAGCGTGGTTAGCTGCGGCTTGCATACGTGGCCTCTGAGGCCAACAGTGCTGATGTTTTCACCAAGGCACTTGCGCCTTGTGATCATCAGCGCTTCTGTGCTCAGCTTGGTCTTGTGCCTGTCTTGCCTCACTTGCTCACTTCTTGACCTTGCTTGTACTGTTACATATATATACTCCTGCTCTTGCTTGCTTAGCCTCTTATATATATGTGCTCCTGCATGTGAACTGGCCTTCTGGCCTTGAACTTGTGCTCGGAATGTGTGTTGACTTTGTGATCCACCCTGAGCTTTGCTTTGCTTTGTTTGACTGGTCTTGTGACCCCTTGTTCTCCCCCACTTTGCCTATGGGGGTGTGTCAAATTATAATATTCTGTAGGCTATAGTGGGGTAGCCCATATGGGGTACACATTTCTAGGGCTGCATATTTGTATCACTTCCATTCCATAGTGATTCATTCTCGTTCTAATTTTCTCACTCCGGTCTGTGTAAGTTCTTGGATGGCAGTACGTGTGAACGTAGCATGCGCGTATACACCAGCGTGGTTACGCTCCTGGAAGGCCTGTGGTGGACCGTGGCTCCATGGAAGCCAGTAATCGTTGGCGATTATGGGTAGGACGAGGGTGCAAGGGCACCATGAGCTCCACCACGCAAAGGTCGAGCGAAAACGACCGCACATCCGTATGACGGTTTTGTCCGTGACGGCAAATTCGTACGGGCCATCGTCGCAAGGCACCTTGTATTGTTGTGCTCCTGTATGTAGGACAGGGAAATGAACGAGACCAATCAAGTTACACGCCTTAATTAGTGAATGCGTGTGACATATACATGCATGCGCGAAAGATGAACCGTCAACAGTGAGAACCATACGGATGGTTTATTCTCATTCCATATAGGGCGTCCGATCGCACCGTTGCAAACTCTTTCCCGTACTCTCTCCTGTTCCCTCCCCTCTTCGTGATATATATATATATATATATATATATTGTTACCTTGCTGTAGGATTGATGCTTGGGACCATGATCATGCTCCCCTCTTGATCTCTCTCTCTCTCTCTCTCTCTCTCTCTCTCTCTCTCTCTCTCTCTTCCTCTCTCTCTCTCTCTCTCTCTCTCTCTCTCTCTCTCTCTCTCTCTCTCTCTCTCTCTCTCTTCCCCTCTCTCTCGCCCTTTTTGGTTTTCCAAAGGTTGAACCAGAGCTGCCCATCCTTGTGATGCATGGTGGCGGTTTGAGTGAGGAACGTGCGTACTCTCTTTTTCTCCCTCTCCCCTTCTCCTTCTCGCGTTTCGCCCCCACCCTTTTGGTTTTTTTTTTTTTTTTTTTTTTTTTTTTAATCCTTCACAAACTAAAGGGGGCCTTAAATAAAATCCCTATCTCTCATGGTCATACATTGTCATGCATACTAGCATGCTTCTCATCCCATCAATTGGGGCATACGGGGGACCGAGAGGCATTCTTCCTCTTCCCCAAAGCTAGGCCTACGGCCATACTTTATTACCCTATCCTAGGGGACCGAGAGGCATTCTTCCTCTTCCCCAAAGCTAGGCCTATGGCCAAATTCTAACACCCTATCCTAGGGCTGGCCATGGCCACCGCAAGCCCTACTAGGCTGCCCACGGTCTAAGCACTCAAGAGTGCATCGTGCATCGCGCCTAGTGGCGCGCTTCACCATAGCCCGAACCCTACACAACCGGTGCGGGTCCTTGGCCCCCATGCCCATTCCGAGGGCAGGCATTGGCGACGTGGCCTGGCTGGCCGCAGCGGAAATACGAACCACGAAAGCCTTGGAAGTTGCCCGAGGTTGGAGGGCCACGTTTTGGAGCGAACGCCATGGCGCCGTGGTTTCCACCACGGTGGGAGCGAGCGTGAGCGCCCGCCGCTCGGTCCATGGCAGCCACGTCTGCGACGGCTTGCTTGAACGGCCGCGAGGTGAGAAGACTTTTTTGTAGGTACATTTTGTAGCGCTTGGCCACGCGGTCGTCGGCGGCGTCTTCGACTTGAAACATGTCGAAGCGCGCGGAAATGTCGTTGAGGGCGGCGACGACCATTTCGAGTTCGCCCGCCAAGTCGCCGTGCTGCAGCTTGTACTCTGCGTGTTTCAGGTAAGCCCGCATGTCCTCCAGAATTTCCGTTTTCGCCCGCACGTGCGCGTCGTTGAACGTCGCTGCCGACCAAGTGGCGTTAATAGTAGAGGGGAGGGGGGGAAGATGCTCCATGGAATTAAAAATTGTGGTATGGACTGGAGCCTCACCATCATCGTCGTCGGAGCCGTCGGTGTCGTTGTCGGCCGCTGGCGCAGGTGGGATGCTGGCCGGTGCTTCCTTATCGTGGCGGTTCGTCGTTGTTGTCAAGAATAATATATATTTCTATATATTGTTTTTGTAACTGCCTGTAGTGTAGACTAGTGTAGTTATATAATGTTCTGTTTTGGTGGTGCACCTTTCATTTTGCCTATATGTACTGCTCGCTCTATAGTGAAAACCCTTCTTCTCTTTTCAACTTTCTCGACTCTAACTTAACTCACTCGAACTCAACTAGCTATGGCTCCTTAGCCTAGCTCAAGTTCTCACATGCTATCAGAGAGAGTTACGATCCTGGCCTTTTGCTTCCGCTGCTACTGAGTGTACTGCACGCCCCGTGGTGTGCCCTTTCATTCGCGGCCCCGCCACCCGCTCGCGGCCCCGCACCTTCTTAAGCGGCCCCGCCGCCCTACTGTCGCGGCCTCGCCGCCTCTCTGCTGTCGCGGCCCCGCCGCCCTACACTGCGGCCTCGCCGCTCTACTCCTGCGGCCCCGTCGCCGCCCGTCCCGGCCCGTCGCCGCCCGTACCAGCCCGTCGCCGCCCTTCGCGGCGTCACGTGCCACCCGTCCCGGCCCGTCGCCGCCCGTGCGGTACCCACCCTAGGCACCGATGCCACCTGCGGCCCCGCCCTCTTGCGGCCCCGACCCCGCCCCGGCCATGCCCTGTCGCCAGCCGCGGCACACCGGGGGCACGTGCACCGCCCCCCCCCCCTTTTCCCGTCACCCGTCGCGGCTCCTTCGGGGGCCGCGGGCGACCTGGAAGGGGGGGGCAGGCGTCGCCCCCTCTGCCGCCTGCTTTGGCGCCCGGGGAGGCCGTGCGTCGGCCCCCCCCCTCCCTCCCCCCCCTCTTCTCCTCCTCCTTTTGTTCCCTCTGCTGCAGCTGCCGCTGGGGGGGGGGGGTGTGAGAGTGTGGGGGAGCCCGGGGAGGGACTGGGGGTGGCGGGTGTGGGGGTGATGGGTGATGTCTGTTCCCCTAGCCCTACGGCCCCATTCTCCTCCGTTTGCCCCCCCCCCCCCCCCCCTCTGCTGCTCCTGCAGCAGTGTGAGGGGGATGGGGAGGGGGAGGGGGAGGTTGAGGGGATGTAGGGGGTGACCAACCAGAGCCTATCACCTCCTGTTCTCTGTTTTCTGCATTGGTTGTCACTGCTCCTGCTTGGTGTACCCCATTATGGGGGCGTTGACTGCATATTCTTCCCTACAGGCACTTATGGGGGCGTGTCAAGAATAATATATATTTCTATATATTGTTTTTGTAACTGCCTGTAGTGTAGACTAGTGTAGTTATATAATGTTCTGTTTTGGTGGTGCACCTTTCATTTTGCCTATATGTACTGCTCGCTCTATAGTGAAAACCCTTCTTCTCTTTTCAACTTTCTCGACTCTAACTTAACTCACTCGAACTCAACTAGCTATGGCTCCTTAGCCTAGCTCAAGTTCTCACAGTTGTTCCTCGCGCTCCTTTTTCTCCTCTTGCGTTTTCCTTTTTAGCAGATGAAGAGGCCGCAGGTTGTGCAATTTCCGTAGCTGTAACGCTGGCGGGCTGTTGCTGTAACAAGAACAGAAGCGCGGCGACCTGGTCCGGAGTCAACACGCTGGTCAACGTCGGGGTCATTGCGTCAGAGGAAGTCGCTGTTCGGCGCCTGTGGCGCTGACGCGGCGGTCCAGCCAGAGGCGCCGGCGTGTGCTCCGCGTTAGGCGCGTGTGGCACCACATGTGCTGCAGGTGCCTCCGTCGCCACTTCCGCCACACGCCCCTCAGGCGCCATAAGCGCCACAGGGGCCGAGGGGTGCTGCTGCTGAGGCGGGCTCGAGTTTTTAGCACGTCCACGGCAGTTGGGGCGGCGATCCTTCCTCTGCCCGCCGCTTGTTACGGCGATCGCCCGTCATTTCTCGGGCGTTACGATGGGTGTCGGAACTCGGCGCAGACGAATTGCCGCGGTTAAGTGCCGGTGTAGACGCCATTGTAGAGCGATTGTGGTTGACAATGTTCTTGCAGAAGTGTTGAGGGTGACTAGCCTCTGGGAAGAGTGCGAGTTCTAGCCAGCTTGGACGGGGAAAAGAACAACTCGAACGGAAACGTTGAATGAGCCGTTGGAAAACGAGAAACGTGGGTGGAGGGAATGAACTCCAACCCACGGTTTTTGTAGTTGGAGAAGGGCGTTTAGCGCGCTTCGACGTTGCCAAATATTCGGTACAGGCAGCTTCGCTTTCACAATACACAATTCTGAAAAATATCAATGTGTTTAGAAATTATAATGACTTGATACTAACCCGGTTTGACACACCAGTGACACCGTAGTTGCACACTGCGTTTGAAATGCAATTTCAAAGGAGCATGTATCTTTTCATGGAGCAGCATGTTTTATTTTTAGACTCGCTACATGCAAGGGTATGATGGCCCTAAACTAAGCAAGTACCGTTCTTGATGGGGCTGTCTAGAAATTACTCAAGCAATAGCTTTGCAGCACGAGAACGCGAATGGCTGGGCTTGTAGAATTTACACGAGCTACTCTATAAGATCGGTATCACCACGTTGCGAGGGAGTGACGCCAGCATTCGAGCGAACCTTACAGCTGCACGTGTCCGTTCTCGTGTTCGTTCGTTCACTTCACGCGTCTTTTCGATGCCTTCTGCCAGCCAACAACCAATCGCGAAATTGAGGTACCGCATCGCGCATCCTGGGATTGGATTTTGAAACAGAGCTGAAGTTAACTCGGACGGTTTGGCTCCCTTCAAAAAATGCTGAAAACGCAGGGTCATCCGAAAAACCGCTCGGAAATATCAGGACTGGCTTAAATCCTCGTTTAAGTAATTCGACAATGTGCGGCAATGGAGACTTCTTTCTGACAAAAGCTGATGTTGAAACTCTGTTTCAGTGCACTTAAGCTGCTTTCGTGTGGACCTCTCCTCACAGAGAGCGGAAGTGTACAAGGCCTCCGAATTTGACAGAGGGGCAGGAGTGAAGCATTCACAAGTTCCAGGAAGCGGGGAAGAAGTCTACCTGTGTTGAGAAGGGGGTTAGTTGGGGGTGGTAAGGGCTTTAGAAAAAGTTCCGAGTCATTCTAGGGACTACTCGGATTCATCAGAGTCATTCCTGGAAGTGCTCGGATTCAGTCAGTGCTGGAAGAAAAACTCTCCTATAAAAATCCGTGTTCGGCTGAAAATACCTTGGATTTTCAGTCAAGAATGAGCGTTTACCCTGATAGCCTGAGCCCTGTTTTGCATTTGAGAAATTATACGCGCAGTCACAATTTAGGCCGTATTATCACGTTTGGTAACGGGGTTATCACGGACAGTCACAGTACAGTACTTCGCTATCACGTGTGATCACAGCGCTATCACGCGTGGTCACACCTCGCCCCGCAGGGTTATCACGTTTGGTCACTCGTTGAAACGCCCGCCAAAAAGTCGAAACTCTCAAATCTACTGTACAGATTCGGGTACTATTATCTCGCGCGCGTTTTGTCTGTAGTGAAAAACGTGATGTGACTGTCGAAATATACTCGGACCTTGTTAGGGACCGATGCAGTTTAATGCACAGTCCGCATGTTGCAGTGAATATAAGCGATCAATAACAGTTTCGATTATACATTTAGTTTAGGGTGTGCATTTCATCCATAAAACAAAGACATGGGTTTAGGTCGAATGATTTAAATAGTGAGAACATTGAAATCATTCGAAAACCATACAACAATCTGTGGCATATGATTCTTGAGTGGGGACTCAAATTTGTAGTCGCGAGATTTCTCGAAGTAGGAAAAGCTACCACCCCCTTTTCCCTCAGGAATGTCCTTTTCTTCATTTCCGTTTCAACATCGTGATCCAAGATGTTCCGCTGGTCTCACCTTCACGAATTTACGTCTCATTTTTAGCTTGCGCGAGCTAGTTTAGTGCCAGATGGGAATGGCGGAGCCTAGGGCTGCACTCAACTAGCATTCTGTTTCCCTTTCCAAATTTGTTGGCATTTTTCGGGAGAATATCGGACGTTAAGTTGGCAATAAGAGACTTTTTACTGAGTGTATCTGCGACTGCATTTAGCTTGGCGTCGTATTACAGAACTGAAAAGTTTCCTGCGAGGTTTCACGTGGTTAAGCTTCGCTTTGTTGCCCAGTTCTCGCAACCATGGCGTTAGCTCGCCGGTTCAACAAAATGTTCGTTCAGGGAGGGAAGCAAGAAGGGGCCCCCGCCCCCTCCGGCAAGCCTCGCAATCCGCACACGCAAACGTCGCAAGATCTCGACAACAACAGCGAGCCTCGTCGCTCGCGATCATTCGCACGTCGCAGCTACGACAGCAGCGCGGCTCCCGCTGGTTCGACTCCACCCACCGACGCTTTCGCGAAAATGCGGTTACCATCGTCGGCTTCGGTGGACGGGAAGCGGGATGCTGCGGGTCAATCGGGTGATCATCTCGTGGACTCCCCCGATAAAGTCACATCGAAATGGAGCAAAGCCGACTGGCAGGAGATCATCAGCGCCTTACAGACGGCTTCTAAAGGGTACAAATGCTCACTCAAGAAGAAACCCCCGAGCGCAAGTATACTACACACGGACAGAGTAAACCTGAACCACGTAGCCTTGCTTTTCAGCTTAGATCTCAGTCGTCCCCCTTCGATTCGCCTTTGCCTTTGCCTTTGCCTTTGCCTTCCGCGCCCCTGCTTTCCGCCACCTTCAGGTGTCACAAGTGCGGAGATTCCTCCGCCAATCCCTCCCTCGCTTCCGCCTTGCGCCTCGTCTCTCAGCTAAAAGCCGGTGGCAGTCACAATCACACCGACACTCACTCTTCAGCCGGGACCTCTCCCAGACCTAACTCCCGATTCTCCCCCGGGCCTCACCCCCGAGCCTCCTTCCCGGACATGCACGGCGCAATGACGGACGATGGCCCGTCCGCGTGCCCTTACCTAGGCGGAAAGGCTGGGGGAGGAGGGGCGGGGGGAGATGCGGGGGAAAGAGGGCCGCGGGTGGCGGGGCTGGTTCGGACGCCCTCTGGCGCGAGCAGTAACACGGACTCGCTTATAACGGGGACGACTCATAGCGTGGGAGTGGGAGCTGGAGCGGGAGGGGGAGGGGGGAGCGTTGTGAGCGCAGCTGACCTTCTGAATCGGAGAATGCTGTCGATGATTACTAAGGCGCACGAGCTGTACGCCAAGGATACGGTACGTATGCGCTTGACTTGTGAGGCTCAAAAGTCACCTGAGCCACGTGAGTGCAACCGAACTTCTCAATCGGAGAATGCTGCCGTTGATCACTAAGGTGCACGAGCTTTACGCCAAGGACACGGTACGCACTCCTCCTTCCCCGCGCCCCTGCCCCCGCCCCCGCGCCCCTGCCCCTTCCACCTTCCCCACTTCCCTGCTCACCGCATTGCAGCCCTTGTCTTTCATCCCCTTCCCCTTCGCTCCAGATCCCCTCAGTGGCAGCATGGTGGCGGATTTTCTGCTCTGCTCTCCCAGCTGCCCATTCTTCCTTCCTCTGCCCTTCCCTTGTCCCCACTCCCCTTCCTCCGGCATCCCTTCTCCTCTTCTCATCCCTCCGCCAGACCCCCAACGGCAGCAAGGTGGCAGATTTTCGAGACGTCTCAAAAATGTTCTTTCTACACGTGCCTTCTCTTGTCCCCACTCCCCTGCCTCCGGCATCCCTTCTCCTCTTCTCATCCCTCCGCCAGACCCCCAATGGCAGCAAGGTGGCAGATTTTCTCCTCTCCCAGCTGCTGGAGCTCACCCACTCCTCCTTCCCCTGCCTTTCTCCTGCCCTTCTCCTGCCCTTCCCCACTCCCCACTCCCCTGCTTCCCGCATCTCGAATATCCTTCCCTTCTCATCCTCCCTCCCCACCATACCAGACCTCCAACGACAGCAAGCTGGCGGGTTTTCTTCTTTCCCAGCTGCCCATTCTTCCTTCCTCTGCCCTTCCCTTGTCCCCACTCCCCTGCATCCGGCATCCCTTCTCCTCTTCTCATCCCTCTGCCAGACTCCCAATGGCAGCAAGGTGGCAGATTTTCTCCTCTCCCAGCTGCTGGAGCTCACCCAGTCGCCTGCTGGCTTCATCTGCAGCGCCGTACGGAAGCCCGACGGCGCTGTTTCCCTCAAGGTGAGTGAGAGCACACTTGTACTCGTTATAAGCCCCGCGGGTGCGATGTGGTATTGTAGAGACAGCTGCTGGAGCTCACCTAGTCGCCTGCGGGCTTCATTTGCAGCGCTGTCCGGAAGCCCGAGAGTGCTGTTTCCCTAAAGGTGAGAGGAAAAACTCGTTGCACTCGTTTTAAGCACCGCGGTAATATAGAAGCAGCGGTCGATGCTCACCCAGTAGCCTGCTGGCTTCATCTGCAGTGTTGTCAGGAAACTTGACGACGCTGTTTCCCTCAAGGTGAGTGAGAGCACACTTGTACTCGTTATAAGCCCCACAGCTGCTGGAGCTCACCCAGTCGCCTGCTGGCTTCATCTGCAGCGCTGTCCGGAAGCCCGACGGCGCTGTTTCCCTAAAGTTGAGAGGAAACACACTTTGCACTCGTTATAAGCACCGTGGTAATATAGAAGCAGCGGTCGATGCTCACCCAGTCGCCTGCTGGCTTCATCTGCAGCGCTGTCAGCAAGCCCGATGGGGCTTTTTCTCTGAAGGTGAGTGCACTTGTTATAAGCACGGACGGGTTGTGGCGTTATAGCGGTCCAGTCGCCTGCTGGTTTCACCCAATCGCCTGCCTGCTAAGCCATTCGTTATAGGCACGGTTGGGGGCAGCTTTACAGTGGAAAGCTCTGCAGCTCACCCAGTCGCTCACGGTTGGGCACGGTTGGGAGGTGCTAAGCCATCCCCACTCTCTCTCCCTGGTCTCTCTCTGTCCTCTTCCTCTTTCTGTCCCCTGCCCTCCCTTCTTCCTTCCCAGACCCACTCCATCACCAACTTTGCATGGACCAGGGAGCTGCGCCTGTGGTACATGGAGAACGCCGCCAAGGGAGTGGGCAGCTGAGTCTGAAGTCACTCTGCCTGCCTTTTCCATCCTTTGCTTGCCTCTGCCCCGTAACGCCTCGCCTCTCAGACCCACTCCATCACCAACTTCGCATGGACGAGGGAGCTGCGCCTGTGGTGCACGGAGAAACGCCGCCAAGGGGATGGGCACTCTTGAATCATCCCTGCCCTCCCTGTCCTTTGTTTGCCTCTTCCTCGCCTCCCCTTGCCAGACCCACTCTATCACCAACTTTGCATGGACGAGGGAGCTGCGCCTGTGGTGCACGGAGAAACGCCGCCAAGGGGATGGGCACTCTTGAATCATCCCTGCCCTCCCTGTCCTTTGTTTGCCTCTTCCTCGCCTCCCCTTGCCAGACCCACTCTATCACCAACTTTGCATGGACGAGGGAGCTGCGCCTGTGGTACACGGAGAATGCCGCCAAGGGGCTCGTCTTCAGCAACCTCAACACGCTCTTCGGCCATGTCAGTGCCTCTCCCCGCCCTCCCTTTTCCCCTCTCCCCGCCCTCCCTTTTCCCCTCTCCCCGCCCTCCCTTTTCCCCTCTCCCCGCCCTCCCTTTTCCCCTCTCCCCGCCCTCCCTTTTCCCCTCTCCCCGCCCTCCCTTTTCCCCTTTCCCCGCCCTCCCTTTTCCCCTTTCCCCGCCCTCCCTTTTCCCCTCTCCCCGCCCTCCCTTTTCCCCTTTCCCTGCCCTCCCTTTTCCCCTTTCCCCGCCCTCCCTTTTCCCCTTTCCCCGCCCTCCCTTTTCCCCTTTCCCCGCCCTCCCTTTTCCCCTCTCCCCGCCCTCCCTTTTCCCCTTTCCCCGCCCTCCCTTTTCCCCTCTCCCCGCCCTCCCTTTTCCCCTTTCCCCGCCCTCCCTTTTCCCCTTTCCCCGCCCTCCCTTTTCCCCTTTCCCCGCCCTCCCTTTTCCCCTTTCCCCGCCCTCCCTTTTCCCCTTTCCCCGCCCTCCCTTTTCCCCTTTCCCCGCCCTACCTTTTCCCCTTTTCCCGCCCTCCCTTTTCCCCTTTTCCCGCCCTACCTTTTCCCCTTTCCCCGCCCTCCCTTTTCCCCTTTTCCCGCCCTCCCTTTTCCCCTTTCCTCGCCCTCCCCTGTCCTTGTCTACTCGCCGCCAAGGGGCTCGTCTACAGCAACCTCAGCACTCTCTTCGGCCACGTCAGTGCCTCCCTTCTCTCTTCCATCTTCGCCCTGCATTCTCGCCCTCCCTTCTCCACATTCCTCGTCTTTTGAGGAGCCCTAAAAGCTCGGCTACGTCAGTGCCTCCCTCCCTTCTCTCTTCCATCTTCGCCCTGCATTCTCGCTCTCCCTTCTCCACATTCCCCACCCCCTTCCCTCTACCCTCCTCAAGTTGCGAGACCACTCCATTCTGTGTTTTCCCCACCCCTTTCCCCCGCACGCACCCCTGTCTCTCTCCCACCCACCCCTCCTCCTCCCGACCCCTCTCCGCCATCGCTCTCCTTCACCCCCTCCTCCCATCCCTCTCACCAGATTGTGAAGACCAGCGATGTGGTTCTCAGCAACAACGCTCCGGACGACCCTCGCTCTGCTGGCCTGCCCCCCGGCCACCCCCCCATCCACAACTTCCTAGGCGTCCCGCTATTCCATGGTACGTGCAACTGAGGGTGCACGGGTGCACATGCACGTACATGTGTTCACTCATGCACGTGCCCATACATATGTACATGCACGTGCCCATGCATGTGTACGTGCACATGCCCATACATGGTAAGTGCACGCACACACATGCTTGAGACCCCTCGCTCTGCTGGCCTGCCCCCCGGCCACCCCCTCATCCACAACTTCCTAGGCGTGCCGCTATTCCATGAGACGTTCATGCACGTGGCCGTACATGTGCACATGGCCATCCATGTGTACATGCACATGCCCATACATGTGCACATGCACATGCCCATACAGGTTCGGAGCTGATAGGGGCGTGGGCGGTGAGCAACAGGAAGGGGGGGTACGAGGAGAGGGAAGCGGCAGCCTGCTCTGTCACTCATCCTCCTGAGCCCTGTGTTTCCATTCCCTATCCATTCCCCATGCCCTCATGTGCTCATAGGCTCGGAGCTGATAGGGGCGTGGGCGGTGAGCAACAGGAAGGGGGGGTACGAGGAGGCTATGCTAGGGAAGCTGCAGCCTGCTCTATTCCGTGTCCTCACCACTCCCCATGCCCCACTCCCCATGCCCCACTCCCTATGCCCCACTCTCCATAGGGTCGTAGCTGATAGGGGCGTGGGCCGTGAGCAATAAGAAGGGGGGGTACGAGGAGAGCATGCTGGGGAAGCTGCAACATGCCTGCCTGCCAGTGACTCAACCTCATGTATATCCTGCTCCCTGCCTTCCCCATTCACCTAGGTTCCGAGCTGATAGGAGCGTGGGCGGTGAGCAACAGGAAGGGAGGGTATGAGGAATCCATGCTGGGGGAGCTGCAGCATGTGACTAAACCTCCTTTATTCCCTTCTTCTCCATTCCGTACTTGCTGCCAGGTTCCGAGCTGATAGGAGCGTGGGCGGTGAGCAACAGGAAGGGAGGGTATGAGGAATCCATGCTGGGGGAGCTGCAGCATGTGACTAAACCTCCTTTATTCCCTTCTTCTCCATTCCGTACTTGCTGCCAGGTTCCGAGCTGATAGGGGCGTGGGCGGTGAGCAACAGGAAAGGAGGGTACGAAGAATCCATGCTGGGGAAGCTGCAGCATGTGACTAAACCTCCTTTATTCCCTTCTTCTCCATTCCGTACTTGCTGCCAGGTTCCGAGCTGATAGGGGCGTGGGCGGTGAGCAACAGGAAGGGGGGGTATGAGGAATCCATGCTGGGGAAGCTGCAACCTGCCTGCCTGCCAGTGACTCAACCTCATGTATATCCTGCTCCCTGCTTTCCCCATTCACCTAGGTTCCGAGCTGATAGGCGCATGGGCAGTGAGCAACAGGAAGGGAGGGTATGAGGAATCCATGCTGGGGGAGCTGCAGCCTGTCTGTGACTTAACCTCCTTTATTCCCTTCTTCTCCATTCCGTACTTGCTGCCAGGTTCCGAGCTGATAGGGGCGTGGGCAGTGAGCAACAGGAAGGGAGGGTATGAGGAATCCATGCTGGCGGAGATGCAGCCTGTGACTAAAACGGTGGCCCAGATAGTGGCGGGCATTCAGGGCAGGAAGAAAGCAGCCGAGAAGGAGAAACTCATGGCGTCCATGCTCAAGGTAGGGGTGGCCTTGACGCGTAGGGAATGTATTGGCTTGAAGGTGTGAGCAAAGGAGAAGCGCACTCAGGGCAGGAAGGAGAAACGAATGGTGTCCATGCTCAAGGTATGGATAATGGAATGGTGCTTATGCTCAAGCGAACATGAGAGCATTCAGGGCAGGAAGAAGGCCGCCGAGAAGGAGAGAGAAACGCATGGTGTCCATGCTCAAGGTGTGTACGGCCTTGACGCCTAAGCTATGGGTGTGATGGTCGGATGGGTTTGGTGGTCATGGTATGGGCGTGATGAGTTAGTTCAATTCAACGGGCAAGGGAAGAAGAAGTGCATTTGGGGCAGGAAGAAGCGGCCGAGAAGGAGAGAGAAGCGCATGGCGTCCATGCTCAAGGTGCGGGCTTGATGGTCGTGATATGGGTTAAATGATGCCATTGTGTGGCCCTGATGCTCTATGGAAGGAGAAACGCATTCAGGGCAGGAAGAAAGTGGCCGAGAAGGAGAAGCGTATGGTGTCCATGCTCAAGGTAGGGGCTTGATGGTCGTGATATGGGTTAGATGATGCCATTGTGTGGGCCTGATGCTCTATGGAAGGAGAAACGCATTCAGGGCAGGAAGAAGGCGGCCGAGAAGGAGAAGTGAATGGTGTCGATGCTCAAGGTAGGGGCTTGATGGTCAATTGGGTTTGAAGGTAAGGTTTTGATGATCAAAGTGTGGGCTTGATGCTCTATGGAAGGAGAAGCGCATGGCGTCCATGCTCAAGGTAGGGTGGCCTTGATGGTGGAATGAAATGGGTTTGAACTGTGAAGGTAAGGTTTTGATGCTCAAGGCAGGGGGGCTCGATGCTCAAGGCAGGGGGGCTCGATGCTCAAGGCAGGGGGGCTCGATGCTCAAGGCAGGGGGGCTCGATGCTCAAGGCAGGGGGGCTCGATGCTCAAGGCAGGGGGGCTCGATGCTCAAGGCAGGGGGGCTCGATGCTCAAGGCAGGGGGGCTCGATGCTCAAGGCAGGGGGGCTCGATGCTCAAGGCAGGGGGGCTCGATGCTCAAGGCAGGGGGGCTCGATGCTCAAGGCAGGGGGGCTCGATGCTCAAGGCAGGGGGGCTCGATGCTCAAGGCAGGGGGGCTCGATGCCAGGGGGGGCTCGATGCTCAAGGCAGGGGGGCTCGATGCTCAAGGCAGGGGGGCTCGATGCTCAAGGCAGGGGGGCTCGATGCTCAAGGCAGGGGGGCTCGATGCTCAAGGCAGGGGGGCTCGATGCTCAAGGCAGGGGGGCTCGATGCTCAAGGCAGGGGGGCTCGATGCTCAAGGCAGGGGGGCTCGATGCTCAAGGCAGGGGGGCTCGATGCTCAAGGCAGGGGGGCTCGATGCTCAAGGCAGGGGGGCTCGATGCTCATCATGATTAGGTATGGGCGGGGGCAGCACAGAGCACAGTAGTGATGAGTCTATTTTTGAGTCGACTCGCCACGGTAGTGAACCGTGCGGCCCCTTTTCATGCTTGTTCGTATGCGCGCTCCCACCCACATGCCTCTCCTCTCCTCCACCCCCCTTACCCTTCCCACCTTCCCCAGAGCACCGTAGATAGACCCCTTCGTTGCACTGGATGACGGCGGCGCGGCGTTTGCAGGGAGTTTTTGAGAATTCTCAAAAGCACCCTTCCCACCTTCCCCAGAGCACCATAGACAGACCCCTTCATTGCACTGGATGAGGGCGGCGCCGCGCCATCACCGCAATGAACCGTGCTCTTTGCTTTCCCATGTGGCTCCCCTTGCACCTTGCCTCGTCCCTAACTCCTCTTCCATGCGCCTCTGCCCCTCCCTGCTGACTTTTGAGTCGACTCAAAAGCCACCGCTTCCCTAACTCCTCTTCCGTGCGCCTCTGCCCCTCCCTGCTCTCTCCACGGAGCACCATAGAAGCCGTCATAGCACTGGACAACAGCGGCACCATCACGGCTGTGCAGTCCCATGCCCCTTCTCATGCATGTTTGTATGTGTGTTCCCTCTCCCCTCCTTTCCACTGCCCTCCCCTCCCTGCCCTCTCTCAGAGCACCATAGACGCCATCATTGCTCTGGACGACGGCGGCACCATCACGGGAATGAACCGGGCGGCGCGGACCCTGTTTGAATTCACTCAAATCTTGCCCCCCCCTCCCCTCCCCTCCCCTCCCCTCCCTGCCCTCTCTCAGAGCACCATAGACGCCATCATTGCTCTCGACGACGGCGGCTCCATCACGGCAATGAACCGGGCGGCGCGGACACTGTTTGGATTCACCGAATCTGGCACCGGCAGCAGCGGGGATGACGTGGACGCGTCCACTCTCCCCGACACCCTCCACATCACGGATCTTCTGGAGTCTGTGGATGGGTCAGAAGACTTTATAGAGACCGGTGAGCACGGGGATGGTGTGAATGCACCTAGTCAGACGTAGACGCGTCCACCCACCCTCCCAGACACCCTCCACATCACGGTCCTTCTGGAGTCTGTGGATGGGTCAGAAGACTTTATAGAGACCGGTGAGCACGGGGATGGTGTGAATGCACCTAGTCAGACGTAGACGCGTCCACCCACCCTCCCAGACACCCTCCACATCACGGTCCTTCTGGAGTCTGTGGACGGATCAGAAGACTTTATCGAGAACGGTGAGCACGGGGATGGTGTGAATGCACCTAGTCAGACGTAGACACGTCCACCCACCCTCCCAGACACCCTCCACATCACGGATCTTCTGGAGTCTGTGGATGGGTCAGAAGACTTTATAGAGACCGGTGAGCACGGGGATGGTGTGAATGCACCTAGTCAGACGTAGACGCGTCCACCCACCCTCCCAGACACCCTCCACATCACGGACCTTCTGGAGTCTGTGGACGGATCAGAAGACTTTATCGAGAACGGTGAGCACGGGGATGGTGTGAATGCACCTAGTCAGACGTGGGCGCGTCCACCCTCCCAGACACCCTCCACATCACGGATCTTCTGGAGTCTATCGATGGGTCAGATGACTTTATCGAGACCGGTGAGGGGGAGAAAATGCATCAGTAGCAAATGTGATCAGTATCAGCAGCGGGGATGATGTGGACGCGCCCACTCTCCCCAACACCACAGACCACCTTGAATCTGTTGACGGGTCAGAGGACTTCATAGATACCATACCGGTGAGTTGACGTTCCAAGGTCTGATAATGGTGAGTGAGAGGGGCACAAGCTGATGGGACACCCACCCACATGGTCGGCGGCAGCAGCGGGGATGACGTGGACGCATCGACTCTCCCCGACACCCTCCACATCACGGACCTTCTTGAGTCTGTTGATGGATCTGAGGACTTCATAGAGACTGGTGAGTTGACATTTCAAGGTCTGATGATGGTGAGTGAGAGGGGCACATGTTGATGAGAGAGGACTTTATGGCGACCGGTGAGGGGGAATCTGCCGCGGTGGTTGGAGTGGGATGGTGTGAAGTGCATGCACCTAGCCAAACGGGGACGCGTCCACTCTCCCAGACACCCTTCACATCACAGACCTGCTCGCGTCTGTCAATGGGTCGGAGGACTTCCGAGACAGTGGTGAGAGGGGACAACATTAGGTTACTAACATCCATTCGGGACAGTGGCAGCATCAGCGGGGATGACGGGGACGCGTCCACCCTCCCCAACACCCTTCACATCACAGACCTTCTGGAGTCTGTCGATGGGTCGGAGGACTTGATAGAGAAGTGTAAGATTTTTGAGGCGCCTCAAAAGTTGTAAGATGATGATACCACAAGGTTTGAGAACAGGGTGATGAGATACCCTCACCCACACAGGCAGTGGCGACAGCAGCAGGGATGGCGGGCGTGAATACACCTTGTCACTGCGCGTCCACCCTCCCAGGCACCCTTCACATCACATCACATCACATCACATCACATCACATCACATCACATCACATCACATCACATCACATCACATCACATCACATCACATCACATCACATCACATCACATCACGGACCTTCTTGAGTCCGTGCATGTGATGCCACTACCCTACTTTGAGAATTCTCAAGCACCAGTCAGTGCATGGGTCAGAGGATGTTTTTGAAAACGGTGAGAAGGGGAATTTTTTAGGCGCCTCAAAAACCCTTCACATCACATCACATACCTTGTCGAGTCTGTGCATGGGTCAGAGGATGTTTTTGAAAACGGTGAGAAGGGGAAAAGGAAGGGTCGAGGAGCAATTTTTGGAACTAATAGCGCGTGCAGCAACAACAGTGGTTGTCACTGTTGCTATGACTTTTGAGAAATCTCAAAAGGGCGTGCAGCGACAGTAGTGATTGTCAGTGGTGCTTTGACACAAGCCACCCACTCTCCTGCACACCTTTCTATTAGACCATGACACACTGATAGGAGTCAACCATTCAGTGTCAGCTTCTGCCTACCAAGTCAACTCAAGTCAACCCCCCCCGGGCACCCTTCCCCCCCCCCATCAGGCCTCGACACGTTTATAGGAGACGACCGCCCGGTGTCAGCCGTCGGGCGGCAGATCGTGGGCGGCAAGGTCTTTTTGGATCTATCTGTGGCGTCAGGCGCTACTGCTGACGTGGCATACGTGCTGACAGCGCGGGAGCTTCAGGCAGGCGGTGGGAACATGCATGTGCCTGGCACACCTGGTTCGGCTTACAGTGGGGGAGGGGGGAGTATGAGTGGGGAGATGGCAGAAATGGGGGGCATGGGAAGAATGGGGGGCATGGGGGGGATGGGGGGCATGGGAGGAATGGGGGCAATGGGGGGAATGGGAGGAATGGGAGGAATGGGGGGAATGGGGGCCATGGGCATGGGTAGGGGTATGCATGGGGGCATGAGTGGGGGCATGGGTGGGGGTATGGGCGGGGGCATGGGTGGGGGTATGGGCGGGGGCATGGGTGGGGGTATGGGGGCTTATGATTCGATGGGGCATGGTCGGGGCGGGATGGGTGCGATGAGGCCTGGGGCTGGTGGTGGTGCTGGTGGGGTGGGTGCTGGGGCATCTGCTGGTTCGGAATTCGGTGGTATGGGCGGTGCTGGTGGTGGTGGCATCAAGTTGGCAGGTCTTGATATCAAGCCGTATCAGCAGAAGCAGCAGTCCGGTACTAGTAGTTGCGAAAGTTATGCGCAGAAGGATGAGTACAACACGTATGTGTATGATGGAAATGGTATTTAAAGATAGTTATGCTTTCCTGATGCCTGCATTGTATTATTATGGCCTGGCTTTTGCACATGACTCTGAGGGCTTGGTTGTAAACTACAAGCTACTTGTCCTCTTTGCGATTGCTATTACCATATCCTGGCAATTTGAGTCTGGAAGGAATGTGGAATTTTACACCAATATTGTAATGGGGTGTTGCACAAAAGATAGGCGTCTCGTTATTCGAAGTGCTTTGTAGGGGTCATTGGATGGCAGTCACACACCGAGGCTGTTGTTACCGGAGTAGCATCTTGGTCTCTTGTGCCAGCTATTGAACCGTACTGCACCATCGCAAGTCTTGAACAGTTTCTTCGAATCCTTATCCTTTCCCTTACGCCGATCGCTTTACCCTCCTTATGGTGCCGCTAGGGTTTCAACGAAACATTTCCGGCCAACGTATTCGCTCCCCTTCCCCTCGATACTGTCGCAATTACAACGATAGCGGCTGGTTCTCCTCGATTGTATTGTCGTATATATTCTCTCACTTCCTTTTTCTGTTTCCCGCTGGGTTCCCAGGTTCTCAGGTTTTCCAGGTTTTCGAGCTTTCGAGAGTTTGAAGTTACAAACTGCTGAACTCGATTTTATTATGCTCGCCATCTATATCTGCTTTGCCTTTTCTTTCTTTCCGGTCTGCAGTTAGCCCAGGTCGCGCGAGTTTGCGAGTGTCGCAGTCGTAGCGCACATTTGAAATCGATTCCTGGCAGGAATGTTCATCTGCTTTTGCTAACAAAGCACCACCGCGTTTTTGTTCACGTAGTAAGTGCCCCACGCTAGTGTCTCGAGTTTACGAGGATTTACGGCTGTAGAAGTTCAAAGCGTGTGCCATTAGTACGAGTTACGGAAAGTCAAGGTTACCTTCTTAGCTTCGTTGTACAGTTGCGGGACGAACGCCGCAGTTGCTGCAGTTGCCTCATGTGTTTGAACTAGTTCGTTTCTTTTCCAACCTTCGAGTTTTCTGTCCGCGATCCTAGGGGCTGCATTTGGCGTCGTCTAGTATTGCCCACTGTCGTTAGAATGCGTCGCGCTTTCGCTTCCCCATCCGACGGCATCATAGTACTATTTTAAAATTTCACAAGACGTGCTTCACTTTTTCTCGTGGTTTATTTCTCCTTGACTTAGTTAGCTTCGCGCAGCTTCTGTGACCTTTGTCGTCGCTCCCTTCTCTACACTACCGACAACGTCACTTTTCCGGTTTTTTTCACCTTTTTCGAGTCCTTGTTCTTTTGGGACAGGTTCGCTACAGTCTCAAAATTTCGCCGTCTCCCCTCCGCTTCTTGTCCCGCTATTACGTCTCTCGTTACAGTCTCGCGGGCCATTAGTTTCGCCACTCTTGTGCTTCTAACGAAGGCGCCGTATGGAGGAAATACCCGACAGTCACGCGTACGTGGAAGCGCCAATGGAGGGCGTGGAGATGGAAGAAACTGTGCAGGGTGTCGATGCACCTTCTAACGAGGATGGACACGCTTTCTCAGCACCGGAAGCGGCGGCGGAGCCAGGATCGAGCGCCGCTGAATCCTTCGCGGCGACGGATGCGGGTTTCCCGGCGTCCGATGCGGCGCCAGATGCGGCGGCCGATGCGGGTTACCCAGCGCACGAGAGCGCGGCAGCGGCGGCGGCGGAGCTGGAAGGCGACGGAAGGGACGCGGAAGGAACGACGGCAGCGCCGACGACGGTGATCACGGAAGATGCGGAGAACCTTCTGGACGACATGCTGGGAGAGTCAGGTACGTTTTAACGGTGACCATTTTGTTTTCCCTATTTTCAAGCATATTATCGCTCTTATTCACATATAATTTCCCTATGGAAAAGCTTTCCAGTGTAACTTCACTCGCTTTTCACTTCGCTCACCTTGTCAGTGGCCATCCACGTTAAAGTGAACCTTCATACTGGTTCGAGGTTTCTTTCGCCTCTGAAATAAACGAAGCCTCTTTGTTAACGTAAGCTTGACTTGCTATCCCTCACCACCTTCCCCCCTCCCCCTCCCCCTTCTTAATGACGCTGTTCCAGATCCTACAACTGAGCCTGCTGCCGAACCAGTTCCTGCTGAGCCTGCTCCCGTGGCTGATGCACAAGCTGCGATCACTGCGGTTGGTGGGGAGGTTCTTGCCGATGCTGCCCCTGAGGTTTCTCCCCCTGCTGCGGAAACACCTGCAGAGGAATCTGCTCCTGCAGAGGAAACGGCACCAGCGGAGGGGACATCAGCAGGCGCGCTAGAGGGAACCGGAACTGGTGCAGAGGTGTATGCTTTTACAGAGGAACCTGTTGCTGCAGAGGAATCTGCTCCTGCAGAGGAGAGCCAACCGCAGGGTGGTAACCAGGAGTCTGTTCCGCCAGTGGGGGACGCACAGGGGGAGGCGGAAGCGGCTCCGCCAGTAGAGGGGATGGGTATGGATGTGAAGCATGGTGATGGGAGTGGTGCGTACGGGCAGCAGGAGCAGGGGCAGCCTATAACGAGTATGGGCCTGGATGTAAAGGTGGGAGAGGGAGGCCTGGAAGGGGGGCAGGTGGTGGGGGGAGAGGGGGAGGTGATGGGGGAGGGAGGGCAAGTGGTGGGGGGAGAGGGGGAGGTTATGGGGGAGGGAGGACAAGGGGAGGGAGAGCATATGGGAGAGCATATAGATGAGCAGGAGGGGGATGAAGTGCTACGGCTTCGGATGGGTATGGATGTGAAACATGATGGGGAAACAGCGGAAGAGGCGCAGGTGGTGGGGGGAGAGGGGCAGGTGGCAGGGGGCGAGATGACGCATGAAGGGGAGATGGTGCAGGGGGGAACGGGCGAGCAGGGGGGAGTGGGGGGAGATGCCCAATACGAGCAGCAGGTTGGCGCAGTGGGCAGCGCGGGCGGGGAGCACGGGGAGCATGGGGAGCATGGGGGGCAGCCGCATGAAGGGGAGGCGCAGGCGGGGGGAGAGCATGGGGGCCATGGGGGGGAGGTGCATGCAGGGGGGGAGCATATGGTGCAAGAGTATGCAGCGCAGGAGCATGGGGGTGGGGAGTACGGGGCACAGGGGTATGTGGGGGAGGCTTATGCGGGGCAGCAGCAAGAGGGGGAGGCTTATGCGGGGCAGCAGCAGCAGGAGGGGCAGGAGTATGCGGGGCAGCCGTTAGGAGGAGATGTGGAAATTCAGGAGCAGCAACAAGGAGCAGTGGTGGGGGAAGGAGGAGAGGTGGTATACGCACCTACTGCTGCTGCTGATGCCGCTGATGCTGGTGATGCGGCTGTTGAAGCTGGATATATGGCGGCTAAACCTGATGCTGATGCCTACGCTGCTGCTGTTGCTGCCGCTGACACCGCAGCAGCAGAAGCAGCAGCGGCAGCAGCAGGTGGTGCGGCAGGGGCTGGTGGGGCGGGAATGGAAGGGGTGCGGATGCAGGGGGAAGCGGAAGCAGCACACATGGCCGGGGGCGCGGAGGGATACACTGAAGCGGGGACCCATGAAGGGTACACAGGAGCAGGGGCGCAAGAAGGGTATATTACTCAGGGTAATGAAGGGATGGGGATGGGTAATGAAGGGTACGCTCAGGGGGAACAGGGGGAGCCGCAGGGTGGGTACACGGGAGAGCAGGGCCAGGCACATGAGGGGTACGGGCAAGAGGGGGCGCATGCATATGTGGTTGGTGGGGAGGCTGGAGGGTATGCGGAAGGGCAGACGGGGGGACACGTGGAGGGGCAGACGGGGGGACACGTGGAGGGGCAGACGGGGGGACACGTGGAGGGGCAGACGGGGGGACACGTGGAGGGGCAGACGGGGGGACACGTGGAGGGACAGATGGAAGGACACGTGGCACAGCCTTACGTGGAAGGAGAAGCCACAGCAGGAGGAATGGCAGCAGGTGAAGCAGCAGCAGGAGAAGCTGCAGCAGGGGAGGCCGAAGCAGCGGCAGCAGGAGGAGGAGGAGAAGGCGCAGGGGCAGCAGAAGGGGCGGGAGCGGGCGGCAAGGAGATGGTCCTGGCTGGCACTGAAGCAACAGATCGGATTCTGTCAAGTGTGGAGGCGGCAGATCTGATTCTGATGCAGCAGCAGCTGCCGCAGCCGCCGCCCGGGCCGGCAGTGGGCAACCTGATGATGCTGCCCATGCTGCTGGATCAGATCGAAGCACACATCCTGTTCTATGGACGCATCTTGTAAGTGGTGTGACTGTACACTGTGTGATTATATGGGGTGTGACAGTGTGCTGGTAGTGAGAGGGTTGGCTGGCTGTGAGCAGTGGGCAACCTGATGATGCTGCCGATGCTGCTGGGTCAAATCGAAGCACACATCATCCTCTTCTACGGGCGGATCTTGTGAGTCGTGTGACTGTAGAAAATGTGACGTAACGGGGTGTGACTGTATACAGTGCTGGTAGTGAGAGGGTTGGTTGGCAGTGAGCAATGGGCAGCCTGGTGATGCTGCCTGCCTGCCTAAACTGCTAGATGGATCCGATCGAAACGCGCATTCTCTTCTATGGGGTGCATCTTTTCAGTCGTGTCACTGTTAAAGTAAGCACAGTCACACACACAGGTGTGTAACTGCCCATGGCCATAGTCACACCCACAGGTGTGTAACTGCCCATGGCCATAGTCACACCCACAGGTGTAACTGCCCATGGCCATAGTCACACCCACAGGTGTAACCGCCCATGGCCATAGTCACACCCACAGGTGTAACTGCCCATGGCCATAGTCACACCCACAGGTGTAACTGCCCATGGCCATAGTCACACCCACAGGTGTAACCGCCCATGGCCATAGTGACACCCACAGGTGTAACTGCCCATGGCCATTGTCACACCCACAGGTGTAACTGCCCATGGCCATAACCCCCACCCTCACCCCATCTCCCCCCCACGCCCATGCACCAGTCGCAAGGAGCCTTTGGAGGAGGAGCTGCGGAATCTCGTCTTTGCCTCCATGCCCTCAGGTACGGCCCTTGTCCCTTCTCAGATGTCGTTTCCACATATTGCGTCTTGCTTGCGATTGGTGTGACTACCTTGAATAAAAAATAGCTTTAGTGTCATATTCTACTCTCGAATCCCTCCCATTTTCTCCCTCTTCGTCCCTCATTCCTCTTTCTCTCCTTCCCTCCTTCCCACACCTCCTATCCAGACCTAGGCACGCCAGAGCATGAGCACTGGCTCGAGGTGGTGGAGGCTTGGGGGGGGGCGCAAGCGCATGCCAGAGCACGCCCTATGCTTACAGCAATCTGTCCCACTCCTTCCCATACATTCGCACTCATTCCCACTCCCTCCAACCAGACCTAGGCACACCAGAGCATGAGCGCTGGCTTGAAGTGGTGGAGGCTTGGGAGGAGCGCAAGCGCATGATTGGCTACCAAGCCTCGGGCGGCCGAGGCAGGGGGAGAGGTCGGGGCCGAGGTAGGGGGAGGGGCAGGGGGCGGGGGAGGGGGAGGGGGAGAAGGGGCGCGTATGCTGCCCATGGGGGGGGATATGGGGGCAGGGGGGAATACCCGGGGGAAGAAGGGGAGGAGGGGTATTACGCAGGGAACGGGATGGGGGCAGGGGGGATGAGGAGAGGGGGAGTGTGGGATTCGGAGGGAATGGAAGGGGAAGAGGGTAATCCAGGGGAAATCGACGGGGAAATTCCCCACAGAAAATACCGAGTCGGGCCTAGAATCCCTGCAGAAGCGCAGAAATTGGGGGCGGTTTTGGGGAGGGCGGCGTGGGGGAAAGTGGAGGAAGAAGAGGCGAGGGAGTATCTGTTGGGTTTGGCCCCGGATAGGGCGATTGCAGAGGAAGCTGCTGGGAGGGCGGCTGCTGCTGCTGCGGTGGCTGGGAAGCATGCCGCTGCTGCTCTTGGGTTGGTGTGTGTGGATGGGGCGAAGGGGAAGGGAGGAGAGGAGAAGAAGGATGAGGTTGCTGGTGCTGGTGTTGCTGATGATGCTGGTGTTGGAGGTGCTGTTTCTGCTGCTGTTCCTGCTGCGGTGGCTGATACTGTTGCTGATGCTGGTGCTGCTGATACTGCTGCTGCTGCTGGCGCTGGAAAGGAGGTTGACACTATGGAAGTGGATACAAAGGAGGATGCTGCTGCTTCAGTGGATGCTGCTACAGCTGATGCTACTGCTGCTGCTTCAGCTGACGCTCCTGCTACGACAGCTGACGCCGCTGCTGCTACAGCTGATGCTGCTACAGGTGATGCGAAGGAAGCAGCTGATGAAGGTCAGGAGAAGGGAGCAGCAGACGCTATGGAAACAGATACGAAGGAGGGCGCTGTTGCTACAGGTGATGCCGCTACAGCTGATGCTGCTACAGCCGATGCTGCTACAGCTGATGCAGCAGAAGCAGCTAAGGGAACAGACGAGAAGGGAGCAAGCACAATGGACGAGGATACAAAGGAAGACCCTGGTACACGCGATGCAGCTGCTGCTGCTACAACCGATGCTGCTGCTGCTGCTGCTACAACTGATGACGCGGCTGCTGAAACCGAGGGTGCTACAGCTGAGGTAGCGGAAGCAGCTAAGTGTAGTGATGAGAAGGAAGCAGACACAATGGAAACAGACGCAGACGCCTCTGCTACAATTGATGGTGCTGCTACAGCCGATGCTGCTGCTGCTGTTACAAACGATTGTGCTACAGCTGAGGTAGCGGAAGCAACTAAGGGGAGTGAGGAAAAGGGAGCAGACACAATGGAAACAGATGCCAAGGATACTGCTGTTGCAGCCGATGCTGCTGCCACTGCTACAGCTGATGCTGCTACAGGTGATGCTGCTACAACTGATGCTGCTACAACCGATGCTGCTGCAACCGATGCTGCCACAGCCGAGGCTGCTACAGCTGATGCAGCAGAAGCAACAAGGGGAAGTGATGAAAAGGGAGCAGATGCTATGGAAACCGAAGAGAAGGTGACTGCAGAGGAAGCAGGCGAGAAGGTGACTGCAGAGGAAGCAGCCGAGAAGGTTCCTGCAGAGGAAGCAGCAGAGAAGGTGCCTGCAGAGGAAGCAGCAGAGAAAGTGCCTGCAGAGGAAGCAGCAGAGAAAGTGCCTGCAGAGGAAGCAGAAGTTGGCAAAGAGAAGCAGGAGCAAGCACAGGGAAGCAACGCCGATGCCCCTCATGCTACCACTGCTGCTGACATGCCTGATGGTAGTGCTGCTGATGAAGCTGCTGCTGCTGCTACAGCTGCTGTTGATGCGCCTGATGGTGCTGCTCCTGACGATTCTGCTGCAGCTGTTGCTACTACTGATGCCGCTACTACCGATGCTGCAACTACTGATGTTGCTACCACTGATGCTGCAACTGCTGATGTGGTTATAACTGATGTTGCTGCAACCGTTGTTGCTGAAAGTGAAGCTGCACCTGCTGATGCTGCTGCAACGGATGCTGCTGCTGCTACAGCCGATGCTGCTGCTGCACCTGCTGATGATGCTACCACTGATGCTGCTGCTACAGCCAATGCTGCTGCTACAGCTGATGCTGCTGCTCCAGCCGATGCTGCTGCTACAGCCTCTCATGAGGTTGCTGTTACTGATGCTACTGCCATTACAGATGCTCCTCCTCCTCCTGCTGCTGCTGCTATAACTACTTCTGCTGCTACAGAAGCCGCCACCCCCTCGGCCCCTACCCCCACCAAACCCGCCGGTCCCCTTCTAGACGGCTGGTGCGAGGCAGCCGACCGAGCGCTGCTAATGGCAAAGGACTCGGCTGTCAGTGCAGGCAAAGCCATGCTGGCTCTCGATCGTGACCTGGACGCCATGTGGCAGGAGCTCTATGAGGTGGACAACTGCCACGTGGAGGCTGACAGCTCAGCAGGGAAGCTGGCTGCGCAGGCATTGGCTGCTGCTGCTGTTGCTCGCGCGTCGGCTGCCGCTGCCAAGTCAGCGTGGGACTTAGTTAAGTATTATAGGAGTAAGGTGGGGTTGATAATGATGGAGGAGGAGGGGAGGGAGTGGAGGGAGGGGGGCGGGGGAGGAAGGGGGAGAGGAGGGAGGAAGGGGGAGAAAGGAGGGGTGAAGTATGTACTTGCGCTGCAGGTTAAGCCGAGGAGGGTTAGGAGGACGGCTAGGGAGCTTGGGAAGATGGGAGATGGGGTGTGGGAGGAGGAGGAGGATGAGGAGGAAGTAGAGGGGTTGGAGGGGGTGCAGGGGGCTTCTCCTATGGACGAATCAGGAGCTGCCACGTGGACGGAGGAGGAAGGGTTTGGGGGAGGGGGAGGAGGTTCGGGGGGGAGGGGAGGAATAGGGGGAGGGATAGGGGGAGGAGTAGGGGGAGGGATGGGGGGAGTGGTAGGCGGAGGGGTGAGCCCTGTGGCGTTTCAGGGGTATGAGGGGACGCCTGGGGGAAGGGGAAGCGGAAGGGGGAGGGGGAGGGGGAGGGGGAGAGGCAGGGGGAGGGGCAGGGGCAGGGGGAGGGGGAGGGGGCGTGGGCGCAAGTCAGTCTGGGACGAAGGGGAGGATGAGGGGGAGGAAGGGGGGGAGTGGCGGGTGGGGAAGAGGTCGCGGGGGGAGATGGAGGGCGGGGGGGAGTATGGGGAAGAGGAAGGGGAGGAGGAGGCGGAGGAGGAGGAGGGGGGACAGACTCTGCGACACAAGTTCACTGTGGGGTCCTTTGTAGAGGTATGTACGGGGCATGGCATGGCACATATGGTATGGCATGTATGGGGCATGGCACGAATGGTATGGCATGTATGGGGCATGGCACGTGTGGTATGGCATGTATGGGGCATGGCACGTATGGTATGGCATGTATGGGGCATGGCACGTATGGTATGGCATGTATGGGGCATGGCACGTATGGTATGGCATGTATGGGGCATGGCACGTATGGTATGGCATGTACGGGGCATGCCTGCTTTCACATAGCTTTGTACATGGACTCAGCCAGCGACTCGCCGTCTCCGCATAACCTATGTGTCTGTGTGCATGCACTGTCATGCCTCTCCTGCCTATTTTTCCCCGCTGACTGCCACAGGTGGCGCCCAACGAGGAGGGCCCGAGGGGTAGCTGGTTCACGGGCACGGTGTTGCAGATAGTGGGCAACTCGCTATCTCCCCATATACGCGCTTCTGTGCCTGCACTCCTTTGCACTCCTTTGCCTCTTTCCCTCACTGCCACAGGTGGCATCCAACGAGGAGGGCGTGAGGGGCAGCTGGTTCACCACGGGCACGGTGCTGCAGATTGTGGGCAACTCACCGTCTCCCCACCCACGCATCTATGTGCCTGCACTCCTTTGCACTCCTTTGCACTCCTTTATCGCCCTCACTGCCACAGGTGGCGTCCAACGAGGAGGGGCTGAGGGGAAGCTGGTTCACAGGCACGGTGCTGCAGATTGTGGGGAACCGGGCGTTGGTGCGATACGACGAGCTGCTGGATGACGATGGTGAGATGAGGGGGCATGGGTATGAGTGCCTTGTGGTGAGTGCCTGGCGATTGCTGCTTGCTTGCAGCTTGGTTCACGGGCACGGTGCTGCAGATTGTGGGCAGCCGGGCGTTGGTGCGATACGGCGAGCTGCTGGACGATGATGGTGAGTGCGTGACACATGACGTGCTGATCACGCTCTTGCACTTGTGAGACGGGCCAGCGGGTGACGCCTCCTGCTTCGTGTCGGGCCAGCGGGTGACGCCTCCTGCTTCGTGTTGGGCCAGCGGGTGACGCCTCCTGCTTCGTGTTGGGCGTGCCGTTCTGTCAGCCCCCCAGAGGGGAAGGGCCAGCAGCCTGAGAGGCGGCAGAATCCCGTTTCTTCCTCTTCTCCCACCCACCCTCCCCACCTCTCTCCATGCACGCACCAACTAGAGGAGTGGGTGGGGCTCGTCCCGCCCTCCCCTTCTGCAAGCAACGCCTCTCGCTTCGTCTCGTGCGTACCTTCAGCCCAACAGGGGAAGGGCCAGCAGCCTGAGAGGCGGCTGAATCCCGTTTCTTCCTCTTCTCCCACCCACCCTCCCCACCTCTCTCCAGGCACGCATCAGCTAGCTGGAGGAGTGGGTGGGGCTCGTCCCGCCCTCCTCTGCAGGCGACGCAGAGGAAGGGCGCGCAGCCTGAGAGGCGGCTGTGAGGCGGCTTAACCCCACTGCTACCTTCCCGTCCTTCTTCACTACACCAGGCACCCACCAGTTGGAGGAGTGGGTGGGGCTCGTCCCGCCCTCCCCTTCTGCAAGTGACGCCTCCCGCTTTGTCTCAGGCGTGCTGTCAGCTCCCCAGAGGAAGGGCACGCAGCCGGAGAGGCAGCTGAGAGGCGGCTGAAACCTCCTTTTTTCATCCCTTTTCCCCCTCCTCCCCCTCTTCAGGTACGCACCAGTTGGAGGAGTGGGTGGGGCTGGTCCTGCCCTCGCCTGCTGCAAGTGACGCTTCCCGCTTCGTCTCTGCGTACCTTCGGCCCCCCAGAGGAAGGGCGCGCAGCCGGAGAGGTGCCTGAGAGGCGGCTGAGAGGCGTCTGAGAGGCGGCTGAGAGGCGTCTGAGAGGCGGCTGAGAGGCGGCTGAGAGGCGTCTGAGAGGCGTCTGAGAGGCGTCTGAGAGGTGTCTGAGAGGCGTCTGAGAGGCGTCTGAGAGGCGGCTGAGAGGCGGCTGAGAGGCGTCTGAGAGGCGGCTGAGAGGCGGCTGAGAGGCGGCTGAGAGGCGGCTAAGGCCCCTTTTTTCACCTGGCCCAACCTCTGCGCTCCTCTTCCTATTCCCCCCTACCTTTTTTCCTTCATTCTTCCCAAACCAGGCACCCACCAGTTGGAGGAGTGGGTGGGGCTGGTCCCGCCCTCCCCCTCTGCAAGCGACTCCTCTCGCTTCGTCTCTGGCGTGCCGACAGCTCCCCAGAGGAAGGGCGCGCAGCCGGAGAGGCGGCTGAGGCCCGGGAGGGAGAGGGGGAGGCGGCGGAGGGTGGCGATGGGGCGCGTGTGGGCCGTGGGGGACAGAGTCGACGCATGGGTGGACGACGGGTGAGTTCTTTCTGAGTCAACCCTATATTCTAAACGCGTGAGGAAGGGCGCGCAGCTGGAGAGGCGGCTGCGGCCGGGGAGGGAGAGGGGGAGGCGCCGGCGGGTGGCGATGGGGCGCGTGTGGGCTGTGGGGGACAGAGTCGATGCGTGGGTGGATGACGGGTGAGTGGCGGGGTGATTAACTTTTGATTTATGCGTAGAATTTGTACATAGCGGCGCAGAGCTGTCATGAGGGGGAGGGTGTGGGCTGTGGGGGTGAGGGTCAACGCATGTGGTCTTTCTCGCTCCCTTCCCCTCACCCCCTCTCTATCTTTCCTCTCCCACTCTCTATCTTCCCCTCTCAACCCCTCTCGCTCTCTTCCCCTCCACCTCTCATTTCACTTCCCCCTCTCCCCTTATCCCCCTCGCGGCAACACAGGTGGTGGGAGGGGGTCGTCACGGCAGTGGACGCACAGGGACCCAAAATCACAGGCTTCACTGTGGAGTTTCCAGGTACTTTCCTCCACACTTTTCTGTAGGTTAGTCAGTCGCCATGTCCACATCTCTATTGTTTAGGCGCCATAATCCACAGCTCAAGAGTATTCTTTATCCTTTCAAAGGACATGTCGCCATGTGGAAACTCCATGTTGCTCCACCCCCCCCATTGAGCTGCTGCTTGCTCACCTTTGACGGTCAGTCGCCATGCCCCCCTTCACTCCCGCCTTCCCCTCTCTTCTGTGGTGCCAGGGTACGGGGAGATGGGGCAGAAGCAGGTGCGGCCGTGGGGGTTACGCCCGTCAATGGTGTATGACACACAGGGCCACCTCTGGCACCTCGTCAAGATCAGGGGCGCGTCGCTTGCTGCTTACTGCCACTCCTCTCTTCCCTCTCTCCCCTTCCTGCTCCCAACCCTTCCCGTTGCCGCTGCTTCTCCCCCTGCTCTCCCCCTGCTCCTCCCCCTGCTCCTCTTCCCCGCCCCCCCTTCTCCCCTTGGCTAGGGTACAGGGAGATGGGGCAGAAGCAGGTGCGGCCGTGGGAATTACGCCCGTCAATGGTGTATGACACACAGGGCCACCTCTGGCACCACGTCAAGATCAGGGGCGCGTCGCTTGCTGCTTACTGCCACTCCTCTCTTCCCTCTCTCCCCTTCCTGCTCCCAACCCTTCCCCTTGCCGCTGCTTCTCCCCCTGCTCTCCCCCTGCTCCTCTTCCCCGCCCCCCCTTCTCCCCTTGGCTAGGGTACGGGGAGATGGGGCAGAAGCAGGTGCGGCCGTGGGAGCTGCGTCCATCAATGGTGTATGACACTCAGGGCCACCTCTGGCACCTCGTCAAGGTCAAGGGCGCGTCGCTTGCTGCTGTGGTGGAGGGAGCAGGGGGTGATGAGGAGGAAGAGGAGGTGGAGGTGGAATATGTGGGGGAGGACGCCGGTGCCGCAATGGAAATGGTGAGTGTGCTGATCAAATTCAGGTGTCTTGAAAAGGGTATATCTGGAGAGCAGGGGGAGCAGGGGGGGATGAGGAGGAAGAGGAGGACGTGGAGGTGGAGTATGTGGGGGAGGAGGCTGGTGCTGCAATGGTAAGTTCGATCAACAAGTTGAGGGATGGTTCAGGGTTCAGGGTTTAAAGGCCGCTTTAACTTCCCGAGACCTTTCTGAGGCCATCTCTCACCGCCCACTCCCCCATCCCCCATTTCTGATGTCGGCTTCCATCGCACCCCCCATCTTCCATTTCCATCTCTATCTTCCATCCCGCATCTCCCATCACCCCGCAAACACCACGTGTGGCAGATGGAGAGGCCTCGGAAGAGAGGCCGACCGCGCTTGCACTGAGTGGGGGCTTTTTGTTTGTGATTGTGGCCCAGCACACCTTGTGAGTGCGAGAGGAAAGTGGACTGAATAAATAAATAAAGAACAAATAGTAGCCTTTATTTTTCATGGTATACGCACTCGTGGAAGATGCTTCTTGGTTGTTTCCCAACCAAATGTTCTGGATTTAGTTGGCCCATTTTCCTTCTGCATGTGTTTCTCCATCCCCATCCCATGTCACTAGTAACGAGAATGTTGACAGGTGTGACTGAACTGAAGCATGTGGAGTTGAAAGTTCAAATACAACATGCTTGGTTTGAGGCTCCTATGCTAGAGTGATGTGATTGATACTTGAAGGTTCTTCAAAATGGCTTTGTTTCAACCTGTCCTGACACGTTTAGGTAGAAAAGTTGTATTTTCTGTATTGTTAGCCCTTCGACAACTTATGTAGTTTTAACCGGCAATGAGAATCTTTGCAAATATGACACTTCTGTACAATATTTCGTGTTTTACAACCACATGATCTCATATTACCTTCCAAAATTGGTAATATTGTAGTGAAAGAGTTATGGCCTATCGCGCGCCAACTGCAGGTAGGTCAATGACCCGCACTCGGCGGTCTTCGCACTCGGCGGTCTTCGCACTCGGCGGCCAATAAGTTGCAACCGCTGCCTCTGACATCCAGTCCACGCAAGCACGTTATCTGCATGAGATCATTAATTTAGGCGAAGATTGACGAAGGAGTCGAATCGCGCATTCTCAGCAGGAGAAATTCCAACTGCATCGCCCTCACCTCACATGCCTAGAAATATGCACAGGATTATGCTCGTGCGGCCTGCACGTATTGCATTGCATGGACTGATGCGGTCGCCCCTTACCCAGATTGCAGGTCCAGAATTGTCGTGGGCTTCGAGTTATCCGTCTATCCATCTGTGAGCGTTCGCCACAACGAGGTTTCGACAACATTCAAAACAAGCAGGACGTGGCTGTCGTTTAGGGGCCTTTTAGGAAACAGGATACCTAGGAGGACCGTTGCATGGTGTATGCCTTCAGTTCAGAGATCCACACCTGTTCCATCAGACAGAAAGCGCGCTGCCGTCTACCTCGGAACACCCGTCCTCGTAATACCCGTCTGCCTCACCCTTCGGAAGCACTATCTCTAACTTCCACTCGTGTAACGAATTGCAGTGGCTCCATCGTTCGTCATGAAGACCATGGTCGCGAACGAAAGTAAGACACATAGCTCTCCGTCACATGGCGATCTAGACTTGCAGCATGCGCGCAACAAGTGGAAAATCACGGAAAGTTGCATGCACCGCGGTTATCAGGGTCAATGCCATGCGATGGTGCGGTAGCAGGCACCATGGAATGCCATGCCATCCTATGCCATGTGCAACACTGGGCAGGCACTAGGCCATGTGTGCACCGCTCTACCATCAGGCGTCAAGTGATGTTTCGTGCTGGATGGATTCCCGAGTCGTTGCGAGCCGCCATGTAGAGCGTACAAAGAAGAATTACTCCTCCGCCACTTTCGAGGCGGCTCGAGGGGATGAGAGCGCGCTCCGTTCGAACAAGTGGGCGCGTAACGCAGCGCAGCAGCTTCCATCGCAACTTGTTCCCAGCGCTCCCAGCAGCTAGCCATCAACGCTCGTTGCAGCTTACCCCCTGCGCTCCAGCCGCCTCGCCCCCACGGTGCATCTATATAAGTCGAGCGTGCTTCCTCATCTTCAGTGTGTGCGGTTCTTTGAGCTTTCTTCCGGTCCCGTCTTCCGGCTCTCTCGCTCTCTCCCCTCGCCTTGCGCGTTTCTTGGCAAGCCTGTACTCGATCCCTCGATTCGGAACCTCGTGCCAGCGAGCTGTCGTCATGGGTCGCGCGTTGGTGCTAGCGTTGCTCGCGTTCTGCCTGGTGGGGTGCGCCTCGGCGCGCTATGGCTCCCCCGCCAACGACGAGAAGGAGTTCATCCCCGGGCAGCCCCAGGAGGCGTTCAGGAGCAGCGGCGGACGCGTGGAAGTGTGGAGCCCCGACTTCAAGCAGCTTCAGGTACGGTCTTTGTTTACTTTCTGTTTCTGCGATTTCCCTTCCGTTTTATTCCACGCTTTTCACAACCTCATTTGAATTTCGCCGTTCTTCGATCACGTTTCTGTAACTGTTCACCCTTGGGTTTGTCAGGATGCGGACATCGGCGCTGCTCTCGTGACCATCGAGAGCCAGTCCCTGGCGCTGCCGCACTACACCGACTCGGCGAAGATCAACTACGTGGTGGAGGGCGAGGCGTGCGTCGGGCTCGTCACCCCGCTCGGCATGCCCACCAACATGCGCCGGCTGCGCAAGGGCGACGCGTACATCCACCCGCGCGGGTGGGCTCACTGGGCGTGGAACAGCGGCAACCAGCCGTTCCGCGCGGTCGCCATGGCCGACACCTCCAAGGGCCCGCAGCGCGGCCAGTACACGTCGTTCCACCTCATCGGCGCGCAGAAGGAGCAGAGCGGTGGTATCCTGCACGGCTTCAGGTGCGACTGAAGAAATCATGTGACGGTTTCGCTCGTTTGCGGTTGTGCGTTTTTTTTCTGTCTCGCGCTACCTACCCCTATCAGTGGCTCTGCACCTTTTAACCTTGTATCCTCACTTACCCCGCCCCATTTTCAGCTCCGATCTGCTCGCACGCGCGTGGAACGTGGAGGAGAACGACGTGAAGCAGCTGCTGCAGGGGCAGAAGGAAACCGCCTTTGTGAAGGTCCAACAGAGGAGCCAGGTCGACGCACTTAACGCCGCGATCGACGCTCTCAATGCGCGCTCCGGGGAGAACATCTTCGGCGACTTCTCGTACAATTTGATTGAGAACGAGGCGGATATTGAGCGCGAGGGCGCGGGCCGCGTGACCTGGGCGAGTGGCTGGAAGCTTCCGATGTTCCGCAAGGTTGGGTTCTCGGCTGCGCGATTCGAGCTGGAGCAGAACGCGCTTGCGGCGCCGCATTGGCTGGCTAACAGCGCGGCGCTGATCTACGTGCTGAACGGGCAGGGGCGGTTCGAGATGACCCACTCCGATGGGCGCACCGCGGTGCGGCGCGACGTGAAGCAGGGCGAGCTGATCGTCATCCCGCCCGGCCTCCCGCACGCCACGGTAATTCCGTTTTTTGCTCGAAAGATTCTATACCATCCTATTGCGTCACGCTTTATCATGCTATTGTGATTTGCGCCCACGCTCCCATCGCTCCTCCCGCTAGTATTGATTTTGTGCCCCCCAATCGTTCCCACACCAGCTCATCCATCGCGCTCATCACCAAGTCGCGCCCGCAGTTCGGCTTCCTCGCGGGGGTCAACTCCGTCTACCGCTCTTGTTCGCTCCCCCCGTCTCTTCCCCCCCGCCGCCCCACCCCCCCCAGCTCGCCTCGGGCAACGGCATCGAGTACATCGCGCTCATCACCAAGTCGCGCCCGCAGGTGGGCTTCCTCGCGGGGGCCAACTCCGTCTACCGCTTCCTGCCGCGCGCCATCCAGCAGGCGGCTTTTAACGCGGACGAGAAGCTGATCGAGAAGTTGCGCAGCACCCGCCAGCACGAGTACGTCATCCTGCCGCCCAAGGGCCACCAGCCCAAGCCCAGGGCGTTCTCTGCGGAGGATGAGGACGTGGACGTTGATTTCAGCATCATCGACACTCCCTATGGGTTCTAAGCGCCTTCAGAGCGAGTTTTGCGGTCAGAGTCTAGCAGAACGGGCTTCGAAGTTTGGGAGAGGCCCTAACCTCGAAACCTTTCGGCTAACTTCCAAGGCGGACGAGATGTTTTTGGTAGCTTGAGTGGGCTGAAGCGTAGCATTTGGGGGTGGGCTGTGAAATAGCTTGTGTTCTTGTACAGTCTTGCCAATAGTGCAAGAGTTTCTGGAAACTTCCATTGGCTTCTTTACTGTGAAATATAATGTGAAAACGTATTAGCTCTAGGTGGTGAAGGGCGATGTTGCAATATCGAGTGCATATACCCTGCAACTATTCGGAGATCTGTCACGCGACTGGGCTCATTACTTCGTCGCACATTGCGAGAGGAATATGATTGTGTAAGATTCACATGACCAGTTGCGGGAATGTAAAACGTCGCAATATCTACACACCGAATACGTCTCGTTTTTCGAATTAGGGCTTTGGTCCGAGGCGTATAATCCGTCGGATCTCAGGAACTACGGATGTGCAAGATTTCATGTCTCGGACAATACAGTATGTGTTTTCCCATTATCAGCAGTCAGCGACCTTCAGAGCAAGTCACCTCATGTTGACGGTCTTGAAAGCTTGCTGACATGGCACGGCGCGCCAACTGGACATTGGACATTCTTCAACAGGGCAGGAGATGCCTCGACACCCCTCAGCACGCCTCGAGACGCCTTGATGCATCTCACGTCTTGACATGCTTAGTTGACGCGCTCTCGACATGCATGCAGACCCCCGGTGCCCATGCAAATTCCGAAAGGATGGAAGGAAACGATGGAGTCGATTTCTCCCTTTCTGGCATCTCGTGTCGCCATTCCCATTCTGGCTTCTCGCGCCGCCATGCCAGGGATGATGTTTCTGCTGCTGATTCCTCCAACCGCGCTCTCCTCCTCCTCCTCCTCTTCTCCCACCCCTCCGCTTTCTCCTCCCTCTCGCTTTTCTCTCGCCCTCAATTTCAGCACTCCTACCCCTCTCGCTGCTGCTCATTCCGTCAGCTCCACCCGCACTCCTCTGGCGTGTCTCGGTCCTCCAGCTCGGTTCGTTCCTACGGTGCTTCTGCTTCTCTCCTTTCCCGTATACAGAAAATTTCCAGCGGCGTTGTATTCTCACTCACGTGGTTTCCTCCCGAGCGAAACGAAATTCAAGCTGGTAATCTTCCTACCTTGATACCTTTGGGCGATTGCTATAAGCAACCATGGCGCTGCTTCGCCTCTCTCCCTTCAAGCTCCCACCGCTGCTACTACTCCCTACCTCCGCCCTCCTCCTCTCCCTCCTCTGCCTACTCCTCCTCCTTCCTCCACTACCCTCCCCTTCTCCCATGCTTACCGCTCATGCCATGTCACCTGCTGCCGAACCTGAGTCTACCACCACACCTGCTGCCGAACCTGAGTCTACCACCACACCTGCTGCCGAACCAGAGCTTACCACGCCTGTCGCCGAACCTGAGCCTCTGGGTTGGCTTTCCGTTGGTGCTGCAGCTCGGCTTCACCAAGGCTGGCGCTGGCTGGGCGTCGGGCCTCTGATGTCGAGCCTGGGAACAAAGCTCGGGCAAGGTCTGGGAAGGAACGCTGAGGAGGATGGGGGAGGGGCGGACAAGGCTAGGGAGTTTCTTGCAGGGAGACCACAGGTGGAGGTGGCAACCGGTGGAGGACGGATTGAAGTCTGGGGCGCTGGGCTGAAACGACTGGAGGTGTGTTTGTGTGTGGGTGGGTGCATATGTATGTGCTGTGAGGGTGAGGGGGTGTAATGCGGGATGGACAAGGAAGGACAAGGCCAGAGAGAGTTTCTTGCAAGGAGGCCGCAGGTGAAGGTAGCTACTGCAGGGCGGATCGGAGCCTGGCTGAGAACCTGGGCTGAAACCACTGTAAGTGAGCGCGGCTGTGCTGGTGGTTACCACCGTCCTGCAGTGCTGTGCTGTTCTCATACAACTCCCTCCCTTGCTTTCGACCAGCCACAACCAGTGATGGCAGGACTGGGCGTCAGCGCCTTTTGGTTGACTCCCTACCCACTGTGCTGTTCTTGTGATGAGTTCCCCCCCTAGTTTTAGTCACATAACCCCCTGCCTCCAATCAACCACTGCCCATGGCAGGACGCGGATGTCAGCGCGGCTGTGATGACAATAGAGCCACAGTCCATGGCCCTGCCCATGTATTCCAATGATGAAGAGGTGTGATGCTGTTATCTTTAACCACAACCACAACCACTGCCCATGGCAGGACGCAGATGTCAGCGCGGCTGTGATGACGATCGAACCTGAGTCCATGGCTCTTCCCATGTATTCCAATGATGAGGAGGTATGTTGGCAACCTTTGCCGCTCCGAAGAGGTATGTTGGCAACCTCTACCGTTCCGAGGAGGTATGTTGGCAACCTTTACCGTTCCGAGGAGGTATGTTGGCAACCTTTACCGTTCCGAGGAGGTATGTTGGCAACCTTTACCGTTCCGAGGAGGTATGTTGGCACCCTTTGCCGTTCCAAGTTTCGCCCATGTTCTGCCCATTCGTGAGTCACTCACAAGCACAGCCAAATTCTATGGCTCTTCGCATGTACTGTACTCCAGGTATATCATGCATGACATACTAAGTTGCACATGCATACATACCATGCATGACATACCAAGTTGCACATGCATACATACCATGCATGACATACCAAGTTGCACATGCATACATACCATGCATGTTTAACATTGGTTACCGTGCATGGTATTTCCTGCTTTCCATGCATGAAGTTTAGTTTCCGTGCATGCCCATTTCTCTGCAACAGGTGTCCTATGTGGTGGAGGGCGAAGCTCGGGCAGGGCTTATCAGCCCGGAGGGGATTCGCACCAATGTGAGGTGCGTGAGCAGATGTGGTGTGGTGTGATGTGCGCTGATGTGTACTGTGCTGTGACGTGACGTGATGTCCTACATGTGATGAAAAAATGAAGTACATGATACCACGTTCTACTGTTTTGTACTTTCCTTTCTTATACATATGTCTGTGTACCCTTTACAGGAGGCTTCGCAAAGGCGATGCATTTGCGTTCCCACGAGGCTGGGGCAGGTGGATCTGGAACGATGGCAAGGAGCCTCTGCGAATCATATCCATTGCTGGTATGCTGACGTGTCTTTTCTATGTGCTGACATGTCGTGACTGATTTGCTGACCTGCGTTGAACTGCTGACCTGTCTTTTTGAAAACTTCATTGTGAATATCGACTGTACCTGCCAATCTAACCCCCCTACATGCCAGATACGTCCAAGGAGGCCCACCGTGGGCGGTACACGGCGTTCAGCCTGGTGGGCGCTCAGAAGGAGAAGTTTGGCGGCATTCTCCATGACTTCAGGTGCGCTCAGGTGGATTTCAGGTGCGCTCAGGTAAATTCAGGTGGTAGATGTCAGGTGGTAGGAAGAAGACATGACATAGCTGCTGCTTTCCTTCATCCTCCACTGCTCGTTCTCCCTCCTCTTCCCTTTTGCCTCCCCACCGCACAGCCACCGAGTGCTGGCGAAGGCATGGGGCGTGGAGGAAGCAGACGTGGCACAGCTGCTTCAGGGGCAGAAGGATGTAGCCATTGCGAAGGTCGACCCGGGGAAGGTCGTATCTGGTGATCCTGATGCTGATGAAGGCACCTCAGCTGCGTCTGCCACTGATAACTCAGAAGGCACTGTAGCGTTTGGGGATTTCGTGTACAACCTTATCGAGGAGCAGGCTAGTATCGAGACGCCCGGGGGCGGCACGTTGACTACTGCTGATGGATTTAAGCTGCCTGTGTTTCAACACCTGGGCGTTTCTGCTGCTCGCATAGATCTCCTGGTGAGTAATGGAGGGTATGAAAGGAGGGGGAAAGAGAGACAGTTCGTGCTGTGTCTGAAGGGTTAGTATGTGGCAATGCTTTCTTTTCTAAAAATTCCACTTGTTTTTTCCCATAATTGTTTGATTGATAACAACTTCCTTCCCTTGTTTCCCCCCTCCCTCCCTCCTCCTTCCCTCAGCCCAATGCCATGGCGGCTCCTCATTGGCTGTCCAACTCAGCAGCCGTCCACTTTGTGACACGTGGCAGTGGGCGGTTTGAGATAGCCTATCCGGACGGCAGGAAGGCGCTGAGGAAGCGTGTGAACGCGGGAGATGTGGTGGTTGTACCGGCTGCTTTCGCTCATGCTGTTGTGAGTAACGCAGTGACGGTAAGATGGTAACGCTTTTGTCGTGTGAGGAGTAGTGGCAGTGAGAGATGTGTCGTTGTTTCCACCCATGTTGTTGTGAGTAACGCGTTGGCAGAGTCACACATCACCCTAACATGCCTCCACTGTGCTTTCGTTTTGAGTCGACTCAAAACTGTTTTCGCTCATATTGTTATGTGTTGAATGAGTAACGCATCACCCTAGCATGCCTCCACCCTTCTTCCCCCCTCTTCATCCCGCCTCCCACTCCTTTTCTGCTCTGTCCTCCCATAACAGGAAGCTTCAGGGGAGGGCTTAGAGTACGTCGCTCTCTCCCCCAAGTCCAAACCCAAGCCTGGTTTTCTAGCTGGCGGTAACTCAGTCTACAGTGCACTGCCTACCGCTGTACTGAAGGCTGCTTTTAACGTGGATGAAGCTTTGGCGGAGAAGCTGCGGGGCACTAGGGAGGGGGAGTATGTGATCCTGTCCCCTGGAAAGGGGAAGGGGGATGTGGGGCTTGAGTTGGTCCTGGGTCTCAGGCCCAGGGTCTCAGGGCCGTAGGGGGAGGGAGTGTAGAATGTGTGGACTGTAATGGAGTGGGGTGGATTGTAATGGAGTGGAGGGGGGGGCGAGATGGAGTAGAGTGGATTTGTATGTACGGTACCGTACCTACCCTGTTCAGACAGAAATTGTACAAGCTGGGCAATGCAATGTACATAACTCCTTTTTGCTCTACATAAAAACCAAGACATTGTACAAGCTCGCAGTGTACAGTAAATAACTCTTTTTTCGCTCTACATAGAAATTGGTATGGAAGCAATTATGCCACCCTGGGTACGAAACTGGAGCTGGGAGGAAGCTTGCTGTTACACTTGCGGCAGTGTTGCGTGCAAGTACTGTGTCCCACCCACACCACTTTAGGCATTTACCTTACAAGCTTTATAAGTACTGTACACCTTATATCCTAAGCAACTCAATAACCGTAGTCTTACGGTACATCCAGAGCTTCTAGAGACTCTTTCCACCTTTCTTTCCTTTACCACCGCTGCTACCACCCACTGCTTCCACTCTATCTGTGCCACTAGCCGCTGCGCGCGATGTAATGTCCTGCTCGAAGATGCGAGGCACGACGGTGGGCAGCAGGAAGCAGAAGATGTTGTACGCCCACAGCAGGTAATTCACAGCTGGGAGTTGGAGGAGAGGAGGTGAGGGGGAGAGGGGACAGGAGCAAGTGGATAGGTGTCTGTGAGGCACAACGGTGGGCAGCAGGAAGCAGAAGATGTTGTACGCCCACAGCAGGTAGTTCACAGCTGGGATTTGGAGGAGAGGAGGTGAGGGGGAGAGGGAGACAGGAGCAAGCAAAATGGATAGGTGTCTGTGAGGCACAACGGTGGGCAGCAGGAAGCAGAAGATGTTGTACGCCCACAGCAGGTAGTTCACAGCTGCGTAGAGGAGGGCGGATGGGGAGAAGGGTGGGGGGAGGGGTTTGGAGAGAGGGAAACACAAGCAGGACACACAGATAGGTGCGAGGCACGACGGTGGGCAGCAGGAAGCAGAAGATGTTGTACGCCCACAGCAGGTAGTTCACAGCTGCGTAGAGGAGGGCGGATGGGGAGAAGAGTGGGCGGATGGGTTTGGAGAGAGGGAAACACAAGCAGGACACACAGATAGGTGCGAGGCACGACGGTGGGCAGCAGGAAGCAGATATGTTGTATGCCCACAGAAGGTAGTTCACCGCTGAGTGGGGAAAGGAGGGGAGGCGAGGAGAGGGTGTGGTGTGAGGAGGGGTTGAGGGTGTGGGGAGGGGTTGAGGGTGTGGGGCATAGGGCTCATTGAGGCAGTAGGCACGACGGCGGGCAGCAGGAAGCAGAACACGTTGTAGGCCCACAAGAGATAGTTCACCACTGGGGTGAGGGGGGAGAGGAAGGGGGGAAGAGGGAGACACGAGCACGTGGGTAGGTTTGTGTGAGGCACGACGGTGGGCAGCAGGAAGCAGAACACGTTGTGGGCCCACAACAGGTAATTCACCGCTGGGATGAGAATAGGGGGTTGGGGGAAGGGAGCAGGGTGGTGGGTGCGGAGGGGTGGGGGAGGGGTTTGGAGAGAGAAAGAGACACAAGAAGGACACGCAGATAGGTGTGAGGCACGACGACAGGCAAGCAGGAAGCAGAGCACGTACGCCCACCCCACAGAAATTTGAGTTTTGAGTCGACTCAAAAGCCGTGTGTGATAAGTCGAGTTTTGAGTCGACTCAAAACTCGACTTATCACACACAGCAGGGCAAGCAGGCAGCAGAGCACGTACGCCCACCCACCCCACAGAAATTTGTTCACAGCTGCCTGCACAAGAGGGCATGGGTGAAGAGGGTATGTGGGCAGAGAGGCAGGGCTTGTAGGCACGACACAACAGCTGCCCGCCCTTGCTGTACTGCTCCCAGCACCAGAAACGAACCAGTCACACCCTTCTCACCGCCACAGTTAACGCACCTGCACACGCTACCAGCGTCCCCAGCCACACCAGGCGCCACACACTGCCACTGCCCGCCCTCGCAGTGCTTGCTCCCAGTTCCATAAACACACAAGTGAACACCCATCGGAGCACAGGCAACGCACCTGCACACGCTACCAGCGCTCCCAGCCACACCAGGTGCCACACGCTGCACTTGCCTACCCTTTCAGTGCTTGCTCCCAGTACCATAAACACACAACTGAACACCCATCGCAGCACAGCCAACGCACCTGCACATGCTACCAGCGCTCCCAGCCACACCAGGCGCCACACGCTGCCACTGCCCGCCCTTGCAGTGCTTGAAAGGATGAGAGGGAGCACAGCAGCAGCGGAATGAGTGAGCCACTTGTAGAGAGAGAACATGCGCCGGGCGTTGTAGAGGGGAGGGACGAGAGCTCTGCAGGCGGAATATGTTGGGGGTTGGATATGGGAAGGAGAAGGGGGTAAGGGAGAAGAGAGAAAGTGAGTGAAGGCAGCAGCAGAGTGCGTGAGCCACTTGTAGAGAGAGAGAACGTGCGCTGGGCGTTGTAGAGTGGGGGAACAAGAGCTCTTGCCAAAGAGAGAGAGGGGGCCAGGGAGAGCGAGAGAGGAGGTGGCGAGAGACGGGAAAGGGAAAAGAGGAGGAAGGGTGAGGCACTTGTAAAGTGAGAGCATGCGCCGAGTTTTGAGTCGACTCAAAAATCGACTCATCACACGAGGAGGAAGGGTGAGGCACTTGTAAAGTGAGAGCATGCGCCGAGTTTTGAGTCGACTCAAAAATCGACTCATCACACGAGGAGGAAGGGTGAGGCACTTGTAAAGTGAGAGCATGCGCCGAGTTTTGAGTCGACTCAAAAATCGACTCATCACACGAGGAGGAAGGGTGAGGCACTTGTAAAGTGAGAGCATGCGCCGAGTTTTGAGTCGACTCAAAAATCGACTCATCACACGAGGAGGAAGGGTGAGGCACTTGTAAAGTGAGAGCATGCGCCGAGTTTTGAGTCGACTCAAAAATCGACTCATCACACGAGGAGGAAGGGTGAGGCACTTGTAAAGTGAGAGCATGCGCCGAGTTTTGAGTCGACTCAAAAATCGACTCATCACACGAGGAGGAAGGGTGAGGCACTTGTAAAGTGAGAGCATGCGCCGAGTTTTGAGTCGACTCAAAAATCGACTCATCACACGAGGAGGAAGGGTGAGGCACTTGTAAAGTGAGAGCATGCGCCGAGTTTTGAGTCGACTCAAAAATCGACTCATCACACGAGGAGGAAGGGTGAGGCACTTGTAAAGTGAGAGCATGCGCCGAGTTTTGAGTCGACTCAAAAATCGACTCATCACACGAGGAGGAAGGGTGAGGCACTTGTAAAGTGAGAGCATGCGCCGAGCATTAGAGAGGGGATGTGAGGATGGGTAAGAGGAAAGATGAGTGACTGGGGAAGAGTGCTGTGGTGGGAACAATTGTGAAGGCAGGAAACAAGAGGGAAACTGTGGGTCTGAAGGACAGAAGCAGGAAGGGAGGGAGCTTGGGCGAGCTGCTTGCATTGAACTTACTTGACCGGTAATGACTGCTTTGTCGCCCTGGTGACATTTTCTGAGATGATCTGATGGCTCGGAAGCAAGGGCATAGGTGCAAGAAGAGGAAGGGAGGGAGCTTGGTTGAGGCGAGCTGCTTGCAGTGAACTTACTTGACTGGTAGTGATTGCTTTGTCACCACGGTGACTCCCTCTGAGATGATCTGATGGCTCCAAAAAGACAAGAATAAACCCAACAATAAGAAAAGGACAAAGTGGAAAGCAAGGGCATTGAATCATTCAGAGTCATAGCTAGAAAAACAAACAGAATCAATCAATCATGTCTCTGAATGATGAGCGGTGAGACGTCAGGGAGGAGAAGCTTTCGAGAATTCTTGAAAGCAACTCCCTCACGACTAGAAAGGGAGTCAAATCATGATGCTGCAGAGTGTTTTTGAGAATTCTCAAAAACACTCTGCAGCATCATGGAAAAGGAGTCAAATCATGTGTGGACGATGATAAGCCATGAGACGTCAGGAAGGGGAAGGGAGAGAACCTACACGAAGTACATGCAAAGAGATGGGAACTGAAATTCCTACGACTTCTCTCTCCCATTCATATCCGGCAACTCATATCTGGCAACACACACGCATACACCCTCCCCCCAACCTGACCCCCCCCCCCCCCCCCCCCCCCCACACCCCCCCACTTTCCCCCCCCCCACCTGCACACACCTGGATGACGAGCAGCAGCATGTCAGGGAGGACAAGGGATGTTCTTCTGGAGAAAGTAGCTGTCGAAAGTGAACAGGTGGGCTGCGGAGGGATGTTCTTCCGGAGAAAGTACCCGGATTCTACCAGGGCGAGCGGCCAGAGCACTCATAACTGCACACACCCACTGACACTCCCTCACACACCCTCATACGCACCTGGATGACGAGCAGCAGCCTATCAGGGAGGACGAGGGAGAGAGCCCAGGTGAATTCGGGGATGGCCTAGTGGAGGAAGAACTTGAATGTTCTAGACAACTGCAGACATTCCCACACACGCGCACACAGCCTCACACAGGCAGGCAGACACAGACAGATACGCACCTGAATGACGAGTAGCAGCATATCAGGGAGGACGAGGGAGAGAGCCCAGGTGAATTCGGGGATGGCCTAGCGGAGGAAGAACTTGAATGTTCTAGACAACTGCAGACATTCCCACACACGCGCACACAGCCTCACACAGGCAGGCAGACACAGACAGATACGCACCTGGATGACGAGCAGCAGCATACCAGAGAGGACGAGGGAGAGAGCCCAGGTGAATTCGGGGATGGCCTAGCGGAGGAAGAACTTGAATGTTCTAGACAACTGCAGACATTCCCACACACGCGCACACAGCCTCACACAGGCAGACACAGACACAGACAGATACGCACCTGGATGACGAGCAGCAGCATATCAGAGAGGACGAGGGAGAGAGCCCAGGTGAATTCGGGGATGGCCTAGTGGAGGAAGAACTTGAATGTTCTAGACAACTGCAGACATTCCCACACACGCGCACACAGCCTCACACAGGCAGACACAGACAGATACGCACCTGGATGACGAGCAGCAGCATGTCAGGGAGGACGAGTGAGAGAGCCCACGTGAATTCAGGGATGCTCTTTCGCAGGTAGTAACCGGACGCTATTAGGGCGAGCGGCCACAGCACTCCCATCACTCCTGCGAAATTAATGTATCTGGGAGCAATGGGAGACAGTAAAAGACTGTTCCTGAGGCGCTGCGGAGGTGGTAACCGGATGCTATTAGGGCGAGCGGCCACAGCACTCCCATCACTCCTGCGAAATTGATGTATCTGGGAGCAATGGGAGACAGTAAAAGACTGTTCCTGAGGCGCTGCGGAGGTAGTAACCGGATGCTATCAGGGCGAGCGGCCAGAGCACTCCCATCACCCCTGCGAAATTGATGTACCTGGGACGAAGGGGAATCAGTATGAGAATGTTTCTCAGGCGCCTTGGAAAAGAGGAACCCGGGTCCCTTTAATGTCGTGGGTGATGATTCATTATCGGGGACAGTTTGCCTAGCATGAGCGTCTGGCTTTTGAGAGGTCCCTCAATGGGGATTAGTGGGGATTAGTCGTAGTGATGACAAGCTACGCACCTTCTCATTTGCAGAGACATTTTTCCTAGCAGGAGTGGCTGATGCGGGGGGCATGGGAAGACGAACGAGATCGCGAACGCGTAGAGCGTCGCGAAGACGGCGAAGCCTGCGACGTCGAAAAGGGACTCGGCGAGCTGCTGCGATGGCAGCGAGAGCGCGGAGGGGGTGAAGAGCGACGGCCAGAGCTCCTGAAGCGGGTGGAAATGCGGCGGGAGTGGAAGCATGTCGCCGCCTGCCATGGCGATGGAAGTGCGGGATTCTTGTGACAGGATTCTAGGCTTGCGAAACAGTTAGAACAAGTACGAGAGTAGGTGTGATGCGTATTACGCCTGATGGACGGACATGGATGGATGGACAGAGATTTGTGCTGGAGATTTGAGTCGACTCAAAACTCAAAAGATTTGTGCTGGAGAAATTTGCCCCAACATTATACTGAGAGAAGGTGGAGTTCAGAACAGTTGAAAACAATCTCGTTACGATTTGCTACGATTCTGGACCCTTTTCTCTGGTGCTGTCATCCGTCCCTTCGGGAGATATTTTGAGAGTGTTACCAGCATTTTTTCTCTTGTCCACTACAGTCCCACTTTTTCCCGTGGCGAATTTGGCGAGGCAGGCGAAAAGCTTGTACTCGCTTCATACGCTTTGGAGGCTAAGTTTGCGTGCATCTACGTAATAAGCTTCAGGTGTAAGTACAGTACAGTACATGAATCGTGTATCTGTGCTGTACATCAATGATAAGTGTTCAACCCACGTCGATTCTGCCGCCAACCTTACGCAGCCAAACCTTGTAACTGCAGTCCGAGTGTAGAAAACACATTTTCGCAAGGTACCCTACCCAACCATTCGAAGTACTGATTAGGCCGTTACAGATCGTACCAAGCCTCATTTAGCCGCATTTTGACGTACTGTACTCACGGAACCTGTCCAGACAATTCTGTGCACGTCCGAGATTTCAGTGGGCCTCTCTGACACACCACTTCACCACCACTCGTTCAAGTCTAAAACCGACGACAAATCGTTTCATGGCAGGCTTTGGGAATGCCGTCACAGTATCAGCGTTGTAATCATCAGAGAAGAGCAGAGACGAGCAGAGAACAACAGAGCAGAGAACAGAGCAGAGCCAAGTTGATTTGAGTTAGTCGATTAGTTTTCAAGACAGGGGCAGCCTTGGGAATTTCAACTGTTCATATCTGAGGATCATCACCTCTGCTCTGACGCTCCTACGTCTTGACTGATTTACCTCAGCCGCTGCAATTGGATTAACGACTTCAGTATTTGCCTCATCGTCAGCCGCGCCACGGCGACCAGTCCAGAATCCCGCGAGTACGTCGCGACTCAAGAAGTGCGTGCTTTTTAACGGAGGCCTCCTGAGGCACGACCCAGCATCGTCATAATGGCGAACTTCGCCGCTCATTCGCCTTTCCACTCGCCGCCTGAGTCGCCGTTTTTCCCGCGCGTCGACGGCGTGACGCTTCTCCGTCGTTTTCTTAGAGAGAGCAGCCGATTGCTGGGGGAAAGCGGGGGAAATGGAGGCGAAAGTTCAGGAACAAACCCAAGCTCTAGCAGCGAGTCGAGCGTAGATCTGTCCTCGTCCATGCTGTACACTCCGACCTTCTTTACTGCTACTGTGGCGGCGATTATTATCGTCGTGTCGCTGCTTTTTGAACGGCTTATTTATCTCATTCACAGAGTGAGTGGTTCAGTGCGGTAAAATGCGGCGTATGGTTGAGTGCATATCTTCTGGTTTGATAGTGGGAAGTAAAGTTTTCAGCAGCGTGTTTCATGTGCATCAGCGAATTCACACTCGTACGCATCAGCATTGCGTTTCTTTATAAAGGGTATACTGACTGCCATGCCACATGGCCTCATTACATGTCATATGCCGTGTTCCTCGTGCCATGCACCCTTGCATAGCTCCGTACCATGCCATGCACCATCCTTCTTTTCCATACCATGCCATACACCTTTGCTCTCTTGCGTGCCATGCACCTTCTTTTATTTTGCTCCCTGCCATGCCATGCGCCTTTCTTCTGTTCCATGACACGTGCTCTTACATCTCTTCCTGATGCACATGCCCGTTGTGTGTCTCTGCAGTTCTTGGTTCGGAAGAAGCGAGCGGCTCTCGTGACGGTGGGGCACCGCATTAAAGATGGTGAGGAGTAGGCCGACAAGGTGTTTTTTTCAGTCAAAGGCCAGGGTGTCATTGTCGCTTCGGAATTATCAGGTGACTCAAAAGCAGCTCTTGTGGGGGTGGTGCGCAGCATAAAAGACGGAGAGGAGCCGTGCAGACAAGGGTGTCTTTTGAATCAGAATTCAGCTCTGCATTTCTCTTGTCGAACCCCCCCCAGTCGAACCCATTCAACCCCCTCTTCCCCATCTCCTCTCTCTCACCCCATCCCTTTCAACCCCTATCATTCAACCCCAACCATCAACCATGCAGAGCTGATGCTGGTGGGATTCATCTCCATCGTGCTGGCGCTCATCGACCCGCTCATAGTAGAACCCTTTCAACCTCCTCCCCAACCCCCCCCATTCACATCCCTTTGAACCCCTGCCATTCGCCTCCAACCGTGCAGAGCTGATGCTGGTTGGATTCATCTCCATCGTGCTGGCTCGCATCGACCCACTCATAGTCCGACTCATTCACACTCCCATCTTGCACCCCATCTGTGTACCCCCGCCTGGCTCATCCAGAGCTGATGCTGGTGGGATTCATCTCCATTGTGCTGGCTCTCATCGACCCGCTCATAGTCCAATGGTGCATCACCATCCCCCGCTCCACCATCTTCATCCCATGCAAACCCCCATCCTCCTCCTCTGCATCTGCGCCGCCCGCCTCCAAGTCTGCACCGCCCGCTTCCGAGTCTGCACCAGCCGGCAATACTGCACACCTTGGACTGTCTGATGGGCGGCAGCTGCTATCCGGGCGGCGCGGATTCGATGATGGTTTCCACCATGGTGGTTACCACCACAGTGGCTATCATGAGATGAGCAGGAGGGTGTTGTCCAGCTCAGAGAACACATGCCCATCGGTAAATTGTCATTCCATTCCATTCCACTCCACCCGTGAATCATGCCAATCCTTTCATGAGTCATGCCATGCCACCCCATGCGTCATGCCATGCTACCCCATGCACCATCCCATGAGTCATGCAATGAGTCATGACATGCCATGAGTCCTGCATGTTTCCCCAACCTTGTCCCACCAGGGCTAGGAGCTCTTCAGATTGCCATAAGGCGTGCACCAGGTGCATCTCTTCATCTTCCCTCGCACCCCGAGCCATTGCATGCATTAATTGTCCCCCATTCCCCGAACCCCCGTCCCCCACTTCCCCTTCACCCTTGTCCCCATCAGGGTCAAGAGCCCTTCATGTCGCCATCGGGAGTGCACCAACTGCATCTCTTCATCTTCTTCCTCGCCCTGGGCCACATCCTCTACTCGTGCATCACCATCATAATTGCCCACCGACGGGTTAGTGCTTTAGTCGACTCATCAGTCTAGGGGTTCATATGAATTAATTAAAAGGACACCTCTTCATCGTCTTCATCATGCACCACCATTAACATTCAAACAGTTCATATGTATCCGCCCCACTCTCTCTTGCTCTCCCCCCTTCCCTACTTTCCGTCAACCACTTTTTTGAGTTAGGGAATGGTAATGCGTGAATCGTTGTTATGAATCACATGTTTATCTAACTACATTGCAGCATTCTTTCAGGTGATGCGCTGGAAAAGCTGGGAGGCGGAGGCACTCAAAAAGTCGCTTGAGATGGAAACCGTGCCTGTTTCAGGTATGGGTATCAGGTATGGGTGTCAGGTACGGGTGTCAGGTACGGGTGTCAGGTACGGGTGTCAGGTACGGGTGTCAGGTACGGGTGTCAGTTACGGGTGTCAGGTACGGGTGTCAGGTACGGGTATCAACTCGGCCTTCCAGCACCAACACGACACGGCACTTCTTTCACCCTTCTTCTTCGCCCTCATCCCCCTCCCCACCACCCCCCTCATGCACGCACTCCAGGCCAGCTGGCCCTCGCCCTTCAGGACTCTGCCTTTCAGCACCGCCACGGCACTTCTCTTACTTCTCTTGATGCATCCTCTCCCCTCATCCTCGTACCCCCTCTCCTCCCTCCTTGCACGCACTCCAGCCAGCTGACCCTCGCCATGCAGAACTCTGCCTTTCAGCACCGCCAAGGTGCAGCTTTCACAGCATCCTCACGCCCCATCCCCAAATCCCCTCTCCTCCCTTCCGCCCTCCATGGCAGGTCAACTGACCCTCGCCCTCCAAGACTCGGCCTTCCAGCACCGCCACGGGGCGGATTTCAATGCGTCCTCACGCCGTGTGTCCCACTCGCACACATTCTCCGGTCCCATCTTCCACTCCACCCGCCTCTTCCGCTCGGGCCCCCTCACTCCCTCCACCACCGCTTCCATCGCCCAGCGCTCCCGAAGCATCTCCCAACACGACAGCGGCGCCTCGTCCTTCCTCTCCCGCCTCCCGTCCTTCTCCTCCTCTTTCCGCCTCCCGCATTCTGCCCCCTTCCCTGCACGAGACTCCTCGTCTGGGCGATTGAACCAGTCACCAGAGCCCTGGGACGGCGACCATGCGTCATCGCACTTAACACAAAGACATGTCAAACATGCACACTCAAAGGAAAAGAACTCAGAGGAGCAGACCGGGCAGTCTTGGAGAAAAGGCCTACCGGAGCACCTGAACCAGTCGTTGCCGCGGCCCTTGGGTTTCGAGACGTCTCAAACAACCCTCGCATCTGTGTGTGAATCCCCGGAGCACGTATCCGGATCAGACTCGCACTGCAACAAACCCTCAACTGCTCGTCTCCCGACGTACCCCAGCCAAACCCACGAGCTGCCAACCCCCGCCTCCTCCTCCTCCTCGCCCTCCCCCCGCTCCTCCTCCTCCTCGCTCTTTCCGTTCCTAGGCAGCTGGCACCCCACAGCCTACGTTCATATGACTAAGGAAACACCGCCCTCCCCGGTTCTGGATAAGACTGAAGGGGGGCGTGGGGGAGGAGGAAAAAAAGTTGGAGGAGCTTCTGCTGCTGCCAGTTATGGTGGTGGTGGTGGTGGTGGTGGGGGGGGCAATTCTTGCCCTTCCCCTGCGTCTGCTGCTGCTGCTACTGCTGCAGTGTATGGTTCTGTTACCCGTTCTACTTCTTCCGTTTTTGCTGCTGCGTCTGCGGCAGGTCCTGCCGAGTCTGTTTCTGCGTCTGTCGAGTCCGCTGCTGCTGCAGCGGCAGGAGCACAGAAGGAGGGATTGATAAAGAAACGGGAGGTGCACTTCACTCCGAGCACCAAGGGGGCCAGCAGGAGCAATAGAGATGGTAGCAGCTGTGGTGATTGTGAGGGTGGCGTTAGTAGTGAGGGTTATGGTGGTGAGGATGAAGAGAGTGAGGGTGAAGGGAGTGAGGGTAATGAGAGTGAGGGTGATGAAGGTGCATTCGAGCTTGATGAGTATGATGAGGTGGTTGCATGGGCGGATGGAATGGTTGAAAGCGGTGGGGAGGCTGGGGAGGATGATGGGATGGAATGGGAGGGCGAGGGAATCGCAGAAGAGGAGAGAGGGAAGGTGAGGAGAGAGGGAGGTGATAAGGGAACGGGAGAAAACAGGCAGTTGGGTAGGAAGACCGTGGGAGGAGGAGCGGGAGATGGAGGTGGGGGAGGAGGTGGAGGAGGTGGAGGAAGGGGAGGAGGAGGAGGAGGAGGGAGCGGAGGGGAAGGAGGGGCAGGGGAGGGGGAGGTTGGGGGTGGAGACAAGGAGGGGGAAGGAGAAGTTGGAGAGGAGGTGGAAGGTGGGGAGGGGGAGGAGGGCACAGCGCGTGTGGATGCAAGTGGGCATCTGTCTGCTTGGCACTCCTTCCTCCTCACCTATGTAAGACTGCACCGCACCACACTGTACCGCACTGCACCACACCATACCACGCCACACCACACCACACCACACCACACCACCACACTCCACCACAGCACCACATTGCACCACCCACCACAGCACCACACCACTCCACACCACTCCACATCACTGCACTGCAGCACTGCACTGCAGCACTGCACCGCAGCACTGCACCACCACACTGCACCACCGCACCGCACCACCGCACTGCACCACCGCACCGCACCACCGCACTACACCACCGCATCGCTCCATCACACCATTCCACACCTAACCATGCCATACCACAGCAAACAACACCACACCATACCACCACGCCACACCGCACCACACCGCACTGCTACATATAAGCACCGTGCAGTCGGCCCTTGTCCTGTACCATGTGTGGCAGTCGACCCTCTCTGTTCTGCCCCATTGTCCTCCCTGCTCTCCTGCTCTCCAGCTCTCCCGCTCTCCCTCTCTCCTGCTCCCTCACCACCCAACACCAAAAAACCACGACACAGCAGATACTGGCATCAATCTCATCAATCAAACCCTAAACCCCATTCTTGATTGCTCCCCTGCTCGCACCAGAAAGCAGTGACCCAGCAGATACTGTCGCCCATCACACAGCTCGACTACACCACGCTGCGCCTTGCCTTTATCCATGTGAGAAGCACTAAAACCCGAGCCCTAAACCCAAAAGTCTGAAAGCCCAACCCACCGCACACCAGAAAGCAGCCACCCAGCAGATGCTGTCGCCCATCACGCAGCTCGACTACACCACGCTACGCCTCGCATTCATCTACGTGAGAAGCACTCATCCTGAATCCCTGATCTCAAAATCCGAGATCTGAAACTCCCTGTTTCTGTGTTGCGCCTGTGGGACGCTGTTTCTGTGAGGCGCTGTTTCTGTGAGGCGCTGTTTCTGTGAGGCGCTGTTTCTGTGAGGCGCTGTTTCTGTGAGGCGCTGTTTCTGTGAGGCGCTGTTTCTCCGAGTCACTGTTTAATCTGATCTGTGTCTCTTTCCCCTCCTGTGTGATTAGTCGATTTTTGAGTCGACTAAAAAATGTTTCTCTGAGTCACTGTTTAATCTGATCTGTGTCTCTTCCCCCTCCTGCCAAACCACCACCACCACCACCACCACCACCACCACCACCACCACCACCACCACCACCACCACCACCACCACCACCACCACCACCACCACCACCACCACCACCACCACCACCACCACCACCACCACCACCACCACCACCACCACCACCACCACCACCACCACCACCACCACCACCACCACCACCACCACCACCACCACCACCACCACCACCACCACCACCACCACCACCACCACCACCACCACCACCACCACCACCACCACCACCACCACCACCACCACCACCACCACCACCACCACCACCACCACCACCACCACCACCACCACCACCACCACCACCACCACCACCACCACCACCACCACCACCACCACCACCACCACCACCACCACCACCACCACCACCACCACCACCACCACCACCACCACCACCACCACCACCACCACCACCACCACCACCACCACCACCACCACCACCACCACCACCACCACCACCACCACCACCACCACCACCACCACCACCACCACCACCACCACCACCACCACCACCACCACCACCACCACCACCACCACCACCACCACCACCACCACCACCACCACCACCACCACCACCACCACCACCACCACCACCACCTCCACCACCGCCGCCACCGCCACCACCACTTTGCAGAACCATGGCCTCCCCAGGGACTTCAACATCCATGCGTGTGTGCTGGGTTGCACTGCTGCTGTTGCTTGCACTGCAAAACATCTCTCTGTGCCTCTCCTCCCTTGTCGCTTTCCCTCCCCTCCGAATCAACAACCGCCACAGCCGCCTCACAGAACCGCGGCCTCCCCCGGGACTTCAAATTCCTCGCCTGTGTGCTGCACGCGATGCACTGCTGCTTCGATGCTCTGCAAAGCATATTTCTGTGCCTCTCCTCCCTTACCCTTTTCCTCACCTCCCAATCAACAACCACCTTTCAGAACCACGGCCTCCCCCGTGACTTCAACTTCCACGCCTGTGTGCTGCGGGCGCTGGAAAAGGACTTTATCAGCATGGTCGGCACCAAGTGAGTGCCCTTGACCCACGTTGACTTGCCTTGACTTTCCTTGAATTGTTTTGACTCGCCTAGACCTCAACTTCCATGCCTGTGTGCTGCGGGCGCTGGAAAAGGTCTTCATTAGCATGGTCGGCACCAAGTGAGTGCCCTTGACTCGCATTGATTCGCCTTTGACTCACCTTGACTTCAATCAACTTCCACGCCTGTGTGCTGCGGGCACTGGAAAAGGACTTGACTCGCCTTGACTCACCTTGACCCTCCTTGACTTTCCTTTTACTCCCCTTGACTCACCTTGACCCGCCTTGACTCGCCTTGACCCACCTTGACCCACCTTGACTCTCCGTCCTCTGTATTCTTGCAGTTGGTACATCTGGCTCTCAGTGGTGGCCATCATTCTCATCAGCAGCTACGGTAAGCCAGCAGCAGTGAGAGAGCGGGTTGGGATGGGCAGTGAGAGAGTGGGGTGGGATGGCCAGTAGGGATGAGCTTAGAGCTATGAGCATGTGTGTACATCTGGATCTGTTGCAGTTGGTACATCTGGCTCTCAGTGGTCGCCATCATTCTCGTCAGCAGCTACGGTCAGTAACCCATAAAAGGGTGGGATGGGATGGGATGCGCAGCGAGAGGGTTGGATCGGCAGTGGCAGGGTGTGTGCATGCATGTCATTGTCGCAGTTGGTACATCTGGCTATCAGTGGTGGCCATCATTCTCGTCAACAGCTACGGTAAGCCAGCAGCAGTGCGAGAGTGGGGTGGGGTGGGCAGTGAGAGAGAGAGATTGGGATGGGCTTAGAGCTATGGGCATGTATGTCATTGTCGAAAGTCACGTGTAGAGAGGGTGTTTTGAGACGTCTCAAAAACACCCTCTCTACACGTGGCTATGGGCATGTATGTCATTGTCAAAATCAAAACATCTAGCTCACTGTCGTGGCCATCATTTCTCCTCACCAGCTATGGTCAGTAAGCCGTGCACAGCCAGTATGCCATCCCATGCTGCTGCAGGGTTTTCTCAAGCCGTGAGCCGTGAGAATTCTCAGAAACACCCTGCAGTAAGCCGTGCACAGCCAGTATGCCATCCTTTTGAGTCGGCTCAAAAGTCTCCTCACCAGCTATGGTCAGTAAGCCGTGCACAGCCAGTATGCCATCCCATGCGCCTCGTGCCATCAAATGCTCCTCGTGCCATCAAATGCTCCTCGTGCCATCAAATGCTCCTCGTGCCATCAAATGCTCCTCATCCCATCCCACACTCCTCGTGCCATCCCACACTCCTCGTGCCATCCCATGCTCTCCTCGTGCGTGCCTTCCCATGCTTCCGTCTCTCAATCAAGCATCCCTCAATCCCCTCCCTTTGCTCCTCTTCCTCGCCTTCCTCATCTTTTTGCTCTACCCCACACCCCCGTTCCCAACCCCCCACCCCCCTTCTCCCCCTCCCCCCTGATTGTCATCACGGCAGTGTGGGACGACTCAATCATCATAACAGTTCTCGGCTTTCTGGTAAGAATCACCTGAAGCTACTGTTGCTGTTGGTGTTGCTGTTGGTGTTAGTGTTAGTGTTAGTGCTGGTGTTAATGTTAGTGTTGGTGTAACGGGGTCCAGCTCAGCATTTCCAGAGCTAACCCTCACATCCATCACATTCCATCAGCTGTGGGTTGAAAGGTGCGAAGCTGTTTTCCGCGGTCAGAAGTTTCGCACGAATCAAGTGCTCCACAAGATTGAGTTCGCATTCAGGCAACATGCACGAATCTACACCCACAAGTTTGGCACGGTTCGTCACAAACGGCATCGGAGAAATTTTATGGAGGAGCAGAACATGTTGGGAAAGATCAAGACGGTTGGCATGAGTTGGAAGTGGACAAGTGCGTTTGCCGCACTGTGGTCCAGGAGGAGGGCAAGCACTTCCCGCCCTTAGATATCTTATCTGGAACAGTAGCTCACCCTCTGTTCCTCACGCGCGGTTACGACCGTTATGATGGTATATGCTTGCTCATCTCGATGTATACTTTTCATATAATAATAATAATAATAATAAAAAAATGTTAGTGTTGGTGTCAGCTCGGCCCCTCTTCTCTTCCCCTCTCACCACCAGCTATCCCTAGCGGTGAGAACGAAGCTTGAGTTCATCATGGCACAATTGGCTCTGGAGAGTGCACACGTCAAGTGGGGCTAATGACAGTACCCCCTCTTCCCCCACTGCCCTCCCCTGACTGCTTTCCTCCTTGTTTCCCCCACTCGCGTGCCCCCACCAGCTATCCCTGGCGGTGGGAACGAAGCTTGAGTTCATCATGGCACAACTGGCTCTGGAGAGCGCACTCGTCAAGTGGGGCATAACACGTAATGACAGTACCCCCACTGCCCTCCCCTGACTGCTTTCCTCCTTGTTTCCCCCATTCGCGTGCCCCCACCAGCTATCCCTGGCGGTGGGAACGAAGCTTGAGTTCATCATGGCACAACTGGCTCTGGAGAGCGCACTCGTCAAGTGGGGCATAACACGTAATGACAGTACCCCCACTGCCCTCCCCTGACTGCTTTCCTCCTTGTTTCCCCCATTCCCGTGCCCCCACCAGCTATCCCTGGCGGTGGGAACGAAGCTTGAGTTCATTATGCCAGGCTGTTCTGGAGAGCGCACACGTCAAGTGGGGCATAACACGTAATGACAGTACCCCTCCCTCCACCCCACCAGGTATCCCTGGCAGTGGGCACGAAGCTTGAGTTCATTATGCCAGGCTGTTCTGGAGAGCGCACACGTCAAGTGGGGCATAACACGTAATGACAGTACCCCTCCCTCCACCCCACCAGGTATCCCTGGCAGTGGGCACGAAGCTTGAGTTCATCATGGCTCAGCTGGCTCTGGAGAGCGCACATGTCAAAGGAGTAGCCACAGGCTGGCACTGAACACCGTTCCCCTCATTTCCTTATCACCCGCCTTCCATTTCCCCCCTTTCTTCACCATTTATCCCTAGCAGTGGGCGCGAAGCTTGAGTTCGTCATGGCTCAGCTGGCTCTGGAGAGCGCACATATGAATAAAGGGCATAGCAACTGATTAGACAGCACCCCCTCTTTCCCCACTGCCCTTCCCCGTTTCCTCACCCCCAACCAGCTATCCCTGGCAGTGGGCACGAAGCTTGAGTTTATCATGGCTCAGCTAGCTCTGGAGAGCGCACATGTCAAGGGGGCAGCCACAGGCGCGCACTTAAAGCCACGCAACTCCCTCTTCTGGTTCCACCGCCCACGCCTGCTGCTCCACATCATGCATTTTGCGCTCTTTCTGGTGCGGCTTTTGTTTTTGCTTGTTTTTTTTTTTTTTTTTTTTTTTTTTTTCTCCAGTTTTCTCAAATATCCTCTCCTTCCTCATTTTTATTCTCTCGCCTATCCTCTTCAATGCCTTGAAAAGCTTCATGTCACATTCCTTCTCTTCTCCTCTTCTCCTCTCCACCCCTCCGTCCCTCCTCCTTTCCCGTCCAACCCCACCTCTCCCCTCGTTTGCTTATGTACAGAGCTCATATGCCTTGGGGAGCCTCATGTTTTATTTGGTGAGTTGCCATGCACGCGTGGTATGTTATGGTGTCATGCACGCATAGTATGGTATGGTGTCATGCACGCATAGTATGGTATGGTGTCATGCACGCATGGCATGACGCCATGCACACATGGTTGACATCATAATCAGTAATGCATATCCTTGGCATGCGTACCCATGCCTCTCCCCCCCCCACCATGCTGTCCCTCCGTCTTCACCCACCCCATCGCCCTCTTTCCAATCCCTTCCCCCGTTATCCACTTCTCCCTTAGTCTGACTCTCCTCTTTTCCCCTCTCCCTTGTCCTCTCCATCCCTGTTTCCCTGTTTTTCTTTTTCTTTTTCTCTTCTCTCCCATTGTTTCCTACTTATAAGCCACCCACAATGCACCTCCTAAACCACAGTGTTCCTCGATCTCATCCCCAGGCCTCCCTTCTCCCCCACCTCTCCCACAAAAAACTTCTCCATATAAAATCCGCGGGAAAGTAAGCGTGTTTTGAGACGTCTCAAAACACGATCTCATCCCCAGGCCTCCCTTCTCCCCCACCTCTCCCACAAAAAACTTCTCCATATAAAATCCGCGGGAAAGTAAGCGTGTTTTGAGACGTCTCAAAACACGATCTCATCCCCAGGCCTCCCTTCTCCCCCACCTCTCCCACAAAAAACTTCTCCATATAAAATCCGCGGGAAAGTAAGCGTGTTTTGAGACGTCTCAAAACACGATCTCATCCCCAGGCCTCCCTTCTCCCCCACCTCTCCCACAAAAAACTTCTCCATATAAAATCCGCGGGAAAGTAAGCGTGTTTTGAGACGTCTCAAAACACGATCTCATCCCCAGGCCTCCCTTCTCCCCCACCTCTCCCCTTTCGTCTCCTCACTTCCTTCCTCCTCCCCCCACAATACCTACTGGAAAACCACCAGCAATGCACCTCCTCGCCGACGTGCCTCCTCAGTGTCATTCCCTTTCCCTCGCCCCCCCCCCCCCCTTCTTCCTCTCTTCACCTGCCACTCCATTCCATCTCCTTTCCCGCTCTCCCATCCTCCCCCACAGTACCTACTGGCAAACCACCAGCACATGAACCCCCTCGCACATGTGCCTACTCAATCTCAAAGCCCAGGTGGCTCGCCCATCCCTGTTCCCTTCCTTCCCGCCTCCTCACTCCCTTCCTCCTCCCGCCACGCCACAGTACCTTCTGGCAAACCACCAGCAGTGCACCTCCGCGCCCACATGGCTCCCTGGTCTCAAGTTCGCAGTCATTCTTCTCACTCTCCTCGTTACCAGCCTCGCCTCGCTGCCTCTCTACGCCCTTGTCACACACGTAAGTGCTGGATTGTCTTTTGGTAGGGCCCTCAGAATGACCTGTTTTCAGTCCACATGACTTTAGGCTGGTGACTCTTCTCATCACCAGCATCAGCTCACTGCCTCTCTACGCATTCTTGACACATGTAAGCTCTTGATAGGCCCCTCAAAGTAGTGCTTTCTGAACAACAGGGAGTCTACATGGCTATTTTTTTAGGCGCCTCAAAAATCGCTCCTGAAGCATGTAGGCTCTTGATACGCCCGCTAGTAAAGCGATTTCTCAGTTTACATGGATTCAGGCTGAAGGCTCTCTTCATCACCAGCATCAGCTCGCTGCCCCTCCACGCCCTCGTCACACATGTAAGTGCTTCGTAGGAGGAGCTGATAGAAATGGAGCTTGAACTGATTGATTAGAATAGAAGGCACTAGGCCTTAAGTACAAACAAGGTTGGGTTGAGCAAAGCTAGGAAAAGGATGGGATGGGAATCCAAGCAAATTTTCAATGGTGAGTTGGCAGATTTGTTGGATTACGGGGGAAACCCAACCGGATAGGGTTGGGATTACAAATCTACACTCAACCCGCAAATATCCCAAAGCATATAAAGTAGAGTACACAAAAGTGTTGATAGCATATATCTAACACACACTTGAACACACGTGGTCACACTTAGTCACACTTGGTCACGTTTGGTTACGCTTGGTCACACTTGATCACACTTGGTCACGCTTGGTCACGCTTGGTCATGCTTCGTTGTCACACGTGGTCACACTTGGTCACACTTGGTCACGTTTGGTCACGCCTGGTCACGCCTCGTCACGCTTGGTCACGCTTGGTCAAGCCTGGTCACGCCTGGTCACGCCTGGTCACGCTTGGTCCAGCTTGGTCCCGCTTGGTCACGCTTGGTCACGCCTGGTCACGCCTGGTCACGCCTGGTCACGCTTTGTCACGCCTGGTCACGCTTGGTCACGCCTGGTCACGCCTGGTCACGCCTGGTCACACTTGGTCACATTTGGTCACGCTTGGTCACACTTGGTCACGCTTGGTTTCGCCTGGTCACGCTTGGTCACGCTTTGTCACGCCTGGTCACGCTTGGTCACGCTTGGTCACGCTTGGTCACGCTTGGTTTCGCCTGGTCACGCCTGGTCACGCTTGGTCACGCATGGTCACGCTTGGTCACGCTTTGTCACGCCTGGTCACGCTTGGTCACCCTTGGTCACGCTTGGTCACGCTTGGTCACGCATGGTCACGCCTGGTCACGCCTGGTCACGCCTGGTCACACTTGGTCACATTTGGTCACGCTTGGTCACACTTGGTCACGCTTGGTTTCGCCTGGTCACGCTTGGTCACGCTTGGTCACGCCTGGTCACACTTGGTCACATTTGGTCACGCTTGGTCACGCTTGGTCACGCTTGGTCACGCTTTGTCACGCCTGGTCACGCTTGGTCACGCATGGTCACGCCTGGTCACGCCTGGTCACGCCTGGTCACACTTGGTCACATTTGGTCACGCTTGGTCACGCTTGGTCACGCTTGGTCATGCTTGCGGCACACTTGGTCACTCGTGACATGTGCAATTTCTCTATTTATAGGTGCTACGCTGCAATATGGAAAGAATATGTTACATAGGCGGATGCGCCACTCTTCCCTCACCTCCTCTGCTCCACCTCTTCCCTCACCTCCTCTGCTCCACCTCTTCCCTCACCTCCTCTGCTCCACCTCTTCCCTCACCTCCTCTGCTCTGCTCTACTCTCACCTCCTCTGGTGCCCTTCCCTCCTCCAGATGGGCAGCAAGCCACAGGGAACAATCGTATTTGCCTCATGTGCTGGCAAGGCTCAGGTCGTGGCGAGGCAGACTGTATTGTAAAACGTCTCCAAAACTATACCTTCCTCCCCTCTCCCCGATGTCCACCAGATGGGCAGCAAGCCACGCGGAGCGATCGTATCGGCGCACGTGCTAAGCCCTTTCCCCCTCTCCTCTCTCCCCTTCTCCCAGATGGGCAGCAAGCCACGGGGAGCGATCGTATCGGCGCACGTGCTGGCAAGGCTCAGGTCGTGGCGAGGCAGACACAAGCAGAGCAAGTCGCGGTGGGGGCAATGACTCTCCTTCTCCCTCCTTTCTTTCCTGACTTCCTCCTCTCCCCTCTCCCCTCTCCCCTCTCCCCTCTCTCCTCCAGATGGGCAGCAAGCCACGGGGAGCGATTGTATCCGCGCACGTGCTGGCACGGCTCAGGTCGTGGCGAGGCAGACACAAGCAGAGCGAGTCGCGGTGGGGACAGGCACTTGTGAAAGTTAAAGCCCAGGCACCAGGTGAAGGGGACGCAGAGTAGGTGGATGACACACAGGGAGCTAAAGCTAAAGCCCCGACACCAGGCGGGCGCGGAAGCAGAGCAGGAGGGAGAAAGAGAATCGGCGCACGTGTTGGCACAGCTCGGGTTGTGGTGTGGCAGGCAGAAGCTTAGCGAGACCTGATGGGGGCAAGCACTTGTGAAAGTTACGGTACAGCCCAAGCGCCAGATGAAGGGGAAGCAGAGTAGGCGGATGATATATGGAGCTGAGGTTAAAACTGAGGTGTAAGATGAAGGGGAAATAGATTTGGTGGATGACACAGGGAGCTCAAGGTTAAGCTGAGACGCAAATGAAGGGGAAGCACAGCAGGAGGATGACATGTGGGAGAAAGAGCAGCAGCTCACTTGCTGGCACGGCCCAGGTCGTGGCATGGCAAGCACAAGCAGATCGATTCCAGTGGCAGCAGGCACTTGTCAAAACGCTAACCTAACGGCCAGGTGAACGCCAGGAAGCAGATTAGGACCAGGAGCACAAAAGTGCATGTTAGGAGTAGCGTGTACAGTGGGTAGGTAGGTACTGAAATTACAAAAAGTTGGTGTAGTGGTAGTTTATCCAGTTTGTTCATTGGTTCAATCCTGTAGAAAATGAAGCCTTGTACTTTTATTAGAGGCAGCCGGGGCAAATAGGTCAATACACTGGGTAGAGTTTTCTATTTTCCCACGACGAAGTAAAAAATTCTGACAGAAAGGAGCACACACATGTGCAAATGTTACAGACAAGTACTGTACTAGGTATCATGAACCTTATGCACACTAGTCAGTCGGTGGCTGCTTCATAGGATGATAGGATGTAAACACTCTCCTCCCTCCATCTCTACACTGCCAGACCCTGTCCAGTTTGGTTGCAAATGGTGTACAGCTGCACGCAAGGGAGAGGAAGAGGGGAGGGGGGGAAAGGGGAGAGGGGAGTGAGAGCAGTGGCATATGGGGTATGTGTAAACGAGACTCAACAGTCACTACGAACCGTCATGCTCGAACACATGTCTTTGTTCCGATCAGCCATTCATGCACCAATCACCACCCATCACCATAACCACACCACACCAGCCTCACACTCACCAAGCGGGTTATTCCAGGTGGAAACAAAATCCGGTCTATTCCTTGCGCTACGCCGTTATACCCCGCGAATTTATTCGGCTCAACCACCCTCGCGCCCTCCACAGTCACCCCCGTTGCCGCCCGGGTCACAAGCGGATTGGTGTTGGCAAGGGTGAAGTATCGCCGCTCTGCTTGCACCCACACACGCACCCCACATGCTTGCACCCACACAAGCAGCACCCACCACCCCATGAACGCACCACAACCACACCACACTCACCGAGGGGGTTATCCCTGGTGGAAACAAAACCCGGTCTATTCCATGCACGACGCCGTTATACCCTGCAAATTTATTCCGCTCAACCACCCTGGCGCCCTCCACAGTCACCCCCGTTGCCGCCCGGGTAACAAGCACATTGGTGTTGGCAAGGGTGAAATATCGCCGCCCGTCAAAGAGCGCAGACACCGGGAAGTTTCCGTAGAGAATGTGGTGGTTGAGAAGAGTGGCTAGCATGGGGCCGGATCGGGTGTAGTTGGCGAGGCATGAAGTGTACGGGCCGAGGACCTGGGAGGGTTACAGGAGGGGCGGGTGGTGGGGAGTGGGTGAGAGTGAGAAGGGTGGCTAGCATGGGCCCGGATCGGGTGTAATTGGCGAGGCATGAGGTGTATGGGCCGAGGACCTGGGATGAATCAGGGGTGGAATGGGTGGGGTGGAATGAGATTGGCAACCTAACCGGGATTCAAACTCAGAATATGGTGGTTGAGGAGCATGGCTAGCATGGGGCCGTATCGGGTGTAGCTGGCGAGGCATGAGGTGTATGGGCCGAGGACCTGGAGGGATTAAGGGAGGAACGGGTGGTGGCAAGGGGTGGTGAGAAGGGTGGCTGGGTTTCAGACTCAGACTGTGGTGGTTGAGGAGGGTGGCTAGCATGGGCCCGGATTGGGTGTAATTGGTGAGGCATATGGTGTATGGGCCGAGAACCTGGGAGAAATTAAGAGATAGATGGGTAGTGGTGGGAAGGGGTGCAAGGGAGACGGTCACGAGTGAAGCTGGGGATTGATGGGAAGTCCACCTATTCACCTGAAATAAGGATAGTTACAAGAATGCACTGGTTACCTGGAAGGCGGCATTAGAAGGAGCGAGGATGGTGATGCCATTGGCCATGCCCACCGCGCATTGAGGAAAGCACCCACTGCTTCATCTGGCAGCTATCACCATACCCCATGCTCCCCAACCTCACCCTGCCGTGCACTTGATCACCTGGAAGGCGGCATTGGAGGGTGCGAGGATGGTGATGCCATTGGCCATGCCCACCGCCCCGTTGAGGAAAGCAACATAGTCCATGGGGGGCTGGAGGGACGCCATGGCTTGCACGAACATGGAATAGTCTGAGGCGGCTGGGCTCTGGTGGGAGAGGGAGGGCGGATGGGCGTGGGGAAAGGAAGAGATATGATGCTATGACAGACCCCCCCCGTTGAGGAAAACAGCAGTCCATGGGGGGTTGAAGGGACACCATGGCTTGCACAAACATGGAATAGTCCGAGGCGGCTAGGCTCTGGTAGAATGTTGTGGAAAGTACAGAAGCAGGATGGAATATCGAATGCCGTGTTGAGGTGCGTTGAGGAAAGCAGCATAGTCCATGGGGGGCTGAAGGGGTGCCATGGCTTGCACGAACATGGAGTAGTCCGAGGCCGCTGGGCTCTGGTGGGAGGGTAGGAGAAAGAGAGTGGGGAAGGGAAGAGATTGTTATGACCTGTTGACAGCTCCGTTGAGGAAAGCGACATAGTCCATGGGGGGCTGGAGGGACGCCATGGCTTGCACGAACATGGAATAGCTGGATGCTGCTGGGCTCTGGTGGGCGAGGAGGGAGGGATGGGGTGAGTAAACAAGAACAGAAAAGGATGGTGGGCGAGGAGGGAGGGAGGGAGAGAGGGAGGGAGGGAGGGAGGGAGGGAGGGAGGGAGGGAGGGAGGGAGGGAGGGAGGGAGGGAGGGAGGGAGCAGGAAAATGGAGGAAAGGATGGAGTGGAGAAAAGGGACGTGAGAAGGATGGAATGAATTGGAGCGTAAACGCCAGCATAAACACGAAGTGCAAGATTTTATTTCTCAGAAGGACACTTGACTGAAAACCGCACCTGAAGGTCGCCAAAAATCCCCGCCACGGGAAGAGGCGGGTTGTTGCTGCTGCTGCCGCCAGCATCTGGTGCGAGAATCTCAACCTCACTCGCACGGGTGGTAACCCCAATTCGCCTGCTGCCGCGAAAGTCCCGCAGCGGCACCGCAGCAACGGTCGTAACTCCCGAGGGATTCAGTGAGAGTGCCGCCAGTAGAAGCAGCACCAGAAACAACGCCATCGCGAACGACACGAATCCGTTTCTTCCTGACAATTTATTGAGACAAGCAGCCATGGCTGAAGATGCTACTCCTCGTCAATAACTTGCTTCGTTAAGGCACTAAAAAAAAAGAGAGATAATAGCGAGGATGTTTCGGTCAAGGAAACCCTGACACCCACTTTCATACGCAGACTCAAGACACGCGTCGCCGTCGGCGTCGGCAGTATGCTTACTCCTCTCGCTGCTGCTCTACAGGAAACCCTCGCAATCAGCTTACTAGTCTCGCGGCGGTTCCTCCTGTGGCAAAAGCACGGTACAGCTTCGACACTTCCCGTGCCGGCCATCACCGCTTGTGTACCCCGTCTTGAAGGTTATGCCACGAACGAGACGACCGAGCGACGAAACAATCACGAGGACGGAAACGTAACGGTGACGGTGACGGTAACGGAACAGCTCCGGTTTCGAGGCAATGGCGACCCGCCGTCACTCTGTAGGAGATCACACCTCGACCGTGGGATGAAATCGAACGGCCAATAACAACCTCGCGTACAATAAAAGATGCCTCTGTAGCTGTCTTGATGCGTTGGGATGAACCATGGAACTTCATGCTATTTGGCCTAGCTGTAGCGATGGCGCTTCGCCTTATACGACGACTGCTGTCCGCCATGCAGCGCGTTTCGCGGCTGGACGAGGCAGATTCAAAGGAGTATCCCAGCTGGTTTCGGAAGGGGTGAATCGGGAAAAATGCTGTGCGCTTGAATGCTCATCGTCCCTGAACGGTTCAGAAGGGCTTTCCATCGGTTAAGAGCGTTCTGGCATATTTGACTTTTTGAAACCGAAACGCACCCAACGAAACCGTGGCAAGTGATATGAGCTTTCGGGCACAGTGAGCAAATACAAGGAGAGTCGTAACTAGCCACAACACTTGGATAAAACACTTCACCAAACCTATAAAAGACAACACTAAACTAGAGACTAGTCACTACATTGCGTACTCCCATGCACTACAAATTTAAGCCTGCTACAGATTACGTAGAGGACGATACGTGCTAATTACATCTCATGCGTAACCTCTGGAAAAGGCTAAAACTCTTTGCATATTCCAAGCATCTAAGCAGCAGTCGACCATCTGTTGCGAAACCAGTTACACATCAACCTGTGACCAACCCTCCTCCAACCCTGGCGCCTACTCCCAGTACAAGTCTTCTCATACCATTTCATGCATATCAGCAACACTAGATCACCCGTTGTAACATCCACCTCCGTCCAATCCTCCTCCACACTAGTCTAAAAACACCATTCCCATGCCCATGCCCATGCCCATGCCCATGCCCATCACCAGCATTCCCCTTTTCCCCCGCCTTCCTTTTCCTCCCTTTCACTTTCACCTCCTCCAAATCTCCTCCCCCCTTCCGCTTCATCCCAGTCATAACATCCCCGTTCCTAGCATCAGGCGCCTTTCCCTCCACACCGGCCCCTTTCTCCCTCTTACAGCTAGCTTTCTCCCCCTCTCTTCCCCTCTCTCCCACACCTACCTCCTCTCCACCCACACCAGCCTCTCCTTCTTCTCCCTCCTCTCCCACATCTCCCCTCCTTCCCTCCCACTCACCTGCCTCCTCTCCTTCTTCTCCCTCTTCCCCTTCATCCACCTCCCCCTCCTCTCTCTCATCGCCTCCCTCCACCTTCACACCCCTCTCCTCCCCTCCTTCTCCCAATCCACCAACAGCAGTCCCCTTAATCCCCACATCTAAACCCTCATTCACCCCACCACCATCTTTCTCACGCAATCTCGCCTGGTCACTCTCTCCCTCCACCCGTGCCCCCCCATCCAAATGCTTCACCCCTCCATCCTCTAATATCCCAGCACGTGTCACCACGTCATCAAAGCTAAACCCCTCTCCACCGTCCGATCCAGGCGAATCCGACGATCCTCTCGTGCTCGCCGCACTCCCACCTCCCTCTGAACTACTCCCACTATCGCTCTCTCCCCTCTCCTCTCCTCCAGCTTCCCTTTCTTCCGTTCTCCCGTCCTCGCCTCCTTGCTCCCCGGCCCACTCACCCCCCCCGCTCTTATCCTCCCCAGCTTTAACTCCCCCACGCCCTTTCTTCGTCCTCCTCTTCTCTCCTGCCTCCTCCTCCCCCTCCTCTTTCTCTCCCTGCTCCTGCTCCCACGCCCGGTCTAGAGCACTAGCCAGATTCACCTGCCTCAGATCCACCTCCCCTTCCTCTTCGCCCCCCCGCCCTGCACACCCAATCCCCTGTATACTTCCTTTCAACTCCCCTCCACTGTAAGCAGCAGTACCCCCAGACGACTTAGAATCTGCTTTCACCCACGATTTAAACGACGCCTCTCGCTGCACACTGCGCGTCAAAGGGATTCCCTCCTCCTCACTCTCCTCTCCCTCCTCTGGTCCCTCCTCCTCTCCCTCCTCACGTTCCTCATCCCCTCCCCCCTCCTCCCACTCCGGCTTTTCTTCCCACTGAGCCTCTGCTTCCTCTTCCCCCTCCTCCTCAGAATAATCTTCCTTCTGCTTCCTCCCTTCCGCCTGAATCTTCTTTCCCCTTGCCACATCCGCCCTCTTGTCCTTCTCTTCTCCCTCATCCATCACTATATCCCAGCCTTGCCTCTCCTCTCCAACCCTTCTCTGCTTGGAAACTTGCGACGCTTCCATTGCTTTCCTCTGCTTACCGGGTGATCGTTTCTTCCTGCCCGAGCCCCCAGGTTCCCCAGCTGCGGGAAATTCACCTGCCCGGGTTCTGCTTCGAGCTTCCGCCAGAGCTTTCGCTCGAGCAACCTGCACCGGACAAGCAGAAGAAAGATCAGCGATTGATGAGGTTCTCGCGGTGTCTCAAGAAGCGAGACGAGAAGAAAATTAAAGATGTGTCACAAGCACTGACCTTGGATCTAGCTGTGTGCCGCAGGTGGGCAGCCAAGTTCATGGCATGGCAGCGCGCGTGAGAAGCGAGCATCATAGCACGACCTAGAGTCCTCAGCAGTGCATAGGCAGTGCATAAGCGGGGTTTGGAAGCACTGACCTTGGATCTAGCCGTTTGCCGCAGGTGAGCAGCCATGGCCATGGCAGCACGCACAGAGTTCTTGTAGCTCGAATACCTGCACCGATGGGGATCAGTGGGAGGAGCGGGATAACAGGGGAGGGGAGGAACTTGGAGGTGGGGAGGGGGACATGGGAGGAGGTTGCAGTTGCACAGAGTTCTTGTAGCTCGAATACCTGTGGCACACAGACCGGGGGAAACAGAGGAAGGTCAGGGGTTGAGGGGGGAATGGACGAAGCAGTGGAAGATGCCGGCATATCTCAGAGTCACACACTAGGTTCCTGTAGCCTGAGGACCCGAAACTTGCAGAACGTGGGAAGATCGAGGTGGGGCAATACGGAAGGTTGAACAGGTGGAATGAAAGGGAGGATGGTCTTTCTTCCCAATCAGCCCCATCGGTCTCTCTTCCACACTTACCTTCTGGCGCGCACCACCTGCTGTTGCATCAGCTCCATCTGCCACTTCATCTCCGCCCTCATCCTCTGCAGCTCTCTCTGATCCCTAAACCCTCCCCCCCCTCCTCCCTCTCTCCCATCTCCCCACCCTGGTAAAGATTACCTTCTAGCACGCACCACCTGCTGCTGCATCAGTTCCATCTGCCATATTCATCTCCGCCCTCATCCGCTGCCGCTCTGTCTGATCCCTGAACCCTTAACCCCCATCTTCTTTCCCTCCCTCCCCATCCTATCAAAGCTTACCTTCTGGCGCGCACCACCTGCTGCTGCATCAGCTCCATCTGCCACTTCATCTCCGCCCTCATCCTCTGCAGCTCTCTCACCGCCGCCTCCTTCTCCCGCCTCTCCTTCTCCAACTCCTCCCTCATCGCTTCCTCCTTTTCCCTTGCCTCTTTCTCGCTCGCTTCTTTTTCTCGTGCCTCCTTCTCCCTCCTCTCCCTCTCCAGCTCCTCCCTCATCGCCCCGTCCTTCTCCATCTCTTCAGCCTCCCTCGCCTCCTTCTCACTCCTCTCCCTTTCCACCTCCACCCCAACTGCAACCTTCGCCTTCCTCCCCCCCGCTTGCACCCCACCACGCCCCTCCTGTTGCCCTGCATTCCTATTGCCTTCGCCATCCCCTTCTTCAAGAGGCAACTCACCCCCTTCCCCAGGAGCCACCTCCCCCGGTTCCCCAGAAGCCACTTTCTCCCCTTGCCCAGGAGCGACCTCCGCCCCTTGTTCAGTATTGACCTTCCCCATTTGCCCAGGAGCCACCTCCTCTCTCCTCTCCTCCTCCAGCTGCTCGTCACACTCCATTTCGCCATGTACACTCTTTTCAGTACCAGCACCAGCAGCATCATCATCATCAGCAGCAGCATCATCATCAGCAGCACCAGCAGCACCAGCAGACTCACCAGTCTCCAACTCCTTTTTCTCCCCAGCCACTCCACCACTCACGCCTGCCTCTGCTTCCGCGTCCTTCACTCCTCCCCCTGAACCAGCCTCTTGGCGCATAGCACTGCTGCTAGTCTCGTGGCACATGGCAGCATCAACATTGCTTCCTGATGGTGTCGCTTGCCCCTCGCCCATGCCTCCTGCCCTTTTCCTCCTCCGCACATATACGTTCACCTGCCCCTCCTCTCGCCGTCCCCCCTCCCTCTCTATTCCCACGCTCTCAACCCTCTCCTCCACCCCTCCCTCCTTCCTCCCCTCCTCATTCCCCTTCCGCTTACTCGTCTCCCCTTCACCACCTCCATCCTCATCTCCTCTCCCTTCCTCCTCCCCTCCACCTCCCGCCTCACTCCCTTCCTCTTCACTTTCCCTCCCCTGCTTACCCCTCCCACCTCCCCTCCGCCCACCCTTCGGGCTTCTCGCCTTCTCTTTCCCCTTCCCCTTGGCTTTCTCCTCCTCAGCCTTTGCCTTGGCCCTCTCTTTAGCCCGACGCACCTCCTCCTCCTCCTGCTCCTCCTCTTCCACCTCCATTATCCTCTCCTCCCACTCACTAATCCTCTCCAGCACCAAACCCTTCCCTTCCCCTTCACCCTCCTCACCTCCCGCCCCCCCCCGCTCCCCCCACTCCCCCTCCCGCCCCTTTCGCCTTACTCTCCACCTCCGTTTCCCCCTCCCCTTCCGCGCTCATCCCGCTCTCGCTCCCAGCATCCCCCTTCCCAGCGCCCCGCCTCCCCCCTCTCCCTCTCCTCGCCCCTCTCCTCAGCCCCGACAAACTCACACTCACACTTGCACTAGCACTAGCACTCGCACTAGCGCTCATGCTGCTCCTGTCACTCTCGCTCCCCCCTTCCGGCATCAGTCCAAGAGACCTCCACATGGACCGAGTCATTCTCCTCCCGCCAGGTGTGAGCAGCGCTCCAGGCAACAGCCCCTCGACTGCACCCACCACTCTGTCCCCTTGCACCGGTGCGACAACAGGCGTGGCAGGGGCTGCGCGAGCAGCCGTGCCTCGCCTTCGTTTTGATGGCGTCGCATCAGGCTGAGGCTCAGCTGTCGCAGGCTGCTGTTGAGTCGGCTGTTCAGACGGCTGTTGTGTAGGCAGCTGGGTGGGCTTCTCAGGCGCATCAGTCTGCGGAACGGACGTGTGTGGTGCGACACCCCCATCAGTCTCCTGTGTATGCTCAGCTGCCAAAGGCTTCTCAGCAGGTTCCTCAGCAAGCTCAGCTGCTAACGGCTGCTCCACAAGCGTGTCAACAGCCTCGCCAGGCCCAGCGGGCTGGTCCGGTGCGTCAGACTGCTCAGTAGGCTTGGCATGCTCAGTACTCTGCTCAGCATCCACATGCTGAGTGGGTTCACCATCAACTTCCATCTGCTGAGTGTGTTTAGCAGTTGCATCAGGAGACTGAGAGGACGCATTGGGTGCTTCAGTCTGTTCAGTAGGCTCGTCGGCCTCCTCAGCAGTCTGCTCAGCATTCACATGCTGAGAGGGTTCAACATCAGCTTCCGTTTCCTGCGAATGATTTCGAGCTGCATCAGGAGGCTGAGCAGACGCATTGGGTGCTGCAGTCTGCTCAGTGGGCTTGTCGGCCTCCTCAGCAGTCTGCTGAACATTCACATGCTGAAATAGTTCAACATCAGCTTCCGTCTGCTGAGACTGAATCGCAGTTGCATCAGGCGGCTGCGAGGTCGGATGGGGTGCGTCAGACTGCTCCGTAGGCTTGTCGGCATGCGTAGTAATCTGCTCAGAAGTGGATTCAACAGCAGCTTCCGTCTGCTGAGAATGCTTATCAGCTGCATCAGGGGGCTGCGAGGTAGCATGGAGTGCGTCAGACTTCGCCATAACAACCTCGGGGTGATCACCAGCCGTGGCAGGTTGATCAGAGGGCTTGTCGACGGTACGCTTGTAGATGGGATCCGTCCGTTGATTAGACATTTCAGCTGCATCAGGATGTTGAGCAGGCGGATCGGCCACGACAGTAGGTTCAGCTGCTTCGAGCTTGGGCTTCGCAGGCGCGTCAGGCTGCTGAATAGGCCAGTTTAGATCAAGATCATGATCATGTTTCACAGGTGCTCCTGGGTCTTGATCAGGCTTCTCAGGCGCTTCAGACTTCTGAACAGGGTTTCCAGATGCTTCAGGGTTTTGCTCAGGCTCCTCAGGTGCTCCAGAGCCCTGATCCTGATCGTGCTTCTCCGATGCTTCAGGCTGCTGTGATATCGTGTCATGATGCTTCTCAGTCAAATCGGTCTGCTGCTTCTCTTCAGATGCCTCGACCTTCATCTGACAGACGTCGGCCTCCGAAGGTGCTTTAAAACCCTGATCCTGTTCATGTTTCTCCGATTCTTCAGGCTGTTGCGAACTAGCGTCGTGATGCATTTCTGTCAAATCGGTCTGCTGCTTCACTTCAGATGCCTCGACCTTCGTTTGACAGACATCGGCCACTTTATCCGGCGGTCGATATGCAACATCCGACGGTCCAGCATCATCTGAAGAAACCCGAGCAGTATCTGACGGTACGTGTGAGGCATCCGCCGGTCCCTGTGCAACATCGGACGGTCCTTGAGCAGAATCTGGCTGTGCTGGAGCCGCATCGGACGGTCCATGCGCAGCATCTGACGGTAACTGAGCAGCGCCGGATTCAGTCTGAAGTTTGTCGACAGGCAAAGTCGATTCCAAACGTCTCTGTGAGGGATTTACAATCTTAGCAGATACAGTTGTCGCGGCACCGCCTGGATCCAAACCCGTCACTCGATCCATCATCCAGAGCCGTCAGATTGGCATGAGAACGACAATTACGAATCGATTCCGTATACCAACGGGGTAAAATCCGAATGACGGTGGAATTGGATGAGTTGTGGGTGATGAAGCCTACCGCAGAGAAGTGTTACAGCGAAGACCTAAATGCAGTGTCTACGGAGGCGCAAACCTATCACAACACCTAAAGCGAGGGTGGCGGGAGCAATTAGACACTACAGATTCACCAGAATTCTGGAAACTCGAGAAACCTGGAGTGGTGCGCGTGTTGATTATGCTTCTAGGAGCTTCGTTACACGAAGATGGTGCATCCCATGGTGTGTTGAGTTGACCATGGAGTTACACGGTTGGAAGTACGGTGCATGGGATGGAATGGGGCTGAATGATGGAGCAGGTCTGTGAGATCTGGGAGGTGTCTTCGGGTGATCGGACGGTAAATGAATCTGCTTTCAGGTGTCAGGGACGATCGGACGGTGAGTGGCTATGGTGTTGCTGATGGTACTCCTGAGCCCGCCTCGATGGCGTGTGCCTGACGATGAAGCGGGACAGAAGCGAAAGTTTGCAGGGCGCGAGAACTCTAGGAAATGGCAACTTCGATACAGCGATTGCTTCTGATAGCACTAAAAAAGACAGGCCCAACAATAAGAAACACAATCGTAGATGTACTAACATTCCTGGTAACGCGTACAGCAAGGTTCTCGATCTCAAACCAACGTGACCTCGCCCAGGCCATCTTGGTTGGAGAGGTCTTCCGGAAAGTGTGGATTCTGTCGCGTTTAGCTGAAACACTCTGTTATTCCATTCCACCAGTTTTGCAAGCTCAATGAATCCATCCCCAGCCAATTCGTCCCCAGACTGGATTCGGATTAGCCGACGAATGGCAGTGGGACCAACTAAAATGCGAAACTTTGTTGAGAGCTGGCAAAATAGCATTTTTGTGCCACTGGTGCACATCAGCAGACCTCATCCACCCAACAGCAGCCACGTGAGCCAGTCAACATAGTCCAGTGGCTCCCATACTCCTCGAGTCGCAGGCGAGGTAATTCGCTAGAAGAATTCTTCAGTTCCATCCAACCCTACCAGCATTCGCGAATTCTAACTAGTGGGGCACTGCTTGTGACACCAACTAATCTGCAAGCTCGCTGTCGTCTGCGCGAGATTAGCTGCATTGGCTTTATTTTCAATTCAGGCGCTCGACTGCATTTCCATCGCGTGCTCCGTCACTGTATTGATATCGGCGCTAGTCTGCTCCTTCCTTCTAATATATCAGCAGATTTTTTTTTTTTTTTTTTTTTTTTTTTCGATAGATCGGTCTACCACCGTCCAGCTTCAGTCTGAGTAATTCTCTCCGCACACAAAATGGATACTTCGCGAGTGTACAGATTACGCGCCCTAGTTGTCGCTCTTATAATGGCACAGGCTATCCTCGTTACAGGGATCCACGCCGACGCAACGGACGTCAATGCGGACTCCTTACAAGAGTACGACGGGGAAGCGGCTTACGCGGCGATGGCAGCGAGAATGCGAGAGAAAGGGCTCACACTGCTGGTCGACAACATGGAACGATCTCGTAAGCTGGGAATAGCCACGTGATAAAAGCTGGAATAGCCACATGAGACGTCTCAAAACCCAACTTTTTATCACAGGGCCCACGCTGCTGGTCGACAACATGGAACGATCTCGCAAGCTTTGGACTCATCAACGGTCAATCCTAGTTCAGGCGTAGTAACGAGGCGACGCTGCTTCTCCGTTAAGCTGCGATCACAAATCTGCGGGCCTAGGGATCGTTCTCCTGGCAAACCTATTGCTGGCGAGCGAGGAAAAATGAAACCTTCATCCCTGAGAATGCTTATTATTTCCCACGCTAAAAGTGCCCACTCTCCTCGTCCCCCGCCCTCTTTTCCTCCCCCCTCTCCCCACCCACCTCCGGTTTCCGTCGTCTCTCCTCTCCTGCTCAGAATTCAACTCCACGCTTTCGTTTCTCCTATCGCGGATGCGCGTAACGCTTCTCGCGCCTATCAACGGCGCGTTCACCTCCCTGCCGGCCGTCACGCGCCGCTACCTCACGCGGCGCGCCAGCGTCATGCACCGCGTGCTCGCCTTCCACACTCTCGGCCGGAAGCTCTCTGCCGCTCAGCTGGCAGAACTACCGGCAGGATCACTGGTGCGTGAAGGATCATTGGTGCTTCTTCCGGCTGTTTTAGTTTTGGCATGCAGTGCGTGCTCCGAGGCACGCTGTGCTGTTTGGGTGTTGTGGGTTTGGGAACCCTAGAGATGTGAATGAGATGGGTGTTAGTGGTGTTCCGCTCATTGGTGCTCCGAGTCTCGCATTGCACTGCACCAGCGCCATTCCTGATGTATGTTGGATTTATTCCTCACTCTTCCGCTGAGAGGGCAGAAGGTGCAGCAGGTATACATATGCTGGTAATTTGTGCTCCCCAGCACTCCGTCCTCCAGCCACTCCCTCTCTTTCCATCTCCCCTCCCCAAGCTCCTCCCTCTCTCCCTCTCTGAACCTCCTTTTTCTCCCTCCTTTCCACCCCCTTCGGTGCCCACCCTCCTTTCCACCCCCTTCGGTGCCCATGCAGTTCACAACAGGGTTTGAGGAGATGGAGATGGAGAAGGTAGAAGGGGAGGGTATTGTGCTGGGCAAGCCAGTGTTGGGAGCTCAAGGGAGTGTACGAGTGGTGCTGCCAGACCTCTACACGGATGCACACATGGTGGTGCATGGAGTGAATAGAATTATGGTGCCTGATATTTTACTAGATCTCCAATGATGGGGGATTTTGAAAAATAATATTAATGATCATATAAGCCAATTACCTGGGGAGGATTGTGAATCAAGCCCCCAATTTAGAACCCTCAGTCAAAACATTACTTCATTCAATGTAGGCTTGATATGTTTTGTTCAATTTTCAGCAAGCTCAGCTGTATTGGCAGTTTGTTCATAAGTGGACAGTGAAGTATGTTCCTTTATCATCGGTTTACGCTTTACATTGTGGTCGTTCTTTTTTATCGAAAGGATACTGAAAACGGGGACGAGAGCTTCATCCCGCCCAAATCATTGACTTTTGGCAACCGAATCAAGTTTGAATTCGAGGTCTGACACGAGTCCTTCACCTCGTGAATGACACATGGTTATGGCGGCTCGGGCGGGCCATGTCATCCACACGGTGGTAACAAACCATGCCATCCACATCATGCCAAAGCCGAATCACCCACCTCAGATAACTGTGCTCAGCCGTCAGATCACCCAACATCACTGGGTAACATACATCCCTTCCGCACAGTTTCGCACGCTACGACTTTTGCCCGCGAAAAGACTGTCTCCTCGCCAAACCCCTAGGGCTCCTCCCTGACTCACACCACTTTCCACCGTTCCTTACCTTCGTCACAGACCGTCGGCGGACTTCCCCGCGGATTCCAGCCATTCAGCGCAACTCGTCAGCGAACTTTGCAGCGGCTTGCGCCTCGAGCTTGCCGAAACGGGGTGAACCCTCCCCCTTCGGCTGGGGTGGACAAGTCGCGACTCGACTTCCCGCTCCTTGCCGTTTAGCTCCTTTCCCTTCGCCTTTCTCTCACCACACCACATCCCACCTCACCTGGCCTCACCTTATCTCAGCTTGCCGAAACCCGTACCACCCCTCATGAGCTTCTCCTACCTTTCTGAAACTTTCCTCACCGTATCGGACCTTGCTTTTCCTTCCTGTCCCAATTCTCGTCGCTTGCTCTGCCTCCAATTGACCTTGGTGCAATTCACTGAATCCCTCTCAGCCATTTCCCATGCACACGTTCGTATCAGGGAGGATGCTCCGTGAGCTAACTCGATTGACTGGAATCCATGGCTTCCTCGCTTAGCTGTACCGTGGATGTAATTTCCGCGACGTAGTCTCTTCCCGGAGCGCGTTAAGCTTAAGATTTTCTAGTAGGACTATAGCAGATTCTTAGAGCCTAGCAATTTCATCAGCGCTAGTTCATGATCTATCATTTCATGGAAGGAGGATGGTAGCAGAATCTTAGAGCCTGGCAGGATCTTAGAGTATAGTATGAAGCATATATTTCGTCAGTGCTATGATAAGATTAATCAAGCTGGACTCGACGTGGTGCGACAATGTTCCTGAAGTTTACGGAACCTTTCTACGACGAATTACGTGACGTTTAAGCCATTATCTCAGCGCCATCATCTGTGCAAAGTTACAGGCATCATCATTATATCGCTACGTTTCTTCGCTACATCTGTGCTACGTTTTGGCCATCCTCGAACTCTTAAGGCTACGACAGACGAGGCTGTGCGACGTTCCAGCTATCTCCTCCTCGTGATGTCGCTACTTCAGACGAGAAGGAGTCGCGTTCAAGCCAACGCTGTTATCTGTGCGACGCTTCAGCTCGCTTCGCTCGCGTATCCCTCTATTCAGCCGCTCACTAGAAGGTTGTCGCTGCGAAGCCGTCAACTCTCTCGTCGCTTTCGAATCTTCGATCGAACGCATACAAGGCCTCTACTGCTATGCGATGCTAACGACGCTGACG